ATAACAATTAGCTGTTATGGGAAATTAAACATCCTCTGAATCCCTGCTGACTGTTACAATGCGAAGGTGCTCTCTATAAGAATTGTCATGTCAGACATAGAAATATAGTGTATTATCAGAGATCTACAACCTCCAAATGTGTGTGCAGATAGAATAGTATTGTTCTCACACCATGGTTAAATGGATTAAAAAATTTTTAAAGCAAAATAAATGAATTCAGTTAATTAAACCTGTAATGAATATAATTTAAAGCTGCTAATGTATGTGTGAAAGCCATTATCTTGCAACATTTCCGCTCTTCCTGCACATTCTTGGCTTCCATCGCTTCTTCAGACAGTCTTAGTGCAGTAATAGGGAAAAATGAGGCAAAATGATGCATTTAAAAGGTGCCAGGCTTTTAGCTAGCTGGTAAATGCATAATCATTCAGTCTTTGTAGCAAAATCCTCACTGCATAGACAAATGTTAAGCTAATGAGTGAACAGAAAACACCAAAATTGCAGAGTGTATGTGTGGGGTTTATATACTATATTCCATCCTACTTTTAACCTTTTAATAGCTATCAGTAACATTTTCAGTATGTGATTTTTGAATGCTTTACGTTTTGCATGAAAAATGGCGGTGCCCCTGTAACATTTGAAATCTATAGATAAGGTATGATAAAAATGTCAAGCTATCAGTTTAAAAAAAATCTAGCTGCTAGAATATTATGTGTGCATGTTGGAAGTTTGTAGTAATTGTACCAGTCCACGCAGACCATGACCAATGTGCCTACAGATCTTCAAGTGATATAGTAATTATTTTTTTCCTTTGTACTGTTTACTAGCCAGACCCAATATAAATGTAGCTGTATGTGTACACATGTTAAAATACAAGTGACTTCTAAAGCAAGGGTCTCCAGACATGTTCTTGATGCAGCTTAAACTTACCAATATTTCCCTGCCAGACCATTCTGCAACAGTGACACCAAGGTTGGACATCCATATTTTGAACAAAGTTATTCTAAGTAAATAACACATACATCAAAAATATCAGGATTTTTTACTGAAGCAGTTAAATGAACACTAAAGGGCCAGGAACACAAACATGTATTCCTGACCCTATAGCAGACATAGGCAACCTTCGGCACTGCAGATGTTTTGGACTACACCTCCCATGATGCTTTGCCATCATTATTGGTGTAAGAGCATTATGGGGGATGTAGTCCACAACATCTGGAGTGCTGAAGGCTGCCTGCCCTATAGTGTTAAAACCACCATCTTGCCACCCATAAATATAGCAAAATCTTACTTTTATTCTAGTCTGGCTCTGATCTATTTGGCTGAGATCATGAAAACTCTGAAACACAACAAGTTGAAGTTTTTCTGGTGAATTAAGTGTCCCTTTAAGGGGTTTTGTTTTGTTTTGTTTCATTAAATGCTTATTAACGTCCTGAGAATCTCCAGCTGTATTTCTAATTTTTCCCTTCGTGTTTCAGGCTCTTAAAGATCTAAAGAAGGAACGACCTCTTGTGCGACGCAAGTCCGAATTGCCTCAGGACATCTATACCATGAAAGCCTTGGAATCTCATTGCAGAGCTGATGAATTAATAACACACGATGGGCATTAGACTATGACAAATCTTATTTTGTGGATATTTTTTTTAAATTTTTTTTTTTCCTGAAGCAGTTACACAGTAGAAAACGAAACCATTAACTTTTTTTGTGCCATACCAATCTATTAGATGCATCAACGCTTTCTTCGACCCAGTTCTGTAGGCAATAACTTAACACAGTGTACAGCTCAAGATTAGTCGTTCAAACAATGGTAAAATACCTGTCTCTGTATGCAGGACATTTGGGTTAAGGCTGGTGAAACCACAAGCACCAATTAAGCATCTACTTCAAGAGGTCTACCAATGCATAGTATCAGTGCTGTGACTTCCATCATTAATGACAGACATGCAAAAGCAAAAATTAATTGGTGCTTTAAAGAGAACCAGGTATTAAAGTACTAACCTTTTTTTGTCTCACAACTGAGTGTCTGGTAATTTGCAATTAGGGGAAACAATCTAGGCTTTACTTGCATGTGCTGTACAGATTTCATTGAGTAAGTTTTCTGACCATCCCAAATAGTTTTCTGTTCAGAGTTCTGTATATTGGTTTGCTTTGGATCAGCTCATATAAAGTTGAGTAATTTCAGTGTATTGAAAGCCATATTTTCGTCAGTCGTAACTATCGAAGTATTACAGTACCTTCTTTAAAAAAAAAAAGTGCACTAAACAGATCGTCTGTTGCCTTTGGGTAACTCAAACTACAACTCAAAGGAAAACAAAAGTGTTCAAAAATGTATTCTTGAAATAAAATACTGTTTCACTGCTGACGATTTCCTGAGCTTTGAAGCTTTGCCTTTTGTTTAGGGTCTGTGTTCTATAGGGAATACTTCTAGTTTCATAGCTGGTAAAAGCACGCGTGCTTTACATACAGACTTTCTGTGTCAGCTGCGGGCATCTTATAAAGGTGTATATTTTTAGAGGGACTGCTTATTTGAATATTTTATATATTGGTTAAATATTAATTATGGGCAAAAATGGTCTCGTGAAGGCGGCTGTGTGATCCATTGAATGCACCCATATTTTCTATATTTCTATTATAGAGACACACGTTAGCAGACCTTACAGGTAATATGTAAATATGTCAATGTTGCTGTTCAATTTCAGATGCTGCTCTATTTTCATCAAGATTTCGTGCATATTCAGTCGTGTTTTGTGAGTAACAAAATTTGGCTGAACATTAGTGCTGTTTATTTTGTTTTGGGGGTTTTGTATTTTTGCGTTTATATATTATTTGTTTTTTTTCCCTCAGGGTGGCCAGTATATATATATATTTCTTTGTTTTTTTGTTTTGTTTTTTAAGTAATCACAAAGCCGTAAAGTAGACTTCAATAGTTGGGAAACAAAAATCCCTTTAGAATTAACACTTTACCAATTTAAAAAAATTAGTGACACCATGTCTCCAATGGGCATGTGTACTTTTTATGTATATGTGGTATACCATTGTTTGAACCTCCAACTTTTGCTGTTTTTGTCCCTGAATTAGTTTTTACCTTTTTCTTTTTGATTTGTGGTGTTCCTTCTTGTTTTGGGCAACGTTTTGCTGGAGAAAAACATCGCACGCCCTTTTAACCCAACACAGACTTGTGTATTAATGTTTGGTTGACTGTGTAATGCGCAGCAGACAAAAAAAACAACCTCTTTTGTCTACATTTTATTTCTGTACTTTATGAAAGATAAACATTCACCAAATAAGGGAACTGCCGTGGACTTTTCTTTTCTGTAATACATTTTTCCTGTTGAAAAATGTTCTTTTGATTGTAAACCATGGCACATTTACAAAGTCCAATTCCATATTCTAAATTGAGTAAACATATTTGTCTATTAATATTCCCAAATAAAATGTGTGTGTGTGTAGGCTATTCCAAACTAATATAACTTTATTATATGGAGACAAAACAGAAACTTAGGAGTTTTGGTGATTGTTTTTCTTAATAAAGTTTGTGTCTTGACACTTTCACGTGTTTTTCAGACTTTGACCTGTATCTGAGGAATGTCGACCGTACTGCGAAGAGTGTCTTTTAGTGTGGCTTCAGTATGGCTTCATTTTAATATTGTACATACACTGTACTTTGTTTTATGGTAATAAGTAATAAAAAATTAGACTTCACACTTTGTACAAAATGGTCCTGTGTACAACTTATAGTCCGTAGAAGGCAAATACATAAGCATTACCTTTTATTCCTCACACATTGCTTAAACGAACAATAATACATTGCCGTCAAGCACAACTATTGGTAAACTGTTGTTTTTCTTTATCCTTTTTGTAGTTACAATTGTTGGTTTTCCACACATCCTCTATAAAGAATACAATGAAACACTCATTTCAGTGTAATGTTAGCAAGTTGGAAAACCCATACATGGTGTATTTTATGGGCTTAATCAAGAACATGCTAGCTTTATTTACTCATCATGGGAACGGTCAGCCGTGTGCTTGACAAATCTGTAGACCATACTAAAGGGGTATGCTATATTCATGGTTTTACTTGTAAAACATTTCAAATACTTTGAAATATTTATGCTTCTGTATTTCCCCTTGTATAAATTAATTTTGTACTGGTGATCAATAAGCTACTCCATATTTATAAAGCTCCTGTGCCACAAAGCTATACAATGACCCTTTGCTACCTTAGAAGGAATTTGTGTAATATAAAGTTATTTGTAACATGGCGTTAATGTAAAACTTTTATTATATAGTGACTACATCATTCAATTGATTGTAATGTACATGACTATCAAACCGTTCTATGATGGAAGTTATGCAGTTCCTGATTCTTCCTCTTTCTAGGACATTGACATTTTCTCCTGCCTAAAAGGTTTAATGGAAAATGGCACTTGTACAAGATATGTTCCAATCTAGATTCTAAATGGTTAAAGGGGACAGTTCCGACTGAGAGTGGCCTTATATTATTTGATTACATTGTGCAAAGTTAAAATGAAAAATAAATATTTAAGATTTCTACAACAAATACATTGGCATACGCCAACAGCCCACCATTGCCCAGATATGAAAGAGACTTTATATGGCAAGAGCCTCTATTTCTGTTCTGTGATATCAAAACATGTCCCATAAACCTCTATCCAGCTGTTGATAGTAGAATATGTAGTTCAGGCCTCAGCAATAGTTCCACTGATCAGGTATGATGAATGGACTTGCTAAATAAGTTAAAACCAGCCATACCACATATATCAGTTGATGGACAGCTACATTTACCATTTTGGGAAACAAAAAAAAAAAAGTGTAAACAAGAAGAAATAAAATAAATACCTAGTATGCTCATGTATAATATGCGTGTATCTTGATTTAAATCAATACAGTATAAGAAAAAAATAAATCCCAAAATAGTGATACTATAAAAATAGTGCCCATTTTTTAACTTGCATAAAGCCTTCTAAAACCTGGCTATAAGGTGTAGATATGGCTGTAAATGGATATGAGGTGTTATCCCCAACCTTGTGACAACACAAAATAGACCAAAACAGAAAAATTGATAACCCGTGCCTAAAACCTTTAAATCGTTAGGTGGAATCCTTTTTGTCTTTTTGAGAGATTCGTCATCAAACAAGACCCTGTTTTTGATTCCACCTAAAGATTTATAGGTTTTAGGCGCAGGTTATCAATTTTTCTGTTTTTGTCTATATGGCTGTAAATGTCTTTCACCATTTTGTGAATAAGGTAATGCACAGCATTCACCCAAGAGGTAACTTGCTTACATCATACATATGTGTATTGCGGTAACAGGAGGGAAGTAACCCTTTTCACATTCACATCTAGGGTAGAAAATGGGACAACTGCAATCAAGATAGTTTGCAAAGTGGTATGGGAACTTAACTGCAATCTGAGTAGTCATCCACTCTTTTGTTTTTTGTATTGAATCACAGTATGCAAACTCTCAGTTCTGTGATTTGTAGAAATAAATGAAATGTGGTTTATAGTAATTTATTTCCAACATTGCCATTATCTCAGTCACTTTTTATGTTCAGAAGATATTAAAGATTATGTGCAGAGACCTGAAAGTCAAAAATTGCTGTACACATAGTCTTTCTCATCAAAAGGGAACTGTCCTATTTCTATTCTTAATACCCTTTACCATACACAATCAAAGGCGTGAATATAATATAATTTACTGACTTGTAAAATGAATGACTTGGGCTGCCACGTGACTCCCGGTTTAGAAAATGCATCACTGTTTTGTAAACTTTCTCAAGCTCGCCAATAGAATTATTTCTTGGAAATGTTAATATGGACCTGTAAATGTATCCATAAAAGTAAAGTTTTGTGCCTGATGGACAATGCAAACTAATAACAGTGTTTGCTCAGGGAATATACAGAGAAGAAAGTGACAGTATCAAAAGATTCCAAACAGGCTTTGAATGCTAGCATTGAACTGGCATATTAAAGTGAGCAGACCTGCTTAGTGGGAACAATCTGTCTCCCCTGGTGGAATTATTATGAAGTAGGCATTTTTAAGAAGCTAGTGTGTATTAAGTGTATATAGGTGCACAGATTTTGGCATGTGATTTATTTCTGAACCTTGGCAATCCCATTGAATCATTATCCAAGGTTTAGAGGATTTAGCATTCTTTAAAGAAATCTACAGAAATCTCCCAGGGTACCACGACCACCTCCATTTACGTTCCACTCTTAACTTGCTTGTTTGTGTACCCCAAGAGTTTGCACCATCCAGTACTGTTTATTTTATTTTTTATTTTTAATCTGCTTATGCAATTAATACGTTTGAGTCGATTTGTGGATCCCAGGGATTTTTGAAATACAATTATTAGACAAAGTGGGGCAGCCTGCGACTATAAAACATTGGGCTTCTTTTTCGTATGTATTGTTCCTCAGATTGACAATGTTTGGAGCTTGCATTATGTTCCACCCTTTGTCTTATGCTTTCCTCTTGCGTTTAACCATCTTGACAAAGTTTTGGCTCTACTTTGTCTTATGGTTTCAAGAGAATTAGATCAGAAAAGAACAGATTCTGAAAGAGGAAGAGAAAGGTAAGTTTGAGGAGATAAAGCTACTTTAAGACCCCCTTAAAATTTAGTTTGTTGAACATGTCACATGAGAAGAAAGATTGCTTTAATGCGCCATTGTATAACTATTTTCCTTGTTACTTTTCTTTCAAAAGATGAAATATATATATATATATGGCTCTGATGCAGGATTGTGAGAACCACAGCAATTTCTGTGGGGAGATTGCCATCATCAATTTGTAATTGTATTATTTTAAGGGTTTGGTTTTCTGTAAAGTGGACTACATGTTTTTGTTTTCTTCAGATTTTGAAAGGTAGCAGTGAGTCTTTTTGAGATCAATTTAATAGTGTAAGTTCCACTGCTTACCAAAAATACCTCTCGGCACATTCTGCTAACTTTTGTTCATAGTACGATTTACTGGTCTGTCAGAAATAGGGAAGTAAAGCCCTAATGAAAAACTGATTCTTAAAGGCCTACTGGGAAAATACAGAGGTTAGTGCAATGAATCCCACATGTGCAGAGTTCGTACAATTGAGGTTGGTATCTGGGGCAACACATGTTCAAAATGAGAAAAAGATTCTAGGTGATTAAATTTAAAAATACAGCATTGAGTTCCAGTTGACTGTTGATAGAGGAAAAAATATGGTTATGGCTCCAGTCCTCCACAAATTTTTATAATCATTAAATGGACGTTAAAATCACACAAACCACATCATCTCAATGAATTGATCTTGGGTGCAGTGGCCTTATTTTTTTCCAAATGTATTTAATTTGAAAGGAGACTGTGATTACATAGGTTTAGTTAAACAATGCCACAAATAGAACTAGCGAATTTAAAATGCAATAAAATTGTGCAATTTGAATAAAAGCTCTGACGCTTGGAATAATGTTAAAAAAGGGAAACTAGCAAGTTAACTCAGGGCTTGAGAAAATTTGCTTGGAGTCTAGGAGCCTTATTTTTTATTATTATTTAAACATATATTGATGTTAAACTACAAAAATACAATTCTTAAAGGGACACTAGAGTTATCACAACCATACAGTTACTACAGTTTAATGTAGTGGTTCTGGTGTCTATATCCTGTCCCTGCAGGTTTTTCAATTTAAACACTGCCTTTTAGTGTTTACATTGATGCCTAGTAACACATCTAAAATAAATTGGGTCCAGGCACTCAAGATTGCTGCAGGAAGGCAGGTTTATTGGAACAAAAAGTGCCACGTTTTGGCCTACACAGTGGCCTTTATCTTCTGTAAGGATGGGGTCATGATGCCTAATATCTGTGTAGGATGATTTTAAAAGTTTGATGTAAATTTATATTCATTGTAAATATCTGATTTTGTGAGTATCAGAAGTGGGAATAAATTAATCAGTTTGGCTAGAACAGAGAAACTTAGGGATACTGTACTGTTTGTGACGTTCTTTTAAAATAAATACGTTGGTCTTTGCAACAGATTTCCAAATGATAAAGGCCTCTGTGTAGGCTGAAACGTTGCACTTTTTGTTCCAATAAACCTGCCTTCCTGCAGCAATCCTGAGTGCCTGGACCTAATTTATTTTATCTACTAAACTGGGTTTTGCCAACACGTTAAGCACCTGGATTCCTAAAGGTGAGTGCAGTATCCTCCGTGTGTGAATTACTATAGTAACCCTTCTAGTGACAGTCACTCAAACGGCCAATAGAGATGATTCCACGCTCTGCGTTGAGCCGCTGTATGTTATCCATAGAGATGCATTGATTCAATGTTTGTTTTATTTTTACATGTTTGGCTGGAACAGCAGGGTAGGGGCTATAATGATACACAGACTATTCTAGATAGTTTTCATTATAATTTTAAGTCTATTTTATTGGTGCTTTTATATAGTCTAGTGGATAAATATTTTGTAATATATTTACTTTGCACAATTATTAAAATTCTTAATATGCACTGAAATCAAAGAAATAGAAAATCTGGGCCTCATCTATAGATATTTAACTGCTTTTATTTCACAATCATTGTGCCGATAATGCGTTATCAGTAAAGCCTAGAAAGTCTTAAACTATTCACCTTTTTTATGATGTATAGATTAGGGGCACCTGTTGTCTTTATAACTGAAGGTCACCTGGGATTGTAAATTGGGCCCTGCCTTTGCGATTTGCCCAGACTATTGCAGCAATAATTCCATAAGATAAATTATATGGAAGTCTGGTGTACGTGGATGCCCATGTTAAGTAATCCAAGGATTAATAAAATGGCCGGAAGAATTGCAAAGCAGTATTTTAAGCCTTTCTTTTAAGAGATTACGATCAGGTCCTCAAAGCAAATAGGATTATTCAATAAACTGGTACTTCGGAGGGAAAGGTAATTGTACTATTTTGACCAATATAGACAAATGGGGGGAAAGAACTCCCACTTTGTTAATTTCAATTCCCTTGTCAATTCTTCAGATTTCCTGAATTATGGTGTCATTTGCTAACCTACCACATTGAATTCTAGATGGCATATTTGAAAATAAAATAGTCCAGCTGTACTGATGGCTAAAAAATTTTTAATCTCAATTTTGCTGTTCATTTTTTAATTCTCTTCAATTCTGAGTTCACTAAATAATTTCAAACGTGCAAAGGACATTGAAATGGGACACAATAGGAGTATAATTGGCTATTTCATCCATATTTGACAACAGTGATTTTGGTTCTTGGTGTGCTCTTTAAATGTCCACTACTTATGAAAGGTTCTATCTGCTGAAATGTAAAAAGCTACAGAAATTGAAGGGGGAAAAAAAAATCTTATGTAAACCGTGAAAGCCAAAACAGTCTCTTACCAATAACCCTGGAATGGCCATCCAGGCACACTGGCTGTAGTGGCTTTGGGCTAAGGCTGATGGCATTGGCACAAAGAGGGAGCTCTATCCCTTCATGGTAGGGAGTTTAGTTTCACAACAATGATATCTAATGCCAAGGTAGGGAGCAAGGCAGCATTGTTGCCATGGTAACCCACGGCAATGATCTGAATGGCAATAGGTAATGATAGTCATAGTCTGCCCGTGGTTGAGGTGTAGACTAATACCCACCACATTGGAGCAGGTATTGATATGTCTCCCTTCCGTAGCATAATGTTACAGAGAGCAGGGAATACAAAAATGTTTTCACATCATTAAATTAAATAATTTATTAGAGCCCCTACCCCTTACATACACATGACACAGCAAATGCATCCCCTAGCCACACACACTCTACTATCCCTGTCCACACATGGCAAACACCCCCAATCTCATAGTACATCACAAACTCCAATCCCATAAAACGCCACAGGCAGCCTCCAAACATGCAGTGTGCTACCCTAGGCATAACAACCCCTTCCTGTTTAATACCAACACGCACTTTGACAGATACTTCCTCACTGATACATGCACTGTCCGATACAGTCATTGGCACACACACACACGGTTTAACACACTTTCACTGACAGACACTCTCAGATGCACATACACTCACACACCTTTTCTCATACACTCACAAATTATTTTTTATTTTAATTTGTCAACCCAGCCTCCCTACCTTTAGGAGAGCTGTAGTGGATTATTTCCATGGGAATTAAATGACAGCCCCACTGACACAACCACTCTCGGACAGGCATACATTTTACACACACCTCCTCACTGACTTGACACGCACATTCACCAACACTCACAGACCTACATTTTAAAAAAAAATCCAATCGGGCTGCTGGGCGCGTGTGCAACAGAGGCGGTGAGGGAGCTATAATCCTTTTGCTCTGCTCCCTCACACGCCATGCTGTGACTCTGGGAACTGGAATAGGACATCATTCCGGCTCCCAAAGTCACAGCAGGGCGCGTGAGGGAACAGAGCAACAAGAGCACAGAGATCCGCACTTGCTGCCCATTTTGGGGAACCCTTATTTGGCTGGTCCGCCAGCTCTTGGGCCCCCATGACATGAGGCTGACAAGGCGTCTTCCTGGGGCGTAAAACATTCCCTCCCACCCCCCATAAAGCGCTGCATAAGGCAAATGCCCTGTTAGCCTTGAAGTAAATACACCACCACCCACATGCACACCAACTTTTACCAGCCCTGTCCCACTTTTGTCGTCTGGTATCGCTCTATTAAAGACACCAGAGACAAGTCACCAGCAACTACACCTCAACTCAAGAATGTGACAAAATTTGCTTGTGCTGCGCAAAACAAACAAGTAATTTTACCTAAACAAGAGCACTTCAGCATGGCTCTGCGCATGGGCTGCAATGGAGGGTCATCAGAATAACATTTTTGTTTGGAGGGGTGGGGGAAGAGGGGCATGCTTGACATTGGTGATGACATGAGACAATCCCTCTCTCGCCATGCCCCTCCTCTTGGGATGCAGTGCCTTTACATGCCCAGGCTGAATTTTTGTCGTAAGCCAGCCCTGCTTGCAAAACTGAAATTAATTTAGATTGACGGCATATTGTCAGCACTATAAAAAGGCCCCCTGCCCAAAAAAAAAAATCATAAAAATAGAATCCAAAGAAAAAAAAGTTACCTGCGCTCTCTTCATAATCCCTATCTATATTTAGACAAATGGAGGTAATTTAATTTCTCCAATGGCCATTGGAGGGAATGCCCACCTGCCAACGTCAAGGCAGACCCCCTTACACTGACCCTTCACCTTGCTTCCTTGAGCTTCTGGCAAAGATATCTTTGAGATAGAGAGGCATTTTTTATTAATTTTTTTAAATATACAACCCTATATACTTATTAACCCTTAATCTGGAACACGGGATAGGCGGCAGCATTGTAACTAAAAACAGAAATCGAAAAATAGAATTACAGAAATTCCAATCAAGTTAGGAGATATACAGAGACAAAGTAAGGGACTGTTTGGTCTTAGTATTTCTCCTAGACCTGACTTTCGTAGGGTCAGAGCTTTGTCTTAAGTGTCAATCCCAACAGCTGTCACGCTCGCACGTTGGAGACTACAGCAGTGACGTCTGAAGAGGATCCAATAAGTTCAGGTAAGTAAATCTCACCTTTACCTGCCGGACCCGGACCCCAGCGCAGATGTCGCAAAGTCCCCAGACGGTGAAAGTGCAGCTGGAAAATAGCTGGTACTGTACTGCAGTAGTGAAGCAGCAGGCAGAAATTAAAGGAATACTATAGTCACCTAAACAACTTTGGCTTAATTAAGCAGTTTTAGTGTATATATCATGCCTCTCCAGTTTTACCAGGGCCAGTTCAAGGATTTTTAGAAGATGCATCTTCACCTGTTTTCTCTTGTAACCCCACTTTGAATTTCTTACCCCCTTTTTTGCTCTAGTGTATTTTATTCTGCCTTTAGTGTGTTTTACAACCCCATTTGTATGTATCTTACCCCCCCCCCCCAAGCCCCTTTCTGTGTCTCTTTCTTACGCCAGCCCCTTTCTCGGTCTCTTTCTTGTTCCAGCCCCTCTCTTTGTCTCTTCCACCACAGTGTCTCTGTATGGCTCTTGTTCGCCTCAGCCCATTTTGTGTGTCTCTCCTCCAGATCCCTTTGTGTTTCTTTCCTTCCAAGCCACAGGCACACAGGCGTATTTTTCAAGCACACAGTCATAAAAGCCACACAATCAAATTCATACAGGTACACTGTCATACAAACACAGACATAATCATACAGACACACAGGCAGAGACGTACAGACAGTCACACCAAGACATACACACATACAGAGACATACATTCATAGGGAGACATACATGCATACAAAGACATTCACAATAACATACTCACATTCAGGTCTGGGGTCCGCCTCCAAATACCGCCCACAGGAATACACACACAGACACAAACACACACACACTGATACAAAAGGACACAGATACATACTAACAGACACACATACTGAAACAGACATACAGGCATACATACTGACACACATACTGAGACATACACACATACATTCATAATGGCATACATACATTCAGACTGACATACTGACAGACATCCATACACACAGACAAACGTTCATACTGACATACATATATAATGACATATACATGCATACAGTCAGACAGACATGCATATAGACAGACATACATGCATGCATGCAGACAGACATACATATACAGACATGCATGCAGACAGGCACACACACACACAGCTCATTTTCCAGCCCCCCTCCTGTCTCCTACTTTTTCTTTGCAGGAGGGTGGCTCCCTTTTCATTGCCTGGCTCTCCCTCTTCACCGGGGCGCAAGCTCCTCCTCCAGCAGCACTTGCGGCTGCTTTTTTATTTTTTTTTATTTTTAAGGCGCCCGGTCGTGCTATACCACGGCCACAGCGCTGACTGGGCCCCAATTTGGTCCCTGGGGTGCATGCTACCTGGCTCTGTGGAGTCCTTTCTTGCAGTCCAGCCTCATCACAGGGCACCAGCCGTGCTGTGTGGTACGCAGGGATATGATGATATTCATATCCCCGCCCCTCCACACAGCCTGCGGCAGACACCAGGGTAGGAGGCTGGACTCCGCGGGCGGAAAGCTCTGGGCTCCGCTCAGCCACTCTACACGTTCTAACAGGCTGGAGGGGAGATGTAATTTACCTTAAGGACACGTGACATGTCATTCCCTTTTATTCTAGAAGTTTGGTCCTTAACCTCTTAAGGACACATGACGTGTGACATGTCATGATTCCCTTTTATTCCAGAAGTTTGGTCATTAAGGGGTTAAACAATTTTATCTCTTGCTCTGTAAATTGAACTTAAATCACATAAAGGAGGTTCTTGCAGAGTCTAACAAGCTATTAACATAGCAGGGGGTAAGAAAATCTAAATTAAACAGAACTTGCAGGAAGTGTTTAGGAATGCTATGCAAGTCACATGCAAGGAGGTGTGACTAGGGTTCATAAAGTGATTTAACTCCTAAATGGCAGAGAATTGAGCAGTGAGGCTGCAGAGGCATGTTCTATACACTAAAACGGCTTAATTAAGCTAAAGTTGTTTTGGTGACTATAGTGTCCTTTTAAGTAGGGCTTTTGCTATGAAAATTACCATTTCACCCCTCCAAATCCATACAAACACAGTAGGCTAATCAATAAACTATTGTGGATACCAGCCAATCATATTCTAAGGAGATTACACGACTACGTTTCTTCCTTCCTGATTAACCATGCAGTAGGTAACATTCGGCACTCCAGATCTAATGGACTACATCTCCCCTGATGCTTTGGCAGAATTCAGGCTGTAAAAACATTATGGGTAATACAGTCCACAACATCTGGAGTGCCGAAGGTTGCCTAGACTTAGATTAAATTATAGGCTAGCATTGCCCTCCTCAGTGATCAGGACAAACAGCAGTAACCCTATAATTTCTTCCCACTCGGTGTTACATGCATTTGCCAATCCTAGGAGAGTATTTTTGGGCCCAAAGTGGCTGCATTTCTCCGATCACTCATAATATACACTATTCTGGGGCTGTCGCATTCTGTGGGTCCTCAGTGGTTGGAACATGCAATTCGTGTTCATCCAGGCCTCAAGCAACTATTTATTGGATAAGTGCTGTTTTTACTCGTGTAATAGAGACTCCTTTAACACAAGAAACAACTTAATGAATTGTATCTTCAGAATTGACTTTATTATTCTCATTTTACTGCTGAAAACTGGGTTGTCACAGCTAATGTCAATCACATAAATCTGATTTTTGTTCACAATAAAAAGGTTACAAACTATAGACTGTAAGCTTGTTTGAGCAGGGTCCTCTTCAACTTATTGTTCCTGTAAGTTTTCTTGTAATTGTCCTATTTATAGTTACATTCCCCTCTCATAATATTGTAAAGCGCTATGGAATCTGTTGTCGCTATATAAATGGCAATAATAATAATAACCCCTGGTTTATAGCTTGTATGTTACTTCATGGTAATCACTGCATTTACTGCATGATAACATGGAGGCAGCACACTCTCTGGCCAATATATGAGGGCAGAGCATCTCTCCCTCAGAAAATGAGGGCAGAGCATCTCTCCCTCAGAAAATAATGAGTGCAGAGCATCTCTCCCCCAGAAAATAATGAGTGCAGAGCATCTCTCCCTCAGAAAATAATGAGTGCAGAGCATCTCTCCCTCAGAAAATAATGAGTGCAGAGCATCTCTCCCTCAGAATATAGCTGTGTAATGCAGGAAAGCCAAGCCAAACATGGAGGCAGCACCCTCTCTGCCCAATATATGAGTGCAGAGCATCTCTCCCCCAGAAAATAATGAGTGCAGAGCATCTCTCCCTCAGAAAATAATGAGTGCAGAGCATCTCTCCCTCAGAAAATAATGAGTGCAGAGCATCTCTCCCTCAGAATATAGCTGTGTAATGCAGGAAAGCCAAGCCAAACATGGAGGCAGCACCCTCTCTGCCCAATATATGAGTGCAGAGCATCTCTCCCCCAGAAAATAATGAGTGCAGAGCATCTCTCCCTCAGAAAATAATGAGTGCAGAGCATCTCTCCCTCAGAAAATAATGAGTGCAGAGCATCTCTCCCTCAGAATATAGCTGTGTAATGCAGGAAAGCCAAGCCAAACATGGAGGCAGCACCCTCTCTGCCCAATATATGAGTGCAGAGCATCTCTCCCCCAGAAAATAATGAGTGCAGAGCATCTCTCCCTCAGAATATAGCTGTGTAATGCAGGAAAGCCAAGCCAAACATGGAGGCAGCACCCTCTCTGCCCAATATATGAGTGCAGAGCATCTCTCCCTCAGAAAATATGAGGGCAGAGCATCTCTCCTTTTAGAAAATATGGGTGCAGAGCATCTCTCCCCCAGAAAATAATGAGTGCAGAGCATCTCTCCCTTTAGAAAATATGAGGGCAGAGCATCTCTCCCTTTAGAAAATAGCTGTGTAATGCAGGAAAGCCAAGCCCAGCATTGTCTTAGCTGTCTTGCTGGCACCTGCCGCAATGCATCACGGAACTTGTAGTTCCCGCCCAGCCCTTGTTAGTAGAGACATGCAGCGTTCTAACTACGTTTCCCGTGAGTGTTATCGCGCGGCAGAGCGGCCCCGCCTCCTGCTTGTCTGGGTGGAGAAGCAGTCCGCCCGCCTGTCACTTGTCTCCTGTGTCTCTGTGCGAGCGGTCACCGAGCTCCCCCACCCTCTGTCACAGCGAAGCCATGGCGGATCCTGGCGGAGGAGAGGACGGTTCGGCCAACCTGGAGGTGTCTGCCGCGGTGCAGAATGTGGCGGATACCTCGGTGCTGCAGAAACACATCCGAAAGCTGGTCCCCCTGCTGCTGGAAGATGGCGGCGAGGCCCCGGCCTCCCTGGAGTCCGCCCTGGAGGAGAAGAGCGCCCTGGAGCAGATGAGGAAGTTCCTGGCTGACCCCCAGATTCACACCATCCTGGTGGAGAGGAGCACCCTGAAAGGTGCTCTAACATGGCTGGCTGAGGGTGGTGTGAATGGGAGGGGTAGGAAAGGGGTATGACTCAAGGCTGGGGGTTGTGGGAGTTGTGGTGGGGGAAGATCTGATCCTGGGTTGGGGGGAGTTGTGGTGGTGGTGGTGGTGGGGGAGATCTGATCCTGGGTTGGGGGTTGTGGTGGTGGTGGGGGGGGAGATCTGATCCTGGGTTGGGGAGTTGTGGTGGTGGTGGTGGTGTGGTGGTGGTGGTGGGGGAGATCTGATCCTGGGTTGGGGGAGTTGTGGTGGTGGGGGAGATCTGATCCTGGGTTGGGGAGTTGTGGTGGTGGTGGGGAGATCTGATCCTGGGTTGGGGAGTTGTGGTGGCGGGGGAGATCTGATCCTGGGTTGGGGGAGTTGTGGTGGTGGGAGATCTGATCCTGGGTTGGGGAGTTGTGGTGGTGGTGGTGGTGGTGATCTGGGTTGGGGGTTGGTGGTGGTGGTGGTGATCCTGATCCTGGGTTGGGGAGTTGTGGTGGTGGTGGTGGTCTGATCCTGGGTTGGGGAGTTGTGGTGGTGGGGGGAGATCTGATCCTGGGTTGGGGAGTTGTGGTGGTGGTCTGATCCTGGGTTGGGGAGTTGTGGTGGTGGTGGTGGTGGGGAAGATCTGATCCTGGGGGTGGTGGTGGGGAGATCTGATCCTGGGTTGGGGGGAGTTGTGGTGGGGGGGAGATCTGATCCTGGGTTGGGGGGAGTTAGTGGGGGGATAGACTCCGAATTGCATTGCTGCCCATTAGTTTTGGGGAGTTGCAATGGAGAGGATCAGGTTGCGGGTAGTGGGAGTTAAGGTGAAACAGAAACTTTAAAACGTTTGAAATATAATTACGGTCTATGGGTTCTGAGAGTTGTACTGGGTAGGAGTACCCTGGAAGGTGTCCTAAAATGGCAAGATGAGAGTTGTGTGGTGAAGACAAAAGCAGCATATTTGTTATATAATTGCTGGCCAAGGGTTCTGAGAGCTGTAGTGCTCAGTAGCACCTTTCATGTTTGTCACATTGTGGATGTCAGTTGTAACATAACTATAACTCTCCCACAATAATATGGAATACAGAATACCTGGCTACCTGCCTATAAATATTGTATTCTTTTAACCCCTTAAGGACCAAACTTCTGGAATAAAAGGGAATCATGACATGTCACACATGTCATGTGTCCTTAAGGGGTTAAAAAGACACTGTTGTTTGATACCCATCACCAAACAAAGTATAAAAAATTGTTAGAGAACTGGTTCCAGGGGCTGATCTAACATAAACCTATTACATGTTCTGCCAGAATTACGTACTATTTATTCTTGGTTTATGAGGAGAAGACTAACTCCAGGGGTCAGCTCTTATGACTGATCTGTCATGTGCAAGCATTGAATTATATAGATAGATAGATTATCTTCTTAAAGCACGTACAGCACATTGGTAATTGTTGACATTTAGCATATTTAGGAGACAAGTAGAGCAAAATCAGCACGGTTCACTTTTAATTAAAACCCTAATATAACCACTATACATTTTCCTTGGATGAAAACTAGAAACATGATTAAGCTGTGGTAGAAATTAAATACATATTCGGTATTGAGGCAAGCTAATCATAGATAGATAAAATGTGTACTTAAACTCTTAACCATTTAAGGCTACTAATGGATGTTTCTTGTCAGAAATCCTATTTTATTCTGCCTTTTCTTTTATGCAGTTGCACAGTTTTCCTGCAGACGTATATTTTATATATTAAGTTGCGTGTGTTATGTCAAGTCGCATTTGAGGACTAGTTTTCTTCCAGACGTTCTTTGTGTAGGGTGTGCCCACACGGACATAAGACTGCATTGCAGTGTTTAATAATGCATTTCTGCCCTGTAATTTGCTGTGCCGACTCCAATAAAAGATTTGCTGACTGCTATAATATTCAGATTGTAAACAGAATATTTTACATGGATAATTTGAATTGGTTAATCTTTACTTTTGTACAGAGGATGTTGGTGATGAAGGGGAAGAAGAGCGAGAATTCATTTCTTACAATGTTAACATTGATATTCACTATGGGCTGAAGTCAAACAGGTAATGTATTACCCCCTTTTACCAAAATAACGAAAACGATTGTCTCATGCTACTAGTATATTCATTAAACTGTGGAGGATGGATTCAAATAAAGTTGTCTGTTTACTGTTGCGAGTTATAAAGTTTATTTTGTCTTGCCATTTGTTGGTTTTGTTGCCTCTGTAATTTTGCCGTTTTTGTCCGTTCTAGTTTGGCATTTATCAAACGTACACCAGTCATTGATGCTGACAAACCTATTTCATCCCAACTGCGAGTTCTTACACTCAGTGAAGATTCTCCATATGAAACATTGCACTCTTTCATCAGCAATGCTGTTGCTCCCTTTTTTAAATCTTACATCAAAGAATCTGGGAAAGCAGACAGGTAATGTTATTCTCTTCCTGATTTAGTTCTCCCTATCCATTTGCGTATTTATCTATATTTGTAATTTTTATTGGCATTTAGATGGTGCCTACTTATTCTGCAGCTTTGTGCATTTATATGTTGGGGATATCTAAGTGCAAGTATTGGTCAGATAAAAGACTGAAAGAGCCTCCTCAATGACCTTACTATCTAGAAATTGCTGACAGAACTGCCTTTTGTGAAAGGATTGGGGATATAGAAATATCAATTTTCTTCATCTTTAGGGATGGTGACAAAATGGCTCCCTCTGTTGAAAAGAAGATTGCTGAATTGGAAATGGGACTTTTACACTTACAACAGAACATTGAAATCCCAGAGATTAGTTTACTGATACATCCAAATATCACTAATGTCGCTAAACAATGCTATGAAAGGGGAGAAAAGCCCAAGGTCACAGATTTCGGTGACAAAGTGGAGGATCCTACATTCCTTAATCAGCTGCAGTCTGGTGTTAATCGTTGGATCAGAGAAATACAAAAGGTATAGTTCAACCTCGTATTGTTTTCATTTGCTAAAACTGTATACACCTAGGATAGGAAATGGTATGCCAACCCTGCACTGCGTCTGGTGTTAAAATGTTTGTGGAATTTATAAGATACTGAAATATTTACTTCAAGCTGTTGCAGTAGTTAATAATCGAATCCACCAGGCCCCTAGCAGGAGGTAGAATGTGGCAGACATCTCGGTGCAGCAGAAACACAATTGAAAGGTGGTCTCCCTCCTGCTGAAAGATGGGCGTGCGGCCCCAGAAATCCTCCCTTAGGGCTCTAATTTAACCAGACCCATTGATATGGTGATATCAAAATGTAGTCTGTCAGTGATCCTTAAAGGCTGGTTGAAAAATACCTAAATAATGACTAAATACTTCCATGGAGTTGGACATCTTAATTCTTCAGGTGTTTTACACTTAAGGTATTTGTGCAATCATTAACCAAAAGTGAATGCAAAAATTTTATTTTATTCATATATTTACAATTTATCTTTGGCATGCCAACATAAACTTTACAACCTAAATTTCATTATTTTTTAGGTCACCAAACTTGATCGCGATCCAGCATCTGGTACTGCTTTGCAAGAGATCAGTTTTTGGCTTAATTTAGAGCGAGCCTTATACCGCATTCAAGAGAAAAGGGAGAGTCCAGAGGTTCTCTTAACTTTGGATATATTAAAGCATGGCAAACGTTTCCATGCCACAGTGAGCTTTGATACAGACACAGGTAAATGTGGGATTACTGACATTAACAAATCTTTTTAACATCTGTATCTACATCTTGATGTGGGACTTTAATATACATTAATCAATTCGTAGGTCTGAAGCAAGCACTGGAAACGGTCAATGATTACAACCCTCTAATGAAAGACTTCCCTTTGAATGATCTCTTGTCTGCCACTGAACTTGACAAAATTAGGCAAGCACTTGTTGCAATCTTCACTCATCTCCGAAAAATCAGGAACACAAAATATCCGATTCAGCGGGCCCTGCGACTCGTAGAAGCCATATCAAGAGACCTCAGTTCTCAGCTTCTCAAAGTTCTGGGGACAAGGAAACTCATGCATGTGGCATATGAAGAATTTGAAAAGGTGCGTTGTAAAATCAGTTTTTCTTTAACTTTGAATAGTCCTAATTAGGAATGACATTTAGAATTAACAGAAAATTAACATATCTATCTTGGAAAGCTAAAAATAAAGCACATGGAAAGCATAAATGGCTAGTCTTTGAAGAATGTAATCGGAACTATTTCTGAGGACAATTTAAAAGTAAAAGCACTCTTCAAGCACAATAACCACCACAGCTTATTGTTTTGGCAATTATGCCACGAGCCTGTGTGCGCTGTCTCTCAAGTGTTTGATTAAGAGTTGCTTATTTATTTTGTTGTTTTCTGGTGTTACTTCACTTAATAAAACAGTGTTGGGCCTTGCGGTGTTTCAAAGTTCATATTGAAAGGTTTGTTTTTTTTGATACAGGTCATGGTTGCCTGTTTTGAGGTTTTCCAAACTTGGGATGATGAATATGAGAAACTCCAGGTCCTACTGAGGGACATTGTCAAAAGAAAGCGGGAAGAAAATTTAAAAATGGTCTGGAGAATTAATCCAGCTCACCGCAAGCTGCAGTCTCGTTTGGACCAGATGAGAAAATTCAGACGTCAGCATGAACAACTACGGGCTGTCATTGTCCGTGTCCTTAGACCCCAGGTAAGTTTTTTTTTTTTTTTACAGAGGTGGCCAATTGCTACCTTTCATTAACCATTAAAACATGTGGTAGAACATCTCCATATATGATTCATGGAGTATTCTCCTATTTTGCAGGTCACTGCTGTTGCTCAACAAAATCAAGGAGAAGTTCCTGAACCCCAGGATTTAAAAGTAACAGAAGTCCTCTTTGATGCTGCTGATGCTAATGCAATTGAGGAGGTGAATCTTGCATATGAGAATGTCAAGGAGGTGGATGGTTTAGATGTTTCAAAAGAAGGGACGGAAGCCTGGGAAGCAGCTCTGAAGAGATACGATGAGAGAATAGATAGAGTGGAGACGAGAATTACTGCTAGACTTCGAGATCAGCTAGGTACAGCAAAGAATGCCAATGAAATGTTCAGAATCTTCTCACGATTCAATGCCCTCTTTGTCAGACCACACATCAGAGGTGCCATCCGTGAATATCAAACTCAACTTATCCAACGTGTAAAGGATGACATTGAATCTCTTCATGACAAATTCAAAGTGCAGTACCCTCAAAGTCAAGCATGCAAGATGAGCCATGTTCGCGACTTGCCTCCAGTCTCTGGCTCCATTATCTGGGCCAAGCAGATTGACCGGCAGCTCACTGCCTACATGAAACGTGTGGAAGATGTTCTTGGCAAAGGCTGGGAGAACCACGTGGAAGGGCAGAAACTAAAACAAGACGGAGACAGCTTTCGCATGAAACTTAATACTCAAGAAATCTTTGACGATTGGGCAAGGAAAGTTCAACAACGTAACCTTGGTGTGTCTGGGCGCATTTTTACCATTGAAAGCACACGAGCCAGAGGTCGGACTGGAAATGTGCTGAAGTTGAAGGTCAACTTTCTGCCTGAAATCATAACCCTCTCCAAAGAAGTCAGGAACCTAAAATGGCTCGGCTTCCGTGTTCCGCTGGCAATTGTTAACAAAGCTCACCAGGCGAATCAGCTTTATCCTTTTGCAATCTCTCTGATTGAGAGTGTACGTACGTATGAACGCACTTGTGAGAAAGTCGAAGAGCGTAACAGTATTAGCTTACTTGTTGCCGGCTTGAAGAAGGAAGTGCAAGCTTTGATAGCAGAAGGTATTGCCCTGGTGTGGGAGTCCTACAAACTGGATCCTTATGTCCAGCGTTTAGCAGAAACAGTTTTCAACTTTCAAGAAAAGGTATTTAAACTTTCTTCATGCTTTTGTTTTGATAGCAGTTTTTATTGTATTGTTTTGTTTTATTTGCTATGTTTCTTTACACAGGTTGATGATCTTCTCATCATCGAAGAAAAAATAGACTTGGAGGTCAGATCGTTGGAAACGTGCATGTATGAGCACAAAATATTCACGGAAATCTTGAACAGGGTTCAAAAAGCTGTGGATGATTTGAACCTTCACTCCTACTCTAACCTGCCCATCTGGGTTAACAAACTGGACATGGAGGTAAAAATATTTTTTAAAGATGTATTCACCTGCTGAAAATGGATGCAAAAATTGTAATAAACACAATGATGTGCCGTATCAAACGTCAGTACTTGTATGATTTGATCAAAATAAATGTTAGAATTGACGATTAGCCTTAACTTTTAAGTTTGTTTTGTCAAACTTGTATTCCTTGTAATAGATTTGTCATTGTGTTTGATATTGTAGATTGAAAGAATCCTTGGAGTCCGTCTTCAAGCTGGTTTGAAAACATGGACTCAGGTTCTTATGGGTCAGTTTGATGACAAAGCAGAAGTTGATATGGACACCGATGCACCACAACTCAGCCATAAACCAGGTGGTGAGCCAAAAATCAAGGTAAGTTTAACTTTACCTAGAGAACAATTCCCTTTTATTTCTTCTTGACTAATCCATGAACAAACTGTAGCTGATTTCATTCTGAACGGTCTTTCTCATGTGAACACTATCTCTCTTTAGAGTAGCACCTCTGTATTACATTGGAAATCTTTAACAGAGTATAAACTGCATTATTCCATCTCATTAATGCGGCCAATGTGGGGTGCCACATGTTTGTTTATAATGCGCCCACTCCTTAAACACTCTGACTCCTTCCCACTATTTCAGTAGGTGGGCTTTTGGTAAAGTGGGTGTAGGTAGACCACAGTCAAGATATTTTTATGGGGAGGGTTACATCTAAAATTTAAAACTTCAGGTTCAGCGCTCAGGGATCTCCTGGTTCTTTAAAGAGAACAAATGTTTAGCCACTTTTCTCTTTGCATAGTTTAAAGTAAATTAAAATTAACTGCTTGCGCACGCAAAATATTTCTGTAAATTCATTGTCAAGTAATGCTTGCTGTTTGTTATATTTTCAGAACATTGTGCATGAACTCAGAATTACCAACCAGGTTATTTACCTGAACCCACCAATTGAAGATTGCAGATACAAGTTGTTTCAAGAAATGTTCTCATGGAAGACGGTGATTTTATCGCTTCCCAGAATTCAGAGTCAAAGATACCAGGTAAATGAACTAATAGCAAAAAGTTGTGTGTTTTTTTGTTTGTTTTTTAATAAAAATAAATAAAAATTTTTATATATATATTATGCTTTTTTGGTTTATTTAAAAAAAAAAGAAAAAAAAACCTGACTTGTATTATTGGATTTTTGTTATCTGAAATAGGTCGGTGTCCACTATGAATTGTCAGAAGAGGAGAAATATTACAGAAATGCATTAACTCGGATGCCAGATGGGCCTGCCGGTCTGGATGAAGCTTACTCTGCTGTGATGGGCATCGTGACTGAAGTTGAGCAGTATGTCAAGGTGAGATAAAGATAAAAGCATAGAATGCAACTTAAGTGTTTTAGTAGCGTAACATAAGCCGCTTCAGAACTGGTGACTTATTTTGGGCTGTATCTGTAGAGCTTTAGCTGCCCTTTTTTATTTGTATGATTTAAATGATCCAGTAAAGTGGAAAATGTATCTCTTGTTCCTGTTAATTGTCTCATGAAACAATAAAACCATTCAGTGTTTTTCATTAAAGTAACCGTTTAAGCAGCATGACCACTAACCACTTGCTGTAATGGCTATTGTGCCAGGAGGACCCTGGCACCGCCGCCTCCACTAAAAATCAAATGCTGGGCAGCCAGAGGTTCCTTAGCAGGGACACAGCTGACCTTCTCAGCCAGTGACCTAAACCTGGCACTGCAAGACTTCACTCAGGAAGTTTTGTCGCAGACATTAGAAGTCCAATGGAGGGGTGTAAGGCCACTCCTTGCACTGCAGCAATCAAAGTAGTTATGGTTCTTGGTGTTCCTTTAAATCAAAACTTAAAATGTGTAGCTTCACAGCTTTTCCAGTTTTTCATTAGCTAAATTAGATATGTCTGCATGTTTTACCCCTTCACTGCCTAATTGTGTTGTGTAAATGTTCTCTCTGTAGTATAGACGTTTTATTGTGTGTCCGTACTTCTCGTCTTTTTCTCATTTCGTCAGGTTTCACAATGGTTTTGTTTGACTTTCCAAAATAATTATATTAACTTTTTATCTTTAAACAGGTGTGGTTGCAGTACCAGTGCTTGTGGGATATGCAAGCTGAAAATATCTATAATCGTCTTGGTGAAGATTTGAATAAATGGCAGGCTCTGCTTGTCCAGATTCGAAAGGCCAGAGGAACATTCGATAACGCAGAGACCAGGAAAGATTTTGGCCCTGTTATCATTGATTATGGAAAGGTATGCCTGTTATACAGTAAAGAACTAGCTATTGCAACAATAAAACAAAAAATGGTGTAAATGTTCTTATAGAAACGACTAGTAAACCTTTTTTTTTTTTTTAATTCACTTTTCTCTCTTTGAACAGGTCCAGTCTAAAGTCAACTTGAAATATGATTCTTGGCATAAGGAGGTTCTGAGCAAATTTGGTCAGATGCTTGGACAAAATATGACAGAGTTTCACTCACAGATCTCTAAGGTATGAAATAAATTGGGTGATGGTCTGTATTTCTATTATTCTGTGGTTTTGTTTAACCAGTTAATAAAACTCTAACTTTTTGTTTTCAGTCGCGCCAAGAGCTGGAGCAGCATTCAGTTGATACAGCCAGTACTTCGGATGCGGTGACCTTCATTACCTACGTCCAGTCTCTGAAAAGAAAAATCAAGCAGTTTGAGAAACAAGTCGATGTAATTATTCTTTTATTTACCTCACTATTTTTTTATGTATACTTTTTTTGATTTGATCAAAAGAGAAGAAAAACCTGTATAGCCTAAAAATCGAGTGGATGAGTCACGTGTTGCATTCAGTTAGTACTTTTTTCGTTGATCATATTTGTGATTTAATACTGCTTTATTGCTTGATACTCATGGGTACTGGGAAGATTGCATCATGCCAATTTAGATCATTTGTGTGTGTGCCAAAACAAAAAATTCTGTATCCTTTTAGTACTGGTGTATATGCTTACTCTTACTAAAGAGTTTTCTTGCCTACAATAAAGCTATTACTTAAAGGGACACTATAGTCACCAGAACAACTACAGCTTAATATAGTTGTTCTGGTGAGTATAATAGTTACCTTCAGGTTTTTTTTTTATGCAGAGAAAAGGCAGTGTTTACATTGCCTCTAGGGACACCTGCAAGTGGCCACTCCTTATATGGCTACTGGAGGTGCTTCCTGGGTCAGTGCTGCCGAAAAAGCAGCCCTGTAGTTCAGCGTCCCTACACTCTGCATGGAGACAATGAATTTTCCTCATAGAGATGCATTGATCAATTCGCCCCGCCCCATGCCGAGTGTTTTCCCTATGGGATGGAAAACATTGGATTGGCTAAAAATCGGCCATTTTGATGTGACAAAGGGGCAGAGTCAGTGCCGGCGGACCTGCGCAGCGCTGGAAATAAGGTGAGTTTTAAACTTTTATAGGGTGGCGAGGGGTAGGGGGGGGGAGGGTACAAACCACCTAAATGGTGGGTAAAACACTATAGGATCAGGAATACATATTTGTGTTCCTGGCCCTATAGTGTTCCTTTACTTTATGAGAGACTGTAAAATTTCCTATTTTTATGTCAGTTTTATCTGAAGCAGCTATTCATGTATCTTCTGCACTTTCAACAATTAAATTTGAAAGTGTTTATCACTCCTTAACTTTATTATTTTTGTCATCGAAGTCTAAATGATGGCTTTGTGTTTTCATAATGTCTAATGTATTTTTTTACTTTTCTTATTTTATTAGCTCTACAGAAATGGACAGCGCTTGCTTGAAAAACAAAGGTTCCAGTTTCCCTCGTCCTGGTTGTACATTGACAACATTGAAGGGGAATGGGGTGCATTTAATGACATCATGCGCAGAAAGGATTCTGCCATTCAGCAGCAGGTGGCCAACCTGCAGATGAAAATTGTCCAGGAAGACCGCGCTGTTGAAAGCCGCACCATTGATCTGCTGACGGACTGGGAGAAGACCAAACCAGTGGCTGTAAGATACTTTCTCTTCTAAAACTGCACATGCAACATTACTCAGAATAATGTAATAATTAAAAAAATTAATCAAGGAAACAAACCAGATAGTTATTGGCAATATACTTTGCGTTTTATATAAAAGTATTTCTGAGTGTGTTCTAAAAATGTAACCTAAACGTCATGCTAGTGAAATCGATTACTAATGTCTAGATTGCGCTTTCCTTGCTGTGTGCTCCTCCGCCTTGTATGCTAATCTCAAGCATACTAGGGTTATTACAATCATTGGCTTTGTGAGATCACTTGAATACAAAATTTAAATAGATGGGGACATTTATATTATTGTAGCACCACATGTTTTGAAAGATTTGAGCTGTACATTTGAGAATGAATAGCAAAAAAAATATATTTTCTAGACTTCTAACAAATCTGTTTATTTAATCTTTCAGGGAAGCTTGCGTCCAGAGGATGCTCTTCAAGCACTCACCATATACGAAGGAAAGTTTGGCCGATTGAAAGATGATCGAGAAAAATGTGCCAAGGCCAAGGAAGCCTTGGAGCTAACAGACACTGGACTCCTGAGCGGCAGTGAAGAACGAGTTCAGGTAAGAATTTTGGATATTATTTTGGTGCCATCATATCACTATTTTAGGGGTACTAGAAACTTGCTTCACATTACTTTGCATCATGTGTAGTTCCATGCCTTATAATATGGTCACTTATGTCCTGTAAACTATTTTTTTCTTTCATTTAGATTTTTTCGAATGCCCCATTACCTCATCACTTTTAACTTATTGTAAACTGATGTTTTCTGTCACCTGTAGGTAGCTCTGGAGGAATTGCAAGACTTGAAGGGTGTTTGGTCTGAGCTCTCGAAAGTCTGGGAACAGATTGACCAAATGAAGGAGCAACCATGGGTGTCTGTACAACCACGCAAGGTATTTTCTAGATAATAGTTAGGTAGTCCAAATATTAATTTAAAAATCTTGGCTAAAATAGATTTTCCTTAGATCAAATAGTCTGTGCTTTGCTTGTTCTCACTGTCCTTCCTCAGGGTGATCCAAAAATATGAAAAGATAAAACAGATAAAAGACCAAATAACGTAATATGTTCACTAGGGTACGGCAAATGTTAGAAGATGGTAATGCACTCACATTTTTTTTGCTTGGAGTCCAGGATAATAAAATTCCAGGAATTAAATAAAATATAAGGTGTATTATAAAGATGATTGGCACAATAAAAATTGTCCAAAAAATCTTTAAGTAAAATACACAATAAAAATAACCATAAATGCGTTTCGCCTAAAAGGCTTTATCAATATGGAACCATAGTTGTAAAACCGAACTGTTGACATATAAGTAAATACTGCTTCTCCAAGGGTCCTTTGTCCAGCTCAACGGCTGGACATACAGCCTAGGAATTCAGTTTGCACCATTTTTTTGGGGGGGGGAGAGGCAGGAAGGCTGCATGTACAATCACTTGGTTCTGTCTAGGACTTGGGAAATGTGCTGAAAATCCACATTGTCATCAAAGTGTAAACATTATATCTACAATTTCCTTCCTGGATATGAATCTTTACAATTTTGGATAATAGTTTAGCTTGGGTACTTGTGTATTGAGTTATTTAAATTGTATTGCACCATTTTTACACAAGTGTTTCTCTTATTTAGCTGAGGCAAAGCTTAGATGGGCTGTTGAATCAGTTGAAGAATTTCCCTGCCCGTCTGAGACAGTACGCGTCCTATGAGTATGTTCAGCGACTTCTGAAGGGCTACATGAAGGTACGTCACTCAATCTTTTTATTAGTAAGCTGTTTGTCCCATAAGGTAAGTTCCATACAGAGCTTGAAGGGTGTTTATTTTAATTTTATTTTTTTCCCCTCTATCTGTAAACAGATAAACATGTTAGTCATTGAGCTTAAGTCGGAGGCCCTAAAAGACCGACATTGGAAACAACTAATGAAGAGACTTCATGTGAACTGGGTGGTATCAGAACTTACCCTGGGACAGATCTGGGATGTTGACTTGCAAAGAAATGAAGCCATTGTCAAGGATGTTTTGCTTGTGGCGCAAGGTGAAATGGCGCTGGAGGAATTCTTGAAACAGGTACATTTATTGTGAGATGCACCCAGCAGCCTCATGGAAGTTATTAATAAAGCATAAGGTCTCAGAAATAACTTTGCCCCTAAAATTCCTCTTTAAACTCAACCCCCAATATCTGTTAAACTCCTAGATGTATTAAGACTGATAATGAGTTTCTGAATTAATTTGAATGCCTGTAATGTGTCTTGCATCCAGATTCGGGAAGTGTGGAATGCTTATGAGCTGGATTTGGTCAACTATCAAAACAAATGCCGCCTGATTCGTGGCTGGGATGACCTGTTCAATAAAGTCAAGGAACATATCAACAGCGTCTCTGCCATGAAGCTTTCTCCTTACTACAAGGTATTGTAATTGTCATTACCGTGCACGTATTTTATTAACATCTTTGTATTCAGTATTAGAGAAGTTTGAGCCTTCTCAAACTTGGATATCAGGAAAGATATACAATAAATTCTCTTGAGGGGTCACCTGATCTATATGGTTTTAGGGGTCACTAATCGCATCTTCAAACATTTTGGTGCCCCTCTTGTTAACATGATTCAGTCCATGCACCTACTAAGTAAACAGGAGAGACTCATATGGTGGCACTTGCAAACCGAAGCATTCAAACTGCTACTTAGCAAGTTGCTTCCCACTTCTGTAAAATTGTAGCTCTTGTTATCCTTTGTCATGTGGATGATCAAGCAAACTGGTGTACAGAAACATTGGCTTCTCAGTAATGCTCCTACAGTTATTACATTAACTAAACTTTAATTTTAAAAACTACAGCTTTGTATTTGTTTCCCATCCTTTTTATCTGAATTCAGGTTTTCGAAGAAGATGCTTTGAGCTGGGAAGACAAATTGAATCGGATTATGGCACTTTTCGATGTGTGGATTGATGTCCAGAGGCGCTGGGTGTACCTGGAAGGCATTTTTACTGGCAGTGCTGATATCAAACACCTTCTTCCTGTTGAAACTCAGCGATTCCAGAGGTATTTTGCCCCACCCCCCCCCCAAAAAAATTGCATTTTAGTTGAATTTTAATTGTATTTATTTTTTGATAACGAACTTTTCCACTTACAGCATCAGCATGGAGTTCTTGGCTCTTATGAAGAAGGTCACCAAATCTCCCCTGGTCATGGATGTGCTGAATATACAGGGGGTTCAGAGATCTCTTGAAAGATTAGCAGACCTTCTGGGAAAGATCCAAAAAGCTTTAGGAGAATATTTGGAAAGGGAGCGCTCATCATTCCCTCGGTAAAGACCATCTGACTGTTTAACATGTAGATCCACACTAATGCTAAAGTGGAACTATTGAGGTAGCTTTTAGCAAATGTTGATTTATTACATTGATGTGCGTGTGACGTGCAAGCATACCCATAAACCTTTTGGGAAGCTCAGGTGAAATATTTAGGGAGTATAGTCCTCTGAAACAATATACCAAATAATTCTACTTTTTGACTAGCTTACAGAGTAATATGCCCCTATTTTGGGTTGCGGGGGTGGGGGAGGTTTATTATTCTAGTAATATATCACAAGGGTACTTCTAGTGCATCCAAAATGAGTCTTCAGGCACTCATTGGGTTCAAGATGCAAAGAAGTTTAATTGGATCATCCTATACAGAGTGACATTTTGTTTTCAACCTTAACAAAGGTCTATGCTTGGATGTACTACATGCATGGGATTTGCTGGCCCTGCTTCAGCTATGCACCCTATGGCTCCTGGAATAAGTGTAGACCTTCTTTTCTTTTGTAAAGAATACTTTTGGTGTGATCTCAGGTTCCAAGTTTAGTGCGATTGCTTTTAGTACATTGGCAAAGTCATTGTGACCTTTATAAATGGTATGATGAAATACCGTTCAAACTAGTAAATGTAAACTAGTAAATGAATAAATGTCTTTGTTTGGTTTGTTTTTTTTCCTTTTAGATTTTACTTTGTTGGTGATGAAGACTTGCTGGAAATTATCGGCAACAGCAAAAACGTGGCCAAGCTACAGAAACACTTCAAAAAAATGTTTGCTGGTGTCTCTAGCATCATTTTAAATGAAGACAGTTCCATAGTTCTGGGAATTTCTTCACGAGAAGGCGAAGAGGTACATAATATGATTCAGTGATTTCACTCCTATAGACTGCTGTTATTAATGGTGACATGCCCCCGCAATGAAATACATGCTGTTTATTTGTTAAACACCAAATTGGAGTGAGTTGGGAGCTGAAATTTAAAAATGTAGGCAAAAATTGTCAAGTTGTAATAATAGCAGGTTTGTTTCAGATCCGCTATTTTGGCAATTTTTTTTTTTCTTTTCATTTCACTTTAAAGCCATGTTTAGTAAATAAAACCTCAATTTCCTTAAAATCTTAATGTCCATTCTCTACAACTCTAAATTATTCTGGATATTTTCTTTAAAGGTTCTGTTTAAGACCCCGGTGTCCATCACAGAGCATCCCAAAATCAATGAGTGGCTTACTTTGGTTGAGAAAGAGATGAGGGTGACTTTGGCTAAGCTGCTAGCAGAATCTGTCACAGAAGTTGAGATCTTTGGAAAGTCCACATCAATTGACCCTGCCACCTACATATCCTGGATCGACAAGTATCAGGTAAGTCTTCTTTAAGTGTTCCGTTTTTTTTTTTTTGTTTGTTTCTCAAACAGTTTTCATTGTAAGAAATTTTGTGTTTTACAGAATTAAACATGTGTGGTTGACGAGTGTTTTTTTTTTTTTTTCTATTGTAGGCTCAATTAGTTGTCCTTTCTGCTCAAATCGCCTGGTCTGAAAATGTGGAGAATGCCCTAACTAACATAGCCAACGGAGGAGATGCAAGCGCAATGCCGGGTGTGCTTGCCAATGTGGAGGCTACTCTGACTGTCTTGGCAGATTCCGTGTTAATGGAACAGCCACCTTTGCGTAGGAGAAAGCTTGAACATTTGGTAATGCATTTCATATGCAAATAGTAAAGTCATTTAATCCTTGTACCTTTTTATTTATTTTTTTTTAAAGTAAAAAATATATATATATGCTTTTTTTTTTGGTTTGTTTTTTACGGCAAGTAATTGCGTAACTGTTGGTCAATATATTTTGTTTATAATGATTTCTGCAAAACAAAGTTAAAATCTTTTACATACACTTATCTAAAGGAATTGCCTACACCTCCTGAGATTTCTGGGAGGTTGCTATTCTATAAATGGCTCACAGGGATGCTTTTAGTACCCCCAGAAAGAGGCTTCAGGCACTCACTGGGTTTAAGGCGTAAATCCGTGTAATTGGATCATCACATACATAGCAACGTTTTGACCTTGTTATGTAACATTTTTGGTTCTGGACTGGCTTTGTGATAGTCAGACTATTGTGTTGTGTGATATTTTAATTCTGTTTAGGATTCATGTGCACCCTATGTTGGGAATGTTTTCAATGCCTCTAAGGTGAAAGAGTTGTTTTAACCCATCTCTTATAAATTAGGAAGTATGAACTTCTGCTTTCCTTCAATTTATTTTTAAATGGTGCACCTTCTGCATGCTATTCTTTGCTAGAAATTCATTTAACCTCTCTACCTTCTATTTTCTAAGTGGCTAATTATTTTGGCAGTGTGTTTTACAACTGCTCTACCAATTCTCTAAAGAACTTTTCTTCCTCTTATACGATCATATTAATCATGGTATACATTGTTTTATAGATCACTGAGCTGGTGCACCAAAGGGACGTTACAAGAACTCTCATTAAAAACAGGATTGACAACCCAAAGTCCTTTGAATGGCTAAGTCAGATGAGATTCTACTTTGATCCTAAACAGACAGATGTTTTGCAGCAGCTTTCAATTCAGATGGCAAATGCAAAGTTCAATTACGGCTTTGAATACCTCGGAGTTCAGGATAAACTTGTGCAAACTCCTCTCACAGATCGCTGTTACTTGACAATGACCCAGGCCCTGGAGGCACGACTTGGAGGATCTCCATTTGGTATGTACTATAAGAATACAATATTTCTATGAGGGTGTAAAGATAGAAACCTTTTATTTAAAAGTTGATTCTTTTGGTTTCTATTGTCTGTACAATTACTATATATTATACAGTGTACTACCACTGGAATGTTCTGTGCTGCTGAATAAACCTTTTCTCTCTGCAAATAGGCCCTGCAGGTACTGGGAAAACTGAGTCTGTCAAAGCCTTGGGACACCAGCTTGGCCGCTTTGTGCTGGTCTTCAACTGTGATGAAACATTTGACTTTCAGGTAAAAAATTCACCCCCTTATCCCGGTTTATATTGCAGAGTAGCAATTCTAGTTTTTTTTTTCTTATATGTGCTCTTGTAGAGGTTTGTTTAATCTCATTGTCATTGTCTCTCCTTTCAAGGCGATGGGTCGAATTTTTGTGGGTCTGTGTCAGGTCGGTGCCTGGGGCTGTTTTGATGAGTTCAACAGACTTGAGGAACGTATGCTGTCTGCAGTTTCTCAACAAGTACAGTGTATCCAGGAAGCCCTGCGAGAGCATTCCAATCCCAACCGTGACAGGAGTACGTAAAATGTTTGGTTTTTCTCCTGAACAATAGTGTGGTTAGAGCTCAAGGGTCCCTCGTTTAGTTTCTGCTGTAGAGGTTGAATAGTTAGGCTTGCAGCTGCATTTTGAATGGAACAAGTATTGCATTTTAGCTGCATCTCCATCAGTCACATTCGCAAGTGAATGTGACAGTCGCTCAGAGTGCCCCAACATGTAAACGAAAAAAAAAAAGCTTAATCTGATTCCTATTTATTCCTACAAAATGCCTGGAAGTCTTGAAACGTTCAAACTCATAAGATGTTTGTGCACGTCTTCAAGAATGCTTTGCTCCCAAACCCTTAGCAGAAACTGCTTGCACAAGCTGGATTGTTAACGATAAAGGACAGACTTCTGATTCTGTGTTTCATAGCAGAGTAGCCGTTCATTTCAGCTTATAGTGTGAATACTTTATTAAGCAAGTATGAGCAGACACTGCTTACTAGCCTTAATGTTTACTGATCCCTATTAACAAAAATAAGCTGCATTCCTATGTCTTTAATATTTATATATGTTGTAAAAATGTTTGATTCAAATGAGAAGCTTGGAGTTCCCGTTGTGTAACTACAGTTATACACAATTCAATGATTTTTTTTATTTTTTTTTCTCTCTAGCACTTACGATTACTTGTGAACTGCTGAACAAGCAGGTGAAGGTCAGTCCTGATATGGCCATCTTCATCACAATGAATCCTGGATATGCTGGTCGATCCAACTTGCCTGATAACTTAAAGAAGCTGTTCCGAAGCTTGGCCATGACAAAGCCTGACCGCCAATTGATAGCACAGGTCATGTTGTACTCCCAGGGCTTCAGGACTGCAGAAGTGCTTGCCAACAAGATTGTCCCATTCTTCAAGTGAGTTTCTATGAGGGCCCCTCCTTTTTGTATTAATATGCTGGCTTTAATGTTTTCTCGTATATCACGGAGGATGGTATTAACTCCATGTATCTCTGAGCAGCGCTTAGTTTAGTAAACTCTGCACCCATATTTGTTCTTTGTATTTCATCTGTCTTATTCCCCTTTGCCTGGTAAGCAGGACTCTCAGAAACTACTTGTTCTGTAAAGTGCATTAGTTTACTTTAAATGGTATTAAAATATAAATTTTTGTCCCTCCAGGCTGTGTGATGAGCAGCTTTCTTCTCAGAGCCATTATGATTTTGGTCTGAGAGCTCTGAAGAGTGTCTTGGTCAGTGCTGGCAACGTGAAACGAGAGAGAATCCAGAAGATCAAGAGGGAAAAAGAGGAACGTGGAGAATTTGCAGTGGAGGGGCAAGTTGCTGAGCACTTGCCAGAGCAAGAAGTAAGATCATTTATCTTTTAGGTTTGTTAATTATTCTAGAGAGAGAGAATCCCAGACATTCTCGATTCCCTGTAATGATTCTTTAATGTTATGTAATTTTGTTTGTTTATTTGTACATAACTGTACTCTTTCGTTGTTGATCCATATTATTATTATTATTATTTTTTTTTCCCCTTAGATTTTGATCCAAAGTGTTTGTGAAACAATGGTGCCAAAACTGGTTGCCGAAGATATTCCTCTGCTGTTCAGTCTTTTGTCTGATGTTTTCCCTGGCGTCCAATACCAGAGGGGTGAAATGACAGCCCTTCGGGAAGAGCTGAAGAAAGTATGCCAGGAAATGTACCTCACGTACGGTGATGGAGAAGAAGTTGGTGGCATGTGGGTGGAGAAGGTAAAGTGCAATTTATTTTCTCTCACATTCAAACTGGACGATGATGGATGTTCTCAAAGATTTTTTTTAAATTTATTTTCTCACCTTATAGGTACTACAACTGTATCAAATCACACAAATCAACCATGGTTTGATGATGGTGGGTCCATCTGGAAGTGGCAAGACAATGGCTTGGAGAGTCTTGTTGAAAGCTTTGGAAAGATTGGAAGGGGTTGAAGGGGTTTCCCACATCATCGATCCCAAAGCGATCAGTAAAGACCATCTATATGGCACATTGGACCCAAACACCCGAGAATGGACTGATGGGTTGTTTACACATGTTCTCAGGAAGTATGTCCTTCTGTAACGTCATTTTTTTTTATTTTTTTCTAACTATGTATAAAAGGTCATTTGAGAATGCCATAGGGTTTTATCTGTCTCACTGCATACTTAGTGTTTGTACACTACAGAAACACTCCTTGCTAACAGAAAACACACACCATGTCAATGCAAACTTCAGTTCATGGCTCTTAACAAGATGTTACTTATCACCTATATTTGTGATCGGTAACCTTTTTAAACATTTTACAAACTAAACATTAAAGCTGTTTAGCATTGTAAGACTTTGAATAATCTCTGGAAGTTCTCTAAATTTAAAAACGTTCATAAACTTGAGAATGAATTACCCCTCACTCTGTTCCCTCTTTAGGATTATAGACAATGTCAGAGGTGAACTACAGAAACGACAGTGGATTATATTCGATGGTGATGTAGATCCAGAGTGGGTAGAAAACTTGAATTCTGTTCTGGATGATAACAAACTTCTAACTCTTCCCAATGGAGAACGTCTCAGCCTCCCACCAAATGTAAATATATGAATTGGCAAACTTTTTTTGCATTGTTCAGCTATTTTTGCTCAGCGTTCCAACATTGATTTTTATTTTTTAGGTGCGTATTATGTTTGAAGTACAAGATCTGAAGTATGCTACTTTGGCCACGGTATCCAGATGTGGCATGGTCTGGTTCAGTGAGGATGTCTTAAGTACAGACATGATCTTCAACCACTTCCTGGCCAGAATGCGCAGTATCCCTCTGGATGAGGGAGAAGATGAGGCCCAGAGAATGAGAAAGGGCAAAGAAGATGAAGAAGAATCTTCCTCCCCAATGCTTCAGGTACAAAAAAACTTAAAGGTAAACAAAGATGGTCTAGGAAAGTGTAGTGGGAATTCGAGTTACAGATTCAAATCTGTGCTGACCCAAAAAAGAAAAATCTTCTTCTATAATAAATACACACCCTTTGGCACTCATTAAAGGGGCCCGGTCACTTACTCCAAAATGAGTATGAGTAAGGGACTACTTTGTTTTGGTATATTCCCTACACTTGACAAAACTTCACGGATGTCTCACCTATGGTCGTCAAGTTCTGTCATTTCCCCCGGCTGTCACTAGTGACGGCTTTAGAGAAAAGGCATGAGCTAAAGTACAACACTAACATGCACTCTTGGCAGATGAAGTGCCAGGAACTGTAGAGGACCAACTGGATGAATATGGCAGTGGCCAATAGGGACGGGTTCAGGTAAATAAAAGTTGCCTATCTCTGCATATCAATCAGAGCAGCCACCATTGGGGTTCTTTATATAATACGCAAAGATCTGAGCGGCTTTAATGTGAATGGATGGGGCTATAGTAATATTATAGAAGGCATCCAGCTAGCAACTATATTTAGATGCTTTACATACAGGGTGCACTTATTCAGGGAGTACAATAAATGTGTGTTACATGCCCCTACTTAAATTAGAGGAATTTCAATGTGTTTTCTTCCTTCTGGAATAATTTATAAATAAGTTGCCCCCTACTGGTCATATATGGTACTGAAGGCAAATTGACAGTCTCCCTTGATTGCATGCAGGTGGAGGTACTGCACATGGGGAGAGCCTTTCCCCATAATTTTTTTTAATTTTTTTATTTTTTGTTTGCCACAGATCCAGAGGGATGCTGCAACTGTCTTGCAGCCATATTTCACTTCGAATGGACTGGTCATCAAAGCTCTTGAGCATGCTTTCAAGCTGGAGCACATCATGGATCTAACACGTCTACGCTGCCTGGGATCTCTCTTCTCCATGTTGCACCAGGCTTGCCGCAACATTGCCCAGTACAATAACAACCATCCTGATTTTCCAATGCCAATTGACCAGCTAGAACGCTACATACAGGTAACTGCATGTGAAACAAAACAAAAACATTTCTCTGTTAAGTTTGGTGGAAAATTGTTTTGAATTCTAGACTATGTCTATTTTTGTTTTCATTGACGTTTAATTGTGTTTTTGTCTTTTCAGCGTTACCTCATTTATGCTGTTCTTTGGTCATTTTCTGGTGACGGCCGTCTGAAAATGAGGGCTGAACTGGGTGAATACATCCGAAGGATAACCACCATACCCCTTCCAATTGCACCCAACATCCCAATCATTGATTACGAGGTATCACATAGTATCTCTTTTTAATCTTTTCCCCATTAAGAGTGACCTTGATTAGATAAATTATTTTTTTTTATTTTTGGGTGAGTGGGTGTAAGCTTTAATATTGCTTCTCAGATCCAAATTTACTATGTGTTCTAAAATAGTTTGTGTAGGCAACTTACTAATTGACATGCTTACGGTAATCTTTCAGGTATCTATCAGTGGTGAATGGGTGCCTTGGCAAGCCAAAGTCCCTCAGATCGAAGTGGAAACCCACAAGGTTGCTGCCCCCGATGTTGTCGTGCCGACTCTGGATACAGTTCGTCATGAAGCTTTGCTGTACACATGGCTGGCAGAACACAAACCACTAGTCCTCTGTGGTCCTCCTGGATCTGGAAAAACCATGACTCTGTTTAGTGCGTTGAGAGCACTCCCTGATATGGAGGTAAACTTGCCGTCCTATTATGTCCAATCCCATGCATTCAATTTTACGCATTTATTTTTTATTTTTTATTTTTTTGTATTCACTCCAGGAAGGGGCTTTTGAGAAACCTCCTGAAAACATGACCTGGGTTATTGTGTGTTCATACATTTTTCACCATGTTACAAAATGGTTATACACCCTTGAGAATGTTGCTCTTTTTGCTGTTAATGCAGCAATACCTTTAAGCTGAATGGCAGAATTGTGGGAAATGCATGTTCTGGTGTAAATCTTTTCTTATTTATTTTTTTTTTACTCATTAACAAACCAATTGTGGCATTTCTTTAGACTATAAATGCATTGTATATTTGTTTTTGGCAATTGTAATATTAACTCTGATTATTTAAGTCAAAGCTAGAATGAAGTAGATTTTTTTTCCCCTCTCTCTCAATATCCATATTGTCATAGGTTCGCTCTCTCTTTCATTTGAATTCCTGTGTTGTGTAGGGCATACTATATGATCGTGCATGTACACTAGCTCTGCTAGACATGTATTCATTATCACCACTTTACTTGCAGGTCGTTGGATTGAACTTCTCCAGTGCCACCACACCAGAACTTCTCCTTAAAACCTTTGATCACTACTGTGAATACCGCCGAACACCAAACGGTGTAGTTCTGGCACCTGTTCAACTTGGGAAATGGTTGGTGCTCTTCTGCGATGAAATAAATCTTCCGGACATGGACAAATATGGCACACAGAGAGTTATATCTTTCATCAGACAGGTATCGCACATTGTTTGGTGCATTTGCTTGTGGCTGTACCTTGTTCTCCATTTGTTCTAGGTCATTAATTATTGTATATGTTTAATTTAGATGGTTGAACATGGAGGCTTTTACAGGACCTCTGATCAAACGTGGGTGAAACTGGAAAGGATTCAGTTTGTTGGTGCTTGTAACCCACCGACCGACCCTGGAAGAAAGCCTCTGTCCCACAGGTAGTGACCAATTTAGATTTGTCATTAACTAATCCTTTTGAAGCTATAACTGGTGATGTTTCAAAACAGTTGTTGTAAATTTCATTTAAAGATATGAAGGGAATCAACACAGTAAAGGAGGAGACTATATTTAAAAGAAGAAAAACTACCACAACAAGAGGACATAGTCTTAATTTAGAGGGACAAAGGTTTAAAAATATCAGGAAGTATTACTTTACTGAGAGGGTAGTGGATGCATGGAATAGCCTTCCAGCTGAAGTGGTAGAGGTTAACACAGTAAAGGAGTTTAAGCATGTGTGGGATAGGCATAAGGCTATCCTAACTATAAGATAAGGCCAGGGACTAATGAGAGTATTTAGAAAATTGAGCAGAATAGATGGGGCGAATGGTTCTTATCTGCCGTCACATTCTATTTTTCTATGTTTCTATCTATGTAATTACCTAAAATGAGATCTCCATGGCATAAATATTACTTGTGACCTTCGTCTACGATTAATACCAAATTATAGCGAAACATCTTTATTAAAGTTGACCCTTTTCTCCTGGTTAACGCTAATAAAGCTGTTTCTCTATAATTTGACAATCCTAGATAAAGGTCACATGCTGTATGTAATATATATATGCCCATTGGAATCTCATTTTAGCTTGTTTTGCTTGTAGTTTTTTGGTTGTTTATTTTTAAACCCCACTCATCATGAAACATAGTTTTGCATTTGTTTGTGTTTTTCCTTGATCTATTAAATGCATTTATTGTACCATGGGAGCTTACACACCCCTTCCATAAGTATACTAAATATATTATTCCACTTTCTAATAACATTGTTTTTAATAACTTTCTGTTTTGTATTTTAGATTCTTGCGTCATGTACCTGTAGTTTATGTAGATTATCCAGGTCCAGCATCATTGACTCAGATCTACGGAACATTCAACCGCGCAATGCTGCGACTCATTCCTTCTCTGCGCACGTACGCAGAGCCTCTGACTGCAGCTATGGTAGAGTTTTACACAATGTCACAGGTATGTTTTATAATATGAAGAAGGGAATTACTCCATGAACAGATGGAGTGGTGGGTTCTAATTAAGTAAGCATACTTGTGGATTTGTTTATGAAAAAATAGTTAGAAATGACAAATTATTTTTTGAATATGAATGGTTTAACACGGTTATTTAATATTAGGAGAGGTTTACCCAAGATACCCAGCCCCATTACATCTACTCGCCCCGTGAAATGACCCGTTGGGTGAGAGGTATATTTGAAGCACTGAGACCGCTTGAAACGCTTCCTGTGGAAGGATTGATCAGAATTTGGGCACACGAAGCCCTTCGACTCTTCCAAGACCGGTATAGAGTGCATTCTTTCTTATTTGTGTACATTGAAGTTGGTTATTTTTTTTTTTTGCTGCCATAAACTATTAATACACAATATTTTGTTTAAATTAGACTTGTTGAAGATGAAGAGAGACGCTGGACAGATGAGAACATAGACATTGTGGCTCTGAAACACTTCCCTAACGTGGAGAAGGAAAAAGCATTGAACAGACCCATTCTGTACAGCAACTGGCTCTCAAAGGTGCACTATGTCGTGATTTGGATATTATTTATTGCCCCCCCCCCCCATGAATAAACAAAACCTTCTTGCATGTACCGGAGTCAGTTTGCAGTAACAACTCTTTCCTTGTAGGATTATATACCAGTTGAGCAGGAAGAGCTGAGGGATTATGTAAAAGCACGTCTGAGAGTCTTTTATGAAGAAGAGTTGGATGTGCCACTTGTACTGTTCAATGAAGTTCTGGATCATGTCCTGAGAATCGATCGGTAAGATTAAGATGGAATTAACTATGGATCATTTACCAGCAAAAACAGATATAAAGTCATTACAAATTGTTTGCTACTGTGGAAATGTATTCCTCATACTGAAACCACACCAAATGATCTGTGATCGTCCCCTTTCCACCAGCTTACAGGAATGTGGGACCTCTCAATACCCTCTACCTGCTCTGTTGCAATTTGCATACCTGAATATAGCCGTACACATTATCACGTGAATTATTATTCTATATTAATATGGGACTGTATTAACTAAAACAAAAGGTGCTTTAAAATCTAATCCTATTCGGAAATTCTCACCAGCCATATACTCTCAAATCCAATTTTACGGTTTTATTTATATGATTTCATAGCTCTGTTGTAGCTACTTATGCATGTATCATTAAATATTACGTTTTCTGTAAAATTTAATATGCCTAAAGCCACGAAAATTAACGGTTTATACCACCAGAAATTCTTCATTTCACATGTCACACCTATCTAGTCTGCAACGTATTTATTTCTGCAAATTGATAAACCCTCAAACTTTTTTTTTCTCGTAAAGTATTTTCAGACAACCACAGGGTCATTTACTGCTCATTGGAGTGAGTGGGGCAGGGAAGACTACCCTTTCACGTTTCGTTGCTTGGATGAATGGTCTCAGTGTCTATCAGATCAAGGTAGTAACATTTATGCAGACAAACCATTTGATTATGCTCTGCAATAATCAGAGGTAACCAAACTTGTGTGTTTGAATAATTCAGGTGCACCGCAAATACACTGGTGAAGACTTTGACGAAGATCTAAGAACAGTACTGAGGCGTTCAGGCTGCAAGAACGAAAAGATTGCTTTCATCATGGACGAATCTAATGTCTTGGATTCAGGGTTCCTGGAACGCATGAACACATTGTTGGCCAATGGAGAGGTAAGGTGTTTATATATCCTTTGTAACTATTGTGAATGGAATTCTCGGATCAGTGTTGACTGCTCTTTTAATCATATCTAGGTTCCAGGTCTGTTTGAGGGTGACGAATATTCAACCTTAATGACACAGTGTAAGGAGGGAGCCCAAAAAGAAGGTTTGATGCTGGATTCTCATGAAGAATTGTACAAATGGTTCACTAGCCAAGTTATACGCAATCTTCATGTTGTCTTCACCATGAATCCATCATCAGAAGGTCTGAAAGATCGAGCTGCTACATCTCCAGCTCTCTTTAACAGGCAAGTTTCAAAAGTGTTTAGCACTTATTGTATTTGGCGTGGCCTGGAATGTGTAAATGTCTGATATTGTAGTAAACCCATTGCATAACTCTTTTCTGTATTTTTAAGGTGTGTTTTGAATTGGTTTGGTGACTGGTCGAATGAAGCACTCTATCAAGTCGGCAAGGAGTTCACAAGCAAAATGGACCTTGAAAAGCCAAACTACATTGTGCCAGACTACATGCCTGTGGTTTATGATAAATTGCCGCAGCCACCTTCTCACAGAGAAGCAATAGTCAACGGCTGTGTGTTTGTCCACCAAACTCTTCATCAGGTAAAATTACTTCCTTTCCTTCTCCAAATATAAAAAAAAAATTCCTGTCCTGTGTGATTGAAATTGGTAAAGTTAGTAATGCTGTTGCAATAAAAAAATAATGTGCTTTGGTTATTTTATTATATGGCTTGCACACAAACATTCAATGTGTGTGTTAATTTTCAGGCCAATACAAGACTTGCAAAGAGAGGAGGGAGGACCATGGCCATTACACCACGTCATTATTTGGACTTCATCAACCACTATGCCGATCTGTTCAACGAGAAACGCAGTGAGCTGGAGGAACAGCAGATGCATTTGAATGTTGGTCTGAGAAAAATCAAAGAAACTGTGGATCAGGTATATACAGTGCACAAAAAAAAAAACAACCCAAAGATGGGCTTTTCAACATTATGGCACATAATAAATCTGTAACTAAGGTTTTTTTTTTTTTTTTTTTTTTTTGTTTAGGTGGAAGAACTGCGTCGGGACCTGCGTATAAAAAGCCAGGAGCTAGAAGTAAAAAATGCAGCAGCTAATGACAAACTAAAGAAAATGGTGAAAGATCAACAGGAAGCTGAGAAGAAAAAGGTAACTTGTTTTGTGATTGGACATTGATATACAAGATGTTACTCCAAGCAATATAACTACGTTAGTTTGCTGAAGTGATTATAGTGCATCGGCTCAGTTGATTTAATTCCACCTTCAGCTCCTGTCAATCATCTATCCATAAAAATAGATCCAGGCTGTCACACCGATTGTATCCAACCTTTCTATGCGGCTTCAACATGCTGTAGGCACAAATTGGCCCTTCTATGGGGCCATGCCAAACCACAGGCCATGGCTCTGTCAAGCGCAAACGAACAACCGTGATTAATCCTCCATTACTTCTCGGTTGCTCGGCTATAAATTATAACGGTTTCAAATTTGCTGAATGTTGATTAAAGCGCACAAATTAACACTTGTTCCAAACTGCAAAGGTCACTCAGAGTGCTCCGATTACAGCAAAAGGCATTTCTACAGTATTACAAAAATTTGCCTGTATTTTTTTAAAAGTTAACAAAATATCCCAGAGAAAAGGAGGCACGCTTTGGCTTAAAATTGATGGACTGGTAGAAACTTCTTGTGGCACTGGTTATGATCAATGCCCAAATGTTGAGTGGAACTGCTTTTTGGTCTGAATTACTTATCCTGTAAGCCTCTGCTGGGGAAGAGATTTATGGGATGAGCCTCTTCCTGATGAGGGACAGGTACGGATGGAATTTTCCAGGTGTATTATTATTACTTTCTATTGCATTAAAGGAACACTATTTATACCCCATTGTTTCCCACTACCTCTTTTTAGTAGTGTGTAGGCAGAGGTTCTAATGTTGCGTCCTCAACTTATTCCTTCCTATAGGTAATGAGCCAGGAGATCCAAGAACAATTACACAAACAGCAGGCCATCATTGCAGACAAACAGATGAGTGTAAAGGAGGATTTGGACCAAGTGGAGCCTGCGGTCATTGAAGCTCAAAATGGTATATTTTTATAGACATTCTAATAACTGCAGAACTCACTGACAACTGGGATGGTTAATCATTTGTATTTAAAGGTTCCGGAGTCTATTCTTCACTTGGAAGGATAGCTGTGCATTTTGAGACCATTCCATGAATAAAGAGCTAAACTTCACTGGCTTTAAAAGGGCTACAGTACAGATAACTTGCGATAATTTAAATGTTATTTGTTGGCTGAGTACTGTCTTAGTTGCTAGTGAAAACAGGACATTTTTCAGTGTCTTTTTTTTTTTTTGAAAAGCTTCTATTGTGCTTTGCTGTTTGGTGGGGCAGGATGGACATTGTAGTGTTTTTATCTTTGATAATCCTCTACATGTTCTATTGCGGTTTTTTTATTGTTTGTTTATTTTAAAAGACATTGGTTTTGCACAGACACAGCTTTTACATGGAGTTCAACAAGTCAGGGACTTGTCAAACTGAAAGCTTTTAGCCCAGTGAAAAAGGTGTGTGGGATAACAAGCAATTGGTTAAAAAAAAAAAAAAAAAATCTTTCCCGAGATACAATGTGATGATCTACGCCTGTCTGCTAACAAACATGACAGCTGTGATTAATGTTACTTTGGAAATCTCATGGCACTTCATAAAAAGTGTGGTTCGAGTCCATATTTTTCAGTTTTAAAATAAGATAAAGATGTGACTTTAAAGGAACACTATAGGGTCAGGAACACAAACATGTATTCCTGACCCTATAGTGTTTAACCCACCATTTAGGTGGCTTGCCTCTCTGCTGCCCCATTAAAAGTTGTTAAAACTCACCTTATTTCCAATGTCTCCTGGGCCTGCCGGTGCTGGCCCCGCCCCTTGGTGACATCAGAATTCCTGCTTTTTAGCCAATCCAATGCTTTCCTGTGGGGAAAGCATTGGATTGGATAAACTCTGCAAGGGGGCGGGGCCAAACACTGTTTTAGCCAATCCACACATCCTCATAGAGATGCATTGAATAAATGCATCTCTATGAGGAAAATTCAGCATCCCCACGCTCTGAACGGCAGAGCTGCCTACTGTGCAGCACTGAGCCAGGAGGCACCTCCAGTGGCCATCTAAGGAGGGGTCCATAGGGGCAATGTAAATACTGCCTCTTGTCTGAATAGGCAGTGTTTGCATGAAAATGCCTTAAGGGAACTATTATACTCACCAGAAAAACTACATTAAGCTAGTGTCGCTTTAAGTAAGAACCAGATGGCCTTTTTGCCATACCAACAGATGTAAAAAAAAAAAAAAAAATTTTAATTACTCTTATCTGTATTATAAATGGAGATGGTTATAGTATGTGTTTAAATTGCATGTTTTATACTGTCATCAAATGAATTCTCTAATTAAATTTCCCTACTGTCTTTTTCTTTGTGTTTTTTTTTTTTTTCCCCTTTGTTTCCTCATTTCTCTCTGCTCTGTGATTGATCCAATTTGATCACGATTGTTAGCTGTTAAGTCAATAAAGAAGCAACATCTGGTAGAGGTCCGTTCTATGGCTAATCCACCAGCAGCAGTGAAACTGGCACTAGAGTCCATCTGTCTGCTGCTGGGTGAGAGCACCACGGACTGGAGGCAGATTCGGTCCGTCATTATGAGGGAAAACTTCATCCCAACTATTGTAAACTTTTCCGCTGAAGAGATCAGGTGATTAAATGAATTGCGTGCAACCACTGCTGAGGGTCGAAAGCAATTGTTCATAATGGATTGTCAGATTTAATTAATTTCTTTAGTGCGGGGTGGGGATTGAAAGCTCAGAATATAAATTGAAATGGCCTTGTTTAAGATTAATCCATACATTCTGTAGTTCCCATTGATCTATTGGCCCTGCATCAAAAGGTAGAATTCATCCAATCTGTGCCAAAAAAAAAATCAGCTTAGCAAGGTTATTTACTAAAGTGTAAATTGTCTAGAATTGTGAAGAGAATTTCTACTTTTAGGCCACAATATCCAAAACTGAGAATTCTGACCTAAAATTTTAAGTTCACTTTGAATTACTGCTAATTCACACTTTGCCCTAATCACTGACAAGGATGAGATAAACCAATCAAAACCTTGTACTACATAAGCCCAATGATTGCTACCATAATAAAGGAATCTTATGTCCTCGAACTCGAATTGCTTTCACGGTCGCCAGCAGTGGTTTGAGAATGTACTAACACATGCATGTTAATACTGTTTTCACCTTCTAATAGCGGTGAGTTCTATAAAAAGACAGCACCTTGTTGAAGTTAAAGCAATGGGAAATCCTCCTGCTGCAGTAAAACTGGCCTTAGAATCTATCTGTCTTCTTCTGGGGGAGGAGACGAGTGACTGGAAAAAGATCAGGACAGTTTTTCTCAGGGATAATTTCATCACCAACATTATCAACCTTAATGCTCTGGATTTAAGGTATTTACAGTGCAGCTCAGTCCCTTTGGCCTGTTTATTTGTCATGGTGAAGACAGATACTGTCCATTTCAATTTCTTAAAGTGAACCAGTCATTGGGGAAAAAATAAAAGCCATTGTTGCATCAGTTCAAGCAAAATTATGGATCTACACGTTGTGTTAAAAAAAACTTGTGTGTTTAAGTTTCGAGCTGCTGGTCATTTGGCCATGACACATGCATGGCAATCAGTGACCTGCCTTAACATGTTCTATTGGCTGATTAAAGCAGTGGTAACATCACTGCTTTAGAACTGGGAAACGAAGGTTTGAATCCTGTAGAGTTGAATACCATAGATTGGAAGCTTGGTTGAGCTGGAACTTCCTCACCCCTTTCTCTAATTGTACCGGACTGCGGATTATGTTGGCGCCCTATAAACTACGTTAAGGCAGGACTAACATTTTTCTGTCACTTGCTAGCCATTAGCCATGAAAAATGTTGCATTAACCCCTTCCTTCCTCCTGTCTTTGATAGCAACATCATATTGTGACCATTGCCACAGCTCATATCTGCATTTCCCAGGAGCGTAGTTTAAATCTTTCAGAACTAATAATCTGCTCTGTCCCCTTAAACCCTACCCCTGCTTTCTTCTCCTACCTACCACAGAGTCACTTTGGCAGTGCTAGTACTGGATTAGAGGTTATAGGAGGTGGGAACAGCCCACTCAGATAGGGTGGGAGCTTCCCAGAAATGCTCTTGTGCACCATGCTGGAAAGGTGAATAGTGTGTCGGGATTCCAGCTACAGCCAGTTTAGCTCTTTTAACATGTCCGTTATATTCTAGTACAAAGCGGCAGAACAAATTATATAACGTATTAAGTTTATTAAGGTGGGTTTGTAGTGCGGGTGCATACGCTACATCTCCATAATCGGTAACCGGCATTGGCATTTGTTGCACCTGTTTCCTTACTGTAGGGCTTAGGCAGGATTTGTTTCTGTACAGGGCACCTAGTTTGGGGTAAAGTTTTGAAGAGATTTTTTCAATGTGAAAACCAAAGGATAGATTGGGGTCTAGCAACATACCTAGATATTTAAAGGAACAGACTACTGTCAGTGTGCTATTTGATTTTGTTCTGATACAAAATGGTTGATTTTGTAGTTTACATAATTTAGTTACAGATCCAAAGATCATTGTAACAGTTTTGTCAGTGTTTAGGAAGAGTTTGTTATCCGCTATCAACTTTTCTACCTCTGTGAATTGGTTTTGGAGCACAGCCTCAAGCTGTGGTAGTTTGGGTTTATTAGCGTAGATTAGTGTCGTTTGCATACATGTGTACAGTTGAGGATTTGCAGACATTAGGCAGATCATTTATAAATAATGTGAATAGCAGGGAGCCGAGTAATGGAGCCTTGGGGAACACCACACGTGGCTGGAAGAAGGAGGGAAGCGCCATCAGAAATGGCCACATATTGCAATCGAAACCAGGTTAGCGTACAATCACCAATGCCTAAGTTTTTGCAAAAAAATGCCATGGTCTACTGTGTCAAAGGCCTTGGCAAAATCAAGGAAAATAGCTCCAGTTAAGTCTCCTTGTTCCATGCCAATTCGGATGTCATTGCAAACTTTTAAGAGGCCAGTCGAAGTTGAGTGATTTGGACGGAAGAAGCCTGATTGGTCAGCGGTCAGATAATTTGATAGTTGATGATATTCGCATAGTTGCGTGTGGACGCATTTTTCCAAGATTTTTGACACTACCGGGAGCAATGATATCAGGCGATAGTTAGATACCAAAGTATTGTCACTACTTTTATAGCTCTGTACTACTCTTGCAGTCTTCCAAAGTTTGGGTATGTATCCTGGCACCAGGGATTCAATGATAAGGGTAGTGACAGGTTTAGCAATTGCTGGCACACTGAGCTTCAGCAACACTGCTGGGATTTGAGCTGGTCCACACTTGTTTTTCATTTTTAAATTATTAAGATGTTTATTAACAACACTAACCTGCACAGGTCTAAAATTGAACTTTTCTACATGAGGATTTTGAAGATTTGATCTTTATTTGAGGTCTGAAAATGAGTGTAATTTGTTATCTTAAAGCGGTACTGTCATGGCTGAATCCTATTGTTTTTTTTAAACCCACCTCCCGACTCCGCTACATCTAACTGACCCTTTAGTTGCCCCTAAGCAATAATATTTTACCTATTTTTTTTTTAATCTTTATTTTCTGCCCCGATCTATTTTCAGGGCGCCGCCATCTTTGTGTGGGTAGATTAAGTCCCTGTAGGACACGTCATCTGCCCACACTAGACAGACTGTGAGATTCCTGCACATGCCCAGTGAAACACTTGGGCATGTGAACGGGAATTTCATCTATTCATTCGTCAGAAAGACGAATGAATGACTAGAAATTTCAGACGGACAAACAAACACTGAATATCAGTGTTCGTTTGTTCGTTCAGTTTACTACAAGGAGGTAGCTACCGGCGCACAACCATAAGGGGGACCAATTGTCCTCTCGTGAGCGGCGGGTGGGGGCCCTAAATGAAAATTCCCCACTTCCAAGGTGACCAGGGGTCCCCAAGCCCCTAGTCACCCTTTCTCCCACCCACCCAACCAAAAAAAAAATGTATTCCCTACCTACTCCCCTCACCCTAAAAATAGTGACGGGGGAATAAAATAACCTGTAAAGAAAAATAAAACTTACCATTTGATGTCTTCTTTTTTTCTAAAATCTTCATTTTTCAGCCCCAAGAAAATCCAAATTAAAAACCATCATACCTGTCGAACTTGTTAAAAAAATAAATAAAAAAAAACACAGACAAAAAAATGAATCCATCTTCACCCGGCGAGGGCACGGCGCAGACTGAGCTCTGCAGGCCGGGGGAAGGCTTATAAAGCCTTGCCTCGTCCTGCAATTGGTTATTTCCAAATAACTGGGTTATTCAAAGGGAATTTCAAATGTCATGCCAAAGTAGCAAAACTGAAAGCATCTCTACCTTAGACAATGCTTCCAGTTCTTTTGACCTTGAATTTAAAAATTCACTTTGAATTCTCCCTTTAGTGAGTAACCCTGAATAACACCGTAAAGCTGCCTTGCAGTTTGTCACAATATGTGGATCAAATCCATCATTAAGCAGGTGCAACCATATATTTTGTGGATGACTGGGCACTTTACAATTGAGCTGTCCATCTTTTCATTCCTACCTTTGCTGTGAAAGCAGACAGTCCTTTAAAAAGACTAATATGAAATTATTTTAAATAATCCTTTTCTTCTTTTCCTTCAACCATATTCCCTCACCTTTCCAATCACTACAAATAGCGCAGAGCTTGAGGAGCCTTTCATATATGGTCCCATTGTGGTTGATCATCCTCACAGCACATGGGACATTTCTCCAATACCTGTCATAGTAATCGGAGTGGACAGCGATGTTGTAAATTGGTTTGTTCAACCAGGTTGTCTCTTTAAAATAAGGAGCATGTCACTCCGTTAGGCTAGAGATTTTAAGTGTTCACGTAAAAGATAATTATGTAGAAATTGTCCCAAATAATTAGCTTGATCTAGATTTGCTGCAGTGTAATATTGCTGCATGAATAATGAAATCACAGGACTAATCCATCGAAATACCTAGCAACAATTCTAATAGAAACTTATTTTTTTGCTGTATATATTTTTTTTCTCTTCCAGTGATGCCATCCGGGAGAAGATGAAGAAAAACTATATGTCCAATCCAAATTTCAATTATGAGATTGTAAACAGGGCTTCGCTGGCTTGTGGTCCCATGGTAAAATGGGCTATTGCACAGGTATGTTGTAATGTTCTAGACACATGTTTTCATTGTTTTTTTGTTTTTGTTTTTTGTTATACACTTTTACATGCAATATTCTGTAGCATTGTACCTTTTAGTGCACAACAAGGCTTAATCAAAAAGCACCATGTCCACTTTGTCTCCAAAAGTTACTTGTAGAACATACCCAGAAAGTAGGTCCTGTTAGAAATAACACCATAAAGATGGGTGCATGACCTACAAACAGTCATTACTGTTCTAGAGGGTCTGTAAGTAATAATTTGACATTCCTGATGTTGTGGACTTTTTCTATCCAACAGGCAAAATTAGGATCTTTGTAAAAGCAGTTAGAATTTTGTAGTGTCACAGGTTAGCCCTCAATGGTTTCTTGCTAAACCTCACAGCTTTTCATTGCCTACCTAATTTTTTTTTTTTTGTTGTTGTACCCTTCTCCTTGTGGTAATAGCTGAACTACGCAGATATGTTAAAACGTGTTGAGCCTCTCAGAAATGAGCTGCAGAAACTGGAGGATGATGCCAAAGACAACCAAGCTAAAGCTAATGAAGTGGAACAGATGATCCATGACCTGGAAGCCAGCATTGCGCGCTATAAGGAGGAATACGCTGTCCTGATTTCTGAAGCTCAGGCAATTAAAGCCGACTTGGCTGCTGTTGAAGCAAAGGTAAATAACATCCTTCCACCGGAATTGTTTAATAATATGGTTGGGACTTAGACTAGTTAATAGGTGCTGCAACTTCAAGATTTTTATTTATTTTTTCAATGAACTGCACACCTTTTATTTAGCTATTTAATGCATGCCAAGCCAACCATTCTTGGTGGAAGCAACTACTGTGTTATGGTTCGTTTCCCCAGTTTCCTATTCTGAAATCACGTATTTAGTGAACAATTTCTCCATCATTCGTGTCCTGATGTAGGTGAACCGCAGTACTGCCCTCCTGAAAAGTTTATCTGCTGAACGAGAAAGATGGGAGAAGACCAGCGAAACCTTCAAAAACCAGATGTCCACTATTGCTGGTGACTGCCTGCTGTCTGCAGCTTTCATTGCATATGCCGGCTACTTTGACCAACAGATGCGTCAGAACCTATTCACAACATGGTCTCACCATTTGCAGCAAGCCAACATCCAGGTGACTATTTCCACTTTTGCAAAAATATTTGGTGTCCCGTTTAAACAGCAGTTGTTAAAAATGGCCACCAGCAAGGACAGTCTATGTTCATGTCTTCTTTTCCTATAATGTGTTTTTACGGTTTGAGAGGAGTTTTTATTTATTTCTCACTTTTGTTATTTGGTATCGTCGTATAGATATGTGTTTTGTTTGTTTTCGGAAAGTGACTTTACTTAGAATATAGGTATTTTAAATATTCTTTTTGAAACAGAATGGTTATCCAGTTTCTTTTTTTCGAACCAATTAAAACCTATGCATTTGCAATATGCATGTGCACACACGCTACAGAAATGCAAAGCATTTAAAATAGAAAACAAAATCAGGATTCCAATTTGCAATCTTCTTGAAGATGGGTTGCTTGAATGACAGGGTACCTATAGAATAATGTAACAAAAAAGCCGTGTATGCCCATGTACAAAAACCGGCAAGTGGTTAGCGTTTCTTGGATAAATACAGGACTTCAATGCATGGACCTCATTGGCATACCATGTTGAAGACTTCTTCTAGATCATTGGTTAGACATTAACTCTTGACATGGATAAGCATACATGTTGTAACATCTTAGATAAACATTCCGTGCAGTTCGAATGGACCGCTGTCTGGTTTGGAATGTTAGTCTTTATTGGGGGTAGAACTCTGGCAAAGCTCTGCTCTACCTAGAAGAAAGACTTTGTGCAAGAAACCAATTTCACTCAGTCCTGACCGCATTAGGACTAAGGGCAAGCAAAGAAATGATTAGCAAGCCCTACTCTATTTATGCAAAATATTTCTGATATGCAACCAATGTAAACAAATATTTTTCCTTTTTTTTTTTCCCCATGCAGTTCCGCACAGACATTGCAAGAACAGAATATCTCTCCAATGCAGATGAACGCCTTCGCTGGCAAGCAAGCTCTTTACCCGCTGATGATTTGTGCACAGAAAATGCCATCATGTTGAAACGGTTTAATAGGTATACAGCCATCTTACATTTTGTTCCTTAAAGCAGCACGTGAGTTAACTGGTTAAGCTCGAAGAATAGGATTCGAAACCTAAATCTTTTTAATTAGCGTTGCAATAAATGATAAATTTCAGGTTTTATGAAGTTGATCGAATGTCTAGTGTACAAGCCAAGTGACTAGCAGAATGTAAATTCAATTTGAACACTTCTGTTTGTGTAGATATCCTCTGATTATCGATCCTTCTGGTCAAGCTACGGAGTTTATCATGAATGAATACAAAGATCGCAAAATTACACGTACCAGCTTCTTGGATGATGCGTTTAGGAAGAATTTAGAAAGTGCTCTCCGTTTCGGTAACCCACTTCTGGTGCAGGTGAATATGGTTTTATTTTTGGAATCTGTTCCCTCGTACTATCTTTCTATCTTTCTTAGCTTGTGTATATTTTACTATGTAATACTGCCTTTACTTAGGATGTTGAAAGCTATGATCCAATTCTGAATCCTGTACTGAACCGCGAAGTTCGTCGAACTGGTGGCAGAGTGCTGATCACTCTAGGAGATCAAGACATTGATTTGTCCCCATCATTTGTCATCTTCCTCTCGACCAGAGACCCCACAGTACGTAGCATTCTAAAAACTACTGCTTTAAATATTATGTCTGTTCTGTGCTTACCATGTCTTATTTTTTATTTTTAAGGTTGAGTTCCCACCAGACCTCTGCTCCCGTGTGACATTTGTAAACTTCACAGTAACTCGCAGTAGTTTGCAGAGTCAGTGTTTGAATGAGGTCCTTAAAGCTGAAAGACCTGATGTAGACGAAAAGCGATCAGATCTTCTTAAACTGCAAGGTACAGGCTGCTGAAAATGTCCAGCTTTGTAGTGATCTATTTTAAAATGCTTTAACTTCAACATTTGATGTGTATAAAATTCAGGTATTTTGATATTCGCTGATAAGATAGATAATTAAACATAAAGTATTTATTTTAGGAAAAGGTTCATTCTCTAAACCTGACTATTATCTACCTATCTGTGGATGTGTGTAGCTCTTGGAGTAAGTCCTCGGAATTATGGAGAATTAAAAAGGAAGTTACAATTTTTAAGCAAATGTATTTGAAAATGTTACCATTTCAGCTACATTGGCCTAAACTTTATAATCTAATCTCTAGTTTTCACAAGTATCTCAGAATTGGTGTCATTGGCTGAAAATGGTAAGCAGAACTTGAAAGTGTAGGGGTGTCAGTATTACAATTGGGGTTCCCATCTGGCAATAATTTAAAATGTACAAGTTAATTTGGCTATACATATACATATTGTGTAGAGTAAGGTTTCAATAAAATGTTCCATTTTAGACGATGCGGTTGGAGGTAAAAAAAGAAAGCTGGTTAGTGTTGAACATTTTTCTTACATATTATTGTGCCTTGGTCCAAAAAGGGTTAGGAATCCCTGGTCTACACAAAGCTGTGAGTTGGTTCAGGAACCACCGAGACTCGCACACAAAGCAGGCCCCTTAATGTAATCTAGAACTAGTCCTACAGCTACTATGCGAAATAATCTTCTTCTAGATTTATTTTGTTTTTGTACATTATATACAGCAGCACTGTGTTAAAATCCTAGCTTTTGCTGGTTTATGTAGACCAGTGATTGCGAACCTTGATACTACATGAGGACCAGATTTCTCAGGATTCTCATCCACTGTATAGGATGATTGAGCATCTTGGGAAATGTCCTCTGGGAACCTCGGCAATGCCAGGGTTAGCCATCATTGATGTATAAAATTTGAATCACAGTGAAGATGTTTCTAAAATGTGTTCCGCGTCATTTAGGGGAATTTCAGCTACGTTTACGACAGCTGGAGAAGTCCCTTCTCCAGGCTCTGAATGAGGTGAAAGGACGCATTTTGGATGACGACACAATTATCACTACGTTGGAGAACCTCAAGAAAGAGGCGGCAGAAGTCACTCGTAAAGTGGCAGAAACGGATATCATCATGCAGGAGGTGGAGACTGTATCTCAGCAGTACCTACCTCTCTCTACAGCTTGCAGCAGCATTTATTTTACAATGGAGTCTCTCAAACAAGTAAGGCTTGTATTAGTTTGTCATAAAACTCCTGTTACTGGGTGTGATTTATTAGAAGATGTTTTTTCTTTTTTTGTCGAGTTATACTGCCCAATTAATAAACTTTTTTGTTTTTTTTATTCTCCCAGATACATTTCTTGTACCAGTATTCATTGCAATTTTTCTTGGATATATACCACACTGTACTATATGAGAATGCGAATCTGAAAGGTACCACGGACCACACTCAGCGTCTCTCTGTGATCACTAAAGACCTCTTCCAGGTACTCTCGAATATTTGTAACTTGAATGGTTTACATAGTGGTTTGTTTTCTTCCTTCGGTAGAGTCTATGAAACCTAGCTTCCTTCTGTAGAGCCGATGAAGCTTGGCTTCCTTCTGTAGAGCCGATGAAGCTTGGCTTCCTTCTGTAGAGCCGATGAAGCTTGGCTTCCTTCTGTAGAGCCGATGAAGCTTGGCTTCCTTCTGTAGAGCCGATGAAGCTTGGCTTCCTTCTGTAGAGCAGATGAAGCTGTGATTTACTATTCTTCTATTTTGTCTTTAGGTTGCATTCAACAGGGTGGCGAGAGGAATGCTACACAATGATCACCTGACATTTGCCATGCTCCTCGCAAGAATAAAACTGAAGGGAACGATTGGGTAATTGTTATTATCTATGATTAAAACAAGGTGTCTGTGCTGTAGAGCCCCATCTTAACTGGAAGGGTTCAACACAGGAAAGAAACATAAATTAAACAGGAGTGCTTCGTGTCACTTGGTGACAAAATTATGCCCAGTGTGCCTGAAATCTGATCATTTGTGTCCTGCAGAACACGTTGTACGCTATTAAAGCAAATTCTGTAAAATATTATGTAGTTACTTAAAATGATATGATTCCTGTGCTTTCGCTTACATGTTGCTATGGTCTTGCAAAAACACATTGTACCATGATAATTTCTTGAATAAACTTCTGGTATTGTGTCTTGACTTGGCAACTTTCAGATCTGCTTAAAGGACCACTCTAGGCACCCAGACCACTTCAGCTTAATGAAATGGTCTGGGTGCCAGGTCCAGCTAGGATTAACCCATTTTTTTTATAAACATAGCAGTTTCAGAGAAACTGCTATGTTTATAAATGGGTTACTCCAGCTCTCAAATCCTCTAGTGGCTGTCTCGTTGACAGCCGCTAGAGGCGCTTGCGTGATTCTCACTGTGAGAACACGCAAGCGTCCATAGGAAAGCATTGTAAATGCTTTCCTATGCGACCGGCTGAATGTGCGCGCAGCCAGCCAAATGGGCGGAGAGGAGGAGAGCTCCCCGCCCAGCACTGGAAAAGGGTAAGTTTTTACCCCTTTCCTCTCCCTAGAGCCGGGCGGGAGGGGGACCCTGAGGGTGGGGGCACCCTCAGGACACTATAGTGCCAGGTAAAAGAGTATGTTTTCCTGGCACTATAGTGGTCCTTTAATAGACGGTGACATTTTAGGCAAATTTGGCCGTATTTCTAATACTCCCTGCAATACTGGTTGTCTAATCTCTCTCATTGTGGTATGTTTTGCAGCTCGTGTTTTATTAATTTTAAACTTTTTTTACTTTACCCAAGAGCACAAAATGGCCATCACAACTAACCACTGCCAGACAGCAACACATGTCCTCTCTTTCTCTCGAATTCCAATTATCTCTAATAAAATGCTGGATTTTTATTTTTTTTCAGTGAGCCTACTTATGATCTGGAATTCCAACACTTCCTAAGAGGACGAGAGATTGTTCTTGGATCATCATCCGTACCCAAAATCAATGGTCTTTCAGAGGAGCAAGTGGAAGCCATGATACGCCTTGGCAACTTGCCAGAGTTCAAGGACGTGATGGCAAAGGTCGAAGCAGATGAAGTAAGTGTTTAATGTTCAAGGCATTCCAGTGTGACTTCTTATTTATCTGGTTATCGAGCTAGGTAACTAATCTAATGTGTGTTTTGTAGCAATTCTGCATCTGGCTGGAGAGCAGCTCACCAGAACAGACTGTACCATACATCTGGAGTGATGAAAAGCCAGCAAGTAAGTGTTAACAAATCTGTGTGTGATAGTACATTGCGAACATGGAGCTCCTGGAGTATAGCAAACGATAGTCCATCATGTTTTTCATGTTTTAGCTGGATGTATTGATAAGTTACTGTAGAGTAGTGATTGCTACTATGTTTGCCATGATGCATTGCCAGAATGCCAAATATGATCCACCACTTTTGTAATGCTAAGGGTAACTACGGATTTGTCATTCTCTTTTGGAGGACCAATAGTTTGGGGTAATGTTTTAAGGGATTCAAATTAAAATGGTAAATTGCAAAGCAATCACTTACAAAAAACTTACAGCACTCTTTTAAAGAGTGCAAATGACCATGGTCCAGTGAAGCATATGTAGATGTTTCCAAACTGAAGGCAACACATCTCCGCAGCAGTTAATACTCACTCAATATTTTTACTGCTTATTTGCCTGGACTTGCAAGATAGAAATTGAGGCTAGTTACACCGGTCGCGTGGCAGCTAGTTTGGCAGTTTACTTGATAATTGTGCCACTGATGCACATTACATACTTGTGGCCTTCCTGATGAGTGTTTTTTTTTTCTAATTTGGATTTGTTTGTTCCCATTAGCACCTATTGGGCAAGCTGTCCGTCGTTTACTCCTTGTTCAAGCTTTCCGACCAGATCGCCTGCTAGCAATGGCGCACATCTTTGTATCTACAATCCTTGGCGATTCCTTTATGACAGTCATTGATCAGCCGCTGGACCTGGCACACATTGTGGACACAGAGGTATAACATCTGTCACTACCTCCCCATCTTACCTCTTTCCTTATTAAATTGGTATTTAAAAAAAGCTTTTGTGTAAAGAAACCGTTCCTGTTGCTAAACACAAGCTCAGGCTAACTTTGTGTCTAATCATCTTCCATCACAGTTTCTACTACTACTTATAGAAATTAAGAGCCTGTATGAGAGATACTCAGCGTATCCATATCAGCAGTTGACGGGTTTTAAGGCAAATTCCGTATCAGTTAAAGGTCACTTTGTTCAAAGCCATGTTGCTAGTGCATGAATTAAACTCTTTGGTAACATTTTCTCCTAATCAATATATACAGTTTGTGTAATTAACATAATTGAGACTACACACAGGGTGCAGTCAGAATTATGTTTCAAAGTGTTTTTAATATTTAGAATTTTCTGGACTTTATTAGTGATTACTGGTGTCGGGATTTGTTTAAAATACATTCACGGTTGCCATCTGTTTAGGTAAAACCCAGCACACCAATTTTGATGTGTTCTGTTCCGGGTTATGATGCCAGTGGACGTGGTGAAGACTTAGCAGCTGAACAAAACACCCAGATTACATCTATTGCTATCGGTAGGTGAACGTTCGTCAAGCTGAATGACATTCGTTAAGTTGTTACATGCCACAATCTAACCATTCGTTACGTTTTCTAGGCTCGGCCGAGGGTTTCAGTCAAGCTGAGAAAGCCATAAACACAGCTGTGAAGTCGGGCAGGTGGGTTCCAAACACATTAGACATTGTATAAATTAGAAGTTCTCTGGCAATCGACTACTCTTTTAAGCCCGAGTTACACAGAAAATCAATCATTCTCCCCAAGTTGGGTGGTTGAGTGCATGCAAAAGACATTATGTGATCCACAAATAACAAAGCCACACGTAAACTTTGATTGCACGGGGAGGTGATCAAAAAAAATGCAGATAGTCTGTACGTGTCTTGTTCTTTGCATCGTGAAATTAAATATAAGCTGCGTACCTAGTTAGAATTTTTTTTTTTTTTTTCCATTTGAGGGGAGGAGGCTAGTTTTCGATGTGTTGCATTTCAAGGACAAATATATAGCTGTACGAAGTATTGTATGGAATTTCCCCTTGCTGTTCTAAATGTCCATTCTTTGCTTTTCCCTAGATGGGTGATGCTGAAAAATGTGCATCTGGCCCCAGGCTGGTTGATGCAGTTGGAGAAGAAACTTCATTCCCTGCAGCCACATTCTTGCTTCAGACTTTTCCTAACAATGGAAATCAACCCTAAGGTAGGACTTGGCTTATTATACAGTCTGTTCCTTAGAGACCGTACTCAGTTAGCAGGAGCAAAGCTTGTAGAGCTGCAGGATGGCCTGTGCCAGCACAGGTTCCTTAAGAACTTGCTTTTCAGTGGCCTTTAAAAGCATGGCTGTTGCACGTGATATGAGAGTTGTGCTTTTTGATGTGTCTAGAAATGAATCTATCAAATGGTTTACAAATAGAATAAAATAATGTATCTCATCTGTTAGCACTACAGGCAAATCTGGGAGGATGCAGCGATTATTAAATATGCTATCACAGCATAGAGATTAAATTATTTGGAGGATAAAGCTTAAACTTGGTTATGACACCCTCTTAGTAAGAGCAAATTGAATGCAAATTCACATTTCTTTAAAATATAAACTTATAACGGTATGGCTCTGCCAAGCCGAAGCATTGGCTGACAGTGCCACATGCCCTCGAGTAAGGTACCCATGTCCCCCTAAGGACCTGCTGCTGCAACCCAGCACACCGGTACCAAGACAGAAAACGCTACTACAAATTAGTCAAAGATAATGATGGGTCAATTGTGGACTGTCTGCTAATGCTTAACTAAGATTTCTTAATAACTCGACTAGAGCTAGTTAAAGGTCACTTCTGATTACTAAGCATGCCCATAGTCCCCATCTAAGTCTCGTGTCCGGCATGCACGAGCCATTTAACCCCGTTATTACTCCTCTCGTATACCTGTCACTGAACGCACTGTATGCCCTGCTTGTTAAGATGATATGCCATACCACAAGCTATTAATGTTATAACTTGGATTGTACCTACGTTAAATTTTATTTCTTATGTTTATGCATCACTTAGTAGGCAAATGTTTACATAGTTAGCGATAGACCTGTAGCATGCACTACTCAAACTATTGGTTTGCATATATAAGTGCTAACACAGTCAGACATCTAGGTATATCTCCCCCACACAGTTTAGCTAGTTTAAGCGATCTACAAACTAAATGTGCAAGTTCTCTATATGCCATGTTTATGTTTACCAACCTATGATATTCGCGCTTGTGGGAGCTATTGTGGCTGTACAAGCACTGCTGTAATCTTACGCACACAAAAAATAAATAAATAAATAAACTTCTAGTACTCTCCACTGACAATGAAACCAGGGCTAGAAAAAGACCTCCCTCAGCAGTCTAGGATCTATGCTTTGTAGCCCTTTGGCAGAGTTTTGCTGTCTGTGTAGGGTATTTTAGGAAGATCCTTTAGTTACACCAGATTGTGTTCTATTACAGGTACCTGTGAACTTACTCCGTGCTGGACGCATCTTTGTCTTTGAGCCACCTCCTGGTGTGAAGGCCAACATGCTGAGGACTTTCAGCAGCATCCCTGTCTCCAGGATTTGTAAGGTGAGTACAAGGTTTAAGAAATAAATTACCTCTATAATGATGATAAACCCTTTAACCAACAAATTTTCTAAGGTATACGTATCCCACAAAATGTATTGATGATCAGGTAGATCTAAACGCTGCACTTGTAAATCACCAAGACGTTTATAGACTAATGGATATCGGAGGCTCGCTTCCTCATTTAAACGGACACCAGTCTTTCTACTATGCCACATGCAAATCATGGGGGCAGGATACTGTGTATGCATCCAGACAAACATGTATAGAATTGAATTCAAGGTACGGTTTGAATCACTGCTACTTTTTAAATGATTGCAGTTCATGGAGTAGGTTTCAGTGCTGCAACCTGATCTAGCCAAATAAGTTAATCACTAAAGCCAGTTCTGTATATCCATCACTCCTAAAAATGGTAGTATTAGCAAAATGGAACTTTTGGAATGGTTCTTTACCCTAAACTCCTACTTGTTTAATACCTTAGATTTTTGTTTATAGAAATGTTTATATTTGTATGCTTTGTTAGTTTAAAGAAATAGGATTTAAAAAAAAATGCAAATCATATTTTTGTCTTTAGGCTCCAAATGAGCGTGCTCGTTTATACTTCCTCTTGGCCTGGTTCCATGCTATCATCCAAGAGCGTCTGCGATATGCACCTTTAGGCTGGTCTAAGAAATATGAGTTTGGCGAATCTGATCTCCGATCTGCCTGTGACACTGTGGACACGTGGCTGGATGACACTACAAAGGTTAGGCATTGTAAAATAAATACTAGGAAGTATGTAAGCACTGACGGTGTCAGTCAGTGATAGTAAGAACTTTGGTACTTAGGCAGTTGTGTGGTCTAATGGATGGACGAGTGTAGCATTATGGGAATTGCCATGCTCAGCTGTTGTGGCAAAGGTAACAAATCTTGGAGGGGAAAAAAACTCTTTATTTATTTAATTTTTTTTTTAAATCTTTTTACTCCACTTAAGGGACGTCAAAACATTTCTCCAGATAAGATCCCATGGTCTGCCTTGAAGACTCTTATGGCCCAGTCCATTTATGGTGGTCGAATTGACAACGAATTTGACCAGAGGCTACTCAACACTTTTCTTGAGAGGCTTTTCACAACTTCTAGTTTTGACAGTGAATTTAAACTGGCTTGCAAAGTGGACGGACATAAAGATATCCAAATGCCAGATGGCATAAGGTAAAGTTAATCAAACGTCAATATTGATCATCTTAAATTGGTGGCTGGACTTTTTTTTTTTTTTTTTTTGCGTTAAAATCCCTTCCTATCTTATAACATTCATTTAAACATTATTTGTTTGTTTATTCTAGACGTGATGAGTTTGTTCAGTGGGTGGAATTACTCCCAGACACACAGACCCCATCCTGGCTTGGCTTACCGAACAACGCAGAGCGAGTACTCCTCACCACACAGGGTAAAATGTGTCTTATTTGCAGAATATCTGCTCACGCTGCTTTTAATACTTTACAGATGTCTGTGTTCTGTCCCTGCGCATCTCCTCTCATGCTTTAAATGACAAGACTTATACCTTATAAGTGTGCTTATTAAAATGTGTGAATTAGTAACCTGTCCATTTCTCGTCAACCATTCATTGTCTCATAACTGTAACTGGTGGTCTGACCTCATCCTTCAACAGTCTTGTACTTTCCTCACATTTCTCTGATCAATCAAACTTGCCTGATATCTCTTCACCTGGTATTTTTTGTTTTGTTTTCTGTTCTAATTTTATGTTTAAGTATGACAAAATAAGACCACAAACCAATGTTTGTTAATAACCAGTTAGTTGCCATTTTTCATGATCGTTGCGTGTAAATTTATGTCCCACTTTACTGCTTTGGACATGTTGTTGTCTACAATGTGTCGACCTTTTTAGGGTTTTTTGTGTTTTTATTTCCTGTTGCTTTTGTGTTTGTTTTTTCTTTATTTGCTTTACGTTCCCCCGCATTTTGTTTTTTTTCTCCCTTGTGGTTCAGGCATTGACATGATCAGCAAAATGCTGAAAATGCAAATGCTGGAGGATGAGGATGACCTAGCTTATGCAGAAACCGAGAAAAAACAAAGAACAGACTCCACATCGGACGGTCGCCCAGCCTGGATGCGAACCTTGCACGTGACTGCTTGCAACTGGCTCCAAGTTATCCCGCAGTCTCTCAACCATCTAAAACGCACTGTAGAAAATATTAAGGTTAGATCCCAATCTGCAAAGTTCAGTTTTTCATTTGTTTACTTTTAAACTCGTTCGTCAATGCAATCTGTTAAATTGTTCAATTAACCTCAATCAAGCACTTTTTTTAAACTAATTCTCAATTTTTCCTGTTTCCAAAAGTCCTAGTGTAAATGAGCTTGTAATTGGACAATGTATACAATAGTAAAGCAATTGTCGAATCTGTGTGAACATTTTACAGAATGCCAGAAAAATTGCAAAGACATTATAGGTTTCAACATTAAAAGGACGCCATAACAACTTCATCTAAATTAAGTTGTTATGGTGCCAGGAGGCCCCTGGGCACTCTTACCTCAAGGAGTTAAACTGTTCTTGATGTGGTTTAACCCAAAACATGCCTCTAGTGCCAATCTTAAAGGGACACTCCAGGCACCCAGACCACTTCTGCCTATTGGAGTGGTCAGGGTGCCAACTTCCCACTACCCTTAACACTGCAACTGTAATTATTGCAGTTTTTATAAACTGCAATAATTACCTTGCAGGGTTAACTCCTCCTCTAGTGGCTGTCTACTCGACAGCCACTAGATTTTCTGTGCTATAGCGTCGCTGGACGTCCTCACGCTATGTGAGGACCTCCAGCGTCGCAAAAATCCCCATAGGAAAGCATTTTCATTGCTTTGCTACAGGGAGTTCTAATGCGCGGCATTGCCGCGCATGCGCATTAGGTCTCCCCCACCGGAGGGTGTGATCAGTCTCCCCGTCCGCCTGACGTGGTGACTGGGAGGAGCTGGGCGGACCAAGAAGCGGCACCGAGGGACATCGTCGCTGCCTCTGGTAAGTCACTGAAGGGGTTTTGACCCCTTCAGCAACCGGGGATTGGTGGGTGGGTGGGAGGGAGAGGGGACCTGCAGTGCCAGGAGAACTCTTTTTTTCGGCACTGGAGTGTCCCTTTAACTCTTCCCCCCCTATAGTGAAAGCGGGGACACCAAGCCCAATGTTGCTCTTTTCTTGATGCACAGTAACCACTGTGCTGTTTGGTCCACTTTGAGCAGAGTCCTATTACACGTTGCCTTTAAAGAAGGCTTGTCATATACAGAATGTTTGGTTATGTGCCACCCAAAATGCACAGGACAATATGTAATGTGAAAATGACTGACCCACTCCTTTTTTGTTAATAATTGGCAATCTAGGACCCGCTCTTCAGATTTTTTGAACGGGAGGTTAAGATGGGAGCAAAATTGCTTCTGGATGTGCGTCAGGACCTAACAGATGTTGTCCAGGTGTGCGAGGGGAAGAAGAAGCAAACAAACTATCTGAGAACGCTGATTAATGAGCTGGTTAAAGGTAAGGAAACATTGTCCTATTTCCATTATTGATTGTTTTTTTTTTTTTTATGATTTGAGCAAACTATTTTTATATGCAAATGTGCAGCAACTATAAATGTTTACATCAACCAAGCCACAATAGCATCACTACAAAAAAATAAATAAAAATAGGATGCGCAAAAAATCCAATGTGTATACTTCTATAATCTCTGCATTTTCCTCCAGTGCTTTAAGTAAAATGATCGTTAACAGATTCACCAAGTCCTTTGATGAAATACTCGGCCAACGTAAATCTAGGATCACTTATCGCATGAATAGATGAATTGTATTCTACGTTTCTATGAAAATAAAAGGGAATTTTTAAAGGATCCACTGACTTATGCACAATGTAAATTGAGCTGATCTAGCTACCTTCACTCTGAGTCACTGCAACTGTACATAATTAACTTTCTGCACAACTGGATATATTGGTGCACATTTTCCAGTCAAATATTTTGCGTGCGTTACTAGTTGCCTCCACATACTAATTAATGCTGCTTAATTACAGGTATTCTGCCTCGCAGCTGGTCTCGATTCACTGTTCCTGCTGGAATGACAGTCATACAGTGGGTGTCAGATTTTAGTGACCGGATCAAACAACTTCAAAATATCTCACAAGCCGCAGCTGCAAGTGGAGCAAAGGAATTGAAGGCAAGATTTAGGGAAACAACTTTGTGGGGGGGGGGGTTTTGGGGACAGAAGTTCCATGCTTAGTGGGGTTTGGCTCCATTAGTCTTTGTAGCCGTATGTTGGTGATTTACTTGGGATGGATCAATATACTCCTAATTGACCGCTGTGAGATTAGATTGATTAAACTCTTGAAGTAATGTATTTTCTAACGATGACGTTTCTCTTGCAGAACATCCATGTGTGGATTGGTGGCTTGTTTGTCCCAGAGGCTTATATCACAGCCACAAGACAGTACGTAGCACAGGCCAATAGCTGGTCTCTGGAAGAGCTGTGCCTGGATGTGAGTGTTACTACATCCCTGACTGCAGTGTTGGATGCCTACAGCTTTGGAATCACAGGTGGGTTCAGACTTTGTGACCTGGTGCAGAGACTCATGAATGAGATCTCAAAGGAAGGGGGAGTGTTAATGTCTAAAATCTCACCTATTCCTTTTATATCTCTACTGGCGCGTATGTATGTCATAAACAGATTGTTTAATGTGTGTTCTGTAGAATGGAACAAATTCAATCCCGTTGCTGCCTGTGAAAGATTGGACACTTACACAACATTCATATCATGAAATGTTTTATAAACTCATCTCGTTGATATTTTAGGGTTTGAATTGTGAATTTTGCATTTTTATTTTACTTTAGGTTTGAAACTTCAAGGAGCTACATGCACAAACAATAAACTGGCACTGTCCAATTCCATCTCCACTGTGCTGCCACTGACACAGCTGAAATGGAGCAAGCAGACCAATGCTGAGAAGAAAGCAAACGTGGTGAGTTTACAATCTGCTCCTAGCCTGTGGGTACAGCCACATTCTATTGTGACCTTGTGAGGAATTAGATGTATAGATCGTGTACAAACAGTGCTGTAAATTGGCTTTGGCTAAATGTTATGGTAACATGCAGAGTTAGTTGATAATGCGATGCAAGCAATAGCTAGAATATAGCTATTGAAGCGTCATGATGCATACTCAGACTTTCTGGCACAAGGATACATGACTGAGAGGCTTATGGTGCAGTCTTTTACAAAACTTTTGTGTAAAAACTATAAAGACAATATCAACAAAATACAGCACTACTATGCCATGTCCTAAAATATAAATATTTTATATGAATCTGTAAGTCTTAATAAAACCATGCCATGAGAATAAAGTGCTGGAAAATCATGAGGTGGTCTTCATTAACTCCCGAAATCAGATGAATATTTTTGCAATATATGCATTCATATTACATGTAATGTTGACTCTCAATATAAAGCTGTGGGAAATATAACATGTCTGCTCCAAGAGTTTAACTGGTATTTTATTTTTAATCCAGTGTGGACTTTCACGCAAAAGCCTTCTCTAATTGTTACTTATTGTCATTTACTGCAGGTGACTCTGCCAGTGTATCTGAATTTTACACGTGCCGATTTGATCTTCACGGTTGATCTTGAAATTGCCACCAAAGAAGGTCCTCACAGCTTCTATGAGCGTGGCGTTGCCATACTCAGCACAGAGTAGATCTGCATCTCAAGCTGTCGTACATTTGGCTTTAAATGCCTGTTTTGCTTAAAATTAAGTTTAGTGGGAGCTGGTGTACAGATTGGGGGTAATACTGTAAGTGAAGTGCGGGATGCAAAATGAAGGACGTGGCAAGTTGACACAATGGCTGAGGTGAATGGATTTCTAGTCGGATATGGGAAAGTTGTGTAATGTGAATGAAAGGATAATGAGCAGGTTAACATGAAGAATAATGAACAGCTATTAACTGCAGAATTAGTATTGTAGATGTGCTGGATATTGTAATGGTACTAATTTTAAGCTAATAAATGTGCATGATCTGAACACTGGATTGTCCTTTCTTGAAGCGATTTGGATAGTGATTAGAATGAAAGTGAGGGGGTCAAAGGCTCTAGATCCCTGTTTTCTTGCTCATCTGTGATACATTTGTCTTTATGCTCTCAGCTAAAACATTATACGTTTTTGTTCATACCCTTCTTCATATCCCAGGCATCGTATACAGTATTGTTAGTGAATCTAAATACTTGACTATCCACAGACACAGTGCTCTGTGTGACATCCCTAATCTGCACAGAAATTCTGTAGCCCCCTACAGAATGTATTCTATGGGGTATAGAATGTGAATTACAGCACTGCATGGCAGCAGATGGTGTTCTTTAAAAATAAAAATGCAACCGCTCCAGTACTGCTTTTTCTAAAACCTAAACTGACTTAAAGGGACACTATTGTCTCGCACCACTACAGCTGTAGTTGACTAGCTCCCTTCAGGCATTTTCATGTAAATTGTCTTTTCAGAGAAAAGGCAGTGTTTAAATTGCCCTTAGGGGTCACTGGAGGTGCTTCCTAGCTTAGTGCTGCACAGTAAGCAGCCTTGACGTTCAGCGTCCCCACGCTCTACATGGAGACGCTGAATTTTCCTCGGATGCATTGATTCAATGCATCTGAGGCGGTGCTGACTGTCACCAACGGGCCAGCGCTGGAAAAGCTGAAAATAAGGAGTTTAAACCCATACTGAAGGGGAGCAAGCCAACTAAATGGGTTTTTTTTTTTTACTAGAGTTTCAAAATAACCCTAAAAGTTCCTAACATTCCATTATTTAGCTATGCAATGACCCTTCTCATTTGTAGCAGTGATTTTATTGCAGTCAGTCTCTTGCCCTGGGGATAGTTCTCTGGTCAGCCAGTATGACTGTTCCTTCACTTTATGCAGATGTTTTACTATTCACATCAGCTTCCTCAGACCTGGTACAGACTCTAGCTTGGCAGTCCATTCTGACAGGCAGCTGGGCTATATTTAGAAAGAAGTCTGCTTAATTCCAAGCCACTTGCCCAATTATAAAGCTGGCATAGGGCTGGCTGCATAGAAAATGTTAATTAAGTATCCAGCAGGTATAGCATGGCTTTCCCAGTGTGTGGATTGGTTAGATGCACACTGGAGAGTGACTGGCTCCTTTTGGAGAGTTGCACTAGGTCATTCCTTTTTGACAAAGGACTCCGCATTAGTGAACATGTCAAAGCAGACTAAACGTCACAACATAGCCAAGAGCAAAGGGAGGTATTGCTATAACAGGACCCTATTCGTCCTCACCTATACTGTTTGAAACTTACATATGAGTGAACACACAGTTCAAACAAAACTATCATTCTATAGCGAAGAGCCTCCATCTTCAGTGTGAGAGAATATGAAGTTGACTGTTTCACATCATAGAAATTCCATGCCAACCATAGCAGGGCTCTAGAATTCCTTTAAAGAATGATCAAGGTAAGACACCTAGATCCATCATACACCTCCATTGGTGGATCAGGTCACTGGTTAGCACCACACTCACTGTAGGTTTGATATAGCACTATGGTTACTTATTGATATGAAAAGCCTTAAAGGATCACTCTAGGCACCCAGACCACTTCTTTAAGCTGAAGTGGTCTGGGTGCCAGGTCCAGCTAGGGTTAACCCATTTTTTCATAAAGTTTCAGAGAAACTGCTATGTTTATGAATGGGTTAAGCCTTCCCCTAATCCTCTAGTGGCTGTCTCATTGACAGCCACTAGAGGCGCTTGCGTGCTTCTCACTGATTTTCATAGTGAGAGCACGCCAGCGTCCATAGGAAAGCATTATGAATGCTTTCCTATGTGACCGGCTGAATGCGCGTGCAGCTCTTGGAGGAACGGAGGAGGAGAGCTCCCCGCCCAGCGCTGGAAAAAGGTAAGTTTTTACCCCTTTCCAGAGCCGGGCGGGAGGGGGACCCCTCAGGGCACTATAGTGGTCCTTTAAGGACTAGTTTCAGGAAGAAACCAACTGTATGTGAAGGGGGAGGGGGGGGAGAGAGAGGGTGTTAGATGCACAAGTATATTCAGGTTTTTTTTTTTTTTTTTGGCAAAAGGTCATTAGTCTCCACCTAATCTAGTGGAGGCCTACAAGGCACTAAAATATACCAAGAAATGGTCTGGGAAAGTAAAGCTCACATCGAACACTGAAAGGGTTATTTACTTAATAATTTCAACATGTCTGCCAATGTAGCAAAAGTAGAGAAATTCAGTAAATGGTTATTTTGGTCTTAAACAAGTTGAAATTCACTTTGAAATCCTTGCATTAAACATTCCTGGTCTATGCCAAGAGAAATATCCATTTAACCCCTTAAGGACCAAACTTCTGGAATAAAAGGGAATTATGACATGTCACGTGTCCTTAAGGGGTTAAAGATTAAAAGCATTGTGGCTTTTTCTGACTTGCCTGCTAAGATTAGCCATGGACATACGTTTTAGACTTAAGGACCACTCTAGGCACCCAGACCAGTTCAGCTTAATGAAGTGGTCTGGGTGCCAGGTCCCTCTAGGATTAACCCATTTTTTTTTTTTTTTTTATATATAAAACAGTTTCAGAGAAACTGCTATGTTTATAAATGGGTTAATCCAGCCCTCAAATCCTCTAGTGGCTGTCTTGTTGACAGCCGCTAGAGGCGCTTGCGTGATTCTCACTGTGAAAGTCAGTGAGAACACGCAAGCGTCCATAGGGAAAGCATTATGAATGCTTTCCTATGAGACCGGCTGAATGCGCGCGCAGCTCTTGCCACACATGCGCATTCAGCCGAATGGGAGGAGAATCGGAGGAGGAGAACTCGCCGCCCAGCGCTGGAAAAAGGTAAGTTTTACCCCTTTTCTCTCCCCAGAGCTGGGCGGGAGTGGGCACCCTCAGGGCACTATAGTGGTCCTTTAATATGTCAATTAGCAAAGCAGAGCACAAGAGTGACTAGAACTAAGTTAGTGCGCCCTTTGATGGGTCTGAATCTTGTGCCATTACAAAACCTTATCCAGCTCCCTCTGCTGGAGAGTTACACTCCAGACAATCTTAACCGTGATATTAGGCTGATAAAAATCTAGGCACAGAGAGCAAGGGGTTGATGTCTGGATTACCCTTTACCTAGACGGACCCTAGGCAATTTGCAAACAACCCAAAAACAGCGCAAGATAATACAAAAAGGACAGAACTATTCTGTGGGATCCCACTATGTTCTCAAACTAGTGTCAACTCTTAAACCATCCATTGCGAACCCACTATTTCTGACATTGGAGACCAGCAACAATCTGAATGACAATGTTAAACTATTCTCTTGGGAATTGCACTATTTCCCCTTTCTTTCTGAATACTGCACCAGGTAGGTTTAGTGTTCCCTTTTGTTGTAAGTGCATGATATTTACTATATTACTACAGTGAGATTCTGTAATGCTCAGACATTGAATGCCTTGCTCTGCCTCTCCCCTTATTGTTACATTAGCCAAACACAAGATCAGCGTCTTTGGATTCAATCAGATTTGCACTCTGTAGTAAATGACAAACTACAGCTTAGTGAATAAGACCACCAGCAGACATTCCCAGATTAATCCCCACTTTTAATAGCCGATGACAACCACTACATAGAATTTAAAGAGAAAGTTAGTTTGAGCTCAAACAAGTTACATAACATTTCACTGCAGCGTTGTTGCAGTTTTATTTTAAGAAGGTACATATTTAGTGTCGTGTGCAGATTGGGATGGAAGCTGAAAGTTGGGAGTTTTGCTTTAATCCTGTGAAAACAAAGTTAAGCTTCTAGTAGCAAATACTGGAGGATTTCAGATAGCTCTTCCTAGAAGTCAAACACTATTTTAGGTCTTTTCAGTTGGTCTCCCACACCCAGCACCGTATTGTAGGTTTAACCCCTTAAGGACACATGTGACATGTCATGATTCCCTTTTATTCCAGAAGTTTGGTCCTTAAGGGGTTAAAGGTCATTCCATGTACATAGATGGTAGAGAAGTATAAAGAGGTACCTGGCCGGTAGCTATTTAAAAACACTATTGGCTGGTGTCTAGGAATTATGTTGAAACCTAAAAATAGTGGAAATCTGCGAAGGGGATTGAAAATGTACCATGGTGTCTGTAACTCGTGCCTTCTTTCTTCTATGTTTATCATTGTTAAAATCCATTTTGAGTCCTAATTTCCGCTTTGCCAAAGAAATGGGAGACATGGAACAATCCACATTTTCCTCCGTTGGGGGTAGATTTCCTTGAAATCTAGGGGAAGTAACAGTTCCACTGTGATTAGCAGTTCTTGAATCTACACCAATCAGAAGAAAGTGGCCAGAATTAGAACGCCGGTTTTCCAGTGCTGCTCTAGAATCCATTGAAATTTCTAGAGTATCTTGAAGACCTTTGCTATTATCACAGAGTTTTTCTGACGTTTGAAGAGAGGTTTCTGAGTCCGTCAGCGACCTCATGCAGATGTCACTGGATTCCAGTGCTGGGCTATTTTTCTGCTCACTTGGTGGCGGTATGTGATCAGGTACTAAAACTGTACCTTCCTGGTATTTCGGATCCACTGTATCTTTGAGCGGAGACTTCTTGCCCCTTTTAGGTAGACACCGACTGTACACAGCAGAGTCGGAATGTGTGGAGGCTTCTTCAGAATCTCCATCATATGGATCTAGGAACTAAAGAATTACACCCATAAGTAAGCACAAAAAGGGAAAAGAAATAAAACTGAGAATTATTGGTTTTGCTAGATATACACACAAAAAAATAAAAAATAAAAATAAAAAAACACTCACTGGCTTATTTTTATTTACATACCAATTTACCCCAGTAAATACTGCAAGTTTACTGGGGTCATGGAACAAGTAACTCACTTATTTAATTATTGTTCGTACGTGATAGAGGGTTAATCAAGTGATTCCAGCAGAACCTAAGAATAATACACAACAGGACTAAGGCACGCTAGTCAGGTTTTATGAAATTCTTTGATCAAGATTGAAGGACCACAAGTTTCACCAGAACAACTATAGTTTAATGTAATTGTTCTTGTGAGTATAGTCCGTCTCTTTAGGCTTTTTACATTAAACAGTCTTTTCAGAGACTCCTTAGAGATGGCCAATAGAGGTGCTTCCTGAGTCAGTGCTGCACACAGTGCATCATGGACAATCAGTGTCTCCACCCTCTGCATGGAGACAACTTTCCTCATGGAGATGCGGATTGGCCAGGGTTGTGTTTGACGTGTGCCAAACATCAGCAGACTGGAATAAAAAGGTAAGATTTTTGCTATATTTAGGGGGGGAAAGATAGTGTTTAACACAATAGGGTCAGGAATAAGTTTGTGTTCCTGACTATAGTATTCCTTTACAGATTGTTTTGTTTTACTTGGTCCCCAGACCACTTCAGTGAGTTGAAGTGTTTGCATATTCCCAGGTCCCTTAACCCTGGAGGAAAGGTAATTATTATTTCAGTTTTTAATTAACTGCAATAGTTCCTTTTATAGGTTAACATCACCGCTAGTGGCTGTCTGCCAGTAGAGACAGGAGACATGGGAGCTATTATGCCACGAAAACAACTTTTCCTGGCACTATAGTTTCCCTTTAAGAAAATCACTGAGCCTTAAATTCTGTAGCAATTTTATAGACAGCTGCATTTCCCAAAAAGTATTCATAAAATCAGGTTAATAGTACAACAGCATCTGGTTATTATAAGGAGAAGAGAATTTCAACTGGACGTCCAAACCTCCATCTATCTGACCTCAACGTTGCCAAGAGTTTGTCACTGAGAACTCTAATGCCATCAATGGAGGGATGTATACAGGCCCCAAACCACCACCAGCTTTACCTGTAGTTTTGTGGATCTTTTTCTCCACGAGGAGCCATGATTTGGAGTGCTTGTAGGGCCCGGTCCAAAGATCTAATCAAGAACAAGCACACAAAACAAAAATTTAAACAAGTCTGTCTCAAACAATTAAATGGAAGCTTTAAAACAAAATGGAATTTTGCACTTATTAGAATTCAGAGATTTAGCCAATTACTGGATAAGTTTGAATGAGTTACTGGATATAAAAAAGTTAAAATAAATCAATTTAAGAAGTCCCATTTCAAGCTACCTGCACTGGATTAGCATACGTTAATAAAATAGTGGAAATTTATGATGCAGATCGTTTAACGCCTGAAAGCCCACTGCCTTACTGTGCCAACATAACAGTCTTTCAAGATCTATGTGGGGCTAAATATTGCAGTTCAGTTTACCATGAACTAGATCCAGTGGTCACTCAATAAGCCCCTTAGTCATAACCTCTTTAAGATCACATCTACCAGTCTACCCACTCACACAACCCATATGCACTTTTCATTAAAAAATGGATCTGTTGGACTAAAACGCAAGTTAAACGTTATACCTCGTTGTCGGATTCCGAGTCCGTGCTCAATTCTACTTTTACTTTACATTTTCTCTAAAAGGGGAGAAAAGAAAAAAATATATATATATTTGTTATTTATGCATGTAATATAACCAAGTTGTGCAAGATAGTTAAAGACATTTGATACATTACAGTGAGAAATAAGTCAATCCCATTGGTGGCTTTCCAAAGCCAAAGTTACCGTTTATGCAGATCAGGGTTGACAGGGACAATTGTCACAGCCTTTCATTAGTGGGAGTTAACAAATTAGAGGGAAATAAAGCCAGCACACTTTGTGTCACTTTGTTTCACCTCAGAAAAACTAGAAGTAGACTTTTATTTTTTACTTTGAGGTTTATTCACTACACTGACAAGGAAACTATAGATTTTAGTCCGAAATTACCAAACGACTACTTTTATTTCATAATAGTGAAACTGATAAAGCCATCTCCTTGCCAATTCTCCCCTATACCTAAGTGAATAAACCAGTATATATTAGAGAACTGGAGATTTTGGAAGCTACCATATTTTTACTTTTAAAAAGGGACACAAACTGGTGGGGCGCCATTATCATTGCAGTACAATGTGGTTATGGTGCCACTGTCACGTTCTGTGTAAAACTGCTTAAATGGTTTGACATGGCTTCTTCACTCCAGAATTAACTGTGCCAACACAGAAGGCTAATCCCTGCAATAGCAATACATGGTTTAAAGATAGTTTGATACAGAACCAGGGAATTAAGAGGCAGGGCGCCGGTGACATGAGCGAGCTTAGAGTGTCTCTTTATATGCATTTTACAGTGGTTTTAAAATCTCCATTTTCTTACATTAATTGTCAGATAATTATCGATTATATTGAAAGAACACTGGGCACCATAACAACCTGTGGATGAAGTTGTTATAGTGCCCGCAGTGTTCTTGTAAAGGCAGGAGACAAATATTTGTATAACCGTAACTAACACCTTCTATAAGCAAATAAAGGGTTAACAAAGCAATGTGAAAAGAACCAATCGAGACAGGTCACAACATATAAAACCCTAAATAGGCCCTCCCACATACTCTATCTGCACCTTCCCATCAGGTGAGCCGGTTTGAAAGATGTTAGCTAAACTAACTGTGGCTTCGCTAGATAAATGCCAATCTACAGTAAGCTATCTTGGAATGTCCTCACTTTTATAAAAAGTATTTTCAGAGTAACTCCCAGAATTCCATTGTGCAGTTGACATCAATGGCTTCTAAAACAAGGACAGGTTAGCCTGAATTTATTCAGGATTTTTTTTCTATAGGGACGGACACACACCATTGCCACTACAGGCAAGCCATTATTGGAACAATCAGCTGAGGCTCTGCAGCAATTTCCAGCTCTAGTAACAGAGGGAGGGAGCAGTGCTAGGCGGACCCAAGGTAACAAGTCAAACTCTTCTAAAGTAATTTGACTACTTAATACCGCAAGTGCTCTTCCCTCTTTTAACACGACAGAGGATGCTCCTGTGGTTATGGTGGATGGATTGTTACTTTAATTCATATTTTTAATTTTTTTTTGCAAATCCTTACAAAACAGATGTACAAAATGTATAGCAGGAAACATCAGAAATCTAAGCTGGCAACAAGGTACTGATGATCAGGGCCGGATTAACATAGGGGCTGATGGAGCTGCAGCTCCAGGCCCAGGCCCATGGAATAGGCCCATTGATTTAAAAAAAAAAAAAAAAAAAGATTTTTTGTTTTTTAAATTTTTAAAATTTTTTATTTTTTTTACACACACTACTATTGGGGTTGCCAGGTATTTCTTATGGTTGCCAGGTATTTCTCAGAAGTATTTATCAGGTATTTGAGGCTGCCTAGCCGGTGCCGGTATTGCAGTAATACCGGCAATACAAATGTCTATCTCAATATAAACAGATATTATTCTGCAATACCAGCGCCAGCCAGTAAGGGTCGCTGTTTGTGTGGAGAGAGGCAGGGATAAGAAGTTACAGCATCTGCCTCTCTTTACTCACTGATCCGCGGGGGAGCAGCTCTGCACAGAGAGTCCAGACAGCAGCTACGAGCCTGCGAGACATGTGGACACTGAGACATTGGGAGACATAGGGACACTGGGGAACATGGGGACCCTGAGACACTAGGGACACAGTGGCTCCATGTCTCCCAGTGTCCCCTAGTCTCTCAGTGTCCCCATGTCTCCCAGCCAGTGTACCCATGTCTCCCAGCCAGTGTACCCATGCCTCCCAGCCAGTGTACCCATGCCTCCCAGCCAGTGTACCCATGCCTCCCAGCCAGTGTCCCCAGGTCTCCCAGTGTCCCCATGTGTCTCTCAGTGTCCCTAGTCTCTCCATGTCCCCATGTCTCTCCCAGTGTCTCATGGTCCCCATGTCTCCCAGTGTCCCAATGTCTCTAAGTGTCCTCTAGTGTCCTAGTGACATCGGGACACTGGGAGACATAGGGACACAGACTCTAAGGGACACTGGGAGACATGGGGATACAAATACTAGGGGACACTGGGCAACATGGGGACACTTAGACACTAGGGGGCACTGAGAGACATGAGGACACTGGGTGACTTTGAGACCTGGGAGACATGGGGCACTCCCAGTGTCCCCATGTCTTCCAGCCAGTGTCCCTAGTATCTCAGTATCCCCTTGTCTCCATGTCCCTGGTGTCTCTCAGTGTCCGCAGTGTGCCAGTGTCCGCAGTGTGCCAGTGTCCGCAGTGTGCCAGTGTCCGCAGTGTGCCAGTGTCCGCAGTGTGCCAGTGTCCGCAGTGTGCCAGTGTCCGCAGTGTGCCAGTGTCCGCAGTGTGCCAGTGTCCGCAGTGTGCCAGTGTCCGCAGTGTGCCAGTGTCCGCAGTGTGCCAGTGTCCGCAGTGTGCCAGTGTCCGCAGTGTGCCAGTGTCCGCAGTGTGCCAGTGTCCGCAGTGTGCCAGTGTCCGCAGTGTGCCAGTGTCCGCAGTGTCTCAGTGTCCCCTAGTCTCCCAAAGTCCCCTAGTCTCCTAGTGTCCCAATGTCCCCTAGTGTCCCCATGTCTCCTAGTGTCACCTAGTATAAAAAAAATCTCAGGCACTCACTGTGATAGATTTAAGTCTAGTGAGCAATCAGAGAGAAGCTGTTATATGTCTACTCCTGTCTCTATTCTGCCTGTGAATACCTAATGAGTTAATAACTACTCAATCATTTCTAGTTCACAGAGCGATTTATCACTTATTTTTTTAATTCTTCAAGTTTATTCAAGACAGGCATTAGATATGAGCAGTAGATAGGGGCTGCAATCTGAAACAAGTTACCAACCCCATACAACTGAGGGTTAAAGCAACTGTAGCTAATTAGTATCCTCTTTATGCTCTCTCCGTTTTGCAACAATATTGCAACACTGTGCTAATACAGAAGCCCTAACCTGACAGCTATCTGGCTCAGTTTCTTCAGTCAAACTGTCTCCTATATTGAATTGCATCAACCAAAATTAGGAGAAGAGAGATTGCAACAATTTGTAATTACAAACAACCTTCTACTAGTTCTATATTACCATATTGTAGAATCAATGACATCAGCCATCTGCTCCCTGTATCCTAGACACCTACTCAGTGTGATATAAGAAAATCCAACTCCTGATAGAGACCTCACTCAATAAAGTCAGAGATTAGGACAATTGGACGACTTTTTATTCTTTATCTATTTCTGCATATATCATCTATTTTTCTGAGTAGGTAGAGGTATAGCCAGTTGGCTTTGGATTTGCTATCTGACCATTAATATAAGTGGTGTGCAGCGTTCTATCAAAGAGCATACATTTCCTCATCTTGTATTCCTTTCCAGCTAACACGACATTCAGAGTCTTTTAGCTCTGGAAATAGATAGTTATTATTACGCGGTGATAGATTTAAGCAGATTTATTGGACACAGCAATGTTTCAACCTGTAACCAGGTCTTTATCAAGTCTCCAGTGTGCCCTATGTATCACAGTGTCCCCTGTGTATCAGAGTGTCACAGTGCCCCATGTCTCCCAGTATCCCTGGTGTGTTTCAGTGTCCTTAGTGTCCCCTAGTCTCCCAGTGTCCCCATGTCTCACAGCGCCCCCAAGTGTCTCAGTGTCCCCTAGTATAAAAGAAAAAAATCTCAGGCACTCACTGTGATAGATTTAAGCGGGTTTATTGGACACCACAACATTTTGACCTGTACCCAGGTCTTTATCAAGTCTCCAGTGCCCCCTATATATCAGTGTCCCCTATGTATCACAGTGTCTCAGTGCCCGATGTCTCCCAGTGTCCTCTCATGTCTCAAAGTTACCCAGTGTCCCCATGTCCCCAGTTTCCCCAAGAGTCTCAGTGTCCCCAGGTCTCTCAGTGTCCCAATGTCTCTCAATGTCCCCTAGTGTCCTAGTGACATAGGGACACTGGGAGACATGGGGACACAGACACTAAAGGACTGGGAGACATGGGGACACAGACATGCCCCCTTTTTGTGTATGTTTGCCTCTTTCGGCAGTTCTGGTTATGTGATTTGTGTCAGTGGCCCACCCTTTTGCCCTGTCCATAGACTTCCTGCTTTACTGGACACTGCTGTTAGGGGGTATGGGTTTACTTGAAAGATGAAAGCATTGGTATGTGTTTTCTCATAGCTGCATCCTATGAGTTTCCCTCCAGCACCATCTCCATCAGATACATGACGCTTAGGAGGTAGGCCCATCATAATTGTCAGCACCAGGCCCACTGGGCTTTTAATCTGGCCCTGCTGATGATGGCTGGAGAGAGCTTGACCCTTGTAGACTGTGGTAAATCCTCCCAGTGCCTAGAAGTGACATTCTCACATAGCCATAATGAGTATTTAATAAAGATTCTTTCTTCATGAAATACAATTTTTTTTTATTTTTTTTAAATTTTTTTAAAGGTTGCAGGGGTGACATTGCCGCTTTAAATGATTTCTTTATAACTGCGTTTTCCTGTTCCTCCACCAGCTATCACCCTCACTGCAAAAGGTCCGAATGAATTTTCACTTACCATGTACTTGCAAGCCAGTCTGTCTACAAAGTCTTGGTGTCTCTCAGATTCACATGTGACCGAACCTACAAACAGAAGGGTGGACGTTATAAACGTGGGACCAATAGAATATTGGAAATTTATGACACCCAACACCCAAAAAGGACCTTTCGTTAATTATTTGTCAGTTTGTGAATGAAAAATTAAATAAGATCGATAGAATGAACAGAAGAATTATAAAAACTAGGTGTTGCTCATAAAGCGCAGTTACTTTGTGTCAAATGAGGCATTAGAGATAGGTTAAAGGGGTACTATAGTCACCAGAACAAGTACATTGTTCTGTATAGCTTATTGTATTTGTTCTAGTGAGTAGAATAATTCCCTCAGACTTTTTGCAGTAAGTAGTCTGTTCAGAGATAATGCAGTGTTTACATTACAGCCTAGGGTTAACTCCACTAACCACTCCTCAGAAGGCTACTAGAGGTGCCTTCTGGGGCAGTGCTGCAGAGTGTACAGTACTGCCATTCAGTGTCTCCACTCTCTGTATGGAGTCACTGAACTTTCCTCAGATATTAATTGATTCAATGCATCCCTAAGATGCTGATTGGCCAGGGCTGTGTTTGGCTTGTGCTGGCTCTGCCTTCTTGACAGTCTCAGCCAATTCAATGATTTCCTATGGATCAACACTTCTGATGAGGTCAGCCAAGCAGGCCGATCAGGGGCATGGCCAGCAGCAGCAGACTGGAGTAAAAGTACAATTTTACTAAATTTAGGGGGCAAGGGTGGCTAGATGGTGTTTTTAACACTATAGGGTCTGGAATACAGGTTTTACCTCGCATGTGTGGGAGAAAAGGCAAGTAAAATTCCTTTGTACTGTGACCGGAGGGGACCGTCACCTAAACAGTCACTTCATGACTCTACGTGTGTGTTCCTAACACTATAATGTTTCTTTAAAATAAAGTTTAATTTGCCATGATGCACTGCGCTGCTAGGAAAGGTATGTGTAGGAAGATTTTAATTTGTAGAATTCTACAACAGCCATTTAAGGAGACAGACGTGAAGTGCTGGCAATTTATTATAAGAGACAATGGTCACCTCAAACATATTTCACAATTAAGTGGTCTGGGTGCAGTGTCCCTGTCCTTTGAACGCTGCAATGTAAAACATTGTCATACTGACATCCAATAAGGAAGCGGAGTAAAACTTACTCATGTGACGCGGAAGCCCACAGGCAAACACTGAATACAATATTTCCTATGAGCATGCACATTCCTACCTTTAGTAGGGTTTGACAAACTAATGTAGGACCCACAGATATTGATGGCTCAACACAACATGGCCATATGGTGGAACTGAATCCCCATATTTGCAGAGAGATATGTGACTAAGTTACCTTGTAAAACGAAAAATAAATAAAAAAAGGTTTGTGTACCGTTCATTAATCTGTATTTTGGTCTTTACGGCAGCCACACTGCTGAGATATGCATGTTCCAGAAAGGCTCTGCAGCATCTAAAGGCCTGATTCAAGACCCTCCATAAAAATATGAAGGAGGAAGGTAAGGGTCTTTGCCAATCTAAGAGTTACTGAAATGGAGATATCTAACAAGTATCAGTTATGATTGGGATTTACTAAAATAATCTAGATCTGTAATTATTGGATGCATTTTATGCCATCTGTAAATCTGTATCTAGAAACAAGGCTGCTGTGTGACTGATCCATTCCATAAAGATATATTGCAGTGTTTATCATGTAATTACTGGGTACTACCTACCCACACAGGGCTCTACCTTCCCTTGAACTGAGGGCTATTAACACAGGGCTCTCTATACTGAGCAGTAAGTACCCACCTTCCCCGGTACTGGGGGTCTATTAACACAGGGCTCTCTATACTGAGCGGTAAGAACCCACCTTCCCCGGTACTGGGGTCTATTAACACAGGGCTCTATACTGAGCGGTAAGTACCCACCTTCCCCGGTACTGGGGGTCTATTAACACAGGGCTCTCTATACTGAGCGGTAAGTACCCACCTTCCCCGGTACTGGGGGTACTTACCTTCCCTGGTACTGGGGCTCTATTAACACAGACCTCTCTATACTGAGCGGTAAGTACCCATCTTCCCCGGTACTGGGGGTCTATTAACACAGGGCTCTCTATACTGAGCGGTAAGAACCCACCTTCCCCGGTACTGGGGTCTATTAACACAGAGCTCTATACTGAGCGGTAAGTACCCACCTTCCCCGGTACTGGGGGTCTATTAACACAGGGCTCTCTATACTGAGCGGTAAGTACCCATCTTCCCCGGTACTGGGGGTCTATTAACACAGGGCTCTCTATACTGAGCGGTAAGAACCCACCTTCCCCGGTACTGGGGCTCTATACTGAGCGGTAAGTACCCACCTTCCCCGGTACTGGGGGTCTATTAACACAGGGCTCTCTATACTGAGCAGTAAGTACCCACCTTCCCCGGTACTGGGGGTCTATTAACACAGGGCTCTCTATACTGAGCGGTAAGTACCCACCTTCCCTGGTACTGGGGGGTCTATACTGAGCGGTAAGTACCCACCTTCCCCGGTACTGGGGGGTCTATACTGAGCGGTAAGTACCCACCTTCCCCGGTACTGGGGGGTCTATACTGAGCGGTAAGTACCCACCTTCCCCGGTACTGGGGTCTATTAACACAGGGCTCTATACTGAGCGGTAAGTACCCACCTTCCCCGGTACTGGGGGTCTATTAACACAGGGCTCTCTATACTGAGCGGTAAGTACCCACCTTCCCCGGTACTGGGGGCTCTATACTGAGCGGTAAGTACCCACCTTCCCCAGTACTGGGGGCTCTATACTGAGCGGTAAGTACCCACCTTCCCCAGTACTGGGGGCTCTATACTGAGCGGTAAGTACCCACCTTCCACGGTACTGGGGGTCTATACTGAGCGGTAAGTACCCACCTTCCCCGGTACTGGGGGGTCTATACTGAGCGGTAAGTACCCACCTTCCCCGGTACTGGGGGGTCTATACTGAGCGGTAAGTACCCACCTTCCCCGGTACTGGGGGTCTATACTGAGCGGTAAGTACCCACCTTCCCCGGTACTGGGGGTCTATACTGAGCGGTAAGTACCCACCTTCCCCGGTACTGGGGCTCTATACTGAGCGGTAAGTACCCACCTTCCCCGGTACTGGGGGTCTATACTGAGCGGTAAGTACCCACCTTCCCCGGTACTGGGGGGTCTATACTGAGCGGTAAGTACCCACCTTCCCCGGTACTGGGGGTCTATACTGAGCGGTAAGTACCCACCTTCCCTGGTACTGGGGGTCTATACTGAGCGGTAAGTACCCACCTTCCCCGGGTTCCCCCCGGTCCCCACGAGGCGGGCGGCGCTGGGCAGACATCGCAGGAATCCCGGACCAACAGCTGCCGATTTAAATCCCCGCTTCCTGGCTCAGAGCACGTGTCACCGTGTAGCCACGCCCACAGAGTGCGTTCCCACTGGTAGCTGCTGCTCCCCATTCAAATAAAGCAACTGGGTTCACAGGGATCATGTGACTGCCGGGGTCACGTGGTACCGAGGTGAACAGGAAGCGGGAAATTCAAATCAGCCGGAACTGCTGTGCTGGGCAACTCTCTGTCAATCATTCACTGATCTGTCACTCATACACAGTGACTGTCAATCATTCACTGATCTGTCACTCATACACTGTGACTGTCAATCATTCACTGACCTGTCACTCATACACAGTGACTGTCTCACTCTCTCACTGATCTGTCACTCATACACAGTGACTGTCAATCATTCACTGACCTGTCACTCATACACAGTGACTGTCTCACTCTCTCACTGATCTGTCACTCATACACAGTTACTGTCTAATTCACTGATCTGTCACTCATACACAGTGACTGTCTCACTCTCTCACTGATCTGTCACTCATACATAGTGACTGCCTCACACTATCACTGATCTGTCACACATACACAGTGACTGTCTCACTCTCTCACTGATCTCTCACTCATACACAGTTACTGTCTAATTCACTGATCTGTCACTCATACATGGTGACTGTCTCACTGATCTGTCACTCATACATAGTGAGTGTGGGAGAGAGTGAGACAATCATTGTATATTAGTGACAGATCAGTGAGAGAGTGAGGCAGTCACTATGTATGAGTGACAGATCAGTGAGTGTGGGAGAGAGTGAGGCAGTCACTGATCTGTCAATCTTTAACACAGACTCTGTCTCACTCACATTGTCTACTCTGCTCACTGTTTTTCTCCCACTCACTCTGTCAGTCTAGCTCTCTCACATTCACTCACGCTCTGCCTTTCCCTCACACTCTCTCTCCACACTAACTCACTCTATCTTTTGCATTCTCTCAGGTCTATTAATTACAGAAAGACTTTTGTTTGGGTGGACAAAATTCTGTGAAAATTCTGACCATATTGGCATTCATCATATTTATTACAGCAAAATTGCTTAACCTAACCAAATCTGCGCCATTCGACTGGACGCATTTTGACCTGGTTTAAAACTCTGTGCTTTTTGCATGTAACCCCTCTGTAAAGTATAGGATCTGCAATATTTATAAAACACTGATTTGTTGAGTTCATCTGGTAGGATACACATTATTTTACACATGATTTTTTTTCAAGTGGCTGATTATTTTAAGCAATATTTGCCTTCTGCATAACATAGCAGCTTATGCTGTAGGCGAGGGGCATGTCTACTAAAAAGTAAGCAGTCAGCTGCTCGCGATAAATAAAATTAGCAACTGGGCCTATAGTATGGTGATGGTGTGAGTGAATTACCCGTAGACCTGTCACGGAACCCGTTCCACTCATTTCTCAGTGTCAGATCATCCATACCCAGCAGGTGGGGGCTATATAATAAATCATAGAGAAGAAATATGGTCTGTCTGCCACTCTTATGCTCTGTGTTCTGCACCCATTCTGTACCCCTGACATTACAACATCCTCTCTATGAACTATAATAACCGCGTTAAAGCGCTTATTTTGCAAAAAACCCTGAAGGTGACATCTCTGCAAGGGGGCCAGTGGCCACAGGATGCAGAGATGAAGTCTCTCGTGGCCACCACCATTTTCTAATCTATCTGATGATGGCCTTCGACTCCTGACTTTATTTGCCAGAAGCTGTCAAGACTATTTCTCTATGAAATCCTAAAAGTGACAGTCACTTTAAACAACAGATCCTGTTTGGTTGTCAGAATTTCTAAACCACCTTCATCCTTTCTCGGCTTACTATGTTAGTGTACATTAAATGAAATATGCCTCTAAAACAGTAATGTGTTCTACAGCCTTTTATGATGGTTTTCTGTTTTGAACTAGAAAATATTTCAACATTTTGGTTATTCAACATCTAGTGTTAGTCATATCTATTCCTGGTAGTAGTTATAAAGAAAGGTCCGTTAGTAATATGGTTACTTAATTTGGTTTTGATTAGTTCCCATCCCACAGATGGGCTTTGTCCATTCTGATTAAGGGAACTAGCTTGCTCAATGTGAACAGAAGAGTTCCCAACCCATCCTGCTAATCGATGGTGTGCCCCCTAGTGGCCAGATCCTGTATAAAGCTGGTAACAAGATTACTCAAAATGAACATGCTGGTCCTCCCTTAGTGGTCAAGCCCTGCATAGTCTGGTATGGTCCTAAGTAAGAACTAATTATTGTACCACTAATGGACCTTTCTACGTTAAAGGGACATGCATCACATTAAGACAACTGTTTACCTGATAAATAGCAAGTAAACATGATTCCCCCCCCCCTACCCCCCCATGACCTGTTTCTTCTTTCCTATGCTTTCCTCACTAACTCCAGGGAGGGCACTGATCTAACCAATCAGTGCCCTATCCCTAGGAATGATGGAAAACTGTTGGGCATACCTGTCAGATTCACACATGTGCAGTTAGATCTCTTCAGCTTGGAACATTCTGACAGGGGGAGGAGAGATGGAGTTTGATCAGTGTGATCATGCAGAGCAGGCTTTATAAATTATGATTTACTGCTTCTCAAAGTTTGTTGATTTATTTTGGTTTTCACATTTGTGTAAAAGTGTTTGCTAGGTGATTTAAAAAAAAAAAAAGAAGCCAAATGATGCATGTCCCTTTAAGGAAGGCTAGATGGGTTTTGTAAATATGCATCTAGGTTATATCAAAGTGGAAAAACTAAGATGCAAGTTTTAGGTCAAAATTGCTGAACTGTGGTGCAGGTTCCAAAAAATATAATTCCAATGGGGAGTGGGAAATAAACACTTATTGATTATTCACTAATCTGTGACCTGGGGATAAGACAAAGGTTAGTGTAGCTGAACTGCCTGATTCATACTAAACTAAAGCTGTGTGGCATTTCTACAATGTCTGATTGTTTTGAATGGTACATATTTATAACACAGAACAGAAACAAACATCCCATGTTTCAAAAATATTTTTTCACGCCTCACCTCCCCTTAGGTTCTCCAAAGGGACAAGTGAAAGAATGTGCATCTTGGGATTGCACAGGGTATCAAGATTACAATACTTGAATTTTGACAGGACTGTAATATCCAGTCTAGTGTCCACAGAAATGGTATGTGTTCCATTGGCAAATACAGTATGTACTACATTTAAAGAATCACTCCACACCAATAGCACCTCAGCTTGCTGAAAAACCACCTATGTAAAAAAAAACAACATTGCAATGGTTTTCTGTATGACTATCAGTCTCTCACATGGTTGGAGGAATTTTGGCCAACTCTTTACAAAATTACTTCAAATGGCAGCAAACCTCAACAAACTGTTTATGCAAAACTCTTTTAAGGTCCTGCCACAGAATTTCAGTCAGGTTATGTCTAGACTTGGGTGAGCCATTGCAAAACCTTGATTCATTTCTTTCGGCTATTCTGTTGTAGACTTTGCTTTGTGCTAGGAATCATTGTCCTGCTGCATGACCCAATTTCTGCCATGCTTTAGCTGTTGGACAGATGGCCTCACATTTGACTCAAGAATACTTTGGTATACAGAGGTGTTTATGGTCAGGACCAGGACCTGTGGCTGTAAAACATGCCCAAGTCATTACCCTGCCACCATGCTTGACAGTGGCTGAGGAGTTTGTGCGGATTTGCAGTTTGGTTTTCACCAAATGTGACACTGCATTAAGGCCAATTATCTCATGGTTTTGTCTGTCCAAAGGACCCTTCCAGAAGTCTTGTGGCTTGTTCAGATGCAACTTTGCAAGTCAAAGCAGTGCTGCCATGTTCTCTTGAGAGAAGAGGCGAAATCCTGCCAACCCTTCCGACAATCCATACTTATTCTGTCTAATTGTAAAGCCATTGACATTAACAAGCTGAGACCTGTAGAGTGAGATGTAAACTTTGCAATTCCTGAGCATTGCAGTCTGACCTTGGGGTGAATTTGCTGGGATGTCCACTTCTGCAAGATTTGCAACGGTCTTGAATAATCTCACTGTAGATTTATACTTTAAATTGTTTGGAAAGCCTTAACCCATGGCTTCTCCGTTCTTGCTGTAGGTTTGTTAAATCATTCCTGTGAGGTTGTATTTACCCAATTTTAAGACCTGCCAAGTAGCAAATGGTTATATACTGATATGTAAAAGCATAGGATGCATAAATGTACTTTTTCCAAGTTACGGTTTTCTATTTATGAAAGAAAAAAAGAAAAGCAAATGTGTATTCTTGACCCTATAGAGTTACACTATTTAGCCACACAGACCCTTACACTCGTTTTCCTGGCATTATAGTGCCCTGAGGGTGCCCCCACCCTCAGGGTCCCACTGCCGCCGGGCTCTGGGGAGAGGAAGGGGTTAAAAATCTTACCTTTCTCCAGCGCCGGGTGGGGCGCTTTCCTCCTCTCCTTCCTAGCGACGTCATAGGCTGAATGCACATCAGGAGCCATGCGCATTCAGCTAGTTCATAGGAAAGCATTTACAATGCTTTCCAGTGGATGCTGGCGTCTCACTGATTTTCACAGTGAGAAGCACGCAAGCGCCTCCTGCGGCTGTCAGTGAGACAGCCACTAGAGGCTGGATTAACCCTCAGTGTAAACATAGCAGTTTCTCTGAAACTGCTATGTTTATGAAAAAAAATAAAAAAGGTTAACCCTAGCTGGACCAGGCACCCAGACCACTTCATTAAGCTGAAGTGGTCTGGGTGCCTATAGTGGTCCTTTAAGTAGAAAAGGTCCCTTTATTCCAGCACTGCGTGGGTTTGCCTGTGCTGGCCCTGCCCCAAGCCACCTTTGTGGAAATCAGAATTTATGATCAATCCAAAAGTTTCCCCATTGGAAAGTGCTGGGAGGCTAAAACACTGCAGCAATCAGCATCTCTTCAGAGATTTATTGATTAGATTTACTTTGATACATTAATACAAATCATTCAATTCTCAGGGAAAGTTGTTTGAAGATTGTCACATGAATGCACAGAATCTTTAATATTGCATTTTTTATTTATTATTTATATTTTTATTTAAACAGTGCAATTCAACAAAAAATAAAAATAAAAAGACACTATAAATATCTGGAATGCATATAGCAAGTTTCCTTAACAGGAAGTACAGAAATGGCTAACCCGTTTAGATTAACATGGAAAACGTTTGTTAGTTCAGTCGACTTCCTCCATTCTAGAGGAGTCTTCATCTCCTTCAAGGGGAGGCATTTCTTCTGTTACTGGTTGATTTAACTCTTCAGTTGTGGAATCGTCTTCATCAATACCTAGAGGGCAAGTAAGACTTTAAGGTTATGATTGCTTGACAATTTTCAAAGTTTGGATATAATTCTATATCGGGTTCAGTTTCCACTCCACTAGTCATTTGAGACACTTTAGCCCTGGTGATTAAATAATCACTCTGGTGGGTAGTGGCTTGTAGTGGTGAGTAACATTGAATGCCTTGCTATTAGCACATTTTAAGCCCAATACATAAACATACCCCCTTCCCCCACTAGATCATTTCCTTTTAAAGTTAAACTTTACGACAACAATTTTGAGATCGGACCTTTACAGTGCAATATGCCCTACTGGGCACTATGGGGAAGGTCCCCTTCAAATTTTCAGTAAAATTTGAAGATCCGTTCTTTTCCATTCCCTCTGACACAGGGGCTGCACCAAGGTCCAATCACAGCCTCTCAGATTCCTGGGATTAGACCACATTGCTGGCTCAGAGCGCATATGCACACTCCAGGCCAGCAAGGGAGGTTTGACTCCTAATGAGTAAAACGGGAAGGGAGAGTTTGCTTCTTGTCTGTGTGCAGACAATTTATGCACAGAATTGACATTAGGCAGCCCGCAACAGAGTTCTGCCAAAGTCACATGTACTGGGGTGCATCTTGCCCAGACAGTGTCAAGATCTCCATGTGCAGCATTTCAAGATGAAACATTACACATTCAGGTGCTAACCACCATGTCACTGAAGTGGTCATGGCTGTTAGGGTAACCCTTTGACTGCTTACATGGAGTTTCACATTAATAGCACAGAATGACCAAGACTTAATCAAAAAGTATTACCTTCAACTTTTAGTAGAGTTTGTACAAACCAGAGTTTTAAGACACCGATATATAGTTGAAAAGCTCAACTTACCTAAACCAAGTTTAATCATTCTGTAGATTCTGTTGGAGTGTGTCTGTGGGTCTTCAAGGCTGAAGCCAGAAGATAGGAGGGCAGTTTCGTATAGCAATATAACCAAGTCCTTTACAGACTTGTCATTCTTGTCAGCGTCAGCCTTCAGTCGTAGTGTTTCAATTATTGAGTGATCTGGGTTGATCTCAAGGTGTTTCTTTGCAGCCATGTAACCCATTGTCGAATTGTCCCTTAATGCCTGAGCCTTCATGATACGCTCCATGTTTGCCGTCCAACCGTACGTGCTTGTTACAATGCAGCAAGGAGAAGTGACAAGTCTATTTGACACCACAACCTAGAATGTAGATAGCAGCATTAGCAGATGTTCAATCTAAATAAGCAGTTACCAATTCTAGAAAAACTGATTAAATTCCTACCTTTTCCACTTTTTTTTCTAGAATATCCTTCATAATTTTGCACAAGTTTTCAAACGTTGATTTCTTTTCCTCCTGTTTCTTTTTCTCTTCCTCATCTTCTGGAAGTTCCAACCCTTCTTTTGTTACAGAGACCAGTGTTTTGCCTTCAAACTCTTTAAGCTGCTGTACACAGTACTCATCGATTGGTTCAATCATATATATTACTTCAAGACCATGTTTCCTTAGCCTTTCCACAAATGCAGAGTGTGCCACTTGCTCTTTTGTTTCACCTGTTTAAGAAAACCATTGAAGGAGACTCCATAATGATGCCAAATTAGGTTGTCTCAAAACAGTTTTGGTCTAAGTTGCTTTGATACTGCTGGACAGCATGCACCCAAGAACTATATCTTAAGGATCCTCATGGTGGTTTTAAACCTTTGATGTGGCTTAGTCTATCCAGCCTTCAAACATTAGATGTGAAGATTAACAAGTGAGAATCATTAATCACTGTATTTGTTAAGAAGCCATGATGCAAGGCTTTTACTTTAAAAAAAAAAAAAAAAAAGTGTGACCAAGACAGTCTGTGGTGCTTAGAACTGCCAACTGCACTAGTCATACCTGTAATGTAATAGATATGTTTTTGGTTCTCCTTCATTCGTGTGCAGTAGTCTTTAAGGGAGACCATTTCATCAGCAGATGCTGAAGTATAAAACCGCAATAGTTCTGAGAGTTTGTTACGGTTTTGAGAATCTTCATGAATACCAAGCTGGAATTGAAAAGGATACAATTAAGACTTGTTATGACCTTCGTGCTGTAGTAGTTTTGGTGCTATGGCAACACCAGATTAGCAAGAGTTTCAGAATGGTTTGACTTTACCTGGGGTCCACTGGGTGCTGCTCCCAGCTGGATGTTACTGCTAAAACAAGTCATTTCACTACTCATCCAGTTCAAGGAACCATGCTTGGCTCAGAGCTTCCAAATAGGTAGAGGAAGAGACTGGCACCTGACTTCAGGCAAGTCAAACCTATAGCAAATTCTTATATTTGATGCCATAACCAAGTCCTAACTATTACAATGCTTTGAATGTTTGGTTAAACGGTAAGCAAGATACCAGTTTAGAAGTGTACCAATAAACCAATTCCTTAAACCACCTTATTTTAAACCTTCGAAATGTAGTTTGAAGCTATTGTTTTGATTACTCACCTTTATGTTCTTTGAAAACTGCTCATAGAACTTTTTGTAGTTTTCCTTATCCTCCGATAGTTCAGTGAAGAGCTCAAGACATTTTTTTACCAGGTTTTTCCTGATAACCTTTAAAATTTTACTCTGCTGCAACATCTCTCTGGAAATGTTCAGTGGGAGATCCTCAGAATCCACTACGCCTCTGATAAAATCTAATTTAGACACGAGTAGAGGTTAAAGTTAGTACTTTTCATGAGCTAGTAAAATTAAACCCTAGATACAAGTGCTTTAACAAAAAAACAAACAAAAAAAATAAAAATTATATATATATATATATATATATATATATATATATATATATATATATATATACACACACACACACACAAATATATATATATATATATATAGTTTTTACTCACTCAAATATTCAGGAATGAGCTCCTCACAGTTGTCCATAATAAACACTCTACGGACATACAACTTGATGTTATTTTTCTTTTTTCGGTTCTCAAACAAGTCAAAGGGTGCTCTCCTTGGCACAAACAACAGAGCTCTGAACTCCAGCTGGCCTTCAACAGAGAAGTGCTGCAATAGAGTTATTTATTAGAAAAAAATTTAAGCTATAACATTAACATTGATCAAACACTTGCACTTGCACTGCGGACCATTTTACAATTGAGATTTACCTTGACAGCCAGGTGATCCTCCCAATCATTAGTCAAGCTTTTGTAGAATTCTCCATACTCCTCAGTAGTTATATCGTCGGGATTCCGAGTCCAGATGGGCTTTGTCTTATTAAGCTCTTCCTCGTCAATGTACTTCTCCTTAATCTTTTTCTTTTTCTTCTTGTCACCATCTTTTTTGTCATCTTCCTCTTCATCAGATCCAACATCTTCAATCTCTGGTTTATCTTCAGTTTCCTCATTTTCTTCCTCTTTCTTTTCCTCCTTCTCTTCTTCAGCTTCATCATCACTGACTTCTTTATCACGTTCCTTTTCCACCTTAAAGAGGATACACAAGGTTAGAGCTTTAGGTTGTAGCAAACCGTGTTTTTATAGGGGCTTAGAGGTATACAAGTTAACTTACAAAGAGTGTAATAGGGTAGCCAATGAACTGGGAATGCTTCTTCACAATTTCCTTGATCCTTTTTTCTTCCAAATATTCAGACTGATCTTCCTTCAAATGCAAGATGACCTTTGTACCACGACCCAGTGGCTCACCTGTTAAAGAGTCCAGATTCAGGACAGTTTACTTTATGAGAACTAAAAGCAGTAGAGCTTCAATACAACCTAGAAATTGTATAATGTAAGCTCTTGAGCAGGGCCTCCACCTCATGTTATACTCCATATAAATTACTTGATAATGACAAAAAGCAGCAGGAGAGAATACCTTGCATTAGCCTTCTAATGTTAAGATTAAGAAACACTGTAAGCACCAAAACAAAGTTAGCTTAATGAAGCCGTTTGTTGTATAGGGTCATGCCCCTGCAGTCTCACTGCTCAATTCTCTGCCATTTAGGAGTTAAATCACTTTGTTTATGCAATCCTAGTCACACCTCTGTTGTGAGTGACTAACAGCCCCTATTAAAAAAAAAAAAAAAATTATATATATATATATATATATATATATATATATATATATATATATATATATATATATATATTATATATATTTTTTTTAAATGCAGAGTCATTAAGGTACATTTGTTTTGGTAGCTATAGTGTCCCTTTAAGTTTTCCTGAAGCATTTTTGTTTCAGGGCCCCTTGTAGAAAGATCATAAGATGTCTTAGTCTTGCTGCAGCTTCTTACTCAGATAACATCTTTACTATTTTCAGTCCAAATGCTGCACCATGCCAATAAGATTCTTAAAGCAGTATTAAAATGCTTCTCTAAGGGGACCGATAACTGAAGTGTCATAAGACTAACAGTTTTCACTCAAAAGTGCCTAGAGTGATACGTTTCTACAAGATAGTGTTTATGTTTGACGTGTAATGACAGTATTTAGGCACCAAGGACACTTCAAGTTGTAGTGGTTTTGATTCTTAGAGTATCCACAAAAGTGATAGGTTTTCACAGCAGCCATTCATGCATTTGCAGTCTAGATGTTGACATCAACTCATCTGATTAACCCTTCACTTGTCCGTTGGCTGAGATACAAGGGTTCTCATGTGGACTAACAGGCATTCAGCATCTTAATGCTGAACCAAGACAACCACTAGAGGTTCACATATATAAATGTAAACACTGCGTTTTCTGAAAGAGGTATTGTTCACAGATGACAGATTGGAGGGGCATTCTTTGAACCAGAACCACTGCATTAAGCTGTAGTTCTATTGCCTAGAGTATCCATTTGAGGTAATCCTTCCCTTTGTCCAATCATAGCTATAATGTAGAAGTGTAAGAATATAAGGTCTTACTGTCGTCTACTTTTACAGTGAATGATCCACCAGCTGAAGACTCCCAGGCGTACTGCTCATCATCATTGTGCTTGGTGATCACCGTAACTTTCTCTGCAACAAGGTAGGCTGAGTAGAAACCAACACCAAACTGGCCAATCATTGAAATATCAGCCCCTGCTTGCAGAGCTTCCATGAAAGCTTTGGTTCCAGACTTGGCAATAGTACCCAGGTTGTTAATAAGATCTGCTTTGGTCATCCCAATGCCAGTGTCAATAATCGTGAGGCTGCGATCCTGTTTGTTTGGAATCAGGCTAATTTTCAGCTCCTTTCCAGAATCCAGTTTGCTTGGGTCGGTCAGACTCTCATAGCGGATTTTATCCAGAGCCTAAAATGAAGTCAACATGTTAACTGTAAGGTCAAAATTTGACAGAAAAAAGCTTAACCATATGGTTACAAGTACATTATGTACATACATCAGAAGAGTTAGAAATGATTTCTCGAAGGAAGATCTCTTTATTGGAATAGAATGTGTTTATAATCAAGGACATCAGCTGAGCAATTTCAGCCTGGAAAGCAAACGTCTCCACTTCATCGTCCTCCATTTGTAGGTCCTGGGTAGAAGTTTTCACTTCTTCTGGCATCTAGAATATGCAAGAGAATATTAGAGAACATTCTAGTTAGCAGGAATATTGCATGCTACAGTACAGTGATTTGACAGGTTTTTAGGACACTTTAATTGTTAGCCAATAGAAACAAACTATATAAAGTTATATTTGCTAAAAAGCACAAGTAATAGGGTTCTTCCAAGACAGAGTGCAGAAATCCAAGTGCCAAAATAGATCAATAAGCAATAGCACATTATTAATTGCACTGCATCACTAGAACTTCTAATTCTAGATGGAGTGTTGTAGAGCAGATAGATTTATGCCATAGTGCCTCCTGCTGGTAAGACATTTGAACTACCTTTTTCTAGAAGCTACTATGAAGTAGCCAAGCATTCACCCCCACCATGTAGCTTAAGGTGAATTTACGCAACAAAATTCTTTCAGTTTTGTATGAGCCAAATAGGCCTATCACAACTACTCAGAAAATCATGTCCATTGACCATAAAGGCAATAAAACAGTCAATGCTAGAGTTAATATAATTGCATAGGTTACACCACAAATCTCTATAAAAAAATTGAAGTTACAAAATGTTTATACCAAGAGACCAAGCTTGAATTAAAAACTGCCATATTCCTAAAGCAAAGCTTTAGCTCAATCTGCCATGGTAATGCAGATCTTAATAAGATGCAGCTGCTATGAGAAGCTGTAGTTACAGGGACATTAACCAATGACAAGGTTACAAAGAGTTAAACACTATTCACAGTGCATAAATACACAAAGTAGGAAGATGCAGACCATTTCAACTCATGCCTGTATGTAAATGGGCACAGAATTACCACCTGCATTAACAAGGCACAAAACAAAACCAATTATTTAGACAGATTACAGTAAGAGCATGAACAAGAGAGCATCAAGGGGCTACATTAAAGAAAAAGGCAGTAACCCCTTAATTCAGACCATTCTTGATGGACTCCAACCTTTAATACTGTGCAAATCAACAAGAAGAGTCTTAATAGCACATCTCTTCGGCTATACTAGTCATAACCCAGGGTACCATAGCCAAGCCATTTCTCAGGTCTGGTAAAAAAAAATGAACACTGTTAGAAGACCCTACAATACAAGTGTTAAAAGATAACCAGCACCAGGATACCCTGACATACAAAGTGCTAAAGGATGACTACCATTAACAGTGATCCTATAACATTGTGTTAAACCATGACCCCCATTAGGAGATCCTACAATACAAAGTGTTAGACCATGACCCCTATTAGGAGATCCTACCATACAAAGTGTTAGACCATGACCCCCATTAGGAGATCCTACCATACAAAGTGTTAGACCATGACCCCCATTAGGAGATCCTACAATACAAAGTGTTAAACCATGACCCCCTTTAGGAGATCCTACCATACAAAGTGTTAGACCATGACCCCCTTTAGGAGATCCTACAATACAAAGTGTTAGACCATGACCCCCTTTAGGAGATCCTACAATACAAAGTGTTAGACCATGACCCCCTTTAGGAGATCCTACAATACAAAGTGTTAGACCATGACCCCCTTTAGGAGATCCTACCATACAAAGTGTTAGACCATGACCCCCTTTAGGAGATCCTACAATACAAAGTGTTAGACCATGACCCCCTTTAGGAGATCCTACAATACAAAGTGTTAGACCATGACCCCCTTTAGGAGATCCTACAATACAAAGTGTTAGACCATGACCCCCAGTAGGAGATCCTACCATACAAAGTGTTAGACCATGACCCCCTTTAGGAGACCCTACCATACAAAGTGTTAAACCTTGACCCCCATTAAGAGATCATATCATAAAAATAAATAGTGTTAAAGTACCAGTACATTTATCTCCCCATGCAGACCAGGGAACCAACAAGACAGAGCTGCCAGAGACCCAGGTCTCTGAGGCTGCGACACTCTAGCCGTCACTGACCGCCTCTCTATGGTGCTGAAGGACAGCGCGTCCCATAGACATTCTCTCAGGATGCCCAGACTGACAGCCACCCCTCGGGGGACCCTACCCTGGAGGAGGAGGGATGTCTCTGCAATCTCGGCATTTATAGAGGATGGCGAGGTTACAGGTTACCATGACGGGAAGCCAATGAATGGCAGCGGTGAGTGTATACCTTTATGCAAGTCCGCTTTAATCGGCTCCAGGCGTCACACCGTGAATACACCGCAAAGCGCACTGAGCACTGAGCCGCAGACAGCGCCTTTTATACCTCGCCGCCCGCCTCGCTCCTTCCAGAAGCCTCTGGAATCTTCACTGACGTATCGGAGGGCGGGAGGATCCGCGCGGACGGCCGTTCCCGGCCAATGGGAGCGCTCGGAGGGGCTCGTGCTTGCGTTTGTGTGTGTGTGTGTGTGTGTTTTTGTGTGGGCGGGGCAGGGAGAGCTCGCGAATATTCTCAAACTCTCTGGCGGTTTGAAGGTGTGCGTGATGTCATCGGTCCGTGGAAAACACTAGAAGCATTTAGAATGGTTTCCATGGACTCTTTACCTCAGCCAATAATAGTAATAAATATAATGAGCATTACACTTTAACCAACATTACACTTTTTTTTCAAATTTATTTTTTATATATGATATAGAATTTTATTCTAGATTTCATAGAAGGTTTATTTATTTTTCTCCAGCATTCAGCAAGGTCTGATTACTGAACAGGAAGTTCAATATAGTCAAATTAAAATAAATTAATCAAGTTTATCAGAATTTTAGGATTTATTTTTTTTCCAACTGTTTTGGTCCATTATTGTTATCTTTGACATCACTGCTATTTGCTTTCTAGTACATGAGAAGCCTTTGCCTAGGTCTAGGACACAGATAATATTTTGTTTTTCCCATGTTGATGGGGTTAACGTAACACAGTTAAATGTCGCAGCTGCATAATAATGTTGAGATATATATTAGCAGGAACAGCATACACGGAGAGACACAACCAAGTTGCTAGGATTGTGTACCGAAACATCTGTACAGACTATGGATTGGACCTGCCTAAATCCAGATGGGAAATACCACAAAGGGTAGTTGAGAATGACAGGGCTAAGATCCTGTGGGACTTCAAAGTCCAGACAGACAAGCAAGTGCTGGCCAACTATCCTGACATCGTGGTGGTAGACAAGGAACGGAAGACTGCAGTCGTGGTGGATGTGGCAATACCCAGTGACTATAACATCAGGAAGAAGGAACATGAGCAGGTGGACAAATACTAAGGACTGAAAGAAGAACTAGAAAGGATGTGCAAAGTGAAGGCAACAGTAGTCCCGGTTATGATCGCAGCACTCGAGGCTGTGACTCCTAAGTTGGGGGAGTGGCTTCAACAGATTCCAAGTGGGACATCTGAGATCGCTGTCCAGAAGAGTGCAGTTCTAGGAACAGCTAAGATACTGCGCAGAACCCTCAAACTCCCAGGCCTATGGTAGAGGACCCGAGAATGAGGAATAAACATACCACCCAGAAGGGATGAGAAATCAATTATTACACATTTTTTTTCCCACAGAATACCATTTAAATTAAACGGCTTGATTTCCAGATGGAGGCAGTTGTATTTTCTTGCCTATGACATACCTCCCAGTCACCCAGGACTTGTACATGGCCCCCAGCCATCACCTTCTCCCGAGAGAACTATGGCCGAACCCGAATACCCCTTCTAGGCCATGCCTCCCAACCTAGTGCACCCCTAAAGCAGCCCAAGGAACTTCAGAAACCAGCAGAGATACGGCAAACCTGACAAGGAGCTACCTACAAACTTCCTGGAAATCCAGATCGGATCGCAGAGCCACCGCGGTTCAGAGTCAGTCTTTATTAAGGTCGCTCTCACTCCCAGGACCTCCAAACAGAATGCTATTTGTAGGGATGATAGAGGAGGTGGTGAGGCATTGAACCAAGGACGAGGGAGCTCCATGTACTTACTCCGTATGCAGACATTGCAAGTGACTTCCCACCCAGCGCTCTGGAACCTCCTTGCTGGATCAGAGGATGCTCAGAGCCCGGTCAAAACTTACAAAACATATCATCTGCACTATTTGGGCTAGGCACCTCAGATCCGATTGCTTTATGCACGGAGCACCTGTCTAGGGGAGAGCTATCTGGAGTTGACACCATTTTGGTGATGTAGGCACAGAAATTTATGATTTGGGGGTGTTTTATTTTTCTGCGCCAGGGTGTCTGACCATATCATGGAACTCGTCAGGTACAGACACACAAGCGCCAGGTATTGTGCAATCTCATTGTTCGTCGGGTGAGCCCCTATTGGGGATCCAGGTATAAAAAGGGGAGTTACTAATAAACTGTGCTTGTTTTACCCCTACATCAAGCCTCATCTGATGACTGGGGGGAGCCATAACTGCTCCGAGGGAGCTTGTGCTGGGCCATACATTTTATTAAGTTTGCAGGCTTGGCATCCTTTTCCTAATGTTGTACTCTCTACAACTGCAGTACTGGTGCCTACATAATTTAAAGCGGCATAATCATGCTTAATAAAGGCCTCTGTGTAGGCTGAAACTTAGTTTTGTTCCAATAAATCTGCCTTCCTGCAGCAATCCTGAGTGCCTGGACCTAATTCATTTTATCTACTAAACTGGGTTTTGCCAACCCTGACCATGATAAGCACCTAGATTCCTAAGTGTGAGTGCGTTATCCTCCGTTTGTGAATTACTATATAACTTAAATCGGCATGATTACTTTGCAGATTTTGCTTTTACATTTATCATTTTTTTCTTTCCTTTTATTCTCTATGGCTTTATTATTTGAAATTCACCTTATAGGGACTACTTTTTCTCATGTGATCTTCTTCTGAGGAGGACCCACAGGAAATGCTAATTCTGCCAAGTCCCCAGATGGTAACAGTGCCGCTTTAAGAGTATGCACCTCCTCTCTCACCACTGCAAGTTCAACAATTAAGAGATACAGTGTTCTAAGGAATGGGAAAATAGGGACCATCAGTTGCTGGTATTTTGTTGACCGTTTTAGAGCGACTATCTTATTATGAGGAAGAGTAGACATCAAATGTTAGCACATTTGTGAAAATAGGCTCCACAGTGTCCCTGGATTTCTCTACAGGAAAAGGCCTTGAACTTTCTTTTGACATTAATGTAAAAGAAATAAAATGGAGTGGAAATGTTGGGTTTGGAAGCTCATATACAGCTATTGAAGGAATCAGCATCAGTTCACTCAGAAGATAACTTCTCTCCCTAGTGCTTTGTTACTTTTCACAAAAAAAACATGTTTTATTACAATGCAGAAATCACAAAAATGTGGAGGAAACGAGATAAACCAATGCAAATAAAATGTGTGTACCAAGCTCTCCAAGAAGTGATATGTTCAAAGTGTTTTTGAAAATGACTGTGTTAACCTTCAATGTGTGTCATTCCTTTTCCTGGACTACTTCTTAATATGTGTCTTAATAATCAATGTAACAAGCATGTCAAACAGTAATGAGTAAATTATGGCCATCAGGCCTTGTCTGAGAAAAACACTTTGCTGATAGCAGCAGCAACACTCACAGAAAATGTGGATTGGAAGTACATAAAACAACAAACTTTTTAAAAGCAAAGAAACAAGTGTTCATTGAATTCTATGAACTTTTTAGAAGTATGTTAATTTAATGTGATGTTTGAAGTGTAAAATAGGAATTGGGAAACAAAGCATTGACAAATATTAATTTGGTAATAAAATATTTTATTAACACTCATTGTCATATAACAATCTTAAATAATTTGGCAGCAGATACATCACAAAAAACCCATAAACCAATCACACAAAATAAAAAATAAAAAAACAATAAAAGGTGCATTTGTGAAATACTGCAATAATCTATACATTCTTCTCTATGGCAATTAACAGTTCCAGCTGAGGACATATTAATAAACACATAGCCCAAAAATCGTTTATTTTATAAGAAAATCTTAGTCAGGCACTCTCCTCAGGAGATGTATATTCAATAGTTCTAGGAAAGATATTCACATCTGATAACACCAGCAACAGTGAATAGGAGTAAAGTCGTCAGCATAATTAATCAACTTCTTCCATTCTGGATGAATCCTCATCTCCTTCCAAGGGTGGCAGTTCCTCCAGTACTGGACTTGCCTGTTCTTCTAGACTGGACTCATCTTCATCAATTCCTGTCAAAAAAAAGACAAATGACTTATTGAAACCTACTGTTCCCTTCGGACCACAGTAATATGTTTTTACTTAATATACCAAGGAGGTTATAAAAACTAATAAAAAACAAACAACCTTTTCACTATGAAACTAATCTCTTACCTAAGCCAAGTTTGATCATTCTGTAAATGCGGTTAGAATGTGTCTGTGGATCTTCCAGGCTGAATCCAGATGACAGGAGTGCAGTTTCAAAGAGAAGAATTACTAGATCCTTTACAGATTTGTCATTCTTATCAGCCTCAGCTTTCTGTCTCAGTGTCTCAATGATTGAATGATCTGGGTTGATCTCCAGGTGTTTTTTGGCAGCCATGTAACCCATTGTCGAATTGTCTCTAAGGGCCTGAGCCTTCATGATACGCTCCATGTTGGCAGTCCAACCATATGTACTGGTCACTATACAGCAAGGGGATTCAACCAAACGATTGGATATCACCACCTAGACATAGCATAGAAAAGATGGTTTTGGTTATTACATGGTACATAGTAATCAAGGTTGAATAAGTTACTTTAAGTTCAACATTTCACACATCTGTGTATGCTGTTGATCCAAAAAAAGGCAAATGACCCAATACAAAGCGATTTTCAACTGCGCACATAATTTGAAAAATTCCTTCTTGACTCCAAACAAACAGCAATCAGATTTCTCCCCCATTAAACCAGCTATTATCCTACTCATGTATCCTTAGGTATTACAGCATAAAATTATATGTCTCAATACTAATTTCTTGGCAGGCTGAAATAACAGTTATTTTAGTTGTTACTGCTGTGAAGAAATGTGATTTACTCTACGACTTAAGCTTGCCACATCATATTGACTAGTGACATGTTTTATATATAGCTTTCTTTTCATTCAGAAACAATACATAGAAACAAACTAACCTTCTCTATTTTCTTATCCAAAATGTCCTTTATTAGCTTGCAGAGATTCTCAAACTTGGCTTTTTTCTCCTCATTGAGCTTTTTCTCCTCCTCATCTTCAGGAAGTTCCATACCTTCTTTAGTGACGGAAACCAATGTTTTCCCATCAAATTCTTTCAGTTGTTGGATACAGTACTCGTCAATAGGCTCCGTCATGTACAGCACTTCCAGACCGTGTTTCCGAAGTCTTTCCACAAAGGCTGAATTAGCCACCTGCTCCTTTGATTCACCTGTACCAAATTGGAACCCACATATTAGGAGAACTGCACAAGATTTGAGACTCTCTTGAATATCATGACCCAAAGAGTGAAGACAAAACAAACGAAGACTGAATATTATCTATTACCTGTGATATAATAGATGTGTTTCTGATTTTCCTTCATGCGTGAGACATAATCTGTGAGTGAGATCATCTCATCTCCAGAAGAGGAGGAAAAGTAACGTAAAAGTTCAGACATTTTCTTACGATTCTGTGAGTCTTCATGAATTCCAAGCTGAAAAATAGAAAATGCATACACTTTATTAAGGCATTAACACAAAAATGATGGTAAAATTGTCTTACCATCCTATGCCAACAATATAAAAATGACATTTGCAATTTAATAATTACAATTGTAGATCTGATGGTGGGTTTTTATTGGCCTACAATTATTAGTCTGCTTACTATAGATCACACAGTCTATAAATCAGCCTACCTTTATATTCTTGGAAAACTGTTCATAAAACTTTTTGTAGTTGTCTTTGTCTTCTGCCAGCTCAGTAAATAGTTCTAAACATTTTTTCACCAAGTTCTTCCTGATCACTTTGAGGATTTTGCTCTGCTGGAGCATCTCACGGGATATGTTCAGAGGTAGATCCTCAGAATCCACCACTCCTTTCATGAAATCTGCAAAACAATACAATAACATGAGTCAGAAAAAGACCTCTCTGTTTGCATGAAACCAAACATCTATCCTAGCTATACAACTGTAGAAATCCTTTAAGCATAGTTTGATAGAAGTTGATATAAGTTCTACATCTAAATCCCCAGATGTTGTAGAACTACAAGTCCATTGATGCTTTGCATGCCTTTAGAATGCATTAGAATGACAAAATATCACGGACACGTAGTTATAAAACATCAAGGGATCTATCTTTTAGGCACCTCTGTTCTAGAGTATGTTCAACTCAGTGATACAGCACTAGGCACATGACATAAAATTAAAAAAACAGACAATCATGGTGGAAAAACAAACCAAAGCAGATGGCTTAGTCAATATGGTAGTTCTTCACGGAATTAAAATTTTAAGTTATTTTTGCTTTCATAGATACTAGAAGTACTTTCTTTTTTAGCGCTTAATAAAGGAATGCAAGTCCATAACATCACCATAATCTTTTCTTGAAATACTGTCAAAGACTGTAGACCTGTATGAAGCCAATAAAAACCTCAGTTTGATATTTTTGTATAAGCTTTTTAAATGATTTCATATTTTTTTTTAAAAAATCTCATATATATATATATATATATAAAAAAAAAATCAATATATCAAAAAACACCATAATATTTTTCAAAATGTTAAATCATTCAAAAAGCGTATACAAAAATATTAAATCGAGGTCAAAGATAATTACGCAAGACAAGCCAAACTGGAATACGGTCATTACGGACCAGACTGTGGTGACAGTAAAATCTAAATTCTTTAAGGAGTTATTGTTAATGCTCTATAATTGAGAGTTATTATTCAGGTATAGGTATGTCAGCATCACTTACTGAGATATTCAGGGATCAGTTCCTCACAGTTGTCCATGATAAAGACTCTACGCACATACAATTTAATGTTATTTTTCTTCCTTTTGTTCTCAAACAGGTCAAACGCTGCTCTTCGTGGGGCGAACAACAGCGCCCGGAATTCTAACTGTCCCTCTACAGAGAAATGCTGGAAAATAGGACATTTCATTTTTCAGTACGAAAAAAAAACTGGAAGAGATCTTTGCAGAGAAAGGTATACACGAGAGACTGAGCCAAAGGCCTTCCTGACATTTTAACAGACAACAGTAAGCGATACAATCTCATTTATATCACTGATTAGGTGCTCCTGAGCCAATCCTCTTTTTTAACACCTCTTTCATTTCTTAACCCGATCCTCTATTATTCAAAGTTTAGAGTTCACCACAATGTTTTACCATAGCCTTAAATCCTCATTATATTTTCTAACCACTTACTCTAGCAGGTGACCAATTTGATCACAACTCTGTAGAGTGTGGCCAAATGAGAGGTCAGTTTGAATGCATTGAACTGCATTCAAACTGTTAACTACTGTTCTAGTGTCACTTCAAGATGATGAGTAAATTATACTGTTGCATTCTTGTAATGTGTATTTACTACAAAACTATCATTTAACACTCAATGTATTAATGCTCAAGAGTTGACAAGTGCTTACTTTAACAGCCAGGTGATCCTCCCAGTCATTTGTCAAACTTTTGTAGAATTCTCCATACTCCTCCGCAGTAATGTCATCAGGATTTCTGGTCCAGATAGGCTTGGTCTTATTCAGTTCCTCTTGATCAATATACTTTTCTTTTATCTTCTTAGTCTTCTTCTTCTTTTCCCTTTTATTTTCATCCTCCTCCTCATCAGAGCCCACATCCTCAATTTCAGGCTTTTCTTCTTCTCCCACTTTCTCATCCACCTTTTTGTCTTCTGCTATATCTTCGCCTTCATCATCACTGATCTCCTTCTCTCGTTGCTTTTCCACCTACGTATTAAAGTCAGAAGATCAATAATTGCTCTATGTTGCATTCTGCTGGTTTTGTCTGACATCTTATTTGCTGTCCACTGGTGGAGTCCTGTCTACATTCCTATGGCTTTAACCAGTTTAGTGCCTTATAAATCTGATTTCCTGTGCCCAAAATCAGATGTAATTAAAATATGAGCTTATCTGAGGTTTACCACTGAGAAGTCCAAAGACTTTATCAAATAAAACATTTCATTTTACAAACCAAAGCACTGAAGCAGTCATATAACACGTTGACCCATCTTTTCAGTGGGTGCATAATTTTAAATCCCCTGCTCCCTCTTGATTTGCTCTGTACTATGCACAAGTAAGGTGTGACATCTCTCCAGAACCAGTGGTGGAGCACAGAAATTCATATTGGACCACAACTCCATCTCTTCATTGGATCTCCCTAATACATAAGGCCGAATGCATTTAGAATAACAGAGGTAAATCAACAGCAACCAAAATGGGGGGAGGGGACAGACACAAAGAACATGTGTGCAAAATCCACTTATCTTAATACTAATATATAAGCAGAGTACCTTACTGCAGAAAATGCAATTAACACAATGCCTCAAAAAAAAATATATATATACTTAGCTAGAACACTGCAAAGGAATGTGTTCTAGGCCATTCAAATTGAGAAACACATTTTTGCAACCGATGGGTACCACAGACAACCCAAGATTTTTGTGGGCAATATTTGAGTTTCAGAAACATTCACATATTTAGGGCCCCAAGATTGATTGATAAAGCCCTATAGCAGCGATGGCGAACCTATTCCATGCGTGCCACAGCTGGGAAGCCAAGCCCTCTCTTTGGGCACACAGCCATAGGTCGCGGGCGCTGGTGCCGGTCGGCAGCCTTAGGCCCCCGGCGGCAATGCAGAGTAGGTACCTGCCTGCCCAAAACGGCAGTCGCCTACTCTGCTTTCATATTGTTGGTGGGCAGCAAAGGGGAGCTCTGACTTACGTGCTGTTCTAGCACTGCTCCCTCCGCGCCCTTCGCTGATGCTGCCGGGAGACAGGATATTAAGTCTGCGATGGCGCCTGATTTACGTAATTTCCGGTCTCCCAGCGGCATCAACGGAGGGAGCATTGCTGGAACAGCAGATAAGCCAGTGCTCCCCATGCCCACACCCCGGCACAGCAGGGGAATGGAATCAGATGCTGTGGGAAAGGAGGAGGAGGAGGAGGAGATGCTGTGGATAGAGAAGGGAAGATGCTGGTGGGAGAGGAGGAGGAGTTGCTGGGGGAGAGGAGGAGGAGATTCTGTGGGTAGAGAAGGGAAGATGCTAGTGGAATAGAAGGAGGAGGTGCTGGGGAGAGGAGGAGGAGATGCTGGAGGAGAGGAGGAGGAGGAGTAAATGCTCCTCATACAATTTCAGTCTGGTATGTAATCATATTAAAAGTTGAGTATCCCCTTGTACGCATCTTTGACACAATTTACATGCAGTTTTGGTGCAGCTGGACGGACAGAAACCTGATAAAAAATGCATGTCTATTGACAAACATACAAAGCTGCACCAAAACTGGATGTAAGACGGATGTAATTCTGATGTAAACTGTGCCAAAGCAGCATGTAAAATGCGTGCAAACTGCAGGTGGATAGGTGGGAATAGGTCTTTAGTTAGGTGAATCACCACCAAACACCAGTGTGTTTTCATTGAACTCTATGTTGTTGTGTTCTTCTTTAAAAACAAAAGATGTTAATTAGTTCGGACAACTGTATGAGTTGTTTTTTCTAAGCTTAAACTTCAGTATTCAGGTTTAATTGCTGTGTTGGCACTTGGAGGAGAAAAAGTTGGTTTGTATTGCGGTTTGGGCACTCAGGCTCAAAAATGTTCGCCATCACTGCCTTATGGAATGTACTAACATATTACATATACATAGATGATACTTACATACAAAGTTATTGGATATCCAATGAACTGTGAGTGCTTCTTTACAATTTCTTTTATTCTCTTTTCCTCCAAATATTCTGTCTGATCTTCTTTTAGGTGCAAAATAACCTTTGTGCCACGGCCAATTGGCTCGCCTAATGGTAAATAGTTTGAATAAGTGTATGTTCTGAGAGTGAACCAATAATGAAATACACTGACATCTGAAAATGCTTAAACCTCATAAAGACCAATAGACGTTTAGATAAAAAGAGAAATTGGACAACAAAATGTCACAACTAGTTCTCTCTCTGTTATGCTATATTTACGTGGCTCATTCTCGAAAAATAATTTAATAGAAAGAACTTGGGGAAAAATTGTTTATATGTATATTGGCTTTCTGATATTAAGTTTACTTACTCTACAGCAAGAGTAGACAATTTTAGGTCCTCTGCTGTTGAAGAACTAGAGAACTGCAACTTTCAAGATATTTTCTTAGCAAAGAAAGTCACGTGAGCTGAAGTTGTGCACTAGCATGAAATCTCAGTTTGGAGATTACTGCTCTAAAATGCTGACAGTCACACAGTTGCAATATGGACCTCTCTAATAAGAGAGGGGACTTACTGTTGTCTAATCTGACAGTGAATGATCCACCAGCTGAAGACTCCCAGGCGTACTGCTCATCATCATTGTGCTTGGTGATCACCGTAACTTTCTCTGCAACAAGGTAGGCTGAGTAGAAACCAACACCAAACTGGCCAATCATGGAAATATCAGCCCCTGCTTGCAAAGCCTCCATAAAAGCTTTGGTTCCAGATTTTGCAATAGTACCCAGGTTGTTAATAAGATCTGCTTTGGTCATCCCAATGCCAGTGTCAATAATTGTGATGCTGCGATCCTGTTTGTTTGGAATCAAGTCAATTTTCAGTTCTTTGCCAGAATCCATTTTACTCGGGTCAGTCAGACTCTCATAGCGGATTTTATCCAGAGCCTGAAAAACAAAATATTTCAAGATCAGACTTAATATATTAATTGAGAAAAAGACAAGTTGACAGGACTGAGAACACAAAAAATACCATTCTGTTTCTATGAATTTGTATTTGTAATAATCTGAAACCAATCATAAAGGACTTAGTAAAGTATAGCATTATTTTTTTAAAAGAAATAAAATATCTGACATCAAGACTTAAACAGTGCTGGCCTTGGCTGTGATGCTCAACCAAGTCTTCAGGCTGTCCGAGTATCATGGAAGTTGCAGTTCAAACATAATTAAAGACCAAACACTGCATAGTGAGCTGCAATCCAAAACTTTGGATCACAGGCATTGCTTGATTCTGAACTACAATTGCCATGATGATTAACTAAGCTTATGGGATGGCTGAGCATCATGGGAACTGTAGTTCACAAGAGGAGTTACAAATCGTTGTAAAGTGCAATGCTGTTTGTTAGACCAGCATTTACTACTAGCCTTGCATTATTGGAATTTTATATCACATAGATTTTATACATACATGACGAGTTTTGTGGGTAGGTGGCACCTAAGCGAATATCTAAACTGTATCTATCTTGCCAACCACCTAAGTATCTATACCTCTCCCCCATTGTCCACCCCTTCTGTCTAAACTCTCTCCTACCTGTAAGCATATGGCAACCTGTCAACGCTATTTGCTGCGCTCGGTCCTCTTGTGTAGCCTCATGCGACAGACTAGTGGCAGTGCTTTGAGTGGACAAGCAGGGGGCATAACATCAGATCCCCATCTATTTATCACCACTCACCCACCATCACAGGAGGTCAGTGGACAGCAAAGGATACCAACAGCTATGCCACTCTACAGAAACGATCAATGACTGGGGATTTAATGTTATATTATAACATGTTCACCACTCTCAGAACAGATTTTACACAAACTTACATCAGAAGAGTTGGAGATAATTTCTCGTAGGAAGATTTCCTTATTGGAGTAGAAGGTATTTATGATCAGAGACATAAGTTGGGCAATTTCTGCCTGAAATGCAAATGTCTCCACTTCTTCCTCCATCGCCTGACCAGGAACAGTTTTGATATCCTCTGGCATCTAGAAAAGGCATACCAAAAAAAAAAATCACTTTAAGAATGGATCCATACAAACTAGTGTTATTTGATGGTATGTCATACTTAGAGACATGGGACAAACATCATCTTGCTTCAACACTGCTTTAAAATATTACTACCGACTTGACATTTTCCATGAGTCAGTTTACTAGACTGTCTACAGATTGGACTTTGATTAGTCCATTAAAAGAATATGGAGCCAAGATTAAGCATGGTGGAGGGCCACAAGTATTCAGAGATTACCGAGGTAACAACGTCTAGAATTTACCACGTGTGACTTTCCACTACTCAAAAGAAAACATAAGGATTAAGATGTATAATAATAGAACAACCTTTAAAATCTCTGCCCACCTTGTCGGTTTCCTTGTGCTGGGATGTGTTCTATCACAGATCGTGATTCAGTAGGATGTTCCTGTATCCAGATAGATTATAGCTGGTCCTCTATCGGGATAGCTTCTATGTCGTCCGGTATCGGGATAGGTTATGTGGCTTGTCCAGTATCGGGCTAGGGGATATGTCTTGTCCTGTATCGGGATAAGGGATATGGCTTGTCCTGTATCGGGATAGGGGATATGGCTTGTCCACTATCGGGATAGGTGATATGGCTTGTCCTGTATCGGGATGCCGAATTCTGCAGTCTGTCGCTCGCTGGTCGCTGTCTGTCCCCAGATTTTGCATGCCGGTATTTATAAGGAGATCACTGCTCTCTGGAAGCTTCCTTCCCTCCTGACGATATTCTGGAAGCCGCCAGAAGCGAATCTTCCAGAGACCCAGATCAACTGCTGAACACCCCCCTCCCTCCTCCCGCAATAGCGGGAAACTATGCGCCAGTGGCTGGTGTAGGGTGTCGGGTATCTGGCCAGAGATGGGGGAAGACTCTCATTGACCAGGGATCTAAATTAAACAAGTATCATATTAATAGCTCCTCGGTCCCTGCATTTAGAGCATTAAGTCACCAATAGTGCTTGATGTGCAAAGGGCACAGCCTGCACAAGATTCCAAATGTGGAGCAGTTGCTATGGAAACTGATTTAATGTTTCTGCTGATTCTAACATCATTCTTCCATTAGAATGTTGTCACAAATTAACCCTTTATGCACCCCCAATCAGTATGCACCCCCTATCAAATCAGGGATGCTTTTTAAAGCATGATTGTATGGAAAATCAAAGTGAATTTTAAGTTTTAGGTAAATTTAGTAAAATTGGAAAGGTTTCGCATAAGCCATTTTTGTCTATAAAGTGAAATTAACTTTGATTCCACTTTGAATTTGTGACAGTTTATATTTCAGCGAATAACCCTAAGTAGTTGATTATTTTACAAACTGATTTATTCACTGAATAGAGAGAAGTGTAGTGAGTGCAAAAGCGGACTGTAAAATTGAGGTTATAATAGCCAAGCTCTGGCTATAGCTGAGATGGATTTTTTTCCCCAGGAACGAAGTGTTCCTCCACATATTTTTACGTCCATAGTTTTTTCCACTGTGTGCTAGCAAGGGGATGTTCCATCTTCCTGGCACCAACTGTGCCTTCCTCGTTTGAAGAAGGCCTTCCAGTACTGTTGGTAGTGCACTCAGTGTTCTCCTCTCAACTACAGTACCTTCCTTTCTAGCATATATCATGGAAAATATTTATAATGAATATGGAAGAATTAGGGAGTTCAGGTAATGGGCATGGTAATTATAAATTATTTAAAACCGTATAGCATAGTTCTGAATTGGGTTATAGCAGTGGTATTTTCTAGTTTTGATGGCTGTATTTTGTAGGACTAGAAGTAGGGACTTAGTATGTTGGACAAAGGCATTTGCTGCTTGACTACTAGGCAGCTGTCAGGGATAAATTTATATTTTATTTAAAGGGTCACTCCGAGGACCATAGCAACTACAAAATATTTTTATGTTCATGGTGCAAGGCGGCTGTGGGTGCTGTCCGACCATGTATATTTGTTGTTCTTTTTAAATGAAGTTTGTCAAATACCAGAGTAGGGATTCTCTGGCTCCAAACTGACACAGACTGTGTCAGCTGGGCAGCACTGGAAGTGTTAACAGAGATACGGACGTGCCAAAAGGATTATCGTTGATTTGCAGTAGCTGAATTCTTCTAGGACCCATTGCTCACGCCTCTGATTGTGCATAGTGTGCATATCATGACATGAAAATATTCTAAATAGATAGTGAGGAACCAAACCGATTTTTATTTAAAAATTTGTTTTGAGAGTTTTAAAATACAAGATAATAAATAGCAAGGGAAAAGAGGGGAATAACTCCGCCATGTTTATAGTGACAACAAGAAGTACCATTTGGTCAGTGGAAGAAAAAAGAAAAAAATGGTTATAGGAAGGAAACATAGAGACTAGAGAGAGAGGGAGTAGAAGAAGGGTTAGGGGTGGAGGAAAAAACTCCAGTTGACCAAGAGGATCTCTCCCCCCCCCCTCCCCCATGCCCCCAATGAACTATTAAACTTTTTTTTCATTTTACTTTTTATTTATATTGTATTATAGGATAATATGCACATGTAAAAAAAAAAAACAGTAGGCACACCACATTTTAATGTTAAGAAGTGCTAATTAACTGGGCTTGTATTAGGATTCAAGTCACCTAGGACCTGATTACTGCAAACCAGCAAAAGCAGAACAGTTCCCTTGGAACTCGGTAGGTGAACGAAAACTGGCAGACAATCAGCTTATAAGAAATTGGAGCATTCTCTCATCATGACTGAGCAGAAACACAAATAGAAAAATCAGGAAAGAGGAAAAATAGACAACTCACAATATAAGTAAAAATCTCCCAAATAGTTTTGAAGCTACCTGAAGGTTAAATGCCTTATTTGTTAGGGACTGGGTTCAATCTGGAGGTTCTAGGGCCACCAGTGGGGCTGAATGAGACACATCTAGAGTAGTACTAGAGACATCCTAGTGGATGAAGTGTGTGTAGGCCAGGATTCTCCGTCTTCCACCTCCCACAGTCAGGCGGCAGGTCCTCTCCTTCTCTCTGCATTGTGTATAGGAAGCAGAGCCCACAGGTACATATATATAAATCTGTACTCGCTATTTATATATATGCAATTTAGGGGTATAGGGTCCGCCGGGCCACATACAGCTGTAACCCCCTAATGGCGGCCCTGGGCGGATTACAAGATTAGAGGGAGACTTTGTCTCCTGGAGTAGTCTGGGCCCTCCAGGACCGCCGGGCTTGTGATAACTGTCACGGTTGTCACGCTCTGATGGTGACCCTGGTTATAGGTTACTCCAAGCCTCATGGTTAGTGATTTGAAGTGGTCATGGTGCTTGGAGTCTGCATATGCAGCTATAAATAGCTGCATACACAGAATTTAATCCCTCTGCAATTGGAGGTATAACCGAACCTCCGGCAGCATAATTGGGGTGTTATTAGCCAGCCCAGAACTAGAGTTTAGCCTAGCGAATGTTAATTCTGTGTATACTGAACATCTGATATCAGTACACACAGCATGCGGATGACAAACATTCAATCGCGACATGTACCCACTCCATGTTGCCCATGTTGTCCACTTTGCCTGCCCTCCTTGACATTCCTCAGCCTCCGGCAAGGCATTGTGATGTTAGTGATCAGGATGCAGGCTGGGCTGAATTTCCTATAAGGCCGCTGAAGCCAGGACCTCAGGGACGCAGACAGGAGACGAGCAGCACTGCTAGCAGCCTGGATTGTTGGTGGTATAGCAGGAATGCTCTACCAAAAAGGGACCCAACACCCACAGCAGCAAGTCCTCTCTTCCTGGCAGGCAGCCAAACAAATTACAGGAGAGTGTGTGGAGATGACATCAGCATCCTATCCCCAAATGACCTCCTGTACCTCCAGCAGCAGCCTCAACACCACTGGCCAAGAACTGAGATATGCTTTGGGTTCCTATTAGAAAAGGAATGCAGGGGAACGAGGGAAAAGAAAAAGTTAACCAGTGAAAATGTGGGAGAGATAAGGAGATAAGGAAAACTAATGAGTGAAGGGGCTGGGGGGCAGAACAAGCAATTGAAGGGGGATATTAGAGAGGAACAAATAATTGAAGGGGGAGATTAGAGTGGGATGGGGTAGTGAAGAGGAGAACAAGAATGAAAAGGGTGATAAGAATAGGGGAGCAATTGGAGAAATGGGGGTCTAAGCGGAGAGGGACACAATTGAGAAAAAGTGATAGGAACACATATGAGGGAGAGATAAATTAATCGAAGGGAATGGAGAGGGATACAAAGGGACAGATGGGAATTGGAAACGCCTGCATACATGCAAAATCAAAAAAATATGCTCCCGTGTGCACTCATTTGGCACTCTTCCGCTAAATTCACACCATTCACGGGTACTCACTAACACTCCACACAAATATGCTTCTACATTCACATTAACAATCACACATTGCCTTTCCGACACCCATCCAGCCACATACTCTGAATCGGTCATAATTACCATTCTTCCCAGTCATACCCTTTCAATCTGTCACGTTCACACACTTGGCCACAAAACATGGTACCTACCTCCACCTTTCGTGCAATTATTGTCATACAACTACCCACCTAATCATATTCACCATCCAGTCATACCCCATACTCAAACAAATCACATACACCAAGCTCCATATATATGGCGGGCTGGGAAAACTGTCCTTGAGGCTAAAAAAGTTTTTAATGTAGCCCTGGCTGCAGGGAGAACTTGGCTTTGGCACTGGAATGGAGGTACGTTACAGCTGCATTTTATTTTTTATTTATTCAAGTTAAGGGGGAGCCATGGCTAGCACACCAAGGGTTACTCTAACTAGAAACAGTGTTTTATGAAAACACAGTTTTTTGGTTGCAGTAACCCTTTAACCTAAGAAGGCCTCTGTGTTTGGTGAATGTAAGCCCCTATACCTGGTTCAGTGACCCATGTTATTCTAACACAAGATGCACTAAGTTGTAAAGACCTCCGTCCAACACCAATAAATCATTAGTATAGGACAAGTAGAGCAGAGCTGTAGAGGAATTAGCACTGCCCCTCATGCTTCCTCATTATGACATCTCCACCAGAACAGGTGAGCTTAGGGTGAATCCCGCACATTTTGTGAAATCGCTTAAAAATTATTTGTTGAAAAACTGAGCACTTCACTTTTAGCACCATAACCACTACAGGGCCTCTTAAAGTGCTCTGCACGATGCAGGTGCGCAGAGACACACAGAACTGGCTCAGAAAGTGCTCAGCTTTCAGGGTGAGCCCCCATCACTACCTGGAGACATTAACCAAGAAGAATGTTGGCTGAGTTACTGTGTGTTTATTTAACTCTTAGTTTGCAGTGTGACTGAGAGTATGTGATTGCTTTTGATTGTATCTGTGAGAGTTCCTGTGAATAATACATTGGCAGTGAGACCTCTTGTGTTCTTAATTTTTCTTTTGTCTATAATCGCTAGAGTTGTCCCCATCGTGTTGTCATCAGCATCAGAAACATTTTTGTTGTTCATTTTATCTTCCTCCTCACCAGATAATTAAAATACAAATTTTGATTCTGCTGTTCAATACTCCCCCTCAATACACTATCAAGCTTTCTAGATCTTATTAGTTAGGAGTCAATGGATCTAGTTTCTTTCTTTGTTTTTCAGATTCTAAGAGGTCTTGATGTGACGTTTGCAGACCTGTTGTTAAGTTGAGTGTGGTGGGTGGATCCCGGTACAATCAAATGCAAGCCTTATATGGCCTGCCCCCATTTAGATCCCTATGTGTCTTTTTGCATTAAAAACTTGGACCTTTTTATGTAAGCCTGGTTATCTCGAGAATCAAGGTAGGCAATTTGCAGACTTGCTGAAAGTTTGTTTTGGCCATAAACAAACTGATTTGATCAAAAAACTGATTGATTAGATTGATCAGCCTCCTTCTAACCTATAGTGAACAAAGTTTTCGTCAGGAAAGGAATTCATTTTTTTAACAAATAGATTAATTCAGATGTGGGTTAATAGGAGATTGTTTCAAACAAATCGAATTGTTTATGGATGTAACGAATATTTGTGCAAGTATAGTATTTTTTGACTACTTTTTACAGTTTTATTATTATTTAAAACTAAACTGGTACTGTTTCAAAAATGTATTTTTTTAAAATTATTTTAAAAGACCAGCTTAAATTTTTAAAACATACCCACCAGCAAAACCAACAGTATCATATAGATTTACTTTATAATATATATACACTTCTGTAACTGAGATGGGGATTAATACAGAAGTTTATTTTACTCTTTAACTAGTCTACAGAAGGTTACAATACAGCGACTGGAAGTTGGGTCAAGTACGTGTGGATTTTTGCGGCCCAATTTATAAAACTGAGTGACTGGTGGTTTCTTGTCTATATTGCTGTCTCACCATTAGCAAAGTATATAATGTTGTGGTTAATACCAGTTACAAATAAAGTTCTACTTGAGCAGTACTAAAACAACTGTGTCAGCACAGGAACCATGTGGAGATGGATGTCACTTGAGGGAGTCCAAAATGGAAACAGGTGAAGCCTAATGCAGTGATGGCTAAAAAAACATAAACCCCAGCTGTTACGAAATCTGACTAGACCTTTATTATCATACTTTATTTATAAAGCATCAACACATTCCATACAATTCATACTTGTAAAAAGACAAAGGTACAATGCAGAATTTGACAAACAAACAGAATGAGTTGAGTATCCTATTCCGTAGGAATTGCCATTTTGATGAATAGGAGGGGTGAGAAACAGAAGATGGGGACTGCTAAGGTGAGAATGATGTCAATACAGAGTGAGACAAACAAACAGAATGAGTTGAGTGTCCTATTCCGTAGGAATTGCCATTTTGATGAATAGAAGGGGTGAGAAACAGAAGATGTGGACTGCTAAGGTGTGAATGATTTTAACACAGAGTGAGATGAGGGCATTTATTGATTAAATGGAATGTGTTAATTACTGAGTTGAGTGGTAGGCTTCCTTGAACAAGAATGTCTTTAGGGAATGCTTGAAGGAAGGCAAACTAGGGGAAAGTCTGGCAGCGAGGAAATGTGCTCCAGAGAGTTGGTGTCGATTTCAGGCTCCTGTCTTGTTGTCCTAGGATTGTTTCCTAAAGTCCTTTGTCTTGAGACATCAAGGAACTGTCCCCAGCAACTAGGTCCACAAGGACACAGGACCATGCACAAAGAGCTTAACAACATTTTCTGCATGGCCTGCCCCGAGTAGCAGCTTTTCTCTGGGCGGTAGGCATGTGCAATTTGTTTCGTTCCGAATGTACATTCGTACGAATTTCATGCCATTTGGACATTCGGATGCTTACAAATGTACAAAGTGCCGAAGTTCGGTAGTACCAAAGCGCCGAAGTGATTCGGATTTCTGAAAAGTGACAAAACAAGAGAGAGGGAGGGAAAATTAGATGAATGATGACAGGAACCTTGACCAATTAGCTAATTCCATTTGTGCAATGCAATGCTTGTTTGCACAATCCAGTTTCACTATTCCCTGTCCAATGAAATGAGCAATAGACATGTGCAATTCTTTTCATTACGAATGTACATTCGTACGAATTTTATGCCATTCGGACCCTTACGAATTTCCGAAGCACTGAAGTGTACAGCAGTTCTGAAATGCCGAACTGAATGCCATTGGTCTGAATTGCCGAACCAGACAATTTTTTTTTCTTACCTGAATTTCCAAACAGAACCAAACTGAATTTTTTGCCCATGCACATCCCTACTCGGCAGCTCTGCCTCTTTTTCAGATAGGACAGCCCGATTTGTGTGTCACTAGTAACGCAAGTGGTGTCACTAGCACAAACCTTTAGCAAGTGTTGTCACTAGCACAAACCTTTAGGATCACCAACCCCCTCCAGATTTCATACCTCCCAATGTTGGGAGATATGAAAAACACAGGTGACATCTTGGTAAGAAGGTCCACTTTTTCCAGCATGGTGCTTTGTCCTTCGTATCCTGATGCTAGTTATGATAAATCTACAGAAGGCAGACCAGAAATAGATCAGGGTGGACAAAGGTCATAACCAGCTTAATATTTTGCTGTGTCCTGCATTACAAACAGAACAGCCTCTCCACTCTCAATCATCGGAGGTCCTCATCAAGTCTTTGTAAGACGGAGGAAGTTAGAACCGAGCAGATTTGCAACATAATCTGGTCTTTCTCCTTCCTGATGATGAGAACATGGCTCATGGTTGCTGACTGGGAGTGAGTTTTAGCCATGTACAGTTGTAGGGTTTCTTGTTTTCAATGCTGTGGCACTGCCATGGCATGTGCCAGTCCGCAGCCATAGATGGGTTGGGTGAAGCTCTTGTCCGCCCGTTTCCATCTCGATTTATTACAGGCACTGTGAATCTCAAGCAGCCTGCTTTGGGTTCCAAAAGGATCCAAGAATGCTTCTTGCTACTATGGTACCCTAGCAGTGCTATTGACTATAACAGGAATTGACATGGGGATTACAAAATTTAGACCATAATTTTTTTTTAAATCTTGAGCTGGAAACACTCTTTAAATCCGTTATTTTCCTAGCTCAGCCTAATTATGGCCTAATATGTGAAAATGCTTGTCACATTGCAAAGCAGGGAATGCATGCATTGCACATCACAGCCTGTAATGCCCCCTTAGCAACCATTAGAGGGCGCTGGTGGGACTCTCCAGGACCTGTCAACACGGGCGCCAGCGCGCAGGCGCCCTGGGTCCCGTCTGACGAGGCGCACGGCCCCGCCCACCGCGCGAGAGGCCGTTCTGTCTAATGAGCGAGGCCCCGAGGGCTCGGCCGCGGCTCCGGCGCATGCGCACTCCGCCAGATCCGGGTATTTGGCAGGATGAGAGCTGCTTTCCAAGATGGCGGCGGAGGGAGGAGGGAAGGAAATGAACGAAATTAAGACCCAGTTTACCACCCGGGAAGGCCTGTACAAGCTCCTCTCTCACTCCGAATACAGCCGCCCAAACCGGGTGCCGTTTAACTCGCAGGGCTCCAACCCGGTCAAGGTCTCGTTCGTCAACGTCAACGACCAGTCCGGTAACGGGGACCGAATCTGCTTCAATGTGGGCCGGGAGCTCTATTTCTATATCTACAAGGGCGTCAGGAAGGTAACTGTGCGGCCGGCCGGGCCGGGGGTTTGGGCTGAGGGGGTGAGTAGGCCCGAGGGAGCGGGGCGGGCCACAGTCACCTGTCACAGGTCCGACCCCTCCTCCATGCAGGGACCGTGACATCGCCCCGTGTGGGGAGAGGGGGGCCGGGGCCACACTGTGTGCACCCTGCAATGGAGGATCAACGGGCAGGGCCTTCATCCTGGAACAGCGGGGGGCAAACTGTGTCTGTACAGGGCGGCATGGGCTGACAGTATGGGGTAGGAAGGGCTGCCGGGTTCCTGGTACTGACAGCAGGGGGTAGGAAGGGCTGCAGGGTTCCTGGTACTGACAGTATGGGGTAGGAAGGGCTGCAGGGTTCCTGGTACTGACAGCAGGGGGTAGGAAGGGCTGCAGGGTTCCTGGTACTGACAGTATGGGGTAGGAAGGGCTGCAGGGTTCCTGGTACTGACAGCAGGGGTTACTAAGGGCAGCAGGGTTCCTGGTACTGACAGCAGGGGTTACTAAGGGCAGCAGGGTTCCTGGTACTGACAGCAGGGGGTAGGAAGGGCTGCAGGGTTCCTGGTACTGACAGCAGGGGGTAGGAAGGGCTGCAGGGTTCCTGGTACTGACAGCAGGGGGTAGGAAGGGCTGCAGGGTTCCTGGTACTGACAGCAGGGGGTAGGAAGGGCTGCAGGGTTCCTGGTACTGACAGCAGGGGGACTAAGGGCAGCAGGGCTGAAGTACTGCAGGGTTCCTGGTACTGGGCTGCAGGGTTCCTGGTACTGACAGCTGCAGGGTTCCTGGTACTGACAGCAGGGGGTAGGAAGGGCTGCAGGGTTCCTGGTACTGACAGCAGGGGGTAGGAAGGGCTGCAGGGTTCCTGGTACTGACAGCAGGGGGTAGGAAGGGCTGCAGGGTTCCTGGTACTGACAGTATGGGGTAGGAAGGGCTGCAGGGTTCCTGATACTGATAGCAGGGGGTAGGAAGGGCTGCAGGGTTCCTGATACTGACAGTAGGGGGTTGGAATGGCTGCAGGGTTCCTGATACTGACAGCAGGGGGTAGGAAGGGCTGCAGGGTTCCTGATACTGACAGTAGGGGGTTGGAATGGCTACAGGGTTCCTGATACTGACAGTAGGGGTTACTAAGGGCAGCAGGGTTCCTGGTACTGACTGCAGGGGTTACTAAGGGCAGCAGGGTTCAAGGTACAGACAGCAGGGGATTGGAATGGCTGCAGGGTTCCTGGTACTGACAGCAGGGAGCAGGATGGGCTGCAGGGTACATGGTACTGACAGCAGGGGGTTGGAATGGTTGCATGGTTCATGGTACTGCCAGCATGAAGTAGGAAGGGCTGCAGGCCTTCATGGTGCTGCCAGCATGGGGTAGGAAGGGCTGCAGGCTTTCATGGTGCTGCCAGCATGGGGTAGGAAGGGCTGCAGGCTTTCATGGTGCTGCCAGAATGGGGTTGGAAGGGCTGCAGGCTTTCATAGTGCTGCCAGCATGGGGGTAGGAAGGGCTGCAGGCTTTCATGGTGCTGCCAGCATGGGGTAGGAAGGGTTTCAGGCTTTCATGGTGCTGCCAGCATGGGGTAGGAAGGGCTGCAGGCTTTCATGGTGCTGCCAGCATGGGGTAGGAAGGGTTTCAGGCTTTCATGGTGCTGCCAGCATGGGGTAGGAAGGGCTGCAGGCTTTCATGGTGCTGCCAGCATGGGGTAGGAAGGGTTTCAGGCTTTCATGGTGCTGCCAGCATGGGGTAGGAAGGGCTGCAGGCTTTCATGGTGCTGCCAGCATGGGGTAGGAAGGGCTGCAGGCTTTCATGGTACTGCCAGCATGGGGTAGGAAGGGTTACAGGCTTTCATGGTACTGCCAGCATGAAGTAGGAAGGGTTGCAGGCTTTCATGGTACTGCCAGCATGGGGTAGGAAGGGGTGCAGGCTTTCATGGTACTGCCAGCATGGGGTAGGAAGGGATGCAGAGTTCCTAGTGTTCTCAGTTTGGTGTAGGAAGAGCTGCAGGGTTCCTGTTCATATGGGGTAGGAAGGGCTGCAGTTGGTGACCGTAAGAAACATGAGTAGCAGCAGGGTCCTTGTTTCTAACTGAATGAGTTGTGAGGAGCTGCAGAGTTCTTGATGCAAATAGTATGTGGTATGAGGGGATGCTGGACTCCTGGTGCAGATAGTATGGGATTTGAGAGTATGCTGATAACATTTGGTGTGAAGAGCTGCATGGTTCTTGGTTTAGGTAATAAAGTATCTGAAGGGATGCTGGGTTTGTGGTGCTTTTATAATTTGGTATGAGGAGCTGATGCGAACCTGGTGCAGATTGTATGGAGTATGAGGAGCTGCAGTGTTATTGGTGCTGATAGTATAGGATTTGACCGTATGGTGTATAAACATTGCAGAGTTCCTGGTTTTTGCTGTTTGTGGAATGAGGGACTTTAGTGCTGCTAATGCTAACTACCTCCTTTTCTCATTTCCCTATTTTACCTTTAGATTGTAAGCTCACGGGCAGGGCCAGCTGCATTTTGTATCGTCTGTTTATATTGTATTGTTTTCCTAAATGTACAGTGTTGTGGAATATGTTGGCGCTTTATAAATGCCTGTAATAAATTTAAAAACTACAGGGATATGGGATTGGAGAAACTATGGGTCTCCTGAGGATGAACATATTGGATTTGAAGGCCTGCGGGCTTCTTGGTGATGACAGAGTAGAATACGAGGTTCCCAGAGATAACAGAATGGTATGTGAGGGACTGCAGGGTTTACCAGTGATTAAATTATTGGATCTTAGTGGCTGCACGATTCCTGGAGCTGACAGTATGGCTGAGGCACACTACAAGGTTGCAGTTGCTGACATTGTTTGATCTTGGTTTGCTTCAGGTTTCTTGGTGCTGACAATATGGTTATGGCTGATTCCAAGGTTCCTGGTGCAGAAATTGTTGGATCTTAGTGGCTGCAGTGTACCTGTCGTAGGATCTGAGCAACTGTAAGGATTCTGGTGCTCTCGTTGAGTGGTTATGTGTGGTGTCTTGGTTCATGAAGCTGTCATTGATTCGGAATGTTTGGTGGCTTTGTGGAAAGCTGCAGCAAGGTGCTTTCTTTTTGGAATTGTGATCATTTGCTTGGTTCCAGGTGCTTTCAGTGTTGGCTTGTGAGCGTTGGCAAGGTTCCTGGTATTGTGAGTGGTGGTAAATTTAATGATGCTGCCATTATAAGGCCGTGCGTGGTGGCAAGGGTCCTGGTGCTGTCATTGTGGGCATGTGAGTGGTGGCGAGGGTCCTGCTTGGGGTCCCTAATATTGTTAATGGGGTGATCTTGAGGAGCTGCTTTGTTCCCAGTGCAGTTAAAGGATTACATGCCTATACCAGGTACTGTCAGTTTGGGAGTGGGTGTTTCATGAGCTGTTTTAGGGGTGTGTATTGTTATGATTTATTTATTATTGTATCATATCTGAATACCTGCCTGGTTGCTACTTATGACTGTAGGGCCTCTTCTGCAGGTTTTCTAGTGCTGTGAGTATAGGATCTGTGCAGGGAAGATTAGTGTAGAATAAATTCACATGTATTATTTACCATGTAGTTTGTGTGTGCTCTTCTCTAAACCATTTTTAACAGTGGAATCTTGGCACTATCGCCAATAGAACTCCCTTAAATAATATAATAATAGTATAAAGAATTTCCATTGCCTTTTTGCAAGCCTCTTATGGTGGGGGAAAAAATAAAACACTTAGCTGGGTGTTTTTTAAGGCTTTTCCCTATACTGTGACTGCGTGCATTCGTGAACCATGTTTCTGAAGATGCTTAGCTAGCCTTGAGGATTTAATGAAGGTTTCTACTCTCATGTGTAAATGAAAATTCCTATTTAACCATAACTCATGAAAAAGTTAACCTGCAGGAGAACTGCTGTAGTGTCCTGAAACAAGAGAATTTGTGAACCCTTTCTTTGGTTTTTTTATAACTGCAGGCTTTTGCATTTTACTTTTCGACTCGGTTATCAATTTCTTTTTGCAATACGAAGCTGTCCAGAACAACTGTTATATTTTAATTTGTATTTTGCATATGGGCTTTATATGTCCGGTTAAAGTTAGTCTCCCTGAATGCGTCTATCACTTGCAGTTATATCTTTCATTTACAGCTTAAAGGGACACTATAGTCCCCCAGACCAGTTCATCTCATTGGAGTGGTCTGTATGCAGTGTCCCTATCCCCTTAACCCTGCAGCTGAAAAAATAGCAGAATTAGAGAAACTACAATGTTTACATTGCAGGGCTAAGACTGCCTGTAGTGACTGTCTCCTAGACAGCCATTAGAGGCAAGTTTTGCTGTTTCACATAGTTTAATTCTGTGAAATGGCGCTGGAGGACTTCCAGCATCTTTTCAGTTTGGGTGGGGGGGAGGCGACAGAGTGACCCTGTTACAATATTGTTCCAGGACACGTCTGGTGCCATAAGCACCCTTGATTACAATGCACAAAAAAAGTTGTTGTGCCATCCTGTTCTTGGCATTTCTTCTTTGTTTTCCAGTGTTGCTGGGGACCTGTGCAGCACCTTGGAAGTGGCTGAAATATTGCACATGGTCTGTGTTTCCGAACGCACGGGATCTTTTACACAGTGTTTTTTGCTTAACTTTTATTTAAAGCATTCTCAGAAGTTCTCTACGTGTGGATGTTGTAGTATGTCTGTCTGTCTGATGCTGTAGTTGGAGCCAGCTACTACTGGTTTACAGCAGCTTACCTGGTCGGCTCTTACTCTTTCATTGTTTATTGTTAAAGAATGGTGTTCTGGGGCTGCTAGTCTATTCCTTTTGTGATACAGTTTAGAGTGTATTTAGCAAATAGTCTGGGTGCACTGTCCCCTTTGCACTCAGTGCTGCAATGTAAAACATTGCAGTTTCATAGAAACTGTAATGTTTACATTGTAGCTCTAAGTCTGCCCTCTGTGGCTGTCTGCCAGACAGCCATTAGAGTGCTTCCTGAATTGAAACGGATCTTTGATCCATTATCTGACGCTGGACGTCCTCACGCTCCAGCGTCAACCCCCCCCCATAGGAAACCTTAATTCAATGCTTTCCTATGAGGAGGTATAATGCGCATTTGCTGCGCATTAAACTCCGTTCATCGCTATGTATTCCTGGCACTGCGGTCTTTAATGACCAAAAAATGTCCAGTCCTTTTCATAAAGAATGTGTATGAGAATCCTCTGTGTGAGCCCATAATATAATAGGGGACATCCTGGAGCATGGGCCAACTTGCATCTTTTTGCAGAACAGATGTGATAAGTGTAAGAACTAAAATTAAGTGTATAATGGGGCATATGAAATTTTGTGTGTCAATGTTAAACCAAAATCTGCACACCAGTCAAGCCATAAGACTTGCTTTTCCCTCCAAACATTAATAGCCAACCAGTAACCAACCTAGTGCTGATGATTTGCATTAACAATGAAACAGCTGTCCATTAGTGGTTCACTGGCTTTGCATCTTTTCCTAAGTTGTTACAAAGCTGTTGTATACAGCAAACAGACTCAAAAGAATCCATTTTTAAAATGGAATGAGGCAAAAATTTGATTTTGTTGAACTAATTTGCATATGCCCACCCAGAATCCTTAGCGCTAGTAACATCACTGCAAATTTGTGAATTCTGTGGGAAAAGCTAGTCTTATGGCTTGACTGCTTGTGCAGATTTTTGTTTAACATTGTATTAACTATCCACAGGCTTCAAGGGGGTTTTCAATCACAATTTCTTCCTCACCATAACTCGTAAATAAATAAAAAAATAAATAAAATAAAATAAAAAAAATATATATTTTTTTTTGTTACAGTAATTACTTTATAATTTAATATTCTATCTTTTGTTCTATTACGTGGGATTTGGTAAATGATGTATGTGTCTAACAAATGGCATTCTGCTTCAAACCATGTGCAGTTAATAATAACTATATATCTTCTGTAAGGATGGAGTCATGGTGCCTAATATCTGTGTAGGTTGATTTTAAAAGTTTATGTAAATTTATATTCATTGTAAATGTCTCATTTTGTGAGTATCAGAAGTGGGAATAAATACGTTTTGCTGGAATAGAGAAATTTAAAGAGATACTGTACTGTTTGTGACGTTCTTTTGAAATAAATACTTTGGTCTAATTTGATTTCCAGATTTACAAATGATAAAGGCCTCTCTGTAGGCCGAAACGTTGTCCTTTTTGTTCCTGCCTTTGTGCCACCATCCTGAGTGCCTGGACCTAATTTCTTTTATCTACTAAACTCGGTTTTGTCCGCCCTGATAAGCACCTGGATTGCTAAGTGTGATTGCGGTATCCTCCGTTTGTGAATTTTTTAAAAAATAGCACATATACTTACCTTTAGTCCACTGCAATCTCCTGCAGCAATCCGCCCCTTATGTTATCAAGTCACAGGACATTGGTCCAATCAAATGCTTCTCCTTTAGAAGCATTGTGGAAACTACGCACAAGCATGTCTCTTGTGGTGATCCGCCTGTTTGCATATGCGTATTGTGTGTGGGTTCGTGGAAAAAAAAGGTGATTGTTGAGCTCACTAGTTGACTCGCAGAAGCCCAAAACCGTTGACATCAGCACACTAGGCGTGCTGACAGCCTAAGAATTCATACGAGAGCCAGAAAATTACATTCCTGGCTCTTTAATTCAGAGGGCTTGGAGGCGCTGTTTCAAACCTTTGACCAGCTGAACTAGATTGTGGTTTTTGGGGAGTCATTTTCAGCCAAGGGCATCCTGGATTTTCATTTTGGTGCATCCCTAATGAAAATAAAATGTATGCCTCAACATATCAGAATTAGTTTTTCTCTATAGTTATTGAAAAGCTGCCTGTACCTCATTAGTAATTTCATAACATAGAAGATTTCTAGTGGGTCATTCCAAATCTTCAAGCGATTCAATGTGATCTTATTTAATTTTTCAGATACAGTAAAGTGCATGGAACTAATCAGATCAGTTCTCTGAATCTTAACTTCTGATTGGTTGCTGGCTTTTCTGGCCAGTTACAGGACTGCCATCACTACCTTGTATATCTTTTAAACAAACCTGTTATTGCATGGGTAGAAGCAGGGGGTGGAAATGCAAGATTAAAGGGATTCTCCAGAAAAAAAACACTTTAACTTGCTCAAAAACTTTTTTTTTTAATTTTTTTTTTTTTTGTGTGTGTGTGTGTGTGTGAAGTGTTTTCATATTGGAAATAGTGCAGATTTCAATAGAAATTTACACTTTTATTTATTTTTTTATATATATACTGGTTACACCCCCCTGGCTTTTCAAGCAGACAACAGGTACTGTTACTTACTGTAGAAAAAGAAAGAAGGGGGTGAAGGGCTGCGCTAAAAAATGTAAAATAAGTGGATATTAAAATGATATAATACAAATAGAATAAACAGTAAAAAAGATAATAAATATATGGATAACAGAGTCCGTGCACTAATAAGAATAAAACTTAAAAAGTCCAATAAAATACATAAAAGGCGTCTCACTGATATGTAGATAAACTGTATATATAGTCCTCAGAGGTTAATCCTTCCGAATTTCCAGGGAATCCGTATATGAAAGATAAAAACACAAACAAACTTCCAATGGTATAGTATGTACTGAGAGAGGGAGCGAAAAGAAGCAAAATGGAGGATAATACACTCACATTTGTTGGAGCTTTGGACTAGCTCTTAGTTGAATCGCACTTAGCGGTATAATCCCCGCTAATGGATTTACTGGGAGAATGGATTCGTCCGTCTGGCTTGGGTTCGTGGGATTCCGCAAGGTAAATAGAAACAAATATAGTGCTCTCAGTAGGAAGAGAAAATAAAATATACTCACAATGTTAGAGCAGGGAGTACTGCTCTATTTGTAACACGCTGGTGGAATAATCCCCACCTGTGGATTGCTTTAAACAAGAACAGTTGAATGCCAGGAGAAAATAAAAAATATTTTTGTGTTTGTACAATAAATCATAGGACCAATTCTGTTTTATTGTACAAACACAAAAATATTTTTTATTTTCTCCTGGCATTCAACTGTTCTTGTTTAAAGCAATCCACAGGTGGGGATTATTCCACCAGCGTGTTACAAATAGAGCAGTACTCCCTGCTCTAACATTGTGAGTATATTTTATTTTATTTTCTCTTCCTACTGAGAGCACTATATTTGTTTCTATATACCTTGCGGAATCCATTCTCCCAGTAAATCCATTAGCGGGGATTATACCGCTAAGTGCGATTCAACTAAGAGCTAGTCCAAAGCTCCAACAAATGTGAGTGTATTATCCTCCAATTATCTTCTTTTCGCTCACTCTCTCAGTACATACTATACCATTGGAAGTTTGTTTGTGTTTTTATCTTTCATATACGGATTCCCTGGAAATTCGGAAGGATTAACCTCTGAGGACTATATATACAGTTTATCTACATATCAGTGAGACGCCTTTTATGTATTTTTTATTGGACTTTTTAAGTTTTATTCTTATTAGTGCACGGACTCTGTTATCCATATATTATCTTTTTTACTGTTTATTCTATTTGTATTATATCATTTTATTATCCACTTATTTTAAATTTTTTAGCGCAGCCCTTCACCCCTTTCTTTTTCTACATTTTATTAAGGGTTTTTGAGGGATCCCCTTTTTAGGGTTGCAGCTCCCATTTTTGCTATCTAGTGCAGACTCCTTCCTCCCCACCCCCCCTTTTTTTTTTTTTTTCTCCCCTCTGTTACTTACTGGTTTGGTTGGCTTATTTGCACTTCACACAAGAGGCAGGAATTGCCCAGAGCACCTGCCAAGACTTGAGCTGCATTTGGAAGTCTGTGATAGGACATCCACAGAAAGTCTGGGCAATATTAGAAAGGGAGAGCTTGCAAACTTGTTTTCCTGGCCCTATATAGTCCTTAGGTCCCCCCTACCCTTGTGGCCCCCCTCCCGTTGGGCTGAAGGGGCTAAAACCCCTTCAGCCACTTACAACACAGCTGATGCTGAAAATGGACTGTCATAAACTGTTCTCACTGCTGTGTAGATGAATTCACCGTGCTTAAAGGAACACTATAGTCACCTAAATTACTTTAGCTAAATAAAGCAGTTTTAGTGTGTAGATCATTCCCCTGCAATTTCACTGCTCAATTCTCTGCCATTTAGGAGTTAAATCACTTTGTTTCTGTTTATGCAGCCCTAGCCACACCTCCCCTGGCTATGATTGACAGAGCCTGCATGAAAAAAAACTGTTTTTCTCTTTCAAACAGATGTAATTTACCTTAAATAATTGTATCTCAATCTCTAAATTAAACTTTAATCACATAGAGGAGGCTCTTGCAGGGTCTAGCAAGCGATTAACATAGCAGTGGATAAGAAAATCTTAATTAAACAGAACTTGCAATAAAGAAAGCCTAAATAGGGCTCTCTTTACAGGAAGTGTTTATGGAAGGCTGTGCAAGTCACATGCAGGGAGGTGTGACTAGGGTTCATAAACAAAGGGATTAAACTCCTAAATGGCAGAGGATTGAGCAGTGAGGCTGCAGGGGCATGTTCTATACACCAAAACTGCTTCATTAAGCTAAAGTTGTTCAGGTGACTATAGTGTCCCTTTAATTAAATGTAGATTAATAGATTTTTGGCCAACTTTGGTGTGTTACTTTCAATAAAGGTGTGGTTATTTAATTGGCTTGTAGGTTTTTCATATTGGACTCATTAAAAAGTCTCTCTAATGAAAATATAGAAAAAAAAACAATTTTAAAATAATTTTGGGAAAAGTAATTTTTGGCCAAGGGCATCCTGAATTTTCATTTCGGTGCATCCCTAATGAAAATAAAATGTATGCCTCAACATATCAGAATTAGGTTTTCTTATAGTTATTGAAAAGCTGCCTGTACCTCATTAGTAATTTTTTATTGACATATGAAGATTTTTAGTGGGTCATTCCAAATCTTCAAGCGATTCAATGTGATCTTATTTAATTTTTCAGATACAGTAAAGTGCATGGAACTAATCAGATCAGTTCTCTGAATCTTAACTTCTGATTGGTTGCTGGCTTTTCTGGCCAGTTACAGGACTGCCATCACTACCTCGTATATCTTTTAAACAAACCTGTTATTGCTGCTATTATAATTTTAGACCTCGTTAATGGAGTATCCTGCTGATTGGCCTCCTACTGTGGTGGAACTAAGTCACGTGATGCCCTGCAATTCTCTGAAAGAGAGGAAATGCCTGTGAAAAATACATATTTATAACTTCTCTTTAGAATATTTGATTAACCTCAGCTTGCAGCCCCTATGTCTTATAGGTGGCATTGTGTCTGGCTCCTAAATATGTGAAGCCTCACTTTTCACCCCAAAAGGACTGTAGCATTTAAATGTGTTCTATGATCATGTATGTACCAAATCTATCTGGGACATTTTATAGCTATATTTGGCTGTTTACTTTTTAACTGGATATCACTGGGTCTCATCACAACTTAATTGAGAATACAGAGGCTGCACTCGTGTGTTATGAGTGATGATATTGTTTAATTACTTGTGTATATTCTATACTGTGTCCTTATGTGCTTTCTGCTTATCCATAAGTTACTTTTGCCAGATGGTGTGACAGACAAACAAAAGGTGGTTTGTATTCTCTTTAATGTGCCATTTAAAAGCAGTTCTGTAAACACAAATGCTTTGAGGATTTTTAAATTGCTTGGTTTGATGTGCTGAATTACTCTTTCATCCTAGACCTGGTGTTTTCACAAACCTTGTTAATATGACTGAGTAAGTCAGAAGCTCCCCCCCCCACCCCCTGCCATCTATAAAACCTATTAAGTGGCTGTCTATGCACCATTACCACCACTGCATCCGATTTGTAGTGGTTATTGTGTTTTAGTAGGCAGCTGGGACAGTCCACTAGTTTTGGGTAAAAACATGTTTACTTTCAGCTAATTGGTTCAATCAAAGTGTGTCCGGTTCCTTGGGAACTCCCATATCTACTCAAACTGGTACGTTAAGATGATGTGATTATGGTAATTGGCGTGCGCCCCTTTGTTTATACCTTTTGTGAATGTCATAAAAATTCAACCTTTGTACCTGCAATGGAATCTTTACTTAAAGGTACACTATAGTCACCCAGGCGACTTCAGCTCAATGAAGTGGTATGGGTGCCAGGTCCCTCAGGTTTTAACCCTTCAGATGCAAACTGCTATGTTTACAATTGGGGTTAATCCAGCCTCTAGTGCTTTCCTATGGACTTTTTCAATGTGCGCATGAGCATTCGGCTCCACTGACATCGGCGGAGAAGGAGAGGTCACCAGCGCCAAGCGAGCCTGGCGCTGGAATAAGGTAAGCTGCTGAAGGGGCTTTAACCCCTTCAGCGCCACGGGAGGGGGACCCTGAGGGTGGGGGCGCCCTCAGGGCACTATAGTGTCAGGAAAACCGCTTTGTTTTCCTGACACTATATTGATCCTTTAACGTTTGAGCATTGAGACATTGCTATCCCATGGGGAATGCGCATTCCCTCCCCCACTTCCCACCTCCCATCACTTACATCTGAGGAGGTGGAGAGTGATCAGCTAAGTGGGGTGGGGTTTAAAGCCTTTACTCGTGGGGGGGAGGGGGTGGTGGCACTGGGTCTGAGGGACAATAGTGTTAAGGAAAATTGGCTCCCAGGTACAAAATTGCCAATTTTTATTTAAATCTGCACTTTTATAGATTGTCACAAATGGGACAGACTCCAGATATTTAAAGCACGTTGGCAAGCTTTCCACCCATAGCTTCTCATTAAATTCCCTATAACATTAAAAAAAACAACCCTACCTGGAATCCAACGCTGGGCAAAAAACATCTGTTGAAAGTGTTGGTTTTTTTTTTTCACAGAACTGAAGTTGGGCATCCTATGGCAATCTCTATAGTTTGTATAAACGACCCTTTAAAAATAATAAAAAAATTTTTTAATGCACTGCTTGTTACATGGAGCAAATTTCCAGGCTGCCTAAATCAGAGTGCTGGGGGTGCAGCTAGACCCTGCCCAAAAGTGTAAGCATTTCTGTATGTGCAGCATTTAAGCAAAAATGTTAATTGGATCCTCCAGTTGCCATTGTTTATGCCCATCTTCAGATATCATTAAAGCATTAGTGATATTAAAGGAACACTATAGGGTCAGGAACATAAACATGTATGCCTGACCCTATAGTTTTAAAACTATTATTTACCTCCAACTTGGAATCGATGCGTCTCTGAGAAAGGTTCAGTGTCTGCATGCAGAGGGCGGAGACACTGAATGGCAGTGCAACACTGCCCCAGGAAGCACCTCTAGCAGCCATCTGAGTGACCAGTGGATGTATCCCTAGGCTGTAATGAAGACACTGCGTGAAGGGAATGATTATACTCGCCTGAACAAATACAATAAGCTATAGTGTTAATTTTGCCTGTGTATATTCAAAATTATTTGGGGGGGGCTTTAGCTGACCCTTCCAACCAATTAATTCTGTGTAGATCGGAACAAGTTTGATATATTATAAGGAACACTAAGCACCATAAAGGGCAAGTGCTTGGATTGTTAATGCAAAAGTTGGAAAAGTAATTGAAGGTAGGATTGAGATAACTCCCTCACTATTCTCAATAGTAAAATAATACTCCAACTTAATTTCAACCTAAAAAAACATTTACTAGCACATTCTCCAGTGATGTCATGTTATCTCTGCAGCTCAATTAAGTTGGCTTTAAAATTTTTTATTTTGAAGCTTCTGGGTTAGGCACTTTTGAAACTATTTATATATAAAAAAAAAAAAATTTCTTTAAAGCTAAAGTACACCTAATTAGAGATGGTGAGTAGAACTCTACAAAGGGTTGCGTGTGGTGTGGCTTTTAAAAATATTTTTTGTTTTATACGTTTTTGCTTTGCACTGTACCTTAGCAAGTCATGTTGCTTTTTTGCAAGATCTCTGTACTGTATAATTAACATGTAGAAAATTTCAAAATCTATTTTAGCTTAAATTTTGCTATTTAGTTTTTAGTTGACTTCAAATTGTAGTTTAATAGAAAGGAGAAATTGGATTTAAACATGGTATTCATTACATGCCAATAGCTTGCAGTGTCGAGTAGCTTTTAAGGCCTGCCTAGTAGCATTGTCCATTGAAATTATACTTGCCCAGAGTGCAAATTTACGTGTGTGTGTGTATATATCTAATTTTTTTTTTTTTTTTTTTCTCCCACCCATTCTCAGCAGCTGAGTAGTGTGGTCTGCAGTCAGAAAGTGCGCTCCACCATTTAGAAGCCTCCCATACTGTGTCATCAGTCTTAGCCCACAATCTTCTCTCCATAACACATGCAATTATTCTTTTTTGTTGTTGCTTTTGTTGCTAATGTAAACTTTTGTCTGAAATCTAAATACTAGGGACATTTTTCAAACCCGGGATTAATCTCTTAAATAGCCAACATAAAGCATCTGACTTTTGATGTGAGTGTAATGCGTATGTATGTTTCTCAGCTATTCATGGCAATCTTTGCATATATAATCCTAATATATAATATATATATGTGCAAACATGTTTCTGTTACATAGCCTGGTTTTCTATTAGAACTAACGTACGAGAGTGAAGTATGTCTTAAGCAGTTTGCTTTTTGGCTTAACATTTTAACTTTTAATATGCTTTAGTTTCACAGAGTAGGAATGATGACAGTTGGCTGCCGACTGACTCCGCCACTGATCTGCAATCCGATTTACTGTCCACCAGCCAGTGGATTTCATCTCTCCCCTTCTGTGGATTTGCAGAAAGCATTAGCAACAGGGCCCATTAGGAACCAGAGCGAATTAGGGGATTATTGAGAAGAATCCTTTACAGAAAACGAGAACTGAATATGTAAAGGTTGCTTGTGTACAAACCTTAGCTCATACTGTGGCTCATGACCTACTGAGTACTTTTTACTGACTCATTTCCCTTTCTAAACAGATCTGTTTTGCACCGAAAGCCTAATAACATTTTCAACTGAACTGCAATCTAAAATTGTACTTTTGTGCATAAGATGCCTTGCGCATGGCAGCAACCCTGACTATGTTGTGGTGTTTACCGAATGTAAAACCGTGTGTCCTTATACAGCACTCCTGGTACTTATTTGCACACTCCCCATGGCATTTTGGAATTCCCACTATTTAATAGAATAATGTTTGTGTAGTGACGTTGCACAGAAAAAAGTAAGCTTCACATCTGCCATAATTCATCTTTTTGTTTGATTTTTAAAATTTTTATTTGTGTACAGGTGTTTTATCACCTGTCTCATGGCAGTGTGTGTGTGTGTCAGTGCCACCTCAATCTTCCTCTAGATTTGGGGTTGTTTTGAACTTGTTCCTCCTCGCTTTATTTTTCTGGTTACAAAATTGGGCAGACTAGATGGGCCGAATGGCTCTTATCTGCCGTTACACTCTACGTTTCATTTTCCAGATGGCTTATATCCTCAATTTTAGTTACATGGCATGTGTTGGTACTATGTAACCGATCATACAAATTACTAACTTTGATTTACACGCCAGCTCCCCCACCTTGACCTTTATGGGTATAGAGTTAATCCAGTCAGTACGGGATAGGATGAGATTGTTTGTTTATTAGTACAAGGATCGAGAGAGCATGTTTGCATGCTTCAATTTTAAGCTGGCGTCCGTGAGCCAACAAAGCACCCCTTTCGTACTGTATAATTGATGTGAAAGTTTTTAGTAAAGGAACATTTTTAATGTTAAAAATGTATCTACAACTTCAGGCCTCAAACTGGATCCTGCAAGCTCAAGTGGAGACTCTCCAGAATGCTATAATTTTGTTTTCAAAATAAGAGTTAAATACAACATCCGTGACTTTATTTTTTTATTGTTCTGCACTCAATTACTTTGGGATTCCACATTTGCTAGCCCAAGCAGCAATCTGGTGCTACAGGGCTTTTTACGTGTGTCTGTGGGTGGCACAATATTCTCCTAGATCATGCCTGTCCAACCTGCGGCCCCCCCGGATGTTGCCGAACTACAACTCCCATGATTCTTTCAATGAAACAGATAGCCAGGGTATCATGAGAGTTGTAGTTCAGCAACATCTGGGGGGCCACAGGTTGGATAGCCCTGACCTAGACCGTGGTCCTCGTGTTAGTCCAATTGGTTCCTTTTATAGATGCCATTATGGGCATTTGCTGGTTAAGTCTTCTCTATATGTATGCCTGTCTTGCGCATGCCAACCAGTTTTTTAGATCTCATTTAACATGAAAACATGTGTTCCCACCGTCTCTTGTTAACTCTCTATAGCAGAGTTTCGTATATGACCCTAGTTGTGATATTAATTTTGTTATTGAATGTTTTTCAAAATGCTATATGCTGGAACAAGTTATATATCATTACGAAAAATAATAAATGTATCTGTTAGATGTCTTACTTTTTTAGTTTTGTTGTAGAAATAAAATTTACCTGTAACCCAGCACAAGACACCCTTTTCTCTTAGCCTGATCATCAGTTGTGATGAGATCTGGTCCAATCTAATGCTTAAAGGGACACTGTAGGTACCCAGACCACTTCAGCTAATTGAAGTGGTTTGGGTGCTGTGTCACTATTGCACTTGGTGCTGCAATGTAAAACGGTGTCAGATTTTTTTTTTTTCCCCCCATAGGAAAGCATTGTATAATGCTTTCCTATGGGGAGTTCTAATGCATGCGCACGTGGCCATTGGCGCACATTAGGTCTCCCCCGACGGCAGAGCCTGACCCTGTGCCGTGGCCCATCGGTGCTCGATTCAGGTAAGTGGCTGAATGGGTTTTCCTGGCACTATAGGATCCCTTTAATAGAAAAACATTGCAGGCATTGTTGACCATCAAAAAAGGCCTTGAGGAAGTGCCCCTAGTGGCACTTTGAATGTCTGAGGCTATTTCTAAAAAGGGACAGGGACTTCATTTTAATAAAGTGGTTTTATTGTTTTAAATCTTTTCAACAGGGAAAAAAGAATGTTCTTTACTTCAAGAAGGATGAAATATTGTTGGTATTATGACTGCTTATTTTTTAACCAATTTGTTTTATTTAAATTTTTTTGGTAATATAAATATATGTAGGTGCACATATGAGTTGGGTGTGTGATATAAATTTTGTGAAGGGGTATGGAATCACACTGTGGTGCTGAATAGTTTTGGAACTCTATGGGTTAAGCAATATATATAAATAAAATGTATGTATGTCTCCATAGCAATAGCCATGTATTTAGAAGACTGACCTTGAACTGCTGCTGAAACTGCAGTCTAATGGAACTTTTATGTACGTCAGGTTATGCCTTTACAACAAGAACAGAAAGTACTTGGACTCCCATGATGCTTTGCTAGCATACGAGGCCCTAGTACATACTTATTGTAAAACAGGGATGGTCAGTGTTGTTGGCATTGATATCATTTTGGTTTTTTTACCAATTCCTTTTTGAATATATTTGTAACATGCATGGATACTCTGCAGTGAATCTTTCAGTATTTTAATTTTTCACATCTTTCAATAATTTTATGTAAGGTCATATTAGTAGTTAATTTAGTTTGATCTAGTATTTTGGCAATACGACCAGGGTAAATAATAGAATTAAGTGCAGTAAATGCTGTTTGAGCATGGGCCAAATACAGAATTTAGGAATTCTAAGAATGCTTAGGCCGTAGTGTCCCTTATTTCCCCATTGACTGCTGAAAAATGCTGTTCATACATTTGACAGGGCTATTAATTTTTATTTGTCATTTTATTTGTTACTGTGCACTCCCTTTCAGTTAATTGTGTCAGAGCTCAGAATTTCTACTAACCAGGTCTCTGTTACTCATCACAACAAACGTACCTCAGAGCATTTTGCTTCCGAATCCCATATTATCCCTGTTTGGAGTATTGGATCTTTAGTGAGTGCAGGGGTGTATTTTTTTGAAGTCAGTGTTGTTTTGTGTAGAATGTTATTGATGGTTCCAGGATCCGTGTGTGCTATGTATTTTCCTATTGGCTCCAGAGCCCTTGACTGCTTCTCTCCAACCCAATGACCCCCTATGTGAGAGGGTGAATGAAAATTTGTTTAGGTGTTCTTAAATTGTAATAATACGCCTCATATTTGGTTGTTGATGCTTGTTGTCTTATTGTCAAATATAGCAAATCTTTGTATACAAATATTGAGGTGCAGTTTCTTGGCATTGTAAACTGTTTGTATGTATTGTGCATCTACCAAAATGTCTGAAATAGAAAATATAAATAAAAACTCTTCTCTTAAGATGCCTTTTAAGTTGGCTTTTGACAATACGACCCATGGGCTTGCTTTTACATGTTTGTATTCAAAGCAAATTACTTATTTAAATACATCAAAACTAGATCCCTTGTAGTCTGCTAGTAAAGCAAAAAAGTACAGTACTTTTGTTGCCATGCAATTTCAGTAAGTGTAATGAGATAACTGTGCGATATTGGCTGATATTTACATAGAGGAAATCTTTGGAACAAAATCTAAGCAAGAAATTTGTGCTGAAGTTTTTATTTAAAAGGAAAACATTGAACATTCACAAAAGAAAATTAGAAAAATGAAGGCAGCGTTTATGATTGCGTTACCTCAAGTATCCTTATTTTAGTGACACCCTCTAGAGGTATCCGAAACCAAAAAAAAAAACATAAACAGTGTTTTAGCTGTAGTAACCTGAAACGGTGCACTTACAGATTCCAGGCACCATGATCATTTTCAAATCGCTGAAGTGGTCATGGTGTTTGGAGTAACCCCTTTAAGGACAAATATAAACCCTGCCTTTTCTCACAATTGTAAAAATTGTTTTTCTGAGACTGAAGGGATAGATTTTAAACAAGAGCCAATTCACTCTAACCTTTTTAGATGCTTTATCTCACACCCAACAAAAAGGAAATCAGGCAATCGACAGGCAATGATCCTCAGGAATTTCTATGATGGCATATGTAACCAAACATCCTTCATGTCTGCCCACCTAGACCAGAAAATCAAAAATACAGTGGGCTGAGCTAAATGAGCAGCTTCGTAATCTGTTTATTTACAATCAATTGCAGTTACACACCTCAAAGACCCTGCTGGCAATACATAGACCGGAGCACACTTTATAAAGGCAGTTATACCTAACTTAATTTTGCAATAACATTTTGCTGTTTCAATGTACAGATAAATGTTGACAAAAGAAAAGTGCCAGAGATCTAATATAATATATTTTTGTTTTTCATATATCTTATCTGTTTTTTTTGTTTTTGTTTTTTTCCTCAGGCTGCGGATTTAAGCAAACCGATAGACAAGCGAATATATAAAGGAACACAGCCAACCTGTCATGACTTCAATCATCTCACAGCCACGGCAGAAAGTGTTTCTCTACTCGTGGGTTTCTCTGCGGGCCAAGTTCAGCTTATAGATCCGATTAAAAAGGAAACAAGCAAGTTGTTTAATGAAGAGGTTAGTCCAATATCTGTCCTAGCGTACTGCATGAAAACTGTTACACTCTGAATTGTGAGCGTTTTTGTTGAGTTTTACAAACATGATGTGGATGGGTAATGCATAAACAGCAGTTCTTTGGCAAAATTATAAAAGTTTAGCTGTCTACATAGAAACAGTGGATTTATTGCAACCCTTTAAACTTTGTTTTAAAAGGAGTTTATATTTTTTGTGTGGGTTTTTAAAAAAATGTGTGTAAATTTTTCCTGACACTATAGTGCCCTCAGGGTTAAAACCCCTTCAGCCACTTATCTTAATCCAGCGCCGGGCTCCCTCTGCACTGGTGACCTCTCCTCCCCTGTCCGACGTCACTGGAGCGCATTCAAAGTGTCCATTGGAAAGCATTTCTCAATGCTTTCCTATGGAGGCTCTGCGCGATGGAGATGAAATGCGCCTCCAGCGTCGCAGATGCGCCTCTAGTGGCTGTCCGGAAGACTGCCACTAAAGGCTGGATTAACCCCAAATGTTAATGGTTAACACCCGAGGGACCTGGCACCCAGACCACTTCATCGAGCTGAAGTGGTCTGGGTGATTATAGTGTCCCTTTAAAATAATTTTAGCATAAAAAGTCTGTTTTGACAGCCAGTCTCAATTAGGATTATCATAAAACATTTTTCTTAATACTTCTGATGTCATTCTCTCCATCTGTTTAAGCATTTTTGAGCTGATTTTATACTCAAATGTATATTGTAAAGTTAGCTGTGTGCCACTTGTGAGTACTGGACCCCATACAGAGCCCAATTAACCCTTAGGAGGTATAGTGGCCGCCTAGAGCCCTGGTTTGGACAGAGGCCCCCTTTGAGCTGGTAAGGAGATTTTTTTTTTTTTATTTTTTTTTATCAATTGATGTTTATTAGAGTATTTCTCAAAATGATATGCAATACAGGGAGTAAACAGTTAGTATTCAGATAACGATACATGAATTCAGTCATAAAAAAAAAACATTCCTCCACTCTCCCCCATCGAGGTAAGGAGATCTTTTGACCTCCTTACTTAGCCATGTCCCATTTCACTTTAAGAAATTTTGTGGCCTGCACCTGTATCGGATGTCAGATCAGTTTAAGCGCTCTCTCACCGTTCCCCCTTCTCAAGGAGCTCTTAAATTAATCTGCACACTTTATTGGTGCACACCTCAAAAAATTCCTCAGGGATCCAACTCTCCAGCATGCCTCCATTTGGTATACACCATAGCATATTTGAAAGTGGGATTATAATGCCTTGGTAAATAGGGCTCTGATATACATGAGCTGATTTCCAGAGGATTGTCCTTCCTGAAATTTAAATACATGGCCTCCATGTTTACATCCATCTTCGTTTGCTTAGAGGGTTTTATTTGAGGTGTATGTGTACCTTTTGAAGATTTGGCAACCACCTTCTGCGTATAGCCACAAGGCATACTGAGGTAAATTGTATTCATTTTCTGATGTTATTTGAATGCTTGCATGAAGCGGATGTGGTGGTGTTTTGCTTTAATCGAGATGTTTTTAAAAATTTAGAAATTCCTAAAATCTTTTCTGCAAGTTGTGCGGTATTCCATTCATTCTGGTGATTATGTAAAATATAAATAAAATAGACAGATTCCCATTAGGTTTCATGTGATGTAACTTGTGTAATTCCTCTGAAATGCTGGTGTTCAATACAGCCAAGTTCTTTAATTAAAGGCATGCTTGGTAATGTCACAAAGCTGGATTGTTGGTGAATCTCCTGAGCCCTCTTCCTATTTAAGGATTACTTTTCTTTAATCCAACAGCGAAAGGGTTTCCTTACTGTAGATCCACTCCTCTCACTGGTAACTCATCAGTATTTAGTGATCTCTGGCCAGTCCAATGCTTTTGTACTGGAATGAAGAACATCTTCCTGGTTGTCTGAAAGATGTGATGGTAAAACTTTTTTATAAAAGCGTTTTTTATTTTTTTCACCTGCGTAAAAAAAGACTCTCCTAAAAACACTTTAACAAGTGGTAAACAAGACTTCATCTGATCTTCTGCTAGAAAGACAATGCAGCTAGTAATATGTCCGCTTACAGAAATAAATCAAATTTTTAGGAGACTCCTTTATATTATGTTAGCAAATTGCCACATTTTCAAAATAAGCCCCTTCAGCAAGCTTTAAGACTTTAGAGGACTGCAGTGTCCCCTTAAATGTAGTTTTATATGGGGATGGGTTAATGAAATGCAATGTTTTGGCTTAGTTTTACAAATGTTTCTAGGTAAGGCTTGCAGTACTACATGAAATATTCTGGACATGGCGTGTTTGGTAAATGCTCAGCATACACAATTCGTATTCAAATTTCTTTTTTAGCTTAGGTCCATTAAGCTATTCAGGCTTCTGAGACCTGTAATGGCATTAAGTTGGGTAAGAATAGCATCTATTAATCAGCAGGGGGGAAATTAAATCCAATGATCTAGGAAAATTGGATATATTTCTGTATTTTTCTTATAGTTATGATCATATAATATTAATGTCTTTGTCTAATATATTCGCATGCCTGGTTTTATTGCCGGAATGTTTGTGTAACGTATTCAGATTCCTCATAATTGATTTAAATTTTAAAAGCATATGCTAGTTGACACCAATTGTAGACAAGGTTATAACTAAAACTGTGGGCTACTAGAATGTTTGTGGTGGGGTTTTTTTAAATTTTTCTCCTGCATGTGCTTACTATGGCTGTTTACAACGTTCTATGAAATTGGGCATTCTTTGATCCTCTTGAGGAGTTTTTACGTTTAAAGGCGAACACCAAGCAAAATGACAGATAACTGGTTAAGAGTGCTGTTGGCACAGCACACATAACCAGTCACCGCCATCCAAGTTTGTGAAACGGACTTGGATAACGGCTTCCATATTATTTGTTCTATCAAACCATCCTTTAGAGATAGTGTCGGTGCAGTCTAGACTACATAACCACTATAGTGGTCATGTTGCACAACTTGGCTTAGTTTTTCTTTTGAAGTTTTATTTTTAAAGTGCATTATATTTGATGAAAAAGGGGTAAATCTTGTACATGCATTTTTGTTTCTAAGCTTGGAAATAGACAAAGGGTTTTTAACAGATTTATTGCATGTCTGGTTATCTCTTTAACACTTTTTTTTTATTTTATTTTTTTACATTTTTTAATACTTTTGTTTCTCTCATCTTTTCTTTTTTTAATAGAGACTAATTGACAAGTCCAGAGTAACGTGTGTAAAATGGGTTCCAGGCTCAGAAAGCCTCTTTCTTGTGGCTCATTCCAGTGGAAATATGTATTTGTATAATGTGGAACACACTTGTGGTACCACAGCACCCCATTACCAGCTACTTAAGCAAGGAGAAAACTTTGCAGTGCACACATGCAAGAGCAAATCCACACGAAACCCTCTGCTGAAATGGACTGTTGGAGAAGGTGCCCTTAATGAGTTTGCATTTTCCCCCGATGGCAAGTTCTTGGCATGTGTCAGCCAAGATGGATTCCTTAGAGTCTTTAATTTTGATTCCGTGGAATTGCATGGTACAATGAAAAGCTATTTTGGCGGACTGTTGTGTGTTTGTTGGAGCCCTGATGGGAAGTATATTGTAACTGGTGGAGAGGATGACTTGGTAACTGTCTGGTCATTTGTTGACTGCCGTGTAATAGCCCGGGGACAGGGACATAAATCATGGGTCAGCGTTGTGGCGTTTGATCCCAATACCACTAGTGTAGAAGAAAGTGACCCAATGGAGTTTAGTGGAAGCGATGAAGATTTCCAAGAGCTGCTTAGTTTCGGAAGAGACCGAGCTAATAGCACACAGTCAAGATTGTCAAAAAGGAACTCTACTGACAGTCGTCCAGTTAGTGTGACCTATAGATTTGGCTCAGTAGGCCAAGATACACAGCTGTGCTTATGGGACCTTACAGAAGATATCCTTTTTCCACATCAGCCACTCTCAAGAACAAGGACACATACAAATGTCATGAATGCTACAAGTCCTCCAGCTGGAAGTGGTGGTTCAAACCCAGGAACCAATGGCAACAGCATCACGACTCCAGGCAATTCCATACCTCCTCCTCTTCCCAGGTCCAACAGCCTCCCTCATTCCGCTGTATCCAACACTGGAAGCAAAAGCAGTGTGGATAGTGCCATTGCATCTGGAGTCAGTAAATTCGCTACTCTCTCCATTCACGACCGCAAGGAAAGACATCACGACAAGGACCACAAAAGAAACCACAGTATGGGACATATATCTAGCAAGAGCAGTGACAAACTGAACATAGTTACAAAAAACAAAACGGACCCAGCTAAAACTTTGGGGACCCCTCTCTGCCCCCGAATGGAAGACGTTCCTTTGTTAGAGCCTCTTATCTGTAAAAAGATAGCACATGAAAGACTGACTGTGCTTATTTTTCTTGAAGACTGTATAGTCACTGCTTGTCAGGAAGGATTTATTTGCACATGGGCAAGGCCTGGTAAAGTGGTAAGTTTTAATCCTTAACGCTGTGTCAAGATTTAGACATTGAGTAGTTAAACATTCTGGGAAAAAAATGCTAACATTTCTTACATGTCTTTCCATTCAATGTAGAAAGATGTTTGTTTTTATTTTCTTTTTTTCTTTTTGAGACATTTTGGTTACTGCATGTCATACTGTTTTGAATCATTTGAAATTTTGCCACAGTAGACAGTTCTTTGGGTTGTTGAGGGGGTGGGGAGAGAAACAAAATTACATGTAAAACTGACGCATAATGTGCCAACCAAAGAAACAAAATCAATTTACCTTAAGCACTGTATATTATAAATTCTAGGATGTGTTTTCCCCTTCGTTTAAAGTGGGGGAGAAACAATTGTGCAGGAAAACAAATACATTTTTGTGTTGGTCAGCTTGAAGTCTAATCTGAAGTTTATAGTGAGCACTACAGAGCATGAGAATGGACGGTGCCCTTTCACATACCTGGAAGCACTTGTTCAAGTATTGAAGAAGGAAAAAAGTGTATCTCTATATATCGAGTCAATCTTAAAAAGAACTTACCGTGGACGTAAGATTTATTCGATTAAGCTAATAAGATCTGTATTCCTGTAAATAAAACAGTTACCTTGATATTCTTTAGTATTCTCCATGTGTAACTTTCATACACCTATTTTTTTTAATTTTTTTTTTGGTTTTGTTTTGTTTTTGTTTTTTTTATACTGGACACATGAACCTTTTTATTTTACTCCCCGGTTTAAAAGCGCACATATTTAGAAATGTCTTCTGTCTATATCACTCATTCCAATATCTTGTTTTCTGGATGTGGATAATGGCATAAGTAACGTTTATATATAGTATAACACAGTTAAAAAAATAAAAAATAAAAAAAAATCATTTCATCCCAGATGTGGTAATCCTATTGCACACTTGTAGTTGCTGGACACCAGCAATTGTTAATCCCCAACCAAGCAATTAAGCCTTACAAGTGTTTGGTCTTCAAACTTTATAGCAATGCAACTTGTTCAGAACATTATGACCTCTGGAAAAATATGGATGCAGGTTTTCTCCGGGCTTCAGCAGAACCAGTTTGAGTATAGTAAACCGGTTAGTTGTTAATGTAAAACCAATAGAACCTCTAATAAAACTCTCCCCCAATGTGTATTAATACACATAAGCTGTAGAATCACTCGAATAGGTTCTGTGCCACTAGGTATGTCCGTTTTAAGACCCCTAAATTGTATTTTCACGGCTTAAGTATTTAGAAACCGTGCAGGACCAGAACAAAGACATTTGTACTTGCCTTTTTACGCAATAGCAAAATTTTCATGTTTTTTCTTTGCAAATAAAGAATGGAACGTGTTTTAAAAAAAAAATGTTGACTATGCCGCTGCGTATAATGCACAGACTCATTCTAATTGCTATTGATTCAATCTTAATATATGCTGGCAATTTCCAATCAGAATAATGTAAGTATGTATAAATTTAAAAAATAAAAATCTAAAATTTCAAATGTTTCTGAGAGATGAGTATGCAGTACCAAAAATGGTGCACATGTAATTTGTAAGGTGGGGGGACGGAGGGATAAAGGCGAGGCAGGTAAGTGTCTTCATCATAACTTTCCCTTTTTATTGTGACCGTTTTTTGTGTTGTGTTTTTTTTTTTTTTTTTCTTGTCTCCCAACGTATTTTAACTTTTTTTTTATTTTTTATATTGCAATTTTACATACTCCTAGTGACAGTGAAAACAATTGGATCGTTTGTACTTTCTTCTAGGCAGTACAGATGGCACTTAATTAAAATGTAACAACGTTTAAACATTTGTAACACCAGTTACTACTACTCCCTGGGCTATAAATCATTTTGTAAATCCGCTAGGTCTTATTTACTTGCCAGTGCCTCTTAAGGGACAGATGGGTGTTGGCAGTCTACTGCAGTGCATTTGTGGTGGTAACTTGGCCCTTTCTTGTCCGCTCTTGGAACTCCTCCGGAGTACCAGCTTTCCATGTTCTTGCTACCTCCTAATCTTTCCAGATGTTAGAAATTGTATAATTATGTTGCATTAGCATGCTAAACTGGATTCTTCAGGGGATAAAATCCACACTCTTCAAGAAGTTGCACTGCATTCCAGCAAGGTTTCAGAGTGCTGTTTTGCATGCATAATGTGATTGCCAACATTTCAATCTGAAATTTGCATTTCCTGTGACTAAAAGTTATTTAAATGTCAGACCAGGGGAAGGTAACCTTTTTAGCAGCACTGTGCCGATATAGGATTGTGATGTCCCGTGGCGTGCAGTCCTATTTTATTTTTTTTAAATGAGGTGTGTATGCTGCGTATTCTGTTAGTTATTTTTACTGTAATTGCTTTTTATTTGTATATGTGTTTATGCAGGGCCGTCTTTAACATGGACTGGACCCTGTGTGTCCCCCCCCCAGGCGTGCAATCACGTTCACCCCAACGCTGACACTCACACACAGACAGGCTGACACACAGACAGAATTTACGCTTTAAAACCCACCCTCCAGTTTCCTACCTCTCCTGAAGGTGTTGGGAGTTGGGGTCTGGCTCTCTTGGCCAGCCCCCCTCCACTCTGCCTACTCTTCTTTCCCGCGCGCTCCTCTCTTTGTGGGAGGAAGTGATTCACGGTTGTCCCTTCCTCCCAGCCTGCTGCCGAAAAGCAAGGGGCCCGCTCGCGCAGTTAAAGTGCCTCCGCGCGCGACCAGACCCCTGCTGACAGAAACCCACTGGGTGGACCCTTGTATGTGGACCTCCTTAGTGTGCGGCTTACCGGCCAGGGGAGAGAAATAGTTGAGGTCAGCGGGCTCACGGTGCAGCTGCCCCGTTTGCCCCGAGTTAAAGACGGCCCTGTGTATATTGTATATGTTCATGAGTAGTTTATGGTATTGTGCATGATACATATGAATGTAAGCTGTGTATGGGGGGCTGCTTGTGGTATTGTGTGTGTGTGTGTGTGTGTGTGTGTATATTTCACATTGTGTGTTTGGTAGTGTGTGGGAGGCTGCATGTGGGGTTGTGTGCATGTATGTGGATTGTTAGTGGTGTTATGTTTATGCGGGTTGTGTGTTTGTGTGTGGGCTGTCCGTATTATTTGTATGAGGGGAGGGTTATTCTGCATTTCTGTGTATATCTAGCAGTGTTATGGTGACTTCCCTTGGTTCCAGTGGGGACCAGGCCGGCCAGGTACATGTCAAGGACCGGACCTGCAACAGCAACTGCGTGCTGCTCTACTACTGTGTGGATTCCCATTCACAAGTGCTGGGAGGAAGTGATCTGAGATCACTTCCTCTACGTGCTGCAAAGCATAAATTGAGGATTGTCCTTCACCACTTTTTCGGATTAGCAGATAGCTGAAGCTTTACTGGGACTCCTGATAGGTCAGAGCCTGTTTGGCCCTAGCAGCCTTGAGGGCCGTGCAAAGGGATCTCGAGTGCCGTAGGTTGCCTACCCCTGAGCTAGACCAAGGGTAATGTTCTCTATAGCTGCTGTGTGCCAACATTTTACATTTTTTTTTTTTTTTTTCCTTTTCTAAGATGTTTAATCCAGCTGAATTACCACATAAGGGAAAAAAGTAAGACTGTGTCAATGACCAAACACTTAAAGGGACACTGTTGGCACCCAGACAACGTCATTTCAATGAAGTGGTCTGGTTGCCCTGCCACTCTAATTTTTAAGCATGCAACTGAAAACATTGCTGTTCTGCATTACATTGCAGGCTTATCAGCCACTAAAGGAGCTTCTGTCGAAACATTCAAGTTAAACTCTGCTATAGCAATGAGCCCCAGAGACCACTTAATTGGAGCAGCGTTTTGGTGTGCATGTGCGCTAGTCTCCAAATGCTTTCCTATTGGAGATAGACTGATTTCCGCCAAGGAGGTGGAGCAACGTTTTGGTGTTGAGGATGAATGTATGTATTCCTAACACTATAGTTTTCCTTTAAGGTGCACAATCAGAAATGTTCCCTTTCCTGATGAGTCAAAGATAAAGCTGTGAAATCCTTGCTCCAGAATGCAGTGGACATTGCTGAAAAGACAAATATCTTGTTTATCCAACTAGCTCCAGTCCAATTTTTACTAGGCATTTTTGAATGTTCGAGTGGGAGAAGTATGACCTTTCAGAAATCTCACTTTATTAAAGTTTTGTTCGGGTTAAAAAAAATAAAAAAAAATAAAAAATCTCAACAGAAAAAGAAAACCGTTGCGTTACAGGTATAAATCAACCTAATTTTCCATCTTGAAACTTATTGTCTGATCCATGAGTGATGTTTATAAGATTATAAAATTAAATATGGAAGAAGAATACTCTTGTAAGGCAAACAGCCACAGAGCCTTTCCATTTGATTAAACCTAAAAGTAAATGATGTTTAAATGGGTTACCCAGCTTTTCAATAATCTGTTTGCAGTTCTAGGTGAATATAAACCATTAGTGGCTCTTCCTAAAATGGATATTGCCTCCACTCCGTTGGGAAACCCTCTTGTTTCAAAGATCCCAATAGATCCTAAAAATTTTCTCCAGTGATTTTACTAGTTTGCAGCAGCACAGGGCACAGCTCTTATTGTATGGGGTTTTAGTGGCAAGGGTGCAAAGATGTGGTTGGCCAAGGTCAAAAAGTTTGTCTGAGTCTGAAGACCTAGTCCATTTGCTTCAAATGTTCACATGCTTTTCAAGTTAGGCAGACTTTTTGGCATTTCTCTTAATGCGCTGTTAAAACCGCAAGAAAAGTATGTGTATAAAATTTTATTTATATTCTCATTTAAATAGTTTTGTATTCCCAACACTAGTGATGTGCATTAGGCCTTACCCCTAGGAAAGCATTAATTCAGTGCTTTCCAATGGGGATATTTAAGATACTGGGTGTCCTCATGCAAAGCGTGGGGACGTCCAGCGTTGTTTAACTCCTTGGGAATCGAGGAGGTGTCTCTAGTGGCTGGCTGGGAGATGGCCACTAGAGGCAGACTGAGCCTTGCAATGTAAACATTGCAGTTTCTCTGAATAAGATAAAGTGGTCTGGGTGCCCATAGTGTCCCTAAAACTCTGAGGAAGCAGCACTAGACTCTGAGAAAGAGTGCCATTATAAGAGGTTTCTCTGAGACTATGGTTCTTACAGTGTCATTTTACTAAAGTGAATTTCAAATGTAAGGCTAAAGTAGCCAAACTGAAAGGATAGCTGACCTAGAGAATGTTTCCAGCTTGGCTACTTTGACCCGAACTTAGAAATTTATTTAGAAATTTATGGATATTCTCCCATTAGTAGCAGAACTTCTGGAAGCAAAAGGGAACAGCATAGAGGGCATTGAACGTCAAAGCTGTTTTAACACCATGACTTTATTTATTTTTTTTAAATGGGTTCATGTCAGATTGGGGAAAACTCCACAACCGTATCTTGCCCACAACCTGTCAGTCGCCAAGGAGGAACCATGTCAATGTGATTTTTGAGATTAGACAGCCAGCTAATAGTTTGCCTAAGCAGAAACCAGTTAAAACAAGTGGAGTAGTCCTTCGCAGAAAAATAAATACGATTTTAAAGAAGAAAAAAAAAATCAGGAATTGCTTCAGAGTCCCAATAATTGACCCGATGGCTTGATCACCACACAAAGCTGCAGAACTTGGTTATGTGTACAGAATAGACAAACTAGATGTTCTAGATGCCTTTTCACTTCTTCACCATCCTCCTCTTGCTACAGTCATATATTCCCTTTTGGCTACTGAAAGGACCATGGAGAGTGCACACGGCATAGATCCTGAAGTTGTAAACATTCAATTACAATCCGAGAAAATATCAACTTGTAGTTTTGAAGAGAGGGATAAAAAGGATGACCGCTAGTGTAGATCTGTCCTTGTTGAACCACTTTATACCATTTCTCCAATTGAAATTTGCAAAAGGTCTTAGTCTGTGTGCAGTCACTCTTTCACTATTCACACTGCAGCCAATCCACTCAGTTCTGTCTGCTATACATACCCCTGATCAGATTCAGAGTTTGAACTAGTTATTACCCGGAATCTGAATATGGTATTCGTCTGCCTTAACAGAAGATCTGTTTGAACCTCTGACTGTCAATTGATTGTTTCCTGGAAAGCTACATTTCTCATAGCCATCATATCTGCTAAGCAGGTTAAGTTAAAGGTCGTCCTCCTTACTTCCTTTTCAATTAAAGTAAAGTGGTCTTCGGACTGCTTCCATCCTTCAGACGTGTTCAGTTCTGCTACTTGGGTTGTAATCAAGAGCTTATTTTGTGGCTTTTTCTGTAAAAATCCTAATCCGCTTCACAGCAAATTTTCTCTTTGAAGAAACTTTGTTTATTTGAACCGAACATAATAGTTTCGAAAATTAGACCACCTTCCCCCTCCGCCCCCCTCGTCCCTCCCTCACACTTAAGTAAATAAATATATATATTAGACTGGCATTTTTCCAGCGCCGAGGCTACCTCAGCGTAGTTCACCTCCACTCCCTACATGGTAGTCCTGTCCAATGCTCCTCATAGAGGACCTAATGCGCATTTGAACTTCTCCATAGGAAAGCACTGAGTCAATGCTTTCCTGTGGAGGCTTCCGTGTCACATAATCGAGTTATACTCGGTCAGTGCAGCGGAAGCCCCTCTAGTGGCTGTCATGCTGCCAGCCATTAGAAGTGGACTTGACTAGACAGATTCAGTTCTGCAGATTATTAGCCGATATTTCTGTTTATCGATATCTGCCTACAAACTCCAGCTGCCACCCAATAAGGTGTCACATCGTGACCTCATGTCGCTCTTCTCCGTGAGTTCAGCTGAAGGCAGTAATGTGAAACAGTGAAAAATTAGGCTGAAGGGTGACCAATAATCTGCATCGACTTAACCCTGCAATGTAAAAAATTTTTTTATCTGCAGAGTTTTACATTGCAGGGTTAAAAGGGGCAAGTACACTGCACCCAGTCCACTTCAATGAGATTAAGTGGTGACCATAGTGTCCCTTTTGTGTCTACATTTTGGGACTGTCAGTAGAACAAATTCCCACTCCCTCCTCCATATCTTGTATTTTTGAAACCGATTAGACTTGCTACTCTCTCTAGAGGCTGCATTGTGGTGGAAGGTGCTATTGTGAATAATCAAGCCCATCCTTCTGTTACATTAATGATTTTAAATTATTTATTTTTTTAAATATATAAAAATCCAGTATGCTTGCACTCCAGGTGTAAATGACACTATTGCCCAGTGCAAATCCAGCAAGATTTGTAGGTATCCAAGTAAACGGATTGCAATCCAGGGTCTTTGAAGTTATAATAAAATGTAACTTTTAATTCATATAAAAAAATAAAAGAATATACATCGTTTATATAATTAAATATTTGACATATTTGTATATTTTAAAAACATTTTATACAAATTGAAAGTAAAATTTTATTATAACTTAAAAGACCATGGAGTGCATTCAGTTTACTTGGATATATATATATATATATATATATATATATATATATTTATTATTATTATTTTTTTATTTTTTTTGTTCCATGGAGGATCAGCAAGGGGTGGTCCAAATGTTTAAATAGCAATTAGGTGCTGTCTGTAAAGCCTCAAACAGATGCAAGTCCTCTCCTTACTAACGCTAATTCAAAGAAAAAAGAAACGTTATGGTGAATAGAACAGTTTTCTAATGCCTATGAATATACATGTTTGTGATTTAGACATTATATTCATGCATAATGCACTAACCTTCTGGTCCCAACAGGTTAAAGTTTAGTATTTAAAGGGTTACAGTGATTTGAACTGGTCATGGTGCCTGGAGTCTGTGTGTTTAGTGCTTCACTTTGAAAGACTGCACATACAGAGATTAATCCCTTAACTGCTGGGCTGGTTAATGTCAATTCTCTGCAACTCTTCTTGCACAGAATGTCAGTCATTGGCTAGGAGCAGTCAGTGCTTCTGTAGCTGTGCCTCCCAGCCAATAAATGTTGACTGGCACTGCTTCCGTAGCTGTGCAGAAACCCAAAGTGCTTTGCTGGACCACTAGGTATCATCAGACATCGGCGGTGACCCAGGTAAGGGACACACACTGTTGCTAAACGACTTGCTTCATTACTGGTAAAGTAGGCCAGGTTATTTCTGGTATCATAATCACTACAACCTGCTGTAGTGGTTACAATGCTTTATGTAATCTTTTAATTAGTGATGCCAACATTCTCTGTATTTTTGTATGATCTGAGCGCTTAGAGACACACTAAGTCAAATAAACCCTACAGCTTAGTGGTTATTTTTCAGAGTCTCTGGTGCTTAGATTTTTTTCAGATCACTTTGGTGCAGTCTGACAAAAATCCGCCTTAGCACTCCTAGCACCACAGTCTGGGTTAGACAAAATTCACTGAATGCAGAATCCACAATTCTGCATTATCAGTGTGGCTAAGTAGGTGCTAGATAGAACTTTAACGTTTTTCTGTCTACTAATATTTTGACTTACAAAGAGGGTGGAAACAACCCAGTAAACCTTAACCCCATAATTTAAAGCGACACACCAGACCGCTAAAGCACTTTAGCTTGCTTTGTGTGAAGTGTTTTGTTCCTGTTTTCCCCTCCCCACACCCCATTTGATGATAAAACGTACAGATTTTTTTTTTTTTAACATTTTGGAAATGGAGTGTCCCTTTAATGGGTCATGTTTGTGGGTGAGTTAGTATTAAAGTTAATATTTAAAAGCAGAAATAGGAAGGATCATCTTCAATATACTTTAAAAGAACACAATAGGGTTATGATTTAAGGTTTAAAAACAGTTTAAACACTTTTTTTCTTTTTCCCAGTTTCTGACATCTGCAATTGGGAGACACTTAAAGTGACGCTCCAGGCACCCAGACCACTTCTGCCCATTGGAGTGGTCTGGGTGCCAATACCCTTAATCCTGCAAGTGTAATTATTTTGGTTTTTATAAACTACAATAATTAACTTGCAAGGTTAAGTCCTCCTTCTATCAGACAGCCATATGCTATGCATGAGGACCTCCAGCGTCGCCGGAATCCCCATAGGAAAGTATTGAATAATGCTTTCCTATGGGGAGGTCTAATGCGTGCCCGCAGCCATTGCCGCACATGTGAATTCGGCAGGGGAGGAGCGTGGGCGGAGCCTGACCCCGCGCCGATGGACTTCGGCGCTGGATTCGGGTAAGTCACTGAAGGGGTTTTAACCCCTTCAGCAACATGGGATGGAGGGTGGAAGGGAGGGGGCACTGCAGTGCCAGGAAAACGGGTTTGTTTCATGGAGAGCATGAGGATGTCCAGCGTCGATTCACAGTTCAACTCTGTGTAAATGCCGGAAGTGCCTCTAGAGGCAATAGAAGGAGGACTTAACCTTGCAATCTAATTATTGCCTTTTTTCTGAAACTGCAATCCTTTATATTGCAGTATTAAGGGGATTGGGATGCTGAACCCAGACCACTGGGTACTTATATGCTTCGTTTCCACTGAGCGGTATGGTTCGGTATGCTATTTTGAGTGTTTCCATTATGAAAGTGGCCCATAGAACCGAACCGCACCATTCCTGGGCCCCCTTCAGATGTAGGGTCATAGGAAATGGTATGGTACGGTTAGAGCGGAGCTAATGGCGTCACACTATAAAATTCATTGATTGGCGGACAGGAAAATGTCAATGCTCACGACAAATGACACACTAGGCATTTGGTCTAAACCCCACATGCCCCCTGGCGATCCGACTTGTAGTGGAAACGCTCACCTGAATAGGTTGGACCATTCTAACCCTTCCAAACTGTACCCTTCCAATGGTGTCCCTTTAGATCCGTGAAGTTTTGATATATTCTCAAATTTATGCTGATTTTAAAATCTGATATTACAGCCATTTTAGATTCAATTACCTTACTTTAGATCTGCCCTGTCATATAGATATGTGTAAAAATTTAAAAGCGGTGTGCGTGAGTTATAAAAGGTATTTATAAAATATACAAACCACAAATTGTGTATGTATATGTGCACATCATGAATAAAATTTAATTTTTTTCATTTAAATAAATGCCCCCCCAAGCATATTGTATAGCAAAACAGAAAAAAAATAATAATTTTACTACTCTGCTACACATTTTCTTGTTCACCATGTGCAAATTTTGCACACCGTCTGTTGTTCTCCCAGGGCCTTAACTATTGCAATCTGGGTGTGCTGTTGACACTTCTTCCAATGTGGGAAAATGGACTGCATGATTTATGAAAGTGGATTCATGTAAATTTGTATTCAATTGATGGGGCAATGTTTCAAATTTACGATGTGTAAAACTGACAGGCTTGATAGAAGGCCGGGCTGAAAGAGAAATGTAGCTTTTTAAAATGTTTGTATAGCAGCTATATATTGAGACAAACTCAAAGCTTGCATAGAGCATAGGTTAGCTCACTGTCTGAGCTAAGCGTAGACATCAGCTGACACTCTCTGCCAATGAGCTAGGACTTACATGGGGTGGGGAGTCCCAGGGCACTCCTGGCACCGTTACCTCTACAGTTGCTGTAGTGATTATGGTGCTTGGATCTGTCCATTAATTCTGGTCTCCCTCAGCTATGCTGTAAAAGTTCATATTCACTTCTGAAATGTCCAGCCAGCAACTGTAACTAGTTCAAATAGTTCTAGAATTTTTTTTTAGAGGTGATGTAATACTTTTTTATTTTATTTTTTAAATACATGGAAAATTCAATTTAAATTAAAAAATTTAATTAGACAAAAACAAGTTACTTGCTTCATGGCGATTTTAATGGGATCCACAGCTTGAACCTAGGGGACTCCCATTACTTAAATGAAATATGTGGCAATGCTGCCATGTACAGCAAATGTGTACCTACAGATTCAACATATTGCTAGCAATCCAATGTTATGAAGCCAAAAGCTGGAAATATTCTAAAACACTGTGTGTTATGTGGGCTGTGAGCAGTATGAGTAATGGCGTAGTGGCAGTTCTAGTGTGTATGTGTGATGGTATGCCTATTTAAGGTGCAGTGTAGAAGTGTTTATCACTGTAGAACACCGTGAGCAGTGTGTGTCCCTATGCAGCAAGAAGCATGTCTGTGTAGTTTTGCATGGTGCGTTTTGACTTAAACTGATTGTATATATTTTACATAGATTTCAAAAAATATTTATATTTTTTTAATCTATGTACTTTTTAGAATGGCCTGCAATTGCTATAATTATTCCAGCATTGGTAACTAGTAAGCTGTACATAGCAACATGTTTTTTTTGTTTTGGTTTTTTTCTTCTTTTCCAAGACTGTATTGTTGTTAAAGATTTGTGTGTTCTTTTTTAATAAAAGATGCTTTGTTTGCAGGGTATATTATCATCCCAAAACCAAGCCAATTCTCCAAGTGGGACTGTAGTATAGCCATCACACTACTGCCTGCAAAACATACACCACAAGACCAGAATGACCGATGATCCACAAGCTGTTCGTCAGCCACAGAACATCCTAATAAAAATGTCAGAATGTACATTTTTGGAATTCTGTTAAAGAAATCTTATAAAAGGAAAAAGAAAATTACACAGTGAAAGAAAAAAAAAAATCAATCTTATTTAAGTAATGTTGGCTACTCGCCTAAAAAAATCCCTTAAAAAACAAAAAAAACTTCCTTAGGCGTTACAGTGGAATAATTAGTACATTCATTCCTTTTTGCTTTATACTTTTCAAGTTTAATGTAATTTAATCTTTATAAATATATAGTGTAAAATAAAGTATGTTTATTGAGAATCCCCTTTCCCCCGTAATTTTAGATGGTTATTAAAAATTAATTCACCATTGTGTGTATTGCACTGATTTATTTTGTTTTAACCTGCAATGGTAGGAGGCCTGGAATGCACTTGACAAAGACGGTCATTATTTTCATGGCTTGAAATGTAATTCAGGAAGATGGAAGCTGCAATCTTAGCAAATTTTTTTTTTTTTTTTCATTTTGTTTTTATATTAATATAAAAATGTTGCACTTAAATGCTAGTAGAGAAATTACTTTTAAATGGGTGTACAAATTTCCCAGGAAAAATTAAACAAAAAAAAAAAAAACACAAAATGTTGTGGAGAGAAATATCCTTTGTATCTATTAAACATTTATTTTAATATTGTGGTTTCTAATTGCTCTGTATTATATGTGTAAATAATGTAATTCAATTGGTGGGACGAGGGGGTCATTACACTAGCCGTTTTCATTATATGAAAATAGTGATTTCTAATTAAACAAAATACTTATTAATATTAAAGTATTGCATATGCTGTCTTTGTTTTAATTGGTCAGATCAGAATTTTGCTGTGCTCAAACCTGTTGTGTGTAAAGAAAATTTTAATATATTTTTTTCCCCTTTTTCAGTAGGAAACCCTACGAATTAAAAGGCTATTATTCCTCCTTAGCAAACAATTATTGGTTAGTGATCTGTTGTGAAAAACATAGGGCCGTAATCTAAAATTGTATTTAATCGTATGCAATAAAGTTAACATTTGCAACCTATGTTTTTATAATTTTGAGTTGGCAAAATTCCATATCTAATGGACTGACAGTTAATTTGGTATTAATAGATGATTTATAAAGGGAATACAATTTTAATGGCATTTGTAGTTTCCTTCATGTAACGTTCTTCATTCAAGTTACTATTTATGTAACTTTGTTCAAAATAAAGTACAGTTATATTTAAAGGGACACTATAGTGATTTAGGTGCCTATAGCATGTTCCTGCAGGCTTTTTAATGTAAACATGGCCTTTTCAGAAAAACAAAACAGTGTTTAGATTGTTGCCTATGTAGGAACACCTCTAGTGGCAGTCAATCAGCCTGCCACTAGAGGTGCTGCAGAGTTCAAGGAGGAGCTCAATGGTTTCAATAGAGATGCATTGATTCACTGCATCTCTATGAGAAGATGCTAATTGGCGCAGTATGCTGTCCATGCGCAGTACCCTCACAATGCTACCCAAGACTGATGACCTCATCCATGGAAGTGGGGGCAGCCACAGTAGTATGTTATTTTATTTTTTTTTTTTTAACCTTCATTCTCTATGGAGATGAGGATTGGTGTCCTAAACAGTGATTCTTGCACAAAAGTGTCAGCTGGAATACACGTTTGTGTTCCTTTAAGCATAAGTATTTTGTATAATCATGTAGACCATTATAGTACAGGTGCCTTTTTTGTCAGTTGCATTAGGTTAAAAAATTCACAATAGGAGCCCACCACCATTACATCTTTCCCGATCATATCCTTTTCTCCTCTTTGAACAGTTCCATCGAATGCACATGCTCAGGAAGTAATGGGTCTGGGAAATTATTTTCAGATTCCTTTCAACCATAAGAATTACAGTTGTAAAAGCTTTGTAAGGGGGGGGAGAATTATATTAATTGAGAGCTTCCTTGTACTCACCGCAATCTTGTAGTTAAAGCAATGCCCCCAAAAACGCTGAATATGAGAACCAATAATTTACTGGGTGACTCGCATACCATGACGTTGCGTGCATGTATTGATTGCAATGATTCTCTATGGAGGAATCATAGGTGCATCATGGTGAATGCAGCACATGCGCGTACATTCTCCAGGGCTCCTCTGAGGAGCGAGCATTGAATTGGCCTGTCATCTTGGATGCATGTCTGCAGCATTACACAGAGGAGGTCGTGCCAACACTGAGGGAGACTTGGCACTGGAAAATATGTGTGTAATTTGTTACATTTTAGATTTTATTGTGGTACATAAGGGGCAAAAGGACTGTAGCGCAGATATGTATTCCTAACACTGCAGTGTTCCTTTGGGAAATGTAGAGAGGATCAAAATGGTGCCTTTTTTTTGTGTGTGATAGCGAATAAAGGCTTTTGTTCTGCATTAGAAAATTTGTATACGCCTGTACGTAGCATATTTTGCAGATCCTCCCAGGTCACATGAACTACAATACTAAATGTATTTAATAAAATGAAATGGTATTGAGCACAGGGAGAAAATAAAGAAAAAGACAACAAAGAAACGGACAGGTAAGGCGAAGGACATGTCATCATGAGATATGGTTTTTTTTTTTTTTGTTTGTTTTTTTTTTTTTTTTTTAAAAAGAGGGAAGGGGGAATTCTAAACGAGAAGACAAGAACTGGATGGATAGCCAGAGCCATTAGCCCAGAAAGTGCCACATACAAAACGAGTAAAGACGAAAGGACAAATGCAAATAGAAACCCAAAGAAAGACAAGATGGAAGATGATTGATGCAGGACGTCTTCACGAAGTCTATCCCAATCAGGTGCAGCAAAAATGTTGGACAGCACTGTAGACTAATCTATTATTATAATAAATAGACTGCTTGATTAAATTGTCTGTGTTTACTCACATTAACATACTTACGTTGACAGATTTTATTTATTTAAATCAGCCTTACACTATCATTTTGCATCTTAAAATGTAGTCACTTAAATGCAGCTTGAATTGAGCGAGCAATTTGCATATTTTTATAAATTTTTTTGGTCAAAGAATGAGGTGCACCAACAGCTGAAATGCTAATGCTGACTGAACTAGTGATTCCTTTTAGAAGTTAATGATGTCCTATTCAACAAGAAGAAAGCTATGGGATGCCATTTTACCAGTTTATAGTTTTAGAGTCCAATACACGAACAAAGGAATTTCAGAAGTAAGACATATAAAAACATGGCAAACTTTTAAATCTATACATGGTTGTCCCGTTGCTTGAAAATTTAGAATGCCACCGTGGACCAATCAGTCCCAACATTTTTTTTTTTAATATTAGTAATTTATATTGGATTCTAAAAGGTCTTCTGTGTTGCTATTGTATGCTTTGATTCTGTAATAACCGTTTTCACAAATACAACGTTGCTACTGATGTACTCACTGCAGGGCTAGGCAACCTTTGGCACTCCAAATGATGTGGACTACATCTCCCACAATGCTCTTACAGCCAGAATGCTGGCAAAGCATCATGGAAGGTGTAGTCCAAAACATCTGGAGTGTGGAAGGTTGCCTATCTCTGCCCTAGGATTTCACCCACTACTTTTTAATTGAATAAAACAGGACCATGAAATAACACAATATTTGGTGAACTGAAGCTGAAATCACCCCTTCCATTTCCCCCCCATCCTGTTTCTATAAGTGCATGCAGCACTTAGAGGAACACAAACATGTATAACTAGCGATAATGTACTAGTCCCTCTTGAGATTCAGGGCCCACCCAACTGCAATAAAAAATAGGGTTAGAGGGAAGCATTTTACCCGCTTTTTTCCAGCGGCGACAGACAGTCTGTGCTGCCGCTTGCTTCTCTAAATTAAGCAAAACCTGGAAATTGCATATGTGTTATTGTTGGAATCCTCGCAGGTGCCATACAGACCAAGGAAACAAAACCTTAAATCCAGTGTGAAAAACAAACCGGGGTCAGGCATTCAGTGGTTACTCCAATGCAGATGGGACATGAAAATTTTAATTTGTTACAACTCACACTTTTCTAAATGGGCCTATAAATAAACCTTGGACATGCCTAGCAGTACCTGTTTGTATAAATAAAATGTATTCCTTGCTTACATGCCAAATGAAACGTCTAGTAGAAAACCGAAACACATTTTTTGATAATTGGTATTTGGAACAAAGATCCCCCAAAATGAAGATCGTGTAAGTAAGCATTTGATGACAGGGTATTTAACTGTTCATATCTAATATGAATACATTTTATTATTATTTTTTATATAACAGTCTTGGAAAATTAACAAAGTCAAAAACTCAACTGAAAGAATATATGTACAAGTCAGATTAACAATGTAAAGTGCATGTGACAAATCAACTGAGCAGAGTATTTATTTAAAATGAAAACACGAAAACCTTAAGGAGCCTTTTTTTCATAACTAGGTTTGGCTGGTATGTCTCCATGACCGTATCTGTAATCAAAGATGGCTGAAACAAAAGACGTCAAACCCCTCCTTCTTTTCTTTCAATAGAAGGCAAGTAGTATGGCTTGAGTAGGACTTTCTCATGCTGCGTCTTTTCATACTGTTGATATAAAATTGAAATATTGTAATCATGCAATTATTGGCATTTAATAGGCTTATTGACCAAAAAAGTAGGAATCAATTGTTGCATTAGAATAATACCCAAGTCAGGTATGGTGACAGTCTGGCTGTTTTCGTCCTTAAATTTGAGAACTGAATTCCTGACAATTCTAAATGTATTGAATAACGCTTTATGAAATTAAATGCACAACACCACAGTCCCTGCATTTAAGTTGTTAAAGTATTTAGGTTTACCTTTGTGTCAAAATATTTAAAGTGTGGTATGTTCGAGAGTTTTCCGTTATTGCTAGCAGTTGGAAAGACAGACTGGAACTTAAGCGTAGGGTAGCTTGCAGTCTTGCCTACTCCAGAAACATTGAGTTTTGGCAGCTCCACTGGGAAGGTAGGTCTGTGATGTCTGATAGTTGGTTCAGGTAGTGACTTCAGGACGTGCTGTAAAATAGAGTATAACTTTAATTTACTATTTTGCCTGTTTTTTGTTTTTTTTCCTTTCTTTGTATTTATCTTTCGATAACTGCTGAACCCATAAGTACAGAATAAATATTGTATGTACCAAAAATCAGTTACCCCTATAAGCACACCCTCTACAAAATCCAACCACTGTTAATATGGACTCATCCTGCCTCAAATATGCTATTCTAAACACTATCACTTCGCAATGACACAGAAATTAAAGGGACACTATTGTCACTAGAACTAAAGGCAGTTGTTCTGGTGAGTATAGTCAGTCCCTGCAGGCTTTTTGCAGTAAAAACGCTTTTCAAAGAAAAGGCGGTGTTAACATTCCATCCAAGGGACACTTCAGATGGCTACTAGTGGTGCTTTCTGTGGCACTGACATTCAGTGTCTCCACCCTCTGCATGGAGATCCTGAACTTTCCTTATAGAGATGCATTGACTCAATGCATCACTGAGGAGATGCTGATTGGCCAGGGTGGTGTTTGGCTCCACCCACAGCCCACCTCCTTGGCTGAAATCATCGGAATTGACTAACTTAACCAATCCAATACTTTCCTATAGAAAACCAGTGTGACTGGCAGAGATCATCACTTCTGATGTTACTCAAGGAGGCAGATCAGGACAGGGCCAGTACCAGCAGACCTAAATAAATGTAAGATTTTACTATATCTAGGGGGGCCTGATATTGTTTTTAACACTATAGGATCAGGAATACAGGTTTTTTGTTCCTGACCCTATAGTGTTCCCTAAATGGTATCAATTACTAGGTACTACAGTAACAGCTTTGGGTGATCTAAAACAAGTTTAATATAAACCACTGAGAGGTGCAGGTTGTCTGCAATGCATCCTCTAAAACCCCGTCATATAGGAAGTACTGGGAAATAAATATTTAGTAGCCGCTAAAATAAAATAACCAGATCCTCATTGTCTTACAACATACCTTAAATGTTCTTGTCTCTTTAAACAACCCCCAATTAATGCCACTAGTTAATTTATTTGAAATGTCTTTCCAAACAATATAGACTAATTTAGGGAAGTAAATGATCAACTTCTGCTTTGAAACAAACTAGCATGACCCAGAGCCTGTAACAGGGATATTGTCATCTCACATTTAAATAAGGACTTAATATTTGTAAATTGGAAAGTTTACCTGCCTTCGATCCTGTCCTGCAATCCGAAGCAAATAGTTCATGGAGCTTGTAGTGTTTGCCTTCTCTGTTTGCATTAGTTTATGGTGCAGAGTTTGTTTCTCTAAGGCTCTAAAGTTAGACATTTGGGTCAGAAATGGAGGTAGAGCATGTACAAGATTTGTATTCAAATATACTAGCTTAGTATTACTATGGCCGTACTTGGGATTCCTGTGATGCAGTCTTATAGGGAAACAATGCACCAAAATAACTTTGGCTTAATGAAGTGGTTTTGGTGTGTACATCATACCCCTGCAGTCTCACTGCTCAATTCTCTACCATTTAGGAATTAATTCACTTTATTTATGCAGCCCTAGCCACACCTCCCCTGCTTGTGTCCTACAGTCTCCCTACACATTTCCTGTAAAGAGAGTTCTAATGTTTATCCTTCTTTATTGCACATTTTATTTAATTTAGAATTTCTTATCTCCTGCTCTGTTAGTACCTGCGAGAGCCTGCAGGAGTTGCCTGTGTGTGAGTAAAGTTCAAATAACAGAGCAGGCGATAAAATAAAAATCATAATTTAAAACACACTGTACTGTAAGATCTGATTGAATATGAAACACTTTTTTCATTGAGGCTGTGTGAGTCACAGCCAGGGGAAGTGTGACTAGAACTGTATATTAAAGTGATTTAAAGGACTACTTAATTTAAACAAAGTGGTCTAGATGCATTGTTTCTATTGTAGGGTTAATATACCTCTGATAGCTGTCAGGAAGACGCCCATTAGGGGCCTTGAAAAGCCGCCTTACCGGCGAAACGCGCGTCGGGGTTTTTCTCCGATCACTTCCAAATACCCCCATACTCTGCAATTGCAGCAATAGTCTATTATTGAATGCCTACATTTTGGCTAATAACTATTCTCTTGACAGTGGGTATAGTGGGAGGTTTCTTAATAACTTAGCCGTCGACATGATCTATGGCTACAATTTAACTATCTAGCCGCTGATGCCGTTTATAGTTGTAACCATTTAGCCGGCGCTCATAGCATATTGATACATCATAAGACGCCATTGTGATTTTTGCTATTCTATCCTAACTAGCTAGCTCTATAAGCTAATACATACTATGTAGAGAGGTATTTTTGAATGAACAATTATTTACCTAAGATAACTTTTGTTTCTTTTTTCCTCTCTTCTATTACGTGCAGTTAGCTTCTATACCTGGTAGGTGCCCTCAAAGGCACAGATATCTACTTTTCCATCATTTCCTTTCTGTGGGGATTATAGAGCCGAGGCTATATTTAGTAACTGCAACTGTATATATCTGGATATTAAATTATTTCCTGCAAGTTACTATTCTATTCAGACGGTTTAGTTTATTTGACCGTAGATTAACAGCCACATTGAACGGCTTTGTTTGTGCTATCTACTTTTTATTTATTTACAACCTACTAGTGTTTTTCGAAAATCGCAGTCCCAGATAATGTTCCGGTCATGTGGAAAGTAATGGGATATTTGAGATATATTATAATAGTTCTAGTACAGTAGACAGATTTGTATCCCCCATCTAACCAGGAACACTCTGGTTAATTCGGAAACACTTTCTGCCAATCACAGCAGCAATACACTTTTGTGTATATCACTTGGAAAGCACTGTCAACTGTAACAATTACTTTTGATACGTTGTTGCAGTATTTGCAGAGTTGACAGTTCTCCTCCGTGTTTTTTCGTTCTGATAGGTTGCAACAGTATTATATTAGTAGACAGCTTTCATTTATTTAGATAACATCGTTACTCACATTTCTGAGATTCAGATACTGTTTCTTTGGTTTTTAATTTTATTATTTCTCACATTATCCCTTCGTGTCCTGGTGTGTATACATCTGGACCGATTAGGATTACATATGTGAAATAATCACTCTATCCTATATTCACTATTAAAAGTTATATTTTAATCTTCATAGTATATATTCTTTAGGCAGTGTTTCTCTCTTTCTAAACATATTTATATTTAGGGTTAACCCCTTCACTGCCGTGTTATTCTATTTTTTGATATTGGGCTTTCATTCCTTAAAAATTTCACTTCCACATCGAGAACCGAGTCAAACTAGTCGGCCTAGAGCAGCAATTTGACATAAGCGTTGGATTGGAGCTGGGGTGTCTGCAGAAAGCAGTGTCGCAATGGAAGAAAGGTAAGTCAATCAATCTTTTTCCATGCACTTGGAGGAAGCCAGAGATCGAAATTGCAACAGGACACTATTAACTTGGCAATTCGCATTTGTATTCTTAATGCGGTCATATCCGTTTAACTACTAAATTGCAAAGAAATTAAGCAGAGAGACTGCCGGGGCATATACACCAAAACTGCTTCATTAAAAGTTCTCTTTGTGCCTAGAGTTAAAAAAAAAACCTCACTTAATTACCGTGATAAATTATCTTAAGATTAGAACTCCAACAAACAGTTTCCTTCAACCAAGCAAACGTTTAGCTGTAATAGCCACTTCATGATCTAACAATTTTTTTCCACGGTGCTGAGGTAATCCTGACATTGCAGCACAATTTTTAAATCCTCCATGACTGTTATGGGTTACAAAATGATGCAGAGGGCATGTGGCAATAGAACAGGTCAGCTTAAATCAAAATCAATGTAAAGTTTATTTATTGGGAAAGTGCAGGCCTGTCCAGCTGGGACCTCTGGATAAGATGCCCCATTGCCACCTAGGCAAGACAAGCTAACTAGCAAATCCTTTACTGGAAGTATCATCATTTATTAATCTTACTGAAGTAGTTATGGTGCAAATACACTGTCCCTGCAGACTCTTTTTTAAAGGATTTATTCCGGAGATTTTTTATTTTTATTTTAAGCCTGTGTGCAGTGCCATCCTCCCTGGGCTGTCAATAAGCCAGCTGGAACACTAAGTATAGCAGATTCTTTTTACTTGTGTGTGTGTGGGGTCACAACTTTAATGTCTGTTGTAGTACGCATAGCACATCCAGACAATTAAAAGGCTGCACCAGTTCTTTCTTTCTCTGACAGTTACACAGCCAGCAGTAGCTCAGTGCTATCAGCACCGGCATACAGAAATTTATGCAGGAAGTTGTCCGCTTCTATTATTATTATTTATATAGCGCCAACAAATTCCGTAGCGCTGTACAATGTTTCAAACTCCTTTTATGCTCACTGGGCTTCTGGGTGTTAAAATATACATCAAGTGTAATATAATGGTGAGGCAACCATTTGCTTAACAGCTGAAGTTCAATATAACTCAAATCAACCCTCAGCCAATGGCTGGTTAAGCCTAATAAGATGTTTACTCCACAATAGCTAGTTTTATATAGCAATTAAACATTTTAATAGACACACAAAAAAAGTATTAGTTGGTTTTTTTTGCTTTGTAACCCCTTAAAGACACATGACGTGTGACATGTCATGATTCCCTTTTATTCCAGAAGTTTGGTTCTTAAGGGGTTAAACCAATACTGCCCTAAAGAGAGAAAGAAAGTGTGTATGCAATGCATAGATATATATTTTGCAAGGATTAAGTAAAAGTAATGCATTTTTAAACACCTTGAGGTTGATGTGTCTGATTAACCTGTTTATCAGTACAGTAATGGAAATAAGTCTTTAAAGAGGGTTTTTTTGTTGTTGTTTTTTTAAAAGCTACAGCCTCAGTATATACAAACATACTATTTAATAATAAAGAAAATTATCCAAAACTAGGATAATTATTATGGAATGTATCTAACTACTAAGTGTTTCATGCAGTGCTACCTAAAGACTACACTACCTGGATTCTGCAAAGTAGGGATGTTGCAGAGCTTCTGTGGCACTAATTCTTTGCTCGGGATCATATTCTACCATCGCATTTAACAAGGACAAACATTCAAATGAGACGATGTTCGGTAATAGCTTTGTTAAGCCGATTCCTTTTTTGGGAGGGAAATCAAAATTCATTGCTCTTGACCTGCAATATAAAAATAATGCATTATATGGCGTTACGGCAGATTGGATTGTGATATTGAAACCTGTGAAAGAAACATTAGTGCTTAAAGCAGCTCTCCTTTTTCATGAAAAAAAAGAAACATGGTAGTTTTATTCATGTATTTTCAGAAGGGTTTGACCTGTATATTCTGTAAATCCTCTGCTGAGGATATGACGTTCTCAGAACAATGGGATGGCCAGGATTGAGGATTCGGTGGTTAATCTCTGAGGAGATGCTGAATATGTTCAGACAATGACAAAAAAAATAAAAGCGCACCACATACTATAATCGGCCACAATAAAAGCAGAATAGTCCAGGTCCCTTTAGAAGCCATCTGCTAACGTATCTGTATTATCAGACTGCACTGTGATAAGTCACCTTCTCTATATTCTAAAACTGGATTACTGTATATTCCTCCCTCAAAAAAAAAAAAAAAAAAAAAAGGTACACTTTAAGCACTAAAGCGCTATTACATTTTAATGTAGTTGTTTTGGTGCATATATTCTCCCTTCCTCCTATCTTTTTTTTTTGGAACAATGTAAACCATGGCCATTTTGAAGGTTTACATTTGTCCAGAAATCATGCCTCTTGTACATGTCAGACACTAAAGGCACTCCCTACTTGAGACTGTTGATTTTTAAAGGCCTTAATTTCTGTTGTTATTATGGTTTGGATTAAATGCTTCTCTATAAGAAGGATGGGATTGGCAGAGCACAGCAACTGCTGCGCATGTGCCATACATCTCTAATGCATCTCTATGAGAAGTACTGGATTGGAGAGAGCTAATCAAGCATAAGGGGAGAAAAAAAGCCTGACTATAAACAGCAAATGCCAAATTTAAACCCATCTAGTCACTAAGAGAAGAGAAGCAATGAGACGTGAACACAGTGTAGTCCCTTTAAAAGGTCAGGGAGCATACATGTTCATTGCGAACTGGAATACGCAGTGGGTATCATAAAGTGAAATGCTGTGGCCACCATTTTTGATTCTTCCATTAGCCTGCAATGCTAATTCCAATACAGAATGCCACCAAATTGATTGTGGTGTAATTGGAAAAAATTGGCTTGCAAAGTCCTGTCCAGTGAGTGTGCTATGAAAGATTTGCAACATAAACAAGTAAAATTCATCTGTAACAATGTTCTCACAATGCCCCTTTCAATCCCTTATCTCTTGGGAACAGATCGTCCAGGTTTCTGACGATGCATGTCTGAACTGGAATCATCCTGCTTAGCCCAGGTAACTAAGCGTAAGGTCAGAAAACCCAGTTAGTCCTGTTATCATCAAAGCTGCTAACTGCATTCTCCAGGGAGAGAAAGGCTAAACTCTCACTGGAATTACAATTGAAACATGGATACTAGAGGGGAGGTGTTTTCACAGTAGTTTAGTTACCATGGTTAAGCAGAAAAACTGTGGCTATATTTAAAAAGGTATGAGCACATATTGCAATTCCTACTTGCAAATTCTCTAAATAAGCCTTTGTTCCAGTCCATCACAATTGGCCAAAACTCTGCAGGGATCTTGTAAATTTAGTGAATAGACTTAAAAGTGTTAGATGACAACCAATCTCCACTTTCTTTCACAATATATGGTGTGTATATTAAAGGAACACTATATGGTCAGGAATACAAACGTTTATTCCTCTGCATATAGTGTTAAAAACACTATTTAGCTCCCTTCCCACCCTCCCCTATAAAATTTAGTACAAAAACTCACCTTATTTAGGCATTGCACATAAACCTTTTATCTGAAAATTCAGTGTTTACAGCAAAAAGCCTGCATTAAGCTGTAGTTGTTCTGAGGACTATAGTGTCCCTTTAATAAAGATTATTTACACGTTGCTTCAGAGGAACTTACTGTTTGAATTTTCTCAGTACTGCAGAATCTGGTGCACCCAGCACATCGTGGATTTTAGATATCTGGTCCAGCTCGTTTGATCCAGGAAAAAGTGGATGAAGACTAAAAATGGAAATAATAATATGGCCATTTATGGTCTTATTTGGATGGAAAACACAATCATGTCTGGCTTTCTGCTGCAGATAAAGCTATTTCTATTGGCATACACAGAGCCTTCATTCTTCTTTCTAAGATAATTGCAGTTGTGATTTTACATTCAGGCAGATATGATTACTATTTTTTGCAGCACTTAGTATACGATAGTCTACTCTATTGTGTTCAAACAAGGCATGATATTTAATATTCTATACCTTGAAAATTGATACTTCCTACTCCTGGATTGACACTAATGACCACTTAACCCTTGTTAAGGGATGCCCACTCTTCTCTCATTGTCTTTGACCTTGCATGCAGTTGATACTCTGCTTTAAGTGTCGAGGCACTTACCAATGTTGGTAGACATTCTAGTTGGCTATACAATTCTTACAGCAACCACCCTTTTGAAATGATCTGATCTCTTTAACAGCCCTCCACATAATTACTGCATGTTATATCCACACTGCAAGACTTGGACCATTAGACTGGACATGCACAGCTCCTAGCCTATTTATTGGGCTACACTTTCCTATCATTGACAACTCCATTGTTCTCAAAGCCCATGAGATCCTTTTTTAAACAAGAAAAAAAAAATATATATTCGTATATCACCACTTAGTGAATAGTGGATACAAGTGAAATTGTACTTCTCTTAATATTCAAATAGAACAGCCTCCCAGGTCATTACCCCGAATGAATGACCTTTACACAGCAAAATATAGAACAACCAGAAACGTTTGGGATACGGCTGAGAAATCTAAAATTTAAAATCATAATAAAATGGACCTCATTTTTACGTTTATGTTTTCCTTTTATTGCTGGGTGAAGATTCATCGTTAATAAAGCCGCTTTATACTTTTTTCCACCATCCTGGGAGTCCTGTTTTCCATTCATTCATTTGGAGCAACTGGAGGAAGATAACAGCCCCCCACCACTACCAGGGGAGGCACCCTAGAGCGCTATTTTTGTCTAATCTTGTGAGTGCATTTCATGAACATTAATTCACTATTTGATACTGATTCACACTATGTATATTTATGTTTTTTAAATTTTAGATTCTGGTTGTTCTATAGAACCTTCTTTAAACCTGGAAAAAAGCCCCTTAAAATCCTAAACTACACAAACTTCTCTCCAAGGAAAGTAAATTAATTTTACTGCACTTCCTTATTGTACACTTTGTAGCTGCTGCCTTAAAGGACCACTATAGTGCCAGGAAAACAAACACACTCTTTTTCCTGGCACTATAGTGCCCTGAGGGTGCCCCCACCCTCAGGGTCCCCCTCCCGCCGGGCTCTGGGGAGAGGAAGGGGTTAAAATCTTACCTTTTTTCCAGCGCCGGGTGGGGAACTCTCCTCCTCCTCCTCTCCGCCTCCGATCCTCCTCTTCGGCTGAATGCGCATGCGCGGCAGGAGCTGCGAGCGCATTCAGCCAGTCTCATAGGAAAGCATTTACAATGCTTTCCTATGAACGCTGGCGTCTTCTCACTGTGATTTTCACAGTGAGAAGCACGCAAACGCCTCTAGCGGCTGTCAATGAGACAGCCACTAGAGGCTTTAGAGGCTGGATTAACCCATTTATAAACATAGCAGTTTCTCTGAAACTGCTATGTTTATAAAAAAAAAAAAAGAAAGAAGGGTTAATCCTAGAGGGACCTGGCACCCAGACCACTTCATTATGCTGAAGTGGTCTGGGTGCCTAGAGTGGTCCTTTAATATTAGGAGGATTTGTACCAAAGTCTATATGGGCCTGCTTATTGATGCATTTTTATTTGGTCCCATCAAATGTTGCGTGAACATCACTTAGCTCCTTAATAAGCTTTGTTAAATGTTCTACTCTGGAATTTCAGTAAAAAACAAACAAGAAACTCTTAAATTAGCAATAGTAGTCTGCACCAGAATACTTCACCTTTAGAAACGATATACTACAGCTAACACAGTTTCAAGAAAATAAATATCTTCAAGATTGATTGGATAGAAACTTCAGTAAAAAGTACTTTATCTAAAAAAAAAATTAGCATAATGATGGGGGAAACACTAGATCCTATCGTCTGGGGCAAGCTCAAGAGTTTTCTTGTCTATGTATCAGTGTCTACCTACACTCTATGGAACGATCAATCCCCTGAATATTAACTACACCTTCTATTTTGCAAAAATGATACTTACTTAGAATGCACAGATTAACTAAATAAACACTAACGTTAGGAGTACAAAAATGTATTCCTAACATTAAAGTGTTGCACTGCCCAGTTAGATTATTGAACCACCCCTCCTCCACGTGATATTGAGAAAAGAAAACAAACAAGATAAAAAAAAAAATGTAAAATACTTTTTACTCACAACAGTCTAACCATAGCCATTGCTTCACTAGCTGAGATCACCAGTACTGATGATCTCAGCCAATCCAATGCTTCCCATAGGGTTGCATTGGGGTGGACGGGGGATAGTGTGAATGCTTGACAAGCACTGTGCTGTGCCCACTAACATCACCTCAAAGAGATTCATTGACTCAATACATCTCTATGGGGAGCATTCGGCATCTCCATGCGCACATTGATTCTGCACAGGTATCAGAAACACAACCAGTAAGCCACTCTATTGGCTGTCTAAGTGACAGGCTCTAGAGGTGGTGTTAGGCAGCAAAGGAAACAGTGCCTTTTTTTTTTTTTAAAAGGAGGTGATCAAGCTGCTAAACTGCAGGGACATTAACCCCTTAACGACACATGACATGTGTGACCGGTCATGATTCCCTTTTATTCTAGACGTTTGGTCCTTAAGGGGTTAAGCCCCATGTAGTGGTTCTGGTGCTTAGAGTCTCCATTTAACTCCTAGATGACCGAGAATTGAGCAGTGAAAGTGCAGGGACACAATCTATACACTAAAGTTGCTTTGGTGCTTAGTGTCTCTTTAAGTATTGTTTGTATCTTTGTGCAATTTTAAGAGGAACTATATATATATATATATATATATATATATATATATATATATATATATATATATATACACACACACACACATATATATACATACATACATATATTATATTTCAGAAATGTGTTTTATTGATTACCTGGAAACTTCAAACATGACACAGCCTGCACTCCAAATGTCCATTTTGTGCGTGTAATATCCATCAGTAAGAAGGCACTCTGGGGCACGGTACCAACGAGTGGAAATATATTCGGTGTATGGTTGCTTTGAATAAACACTGCGGCACGATCCAAAATCAGCAAGTTTTAGACGGTCTTGCTGTAAGGATAGAAGAAATAATTATCTGCCATAATCATAATCCATATGTAACAGCAGTAATAGTGGAGTCAGGTAATTAAACGAACGTAGTGCAGCTGACATTCCATTTTTATTTATTTTTTGGCCTGGGTATGTCCCCAAGATGGCTGCTTCCAGAACTTTTGCTATTGTAGAGCAACATTTTTGAAATAGGAAAACAGGTATACATGTGCAGGTGTTGTTAAAGGTGAACCACAACATTCCAAATAATTCTAATATTGTGTTTACTTGGCCCCTATATCTAATAATTAAAATACAAAAAAAATAAAAAAATAAACTTTTTATCGTTTGAAAAATAAAATGAAACGCTGCTATATTTAACTCTATCCTGGGACTGAGTGCGTCCATTTTGGTTCCCTGTCAAGTTCTGTGTTCAGTGAACACGTACATGGATGTGAAGAAACAGAAACAATGTTTTTGTACCTCCTTCAATGCAATGTGTGCCTTGTGAAAATTGTGATGTCAATTGCTAAAACCTTTAATATTCATGAAAAAAAAAAAAAAGATACAGGTGATTTAAAATGTTTCATTCAGTGGAGAAATGTCAAAAAGTAATGGGTTTTCCTTTAAAAACTTGATCTGTTATGTTTTTAGAAACTCACACCCCACTGAAAGATGTCACAGGAGGAAGCTATACTTAATCCTCTGCCCATTCAAATATATTTGTATGGCGTGCAAACCATACAAATCCTTACCGGATAGGTTCTACAAGGCCACAGCAGACTTTTACTGACAATTTTGGGTAATGCTGCTGAATACTGGGACTGCTCCTTTATTTCTCATAGACTCATCTATTTTAATCATCGTCGTCTCATAAAGAATGCCTATGCTAACTTTTTTTTTTTGAAATTCTTTATTTTTTGTGTGCACAAGTTAAACAAACAGTCTTCTCATACCACGTCAATAAAAACAGGCATTTCAAGAGGTATGGCATTTTGTGGCATACTATGGTACTGCACATTTTTGTTTTTAAACAAGAATCAGGCCATGAGGTTTCATATACAGTATACATTTGTTATAGGTTAAGTATGATAAAACAAGATTATACTGTTTGTTGTTGCCTGAGGGTGCGTTAAGTAAGATTGCTAGGTTTAACAATGGCAATATATGTGTCACTCAGTTTTTAAAAAGAAAATAATAAGTTTACAAGATAGCAAACCTGTGATTACACAGCTCTCAAATGATAAAGACAGGCAAGGCTCCCTGTGGTGACTTGTTAGCGGTGTGGTAGTGTACAAGTGAGTGGATTTGCCTTAGGGTCTAAGAGCGTTAGACCATAGCGGGATGAGGATGCGTTTAAAAGCCACAGCTCCTAAGTTCAGCTCTCTAGTGTACAGGCTCAGGATATGTTAGTGTCAGGCTGAGGTGAGCTTGGGTCTGGGTTCCCGGTTCTGGGTCCCCTGATTAACGGCCAGAGGCATTAAAAGGCCTATATATATATTAAGGCTCCTTAACCCCGGAGTCTGGGGGGGGGGGGGTTTCGTCGTGTAAGTATGTGCTATCTGTAACTGCAGCATTAATGCGTCACCCCTGTGTCCTGTGGATTGTGTCAGGTTGGAGGACCTGTATGGACGGGGTGTCGTGCGGTTCGTGTGTTAGGTGCGAGCAGTCCACTGACTAGGTGGCCTACTCCTGGTGCGGCAGTAGGCGCAGAAATGCATAGCTGAAAAACAAAATGTATGTAAAGCTATACGCAACCGGTGGAGGACATTGTATATGACAGTGTAGCATAAACATAAATAAGTCCAAACAAAAATAGAACTAGCCGGTACATCCATTAGTTCCTTTTGACGGAAGACTTTTCCCATATTAAGAACCGGATGGGTGCATAGTGCTGCTTCCCGCTGGGGCTGTCGACTCCGATGGGGTGAACGGAGTTATATTGGCGACATCCCATCGGTGTGTCGTATTCCTCTTGGCGCCTGCCACCGGACGAATGCCCAGAGCTTGCAAAAATCGTGGTGCTTCCTCTGGCGCTGTCAGTTTGTGGCTTTGCCCGTCCCGTGTGGCAACTAGCGAGCGGGGGTAGCCCCATTTATATGGAATGTCCGCCGCCCTCAATTGAGTTGTGGTTTCTTTCAGTGTTGCCCGCCACTGCAGCGTCTGGCGGCTCAGGTCCTGGTAGAAGTGTAAGGTAAGGTCTTCGAAAACGTACGGGGTCTGGCTCCTGACCGCACGGAGGAATCCGTCTCTGTCTGAGCGGGATTTGAAGCTCATTATGACATCCCTTGCGGAGGCGTTGTTTGGACGCCCAGGTATGCGGAATAGGCTATCTAGGGTCAGTCCTTTGGCCTGTTTGGGTGGTAGGGCGGTTTGTAACAGTCTCTTTATGAGGGATGGCAGTTCATCCGCCGTTACAGTGTCTGGGATCCCCCTCACCTTGACATTTCTCTGTCGCGCCATATCTTCGAGTTGCCCTACTCGGGCGTTTAGCTGGGAGCATGAGGTTGTGAGCTCGAGCGTTTTCTTTGTCGTGGCATCTTGTTGGACTCTCAGGTCCTGGACTGCGTCTTCCGTGGCTCTCATGCGGCCTGTAAGTGTGCTCAGCTCCGTCTTGAGGCCTGCCAATTCTGCCGTGAAGAATGCTTTAAGGTCAGTCACCATGCCTGTTAGGTCAGCCTTAGTGGCTAGTGGCGGTTCTGACTGCCTTGGTGGCGCTGTTTGTTGCTTCCTTTGGGGTGTCGGGGTCGGCATATCACTCAAGTATTCATCCTCTGAGGCAGAGAGTGATTCCATCCCCACGGTGTGAAAGACGTCCGCCATTTTGGGCCTGCAGGCCTGGGACAGGAGTTGCCCGATGTCCTGGGTATGTCCCGCGGACGACCCTCAGGGTTTTCGTGAGTGTTTCCCCATGTTGTGCTGAATCTCTTGCAGCCTTTCCCCGGCTTTTGGAGGTGTATTTTACGGAATCCGTGGCTATTTTGCCGCTGTAATGTCGGAGCTTGGGTTTCATGCGTCTTGCAGGCTCGGCTGCTAGCTCCGCCCCCCTCCTATGCTAACTTTTTCTGCAAGAAATGAGGTAGCTATGTAAAGGAGTCATTTGAGCGTTACGGTAGAGGACATTATTGCTCTTTGACTGAGAAGTTATAGCCACTTGTGGGTCAGGCTAATCAAGTACTTTCAATAAGTGGTTCTTGTCAATCCACCTTGTCTCCCATACCATTAAATCCCTGTTTCAATGATTATACTTCCTACCTTACCACTTGCCTATATTTATATCTATTATATTTTCTTCCTTGTGTTTGGACATAAATATCCGGGAGCAGCCATTTTGTTCTTCTCAGCCTATGATGTCTGCTGTTTGCCCTTTTGCGATGTTGATTTTACAGAGGATTGTGGGTAAATTTGATTGGCAACTGAAACATCAATCTTGCCGAAGCTCTGCCACTTTAAAGCTTTGGGCTAATGCTCACAACTTCTAATCAACTATGGAAATCCTGCATTACCAAAGGGGTTCCAGTATTGGTATGTCAGTTTTCTACTCCATTACCAGGTGATAAACCTGAATTACAGAGTGACTTATAAAATTTCGGATTGTGAGATTCATTTTCAGAAGCACTATGGTGGAGTATTGCAAGAAGAATGGGTTTCAAGGTTGAACTTGATAGACCTTATAGTCTTTTTTTTCCAACATGGACAACTTTATAAATGTAGTCAGCATTAGTATTCCATAAAGATATAATCTTTCTGGAATACAAAGAAGTGTCAGAGCCGCTTTAATGATGTCATCCACAGATTTTGTATAATTTGCTTGAATTCACTCACAAACTGGCATTCCTGGATAATATGATCTTTTCCAGGAGAATAGCAACTAAATATATTAATATAAGGGGGATCGTGGAATTTTGGGAAATCTGTCTACAATGGATCCATTTTCTAATTGTGTGAATGAAGGGCGTATATAAACGCCATTGAAACATCAGGTAGAACATTCTGAATGGGCTTTTAGTTGACTTTTAGAAAGCAGGGACATAATGTTAAAGAATGTGGAATTTTCTTGTATTAATGCAATCAGAGAATAGAAAATACAAAACAGAAACAGAATTTGATATTTTCACAAGTAAAAATAAAAAAATGCCACTTTAAACTCCACTATTTTCTCCAATATCTCCCTTTAAAAGAAATGTCTTCAGTTGACTGTGTTTGTATAAAAAAGTGTTTTGCAGCTTACATGAAAATTTGGATGCCAGGTCTGCACATTTATTGTTGTTATGCAAAACAACATTGTATAGAATTTACATGTACAATTTCTTATCAAATCATGAATCTCTACACCTTTAGCAAGTTGCTAAAATTAACACTCAGCAAAGTGAAGGAATCTGACAGAGTCAGACTTGGAAAGCACATTTGGAAAGTATTAAAGGAACACTGTAGGCACTGTGTCTGCTTCAACTCCTTAAACTGGTTGCAGTGTCTGTAATCTCTGGGTACTATTATTTCATTCAGCATTAAACAGTTTTTAACATTTTGTGTTTTAATGCTACACCAGTACTTAGCAGCTCCCCGTCCCCTCTGTGCTGTTTTGGCTAATGAGGAAGCTTGAACTGCAATGGGCAGCTGTGATTGGCTGAGAGTGTCAGCTTACTGCTTTTAGCCTATCAGAGCTCCAACTGATGGTATGAATGGGTATGACAACAAGTTAGTGTGTAATCTCTGCCTTAGCCACACCTCCAGAAGGGGTCGGACTGTGGGTGTCCAGGGTCTTTATTTAGTGTTAAACTGCTCTAAAGTGGTTAAACACTCAATGGAGGGAGAGTGCCAGGAAACTCCAGGCACTATAACCAATTCAATGACATGAAATGGTTATAGTGACTACAGTGTCTCTTTAAATGTGCACACAGTATACTGACAATACCTAATAGATAATAGATGCATAAAATTAATGGAGGAAAAGGATATTTATCCTTTGAAGATCTGTCATTTGCTGCAAATGTTCAGGCTCTACAGTGAGCTCTCACTAAACCAGCAGGAAGCGGAACAACCAATTTTGAGGTTCCCATTATTTAATAGTAGCTAAGTAGCTGCGGATATCTCCTAGATTCCTTACCAACAGAGGTTTATGGGACATGTAGTTCAGCGCAGCAGAAAAAATTAGGGTGCCTACGATGATAGCGGATAATAGCGGGGATAGCCTGTTAATGTAGGAAAGGACTTGTATAGTATGCACGGTATGTACAAATGCTTGGGTGGGCAGCTTCCTCTTGTGATATGTCTCAGTAAGGGAGTGTGCTTATAGCTGCTACACTTAATGCTTATAGCTGCAATTATAAGCAATTATGTGCAGGGACATAGTTCCAGGGAGCACTTGTAGCATGAAGTGCATTTAGCAGGTCTTTGAATAATTTTTACAGATCAGCTATTTTAGCCTTAATATTCCTATCTGGATTTGTACATTGCTCCGATCATGCAGTCTACCTTTTGAATATCTGAAAGCCACTGTTTGTTCACTATGTCCACTAACCTCCACTGCCTAGAAGGACTGCAGTTGAAATTTTGATCATATTCGGTGTATAGTCACCAGAACAACTACAGCTTATTTGATTGGCTCAGAGAATCCTTTGTGATGATGTCAGCCAAGCAGGCAGATCAGGGGCAGAGCCAGCAGCTGCAGACTTGAACAAAAGCAAGATTTTACTATATTTAGGAGGGTACGGGGGAGGGAACAAGGGGGGCTAGATGGTGGTTTTAACAGTATTGGATCAGGAATACATGTTTGTGTTCCTGACCCTATAGTGTTCCCTCAAACAAGCTGTAGCTATATCTATGCTGAACATAAACAGATTTCTCACCTTAATAAGAATATTCTCTGGTTTCACATCTCGGTGAAAGATGCCATTTCTAGTGTGTTTTAAAACAGAAAAAAAAAAACATTTAGTGAAATAAATCTGGAGTTCAAGAACAATGCTCCTTAAATTTTGTCTTTTTTTGCCATATAATTAAAAAGTCAGGGCTGACATAATTTACAATTTTAATGTGTAATGTGTCACTATTCATTAAATGTGTCACATTTTATTAATGCAATGTACTAATTAAAATTGACATCAAATGTATAGATTAAACATAGAATTGCCAAAGGATAATCCAAATTCAACCACCCCCCTTCCCCCAAAAAACACACACACTTCCATGTTCAGAATGGCGTTTTGATCCCACGGTGCTCCAAGCGCACTCATGCACACAAGGTTCTACATAAAAATGGCAAACGCGTGACCTTGAGCATGCATTCCAAAATGATGTATGTGACACTAATTATCCAAACACATACAATGAGTTTAAAGTTAGAGTATATCCATTATCTAACATTAACGGACCACTATAGGCACCCAGACCACTTCAGGCTCAATGAAGTGGTCTGGGTGCCAGGTCCCCTTACTTTTAACCCTGCAGCTGTAAACTTAGCAGTTTCAGAGAAACTGCTATGTTTACATTGAAGGTTAATCCAGCCTCTACTGGCTGTCTCCCTGACAGCCACTAGAGGCCGCTTCCGCAATCCTCAATGCGAAAATCGCATTGAGAACACGCTGGACGTCCATAGGAAAGAATTGAGTAATGCTTTCCTATGGGTGGTTTGAATGCGCGCGTCTCTGGGGGGAGGAGAGGTCACCAGCGCCGAAGTAGCCCGGCACTGGATTAAGGCAAGTGGCTGAAGAGGTGACCTAATAACCCTATAGTGCCAGGAAAACAATTTTGTTTAAGCTCCTTTAAGCAAATATCAGAAGTAGTTGAATACATTTACCATGTGTGTGGCTGCAATGATGTATGGATACAATTGGGAGCAAATTAAATCGTAACCAATTCAGGAAAACAGAGTCCTGCGTTCCTCCATGTGTAACAGACATAACTGGTTCTTTATAAATAAATAAGATCACACTATAACCAACGAATGAGGAATGACAATGTATTCTGAATTGTTACCTACTTGTGTATATGTTCAAGTGACTTGCAAAGCTGGTACATGTAATTTCTGATTTTATGGTCAGGCAATGGTTGTCTGCGACCTATTCGCAATGGAATAAAGAGGTAAAATTTCATTCATTTTTTGACCTTTTTTAATTGTGCAGATTAAACTGACCAATGTTTATTTCCAGGCCATGGGACGCATTCTCCTAGACTGAAGCTGATTTTTCACTCCGTTGTCCTTTACGGTATCTGCTTTTGTTGACCAGCTTCTCCAAACAAACTAACAGTGGTATGTACAAGAATTCCAAACTATGGGGTTATCAATGTTTGATGTCCACCTACACAGTGAATGGTGAATGTAAACCCTGCATTCAATCCAATGAACCATACTGCTTACATTTGAACTCTACCTTGTCATATCCTATTCTGCACTATGGAAAATTCCTTCTTTTCCTTCCTGGGTTATAAAGGAGCACTTTAAGCACCATAACGCCTACTGCCTGCTATAGTGGTTATGTTGCCAGAATTGCAGACAGCTGTCCTACAGCCAAATTACGTGTTCACATCTCACAACTTCTACAGTGCACTCAGAGCTGTGCAATAAGGAAGGGACAGACTACTAGTGGCTTATTAGTGAAAGAATGTTACCTTTAATTAACTCATAAATATTCATGTCCATAAGTTCACATATCAGAGCAAGGCAACCAGATTTTCTATCACTGTAAAAACAGAAAATAAACAAATGCAATTCACACATTCAATCTGACATATACACATGAAATAAAACACAAATATCAAACACTTAAAAATAAATAAATAAAATAACCCATTAACTTAATCTGAGTTATATAAAAGTATTAAAGCAATCAAAAAAAAAAAATATATATATATATATATATATATATATATATATATATATATATATATATATATATATATAAAGTTAGTTGTAATTCATAGCAATTCATTTTAGGATATAGGGAGACATAGATTTACTATTGATCTGTTTTTTTTTTTTTCTTTTTAAATCTATGTCTGCACATAGTTACTTACAAGACAACTTCATGTAGTATTAGAATATTTGGATGTGGACTCAGTCGCCTCAGAGCTTGTACTTCTCGCAGGTTATTAACCTGTTCAGTGCTGAAATACAAAAATATACATTTGCGCAAATCAGTTATCAATTCCATTTAACATATTATGTATCAAAAGCCAGGCATCTTTGTGCAAATGTCAACATAGACATCAATCAACACAGCACAAACAAGAGATAGGAGAGAACAGGTCTGACCATATCTAATTTTCAAAGGCTTCTGCCAGAACAACCTTGCTTAGTTATACATTTACAACTTCAGTGTTTGACCACAAGAATCAAACCTCTTTGTGAGCAAAGTGAATTGCATTTGACTATCCCACCCTTGCAAACCTCACCCGACAGGTAACAAAAACAAAAAGAGGCAAATCAATAAACATTTTTTTCAGGTGGTGCATGGTGCAGAATGGGCTTGAAAACACACAAACATTTGCAAAGGACCACTAGTCTAATGTATACCTTCTCAAACAATGAGGCTTGATCAATATCTGCTGTGGTGTCAACACCATTCAGAGGGACCTCATTCTACAAATATCAATGGAAGAAAGTCATGCAAGGTCAAACATGGCCCAGAGATTACAAAAGACCCAAGTCTGCCTATTAAACAAATGGCCAGGTAAAAATAAGGACCTGATTTTCAGGACAACAGTGCCATCTTCTGGCTTGGAATACAAACCTGGGTGATTGTACTGTGATTTTTTTTCTTTGGCAGAAATCAGACCAATTAAAGGAAAAAAAAAAAAAAACAGGTTGCATGTAGTCTCAAATCCAGTATTTAATGGGCTAGTTTACAAACAGGATACTAAGCAAAGCATCTTAAAAAACTAATATTTTGGAGAGTCACAGGGGCAGCATATTTAGGTAGTTGCTCACAGTAGTACGCAGGAATAATTAAAAACAAGGCTAATTGCACAGTAATTAAAGGAATTAGAAAGCTGCTTGTAGGACAAATAGTCATTATCTAAAGATATACATCACATAAAAGGACATGGATCTGTGGCATTTCACCAAAAAAACTCATTAATAAATACATTGAAAAAATACCAGCAGAAGTGACACATATTCGAACATGACCTTCTTATAAAAATTTCTAATGTATATGCAATGCTGTCTTAATATAAATAAGACAAAATTTGGTTGAGCAAGAAAGAACCATCAAAGCTTGCTCAGTGGGTATGAGAGGCATAATGAATATGACCTGGCTAAGACATTCATGTATAAAATGAGACGTCCATAAAGAAACATAATTGGTTCTCATTAAAGGAATCTGTAGGAAGAAGGTCTCAATAATGACACTAAAGTGGTTGTGTTATGATCAACATTTTCTATTTGTGTAAAACACCAAATACACTTTTTATTCAAGTGATCTTCTTGCTGGTCTTTCTTGAGGCAGAAAGAGATCAATTTAAATAAAATGTCCCCACAATATAGAAAACATTACACCTTTATTCTTCCCCCTCCCCTCGTCCCTGGTGGATACAGTATATCATTTCAGGACATGATATTATCAATAATGGAACAATATGAAAAAGATGTGATGTTCATAAAACAATGGATCTACGTACCTTTTAAAAAGCTGTTTCATTTTTTTACATGCATAGTAATTCCCGTCCTTTAGACTCAGAGTTTTCAAAACTTCTGAAAATGTCCCTTCTCCGATTTTAGAAACTGTTTTATATCCTAAGAAATTAAAAATCCCAATTATTTTACATACAATATATTATCACCCATTATATTTCATTAAAGTAGTGTAGTATATTGTGTGTCATGTGTATGTGTGTAGGGTAATATTTGTACATCTAATAAAATACATTAGGTAAATCTTGTGGTCTGGGAAGGTGCAATTTTGGAGTTCATGATCCATCCGAATTGTACATTCAGTATGTATACATAGAGCATGGGTCTTTCCTCTATGCCGTCACCATACATAGGTACATTACGTAGTTTTGTATCTATTGTAGTTTAAACACATACACATAAGTGTGGGAGCCTTTTTGATCTCATTGACAGTGCTATACACAAAGACAAAACAAAAATATTAGGCTTTATGTTACTGCAGTGCTCTCTCCCCCTTACCCAATCACTAGTCAAGAAATTTACTGGCCTTACCTACTTCCCTCCAGTGATTTTTTTTTTTTTATTTGATCAATTAAATCACACAGCATTGTTCACAATTGCCTAGTCAGTGATACTGCGCAATATCACTGGGGACATCCAATATGCAATAATACTGCCAATACTTATATTTTATTCATACAAATAAGATCATGAAAACAAATATTGAATAATTAAATAAAATGGGGTTTCATAAATGCCACCACAAGTCTGGACTGAATTAATCAGCAAATGGACTTGTTTGATCAGAAAAACATCAGATATTTTTATCAATTCAGAGAATTCTATTGATCAAATATGGCTTTGTGGAAGCACTTACTACCACTGGACTTCAATTAGGCAACAAAGAGTCAGGTTTACAACCTACCTGGTAAGGAGTGCCTATGCTTTCAATGAGACATACACCAATATTAATGACAAATAGTTGTTTTTATTTACTAAATGACTGAATTAAAAACCGTAATGCACAATTGTGGGGCTGGAAAACAAATGTCAAATTCAGCTATTTTTCCAGCTGGGCTAGTTTGGCATTCTGTTTCTTAATGCACAGGTCACTGTTTAGTGAATAACCCCCATGTATGTCTGATTTGTCTAGTTTCTGCTAGTTTTAATTCATCTTAATAAATTAATAATCCAATAAAGATAGATACACTATTAAAGAAACACACCCTGACGTCATTTTTAGACTAATATCTAGCTAGTTTGGCAAGTCTGTTTTTATTTTTCCATGCACAAGTCACAGTTTAGTAAATAAACCCCTTGTAGGTCTGGTTTCTCCACTTTCTGTCAGTTTTAATTATTCTTTTTGAAATACTGTAATAATAATAATAATAATAATAAATAATATATAATATCCAAGATGAATCTATCCTCGCTTATACACAAGTATGTCCCGTCTAGGCCCTTACGATCTGCTGAAGACTTACGTCTATCTTCTGTCCATACTCCCACCTCTGATGCTCGCCTTCAGGATTTCTCGAGGGCTGCACCGTTCCTGTGGAACTCGCTTCCCTCCTCCGTTAGATGCTCACCCAGTCTCCACTCCTTCAAAAAATCGTTAAAAACCCACTTCTTCATAAAAGCGTATCAATTAAACTGTTAATAGCTCCTGACTGATTCCTCTTCTGCAACTGTCACTAGTCTAATACTATCCTTACCTTTTTGTGTCATTTTACCCCACTCCCTCTAGCATGTAAGCTCATTGAGCAGGGCCCTCAACCCCTCTGTTCCTGTGTGTCCAACTTGTCTGGTTACAACTACATGTCTGTTCGTCCACCCATTGTAAAGCGCTGCGGAATTTGACGGCGCTCTATAAATAATAGCATAATAATAATAATAATGAAAAAACAAACACCCTGTTCCTTTTTAGAATGACAATAAAGATAGTATGGCACTTTGCATTATAATACAGTATTTATATGGACTTTGTGACAAAAAAAAAAAAAAAAAAAAGTCTAATTTTAAAATGTCTTATAAAGTGGCGGTTTTAGACTCAGTGCTTACTGTTCATGGTGTCACAGTGATGGCAGCTCGTTAGAAGGGTCCTGGCATGTCTCCCCGCCTAGCTGGACGGTCACTATCCTGGAAAGCAGTGTTGCTGTCAGGGCGCCATATTGTTCGTCCTGTCTCCAAGGCAACGCAACACCTCGCACACAATCCTCTTCCCCCATACCTGGAGCCTGTCACCAAGGTTCCCACGGGAGAAAAGGGCCGGGCGTCTGACGTCACCACGCACGCCCTGAGGCTGAAACTCTTCTATCCATAGAACATCACTAAGAACTCCACCAAACAAGAAACAACATGCTGAGAACTTGGCTTTATCACACTTAAAAAATATATATTATTATTATTAATAGTAGTAGTATAAGCAATTAGAAAACATTCGTTTATTAATAGTTTAAAAAAAAAAAAATGCTATTTAAAAAAAAATCCCGCCCAACGTGGGGCTCGAACCCACGACCCTGAGATTAAGAGTCTCATGCTCTACCGACTGAGCTAGCCGGGCACTGTGCACCATAGTTCAACACTTCTTTCTTGACTCCTGAAAGGGGCACATTATGGACTTAGTTTATTTTCTTATATTTGTGTGTGATCAAAGGTAGTCCTTGAACTTATATTTTTGGATAAGTCTTTTAAATTATTATTATTATTGTATTATTATTATTTTTTTTTTTTTTAAACTATTAAAAAGGAAAAAAATATTAATATATATAAAATATTAACCGAGGCCGTAACTTGTATTAATGTAATTACAAACCTCCCAACTGTTCGTTATCCTTATTTTGTTATGTTTCGGTTAGCTGCAGGTCACATAATGTGGTATTTGTATTCTGCAGCTAATTTAAAAAAATACCTCTAATACAATGTTTTCTTAAAAAATATTTATTTGCTCTTACAGACCCGACACTTCGGGAATAGTGTATTAGCACTGTCGTAAGGTGACTGTACTGTAGAGATAGCATGTGAAGATATTTATCTATTATCTATATTACTTGGAAAATAGATATCTGACTGTCCAGACAGGTTTGGGGGCCCCCCCAGGCATGGTAGCTGACATGGAGTAGCTCTCACACTTATAGCTCTGGTTGCTGGGCAGTGTGTTAAAGTGGCTCTGTCATCAAGATATTGTTACTGAGTGTTGCATGAAGATAACGTGAAGATTTCACTATTTCAGCATATTTAGAAGATATCCGACAAAGTATGGGAATAGCTAGCAAATGCTGTGAGAAACAGGCATCTGCTGACACATCAGATAAATTTGGTCTGTAAAAGATCACTAAAGACTATAGGCCTCCATGTTCTACTCTTGAGAGTACAGCAGTGACATGGACTCCAGGTGGATAAGGTGCCAGGGGGTAGTAAAAACAGTGGTGGCACTTGCGAGGTAAGGGTATTGATCTTGGGCTTAACCCCCATGCCACCACATACAAAGCCAGGATATCAAAATACTCAAAAGTAAAATGACTGCTTTAAGTACTGCAGACCTCCTAACTTCAGAGTCCGGTGACGTAGAAGGGATCGGGATAGTGATGCCAATACTGTCACTGTTGTTGCCCAAAGGGTGCGGGTCTGCCCAAAGAATTGACAGGTCAGCTTTGTGTGAATTCTTGCCAGGCTGCTTGCCAAATCATACAGGCCAACCCACTGAGGGCAAACGATGCAGAGAGTACGGTTTCTGTGATTTCTGCAGGGTCCTAATGGTTTTAGTGTAGCACGAACATGTCTAATATATTTTGGGGGACTATTCCCTGGTGTCCCTAAAAGCAGGACACCAGGGAATAAAGTTGGGATGGCAGGATAGGGATCTGAACTGTCGGGAGACATGACACTGACTGCTCAGGAACCTAGATTCTATAGTATTGGTATTTCCCAGTAACCTTGAGACATGCAGCAGCGGTCACAATGTTATGTAATATCCTGGCACCCACTGCCTACAGATTGATATAGATTGATGGTGTCAGTCTGCATTCCTATAAATACTCGCCTCACCAGAAGCAAGAAGTTCATGTTGTAGTCTCGTGTGTGCCTGCAAGGACATTCCTGTGAGTGTGAGTGTGTCTTGTGTCACAACGTAGCCTATCTTTAATGATTACGGAGATCCACATCAAATTTACCAGCAATCCATATGCTCAGAGCTAGTACTACGACTCTATTACAAGTGAGTGCGCAACCTAATTTATCAGATATTAACTAACGTGCAGTACAATTTCAGTGTACGTTTAGAGAGAGACAACACCATAAAACCATTTATGTCATTGCAAAAGTTAAGGTACAGAATATACCCTGGTCCAAGTCACTCCACCTAAAAAATGCATATGTGTGCATACACACTTAGTCCACATGTTCTCTATAGATATTTTCTCCTGCCTTTCAGCTGGCCGGTTAGCTCAGTTGGTTAGAGCGTGGTGCTAATAACGCCAAGGTCGCGGGTTCGATCCCCGTACGGGCCACATTTTTTTATTTTGAGTAAACTGCACGCAAAAAGTAATTTATAAACATTATAACATTTGGTAACATTATAAATTGGATATCTGGGTTCCTATCATTTTTACTCCCGGAAGGTTTCCAGTTTTACCCTGCAATACTCTTACTAAACCTTCCCCTATTTGAGTCTGCAAATTAAGGAATTTTGACACTGAGGGGCTTCCGTATCTCTTTTTTTTCCACTGGGGAAAGTTTTTTTTTTTGTGTACATATTTTATTCACACGAAAACATACATTAATAAAGAACATCACATGGCAATATTTGGGCAATGGCTGCTGCACTAAAATGGAGGAAGGTGCGAATGGTAGGTGTAATGCAAACATCCCCCACCAAGATGGCGGCGTGGCTTGGCTGCCTTGTCACAGCTTCCATCCACAATATGGCGCAGGAGGCTGGAGTTATGACACACGTTCCTCCGCCAAGATGGCCGCGAGGGTTGTCAGCTGTGTCTGCACTTCCCCCAGTAAGATGGCGGCGGTAGGTGTCGGAAGCGGCCATGCTGAGGCCGAGGTGAAGTCCGGGGTGGCGGAGCAGTGCGTCCCGGTGTCTGAAGTGATGATGGTGGAGCAGGGGGAGGGCGCCGGACCCCCGAGGCAGGTCTTACCCCAGGCCGTGTCCGAGGAGGTGATCCGGACCATCACGGAGACCAACCCGGTGTATTACCTGCAGCCGGACGGCAGCCTGGTGCCTGGGGGGCCCGGGGTGAGCTGGTGTCCGGGAGGGGCCCAGGCGGCGGTCAGCACGGCCCCGGAGCCCCCCTCTGAGGTGAAGAAACCCCCCAGCCAGCAGGTCCGGACCGTGTCCCAGCACGTGGCCCTGCGGCAGGGAGCAGCCAGCCCTGTCACCAGGATCATCGACCAAAAGGTAACCAGCCACACCGGGCGACCAGGGCCAGCTCGTACGCAGCCACACCGGGCGACCGGGGCCAGCTCGTACGCAGCCACACCGGGCGACCGGGGCCAGCTCGTACGCAGCCACACCGGGCGACCGGGGCCAGCTCGTACGCAGCCACACCGGGCGACCGGGGCCAGCTCGTACGCAGCCACACCGGGCGACCGGGGCCAGCTCGTACGCAGCCACACCGGGCGACCGGGGCCAGCTCGTACGCAGCCACACCGGGCGACCGGGGCCAGCTCGTACGCAGCCACACCGGGCGACCGGGGCCAGCTCGTACGCAGCCACACCGGGCGACCGGGGCCAGCTCGTACGCAGCCACACCGGGCGACCGGGGCCAGCTCGTACGCAGCCACACCGGGCGACCGGGGCCAGCTCGTACGCAGCCACACCGGGCGACCGGGGCCAGCTCGTACGCAGCCACACCGGGCGACCGGGTTTAGTACAGGGGGGAGAGGGCCTGGGGTTTAGTACAGGGGGGAGAGGGCCTGGGGTTTACAGGGGAGAGGGAGTACAGGGGAGAGGGACTGGGGTTTAGTACAAAGAGGGGACTGGGGGGGGGACTGGGGTTTAGTGCTTACGATTCAGAAGATGTTTTGATCCAGAGATTTTCAACTTCAGCATCATACCTAAGTGTAATCCCCCTTGATCTAGGTGATCTCCTGAAATATTCTATATTAAATGAACCCTTCGAGCACCATATCCTGCTGTAGTTGTTATGGTTCCAGAAGGGCCCTGGCACCCTCTCAGAGCAATTTTTCAAATATTTTAGAACAATTTTAAAATGTACCCAGGTCTCACTGACAGATTAGTCTACAATGGTGTCAGGGCACTCCTGGCACCATAACCACTACAGTGAACTATAATAGTTTTGGTGCTTAGAGTAATTCTTTTAGAGACCATTAAATGTTTTGAAACATTAATGCTCTTTATTTATTACCAACCACACATGTTATTTGTAGGTGAGATGCATACAAAGCCCAGGTAATGAAGGAATTATGTGCTGTTTATTCTGTAATCGTTATATTTTGTGCTCATTTTCTTTGCAGGATCTGAAATCCATTCGGATTGAGGTGCCAGGCCTCCAACCAAAGAAAAACAAGATTCAAATTGTTGGTCCTCTACAGCTTTTGCAAAAGTCTGCAGTTCATGGCAAGATGAATACAGGCACTCCTAATCTCCTCGGCGCACAGGTCATACGTATCAAGCCTCAATCCGAGCAGGAACAAGAACAGTTTTTCCTGCAAACTTCTGATGTGGCTTCTCCCATACAGCTTGTTCAGAACTCACAGTTGATTTCCGAAAAATCAAATAATGGTGACAACACGAACACAGCCTTAAGTCCTGGCGAGACTGTGAGCGAGGAGACGTTTAGTGCTGCACTGACACAGACTAATCCAGTGATCATTTCTGCCTCGCTTGTTAATTATAAGTCCCCTGACAAAAAGCAAAAGGGCAAAAAATCTTTAAAAGTAAAGACACGTTCTGGTCGCATATCACGTCCTCCAAAGCACAAAGCTAAAGACTACAAATTTATCAAGGTGGGGGACCTGGCTCAAACCCATCCTTCTGATTCCGATGATTACTCAGAGCTAAACACTGAAGATGAGCAAGAATGGACCATAGGTGGTTTACCACTTGATTCGCAAAACAATCCCATGAAACACACATTGTTCCAGTGTGCGACTTGCGAAAAGTCATATATGGGAAAGGGAGGATTATCTCGTCATTACCGTCTTCATCCAAATCATGGGCAGCTGCCATCCCTAAGCCATAAAGATGCTACTACAGCTAGTGGTACATCTTCAGGGAATGCAAAGTGCTTATCCAATGAGCAGCCGGTAAGATGTTAAGACATTTGTCTTTGTATAAAAGCACAGATATTTAGAAATTACACATTCAAGGACTCTTTTTTTTTTTTTTTTTTTTAAAGTATGCTAAAGATCTGTTATATTAATGTGACACTGTTTTTGTTTTACAAAAATCTGTTTAAACAGTTTAAAACTATTTCCAACACATTAGCTTCCTTGAATATATTGAAGCTTACCATGGATTTGCATCTTCATTTTCACACAACCTCTTTTGAGAAAAAAAGGAATCCAAAGTGTGTCATGTTGAACAATATCAAAGGAATAATTTAAAGGGAAACTCCAGTGCCAGAAAAACAATCCGTTTTCCTGGCACTGAAGGTCCCCTCTCCCTCCCATCCCCCGGTAGCTGAATGGGTGAAAACCCCTTCAGTTCACTTACCTGAGAACCTGCCGATGTCCCTCGACGGTGGTTTCTTCTCACCGCCGCTCCTCCCAGGCATTACGTCGGCCGGTGGGCCGGCCGGGGACACCTAATGCGCGTTAGAGCTCCCCATCATTGCTTTCCTATGGGGAATTGAGCTACGCTGGAGGTCCTTACACAGTGTGAGGACGTCCAGCGACGCTCTAGCACAGGTTTTCTGTGCTATAGAGCAGGAAGTGCCCTCTAATGGCTGTCTAGTAGACAACCACTAGAGGTGGAGTTAACCCTGCAAGGTAATTATTGCAGTTTATAAAAAAAACTACAATAATTACACTTGCGGTGTTAAGGGTAATGGGCAGAAGTGGTCTAGGTGCCTGGAGTGTCCCTTTAATGTTAGGAATACAAACTTGTATTCCGAACGCTAGAGTGGTATACTAAATATTTGACTCTTCGGAGTGATATTTGTAACTCTGTTCATATATTTCTCAAGTAAGCACAAGACACACTCAACGGAAGAATCGCATAGCAACTACAGTGCATGCTCTGTAGTTACTGTGATGCCAAGCAGGAGAATTGCCTTCACCTCTCCCCATTTGCACAGTTGTCAATGTAGTGGTCTACGCTAGGAATAAACTTCTTTGACAACTGACAAATGAAAGGTAGGACCACATTTAGACATATTTAAAAGGACATGCATGACTTAACAATTGTATTTATTTATTAAACTATCAAGCAGACACTTTTTTTAAAAACAAATATACAAACCAAAATAATGCAAGAAAAACTTTAACCCCTTAAGACCGGAGGGCGTACAATTACGCCCTATTTTAGGCGGCTCTAAACGCCGCCGAGCGTAATTGTACGCCCTCCGGTCTTTCATTACTTAACCGGACGCCGGCGGTCCCACGCTGGCGATCGCGGTGGGGGGGACTACCAGGGAGCCCCCCCGCGGCAGATTCTCCTCCTCCAGTGCCCCCCGGCTATGTGAGAGTGAGGTCCTTGCGAGGACCTCACAATCACATGGCCGGGTAGGCTGCCTCCTGCATTGCCAGCAGGGGCACTGCCTGTAATGACAAGTGGTCCCCCTGCTGGCTGGAAATAAAATTAAATTAAAAAGTGTAAAAAAAAAAAAGTATACTTAGAATATATATATATATATATATATATATATATATATATATATATACACACACACACTGTCTAGGTGTATTTTATTATTAATATATATATTAATATCAAATTATACGTAGACTGATACTGATTAAATATAATATAAAAAATTAAATATGTAAATACGTTAAAAAATCAAATTAAAAAAATAATTAAATATATAGATGTTATTTCGTTCTAACTGTATTGTGATATTAATATATATATATTTATATCAAAATACACGTAGAACGAAATATATATATATATATATATATATATATATATATATATATATATATAATAATAATTCTACATATATAGTTATGTAATATTTTTACATAATTAGGTATCTTAATTAATTACAATTAGCGGGACCTGCCTGACAACCCATGCCAAAAGTAAAGGGAATTTAATTTGCTAGCACTATATTTAACCCTATAACTTTCCAAGACACCATAAAACCTGTACACGGGGGGTACTGTTCTACTCGGGAGACTTCGCTGAACACAAATATTAGTGCTTCAAAACAGTAAAGTGTATTATAACAATGATATCGCCAGTAAAAGTGAAGTTTTTTGCCTTTTTCATGCACAAGCAGCACTTACACGGGCGATATTATTGCTGTGATACTTTTTACTGTTTTAAATTATGTTTCATAGCTAAATATTTGATATTAAATGAAAGTCCTGTTTCCCCTGAATATAATGATATATAATAAGGGTGGGTGCATTTAATATGAAAGAGGTGAATTACGGTTGGACAGACATGTAGCGCAAATGCCAGGTTTTGTTTCGTTTACAACCTGTACATTTGGCTCCGTCCTTAAAGGACCACTCTAGGCACCCAGACCACTTCAGCTTAATGAAGTGGTCTGGGTGCCAGGTCCAGCTAGGCTTAATCCATTCTTTTATAAACATAGCAGTTTCAGAGAAACTGCTATGTTTATGAATGGGTTAAGCCTTCCCCCAATTCCTCTAGCGGCTGTCTCATTGACAGCCGCTAGAGGCGCTTGCATGATTCTCACGGTGCCGCGCGTGCGCATTCAGCCGCATGGGAGGAGAAGAGGAGGATCGGAGGAGGAGAGCTCCCCGCCCAGCGCTGGAAAAAGGTAAGTTTTTGTTTTTTTTCTCCTTCCAGAGCCGGGTGGAAGGGGGTCCCTGAGGGTGGGGGCACCCTCAGGGCACTATAGTGCCAGGAAAACGAGTATGTTTTCCTGGCACTATAGTGGTCGTTTAAGGGGTTAAAAAGTATGTAATAAACGTTTATAAACTTATTATGAAATTGGTTAGATTGCATTGTTGAGCACACCTCTCAGCAACATTCACATAATGTAATTGATTATTTTCTTACAGCAATTGTATTTGTCTGTAGTGTTGACATTTGAATGCAGTTGTGTGTTTGTATGCAATGTTGCCATTTGAATACAGTGGTGTATTTAGGTGTAGTGTTGTTGTTTGAATTTGAGTTTTGGGTGCAGGAACATGGCTTCCCTGGGGTCTAGCGGAAGCCAGCTGGCTGATGGAAAGCTGAGTTTTCCAGACTTCCCTCCCCCTCCTGTGTGTGTGCCTGCCTCCCAGCACAGCTCTCCGCAAGCTGGGAGGAAGCGACCTAAACTCACTTCCTTCCTGCAAATCGCTGTGGGGCGGGGAGGAATTAACATTATAACGGGTCCTTGTCCGATCCGCTTTTAGAGGGCTTCTTATCTAAGATCCCGCCACCAGGTTGTAAGTTTGACAGCCCTGCTATTCATCTTATCGCAATTATGCTAGCACAGTGTAGGAAGAATTATTTGTAAGACTTATTTTCTTACTGATTACCATTTTCATTTAGGCTACAACCACTGAAGCAGAAAAGAGGCTATGCGAAGATCCACAGGACCCTACTGTTCACAACGTGCCCACCTCGGCCAGCATAGGATGCGAGAATAACAGTAACGAAAAAACACCTGGCCTCATGGGAAGACCAAAACCCGTAGGTAGAAGAAGTGTTGGAAGATATAGACGTCCTCGGAAAATACTGAGAACGAATTCCCCTGAGCAAGACGCATTAAATAAACTTAAATTAAAAGAGGTGTGTAAGTGACTTTTTGTATAATGAAAATCTCAGATTCTGCTAAAGTTAGAAAAAACACAGAAAACAAAACACTAATCTCCCACTATGCCGAGATCTACTTTAGGTATGTCATCAACTTTGATCTGTTAATTGTCATAGATGCTTTATTGACATAAATTTAGTTCCCACACACCATGTTTAAAAAGGCACGGTAGGGGTGTTGGCTCCATACTTGCATAATTGAAAGTTCAGAACACCCTTTAGTTGTCGCCCCTCCACATGTTCCTTAAAGGGGAAATAAATCGCTATGGATCAAGACTAGCTAAAGCGATATTTAGTAGATCTCCCCTCTATGAGAAAGAAAACCAAAACCTTGAGATTATACAGTCCGAGCTGGATGATTCAAGCAACAGTAACTTAGAATTTTATGAGTGAAAGAGATGCATTTAAAATTACTAAATGAAACATTCAGAGGCAAGTAAATTACTATCCCTTCGATCCAAGTCAGCACATACCTAAATAAAATTACTGAGTGTGTGCCAATATAATATATAGCAAAACATGGATCTCAAATTCCTTTTCATTTATGTACAAAATCTGATAAAGGTAATAGAATATGTACAAAAATCCAACTGGGCCAGTACAATAAAAATGAGGCACCCATCCCATCCACTGGGTAACTAGAAAATGCAAATGGTTTTTCACAAAATTTTAACTCCTTCCTGATGTTATGTGATATAAAGTGACGAGGGGTGTTCTATGGTTTAAATTTGTAGGGCTTAAAATTTCTACTCCTCTTTTACTAGCCAGGCTTTGAATGTAAGTAGCCACTGCAAACCTGGAAGGTCCATGACACACTCACCAACAGTGGATTTCTGCTCACCAGAGCTAAATCTCCACTCCCCAATGACTAGTGGAATTTCTGATCCCTGATGTAGATATCAAATACAAGTATGATATTATCCAAACATTGTACGTTTTACTAATAAAAGTATTTCTCTTAATAGTTGCTCCAGCAATGTGAAAACGAGGACTTAAAGGAACTGCTTCTCCCATATGTTACAAACCTGTTTACAGTGTATGAATTTTTACTTTTAAAGGTCAGTATTCTTAATGGATAACACCACACACACTTTAGCTATCTGAAATGCTTTATGTATGAAATGTTTGTCTTTTTCTAAAAAGAAAGGGGAAAATTTCATAAAGATTGTCACTTTTTAAATTTAGCTTTGTTATACCCACTGGCTGTCAAACACTCACTTTACGTCCTGGTTGTTTAGCTCAGTGGAACTAAATTCAAGAAGCAGCAATCTCCCAGAGCACCTGCATTGCAAAGGTTTCTAATTGAGCTGCACTGTGATACTGGGAAGTCTGTGATTGGACTAGGGAAACGGTGGGGTGGCTTGCAAGTTCTGCTGCCTTTTCAATCTGTTTTTAGATATACCCCTAATTAAATAATGCATAATTAAATGCAACCATGTTTTCATTACTAAATAGTAATGATTTGAGTTTTTTGGCGGGGAGGGGAAAGTGTCCTTTTAAATCTATGTATATGTCTTAGGGAAATGTAATATTTTAAAGGAACATGCGTTACTCTCCAACTTAAAAAACAAAACACTACTCTGCATGATCACACTTCCTCTGTCAGGATGTTGCAAGGTGTAGAAAGCTTTAGATTGCACATGTGTAAATTTGTCAGGCATGCCAAATGTACTTTTTCAGCATTCCTAGGGATAGTACACTGATTAGTTAGGTCAGTGGAAAGCATAATAAAGTAGTAGCAGTTATAACAAAAAAACAAAAACAAAAAAAAAATCATATTTACTTTGTTTTTTTTCAGCCTGCAAAGTGAGGCAACTGTATAGCTGTCTCCAACTGATGTATGTCCCTTTAATGTAACATGCATGAAAAGTGAATTTTATATAAGATACTTACAACACATTTACAAAATGTATTTCTGTAAACTTTCTATTTTTTTTATTTAAAAAAAATACTCTTACAGAGTAAAAATCGTGCTTACAATTAAACTGGCTTATTTATATGACTTTTTCTTTTGTTTTCTTTTTCAAAAGGTTGAATATGATCATCCTAAGAATCCTCATTTTCCTTCTGTGTATAAAGAGTTTGAAATCTTGCATTCCGATATAAAAGCCCTGGCTGAAGACTATTTCAGTAATATGGACCAAAGTATGAAAAAGGACTTTGACATAAACGACCCGAAGGTTAGTTTGCAATCGGTTCAATAGACATTGGAAATGTCTTCTATGTTTGAACACCTCATACTTGGAAACCGTGAGTTAATGGTGTGAATGACCAAACTTCAGCTTTAAGAAGATGCTCCATCAGACCAGGAAAAACTAGCACCACTGCATAACCCACGTGTCCTTTTGAAATGTCTCTAGCTTTAAAACAATAAAACCCTAGACCATTATTGATATTTATCTAGAAATATTGGATGGACCTGGTTCTACCAAACCAGCTGATCTAATTAGCGTAAAAAGCGACCCTTTAGTGTGAAAGACCGCAGCTAGGGATTTATCTTTTGACTAAACATGATCTTTGTCTGTTTCAGGTGGATATATATTTATGTATTGTATAGCAGTTGGAGATATATATAATTTTTTTATTTTTTTTTTCATACTGTATGCCAGGCTAGTATTATTCACACCTATTATTTAACATCTTTAACGTAGCCTTACAACTTTTCTTCCCTTGACAAAGGTATAAATTTGATGAATACAAGAGCTTAGTGGTGTACTAGCAAAACCATTAACAGATTTATTTAACCAATCATTGTTAACAGGAGTAATCCCAGAAGATTGGAAGTTAGCAAATGTTGTGCCCATTTACAAGAAAGGTAATAGGGAGGAATCGGGCAACTATAGGCCAGTAAGCCTTACTTCAGTAGTGGGGAAAGTGATGGAAACCATGTTAAAGGATAGGATTGATGAACATCTAAAAACACATGGATTTCAAGATCAGAGACAATATGGGTTTACTTCAGGGAGATCATGCCAAACTAATCTTATTGATTTTTTTTTTGATTGGGTAACTAAAATTATAGCTCAGGGTGGTGCAGTAGACATTGCTTACCTAGATTTCAGTAAGGCTTTTGACACTGTTGCAGATAGAAGGCTTACCAATAAACTGCAATCTTTAAGTTTGGATTCCAATATTGTTGAATGGGTAAGGCAGTGGCTGAGTGACAGGCAACAGAGAGTTGTAGTTAATGGAATATATTCGAAGCATGGACTTGTCACCAGTGGGGTACCTCAGGGATCTGTACTTGGACCTATTCTCTTTAATATTTTTATTAGTGATATTGCAGAAGGTCTTGATGGTAAGGTATGTCTTTTTGCTGATGATACTACGATATGTACCAGGGCTGATGTTCCAGGAGGGATAGGCCAAATGGCAAATGATTTAGGTAAACTAGAAAAATGGTCAGAATTGTGTCAACTGACATTTAATGTGGATAAGTGCAAGATAATGCATCTTGGACGTAAAAACCCAAGGGCAGAATACAGAATATTTGATAGAGTTCTAACCTCAACATATGAGGAAAAGGATTTAGGGGTGATTATTTCTGATGACTTAAAGGTAGGCAGACAATGTAATAGAGCAGCAGGAAATGCTAGCAGAATGCTTGGTTGTATAGGGAGAGGTATTAGCAGTAGAAAGAGGGAAGTGCTCATGCCATTGTACAGAACACTGGTGAGACCTCACTTGGAGTATTGTACACAGTACTGGAGACCGTATCTTCAGAAGGATATTGATACATTAGAGAGAGGTTCAGAGAAGGGCTACTAAACTGGTTCATGGATTGCGGGATAAAACTTACCAGGAAAGGTTAAAGGATCTTAACATGTATAGCTTGGAGGAAAGACGAGACAGGGGAGATATGATAGAAACATTTAAATATATAAAGGGAATTAACACAGTAAAGGAGGAGACTATATTTAAAAGAAGAAAAACTACCACAACAAGAGGACATAGTCTTAAATTAGAGGGACGAAGGTTTAAAAATAATATCAGTAAGTATTACTTTACTGAGAGGGTTGTAGATGCATGGAATAGCCTTCCAGCTGAAGTGGTAGAGGTTAACACAGTAAAGGAGTTTAAGCATGCATGGGATAGGCATAAGGCTATCCTAGATATAATATAAGGCCAGGGACTAATGAAAGTATTTAGAAAATTGGGCAGACTAGATGGGCCGAATGGTTCTTATCTGCCGTCACATTCTATGTTTCTATGTGAAATTTGAGTGGGAAAAACATGTTTTTTGTAGCTTATCTACTATTCTAAACCGTCATAACTGTTTATTTTGACAGTGACATTAGTACTTCTGCATAAATATTGGTGATCAGTCAGAATACGGGCAAGACAAGGGACCTCATGCAATTACTGGTTATTTGTTCTCCCACGCAATTTCCGCAGTAATTTTAAAAAGCTATACATATTTTTCTTATATGCCGGATTGTGAGGTTTATTTATTAATTTTTTTCCAACCTTTTTTATTTTTTGTGACCTAGCTATGCAGGTTAAGTATTAGAAAACATTTATTTTTCAACCTTTTTTGATTTTTTTTTTGGACGGCTAATTTCAGGGGAGAAATAATCATTAGTATTAATTTTGCAATACCATTCCATTGTGTACGCATATTGTCTTATTTAACAGTTCTATGAATGGTTTGGTATTCAGCCAAACTTTATGGCTGACACATTGTTCGCAAGATCAGAATTACTTTCAATTTTACATTAGTTTGCGAGGTCACCCTGTTTAATGGGACATTCTAATCAATATACTCACTACAGCCTATGGGTGTCTGGAAGCCATCTCATTATTTTCTATTACATGTGCAGTCTCCAGACTATCATCCTTACACTTTTTTTTTGGTTACTATTTGGGGAAGTATCACTTTCACATCCAGCAACCCAAGTACTTGTAATGTGTAAGAACGCAGTGCGACCTGAACACGCAGGAGCTGTGTTGTTGTTATGCTCACATATGCCATACTGATGGTATCCAGGACAGCACTAGACATTTGTCAGAAAATTAAGTAACATAAAAAAAAATCAAGCGTAGGTTTGTAGGCACCATAACCACTACAATAATCTAGAATGCTGCACCTCTCAGATTTGCAGTCTATAATGGATGTATTTTTTTTTTTTTTTTTTTGCAGGTTGCGGAATCACTGGGCATCTTATTGGAAGACTCCACTGTTGGCTCATCGTCGCAACCAAATAATGAACAAGAAAGTTCAGAGACAAAGGTGAGGCGCTTGGATGGGATATGAGTACGTCTGTTCTTTCTCATGGAGTTATAGGAATTCTGATCTGATTTTTACCATGTTTTCTGCATTTTAATATTTTGTATTCTGATAGTTGCTTAATTTCTTCAATTGATGTGCTTTTCCTAGTGCTCAGATGATTTCGAGCCACCAGCAAAAAGGCAGAAAATAGACGTTACAGAAGATGCGTACACTGATCTTAACAGTACTAATGAAGCCCCTTCAGTCACTTGTGATGATGAGCAGAATGAGAGTAAGTGTGCGTTGTTTATGCCAAATCTTAATGGATTCCCAGTGTTTGAAGCAGGCGCATTCTATTCCCTAGTGAACTGTGCACAGTAAATGATTTACTATGGAATAGAGTATCCTTCAGCACCGTGAACTGTCTGAGGAAGTTGCGCTTTTTAAAATGATTATTTTAAAGGTCTACTCAGACCCCTAAAGCAATTTAGCTCGCATAAAAGCTTTGTGTGAAGTATGTCTTCTTTCTTGCATTCTGCAAAAAGTACAGATTTAAATCTGTTTTTTTATTCCTCCCCCCGCCCCCCCAAGTAAATTAACCTGGCTACACCCCTTTTGCTTTCAAGCAGACAGGTCATTTTACTTCCTGGTTTGGTTAGCTCTGTGGAGCTGAGCTCAAGAGGCAGCAATTGCCCAGAGCACTTGCCTCGCAAATATTTCTCATTGAGCTGCATTGGGAAGTCTGTGATTGGACAGCCAGAGAAATTCTGGGCGGGGTTAGAAGGGAAGGACTTGCAAAGGATGCAGACATGAGAACTACAGGTTTTTCAAGCTGTTTTTAGATAAACCCCAATGTAAAATATTGTTCATTTTGGGGGTATATCTACTAAATGGTGAGTTATTTATTTTGTATATGTGCAGTGTCCCTTTAAGCCAATTTTACACTCAAGGAATTGGTCACTAAGTTTATAGGTCTGTTTAACAATATAAAAATTGTGTTAATTGTTTATAGATTTGCTTTACTTTTGAAAAAGACTCACATCTGCCCTTTAAAGTAATACAAAACCATTAGAGAAACACTATTCAAATAAATAAATCACTATCTGCTGCATATAACGGAAGCCAGGCAGAGTAATAAGGCTAATTTATAAAAGTGCCAATTTCTAATAAAATCTGCAATTTTTGTAAAATTACAAAAAGAGAACACACACAAATCACTTCAGCAAGCTGAAGTGCTTTTGGTGGTCTGCATTGACCCTTTAAGTATGGTGTGTACTCTGGTTTGTATGCAAACTTTGATAAGTCCTTTCGTGTTAAAGGGAAACTATAGTGCCAGGAAAACAAAATATTTTTCCTGGCACTATAGAATTCCCCTCTGTCAAGGTCCCCTCCACCGGCACCGAATGGGTTAATAACCCCTTCAGTCACTTACCTGGATCATCGGTGCTGGCTCAGCTCCGCCCACACTCCTCCCCCGCTGGCATTAGGATTTCCCCATAGGAAAGCATTATTCAAAACTTTCAAATGGGGAAAATCTGACGCTGGAAGTCCTCATGCAGAGCGGAGGACATCCAGCGTCAGATAACGGACCAAAAGTCAGTTTCAGTTCCGGAAGTCATACAAGTGGCTGTCTGGTAGACAACCACTAGAGGAGGAGTTAACCCTCAGAGGTAATTATTGCAGTTTATAAAAACTGAAGTGTTACGGGTGATGGGAGTTTGCACCCAGACCACTTCAATGAGCTAAAGTGGTCTTGGTGCCTACAGTGTCCCTTTAATGTTAAAATTCATAGTAACACTGCAAGTGTGTTTAAATTTGTAGGATGTAGATTCATTAAAGATATGACCAAACCATTATATATGGGAGCAAAGGTCTCTAGTGTGAAGCTTTCTGTAATTTTTCAAGAAATTAGAACTCGTGTCAGAAATGCATCGTGGGAGTTGTCATAAACTTAGGAATTCAGTTGGAGAATCATGGGTTTGTGATTAGTTGTCTTATCTAAGCCCTGTCAATATGCATGAATGCAAATTCTTAGACTATAGCTTCATATTATTGTGGGTGAAATATATCTATAAAAATGGTAAATGCAGAATGTAATCCTGCTTTTAATGTGCCTAGGTTTGGGAAATCACCTTGAAGAAGATGAAAGTTTTTTAATGACCAACACAAGTAACAGAATCGTGCTGATAACTGGGCCAGTTTCACATTCTGAGCACCAGAATGACGATCTTGCCAAGGTACTTTTTCAAAGCAATTCCACATCCGTTCCTTATGAAATAACCACAGGCCTCACTGAAGTGTCACAACCACAGCCAGACACAGAACTTTCGTCATGTTCCAGCACTCCACACAAGGTTTTAGAAGAACCCCTCACAGTTACCTGTCAGTTTGGTAATTTTGCCGTGGAGAACATAAAAATGGCTGAGATTTGCCCAGAAGTTGCCAGCGGCATGCTTATCCCTTGTCAAACACAGACTCCGGCTTTTGGTCAGGCTAATAGCAAACCTATTATGTCTGGACTTTCCTTTGCCAGTGCTGTTCATTCCAGTTCCCTACATTCAGGAGGTATACCTGAGAAAGGTTATGCACCAAACGTGCCATCAGATCACAGTTACATGACATACACAGACACTGTGGAAATACCGCTTGCACAGGGAGGAACAGTGCTGCTTGAGACCTCTACACTGGGTGGGAAATGTGTTTTGGAAAACAGTCACGAAGCAACATCATGTGATGTTAACAACGGGGACCAGTTTGTCATCATAGAGAACGCAGAAGAAATTGCTACTGAAGAGGCAGGGACTCTCCTGGTTAAGACAAACGATGCCACCGGCATCCACTTAGAAAGCGTCGAAGCATTTTTTCAAATGGAACCAAAATGAAGATCGTACTAATTTTGCACTGAGATGGAAGCAAAAAAGTTTTTTTTTTGTTTTTGTTATTTTTATATAGTAAAATAGGATATTTCCTATATATTCTTTTACCAAAAGTTTGTAATTTATCTGTAAAGTATTTCTATTAAGAGTTCTTGGTTTTTTGGGGATTTTTTTCTTTTCTTTTTCATTATTATTTAGAAACAAGTCAGGGGTGCATTTGATGTTTGCCTATTAATATCTGACCTGAAGCTTATTCTTCTAGACCGCAAGTACAATAGTGCACGCAGGAAGTTTAATTGTAAACTTATTTATGGAATATGCAAAGCTTCCTTATAGGAAACTGCATTTTACGCTGCACTTTGAACTTAACCCGTTCATTTAATACGTTGTGCATTACATGTTTGTTTATAACTGTTAACATGATTTCTTTATGTACTGCAATGCAGCTGTATTGAGCCATTTGAGAACCCATTTAGTATGCTGTTAATGCTTTAAATTGCCTGAAAGATTTATACACCTGGGATTTTAGAAACATTTAATTTACTCTGGCCAAAAAAAAAGAAACCTCTGTCTGTACAGCTGATGTAGCACTTCAGCTAGCTTGATATTGTTCCAGGCTTAGGGCGAGCAAGGCATTATGGGAGCTGTAGTTTTGTAACAGCTGTGAAGGTAGGGTTGCCTTTTGGCCACTCTTAATTTAGATGATTTTCATTCTCTCAGGATGGCATGTAATTATAAATTGGCTCCCGTGTTTTTTTTTTTTGGCATGGAAAATCACATTCTCCTGTGGAAATTAAAGTCCATTTCAATAAAAAGTTTGGGAAACAAGCAAAAAGTTGATTTTAAGGGAACCGGCTTGCGCAAGAGAGGCCAAAAGAAAATCCCCACCTTTTGTCAAAGTACAGATCCCATGATGCGTTGCCAGCCTTCTACTCTCCCTGTTTGGCAATAGTAATTTGCATATTCAAGCGATCCTAAAATTAGTAGGATTACATCCCACGAGTCCTTGATTGAGGGCAAACTTGAGCTACATGGTGTAACACTTTAACTCCATAAATACATGCAAACATTGACCCTTATAACCTGGCTGTTCTGGATTTACTATTCTTGCAAGTTTAGTGTGTGGTTGTCTTTGCAGGAACAATTCATACTCTTCATTGAAAAAAAATTAAAAAAATTGTACACCGGCATATGTACGTTGATAGATATTGTCAGGATGCAAATTTGTTTGGTTCTCCAATTCAAAATAAATGTTTACTCTAAGTATGTCTTGGTTGTATTTTTTTTACTTACTACATAATTGTTGGCAATAAAAGGGAAACGAAGATATAAATGAAATCCTATTTTTTTTTTCTTTAAAAAAAAAAAAATCTTACAATTTTTATTTTATTGTAAAAATTATCAAAAATGCTGTGGATGAACTGTCTAGAAAGGCATACTCCTCTGGTACAAGAAGGAGATGATCCAAGCAGAAGCCTCTCATCCTGGTGTAGGGATACGGATGTTATCCCAAGAATATCTGTCCAGCAGGGGAGCCTTTGTATAAGACTGCTTGACCAACATTTTTTTTTTTATGTTTATAATCTTTATTGTTTTCTTAAGAAAAATGTTTTTTTCACAATAGACAAAAGACAATCTTGTATAAAAGAGACTGAAGCAAACACAATAATACATGAACACAGGAAGTATAGATATTACATCGAAAACTTACGTGTAGTTTGTATATAAATCCTGTATAATAATCTGCATCTGATTTCCTCTCATTTTACAATAAACCTATCAAGGAAAAACGAAAAACACATATGGAGGAGCACATCGAGAGAATATCCACAACTGATTGAGTTTAATATTACAATATACCTTATTTGGTATGTAACATATAATAGGGATCAAATAGGTTGTATCAATATGAAGGTAGAAGACATTAAGTAAGATGAAACATACTGTTTTTACCCTCTCCTGTCTTTCAACCTCTCCGCTAACATTTAACCGGATCAAAGAACTTAACCCTCAACAAAACCTTGTGCATGTCTAATCCCTAAAGGAGGTTTAAACCCTAGTATTCTCCAACTTGGAGACCCAATTTTCCCATTGTTCTATTCGTGGATTAAATTTTTTTTCCTGCCTCAAGATCTCTATTTCTCTTCTACAATGATTATGAACTTGAGATTTTATAATTTCCCAGTGTGGAGTATCTGGGAGAGATGCTTTAGTCTCAGTTAATAAAAGTATAATTAGCTCTTTTTTTTTTTAGACAATAGGAGATTAGTCCAACTATGGTGAAGCATCACTGATTTACAGTTTAAGTCCAAATCAACCTCCACCTATTCTCTACAGAATTTTACTACCTTCTTCCATAACTGTAATATTATTGGACATGACCACCAGATATGAACATAGTCAGCCTGAGGTGACATGCATCTCCAGCACGTATTTTGGGTATCTGGATACATTTTCGATAATTTATTAGGAACATAATGCCATCTATTAATAATTTTATAATGGCTCTCAGTAATATTTAAGCAATGTATGGCTTTAATTACTGCATTATTTGCAATTATCCACTCTTTTCTAGAGCTACTGATCTGTAAGTCCTTTTCCCAGGAATTAAAGGACCACTATAGTGCCAGGAAAACATACTTGTTTTCCTGGCACTATAGTGCCCTGAGGATGCCCCCACCCTCAGGGACCCCCTCCCGCCTGGCTCTGGAAAGGGGTAAAAACTTACCTTTTTCCAGCGCTGGGCGGGGAGCTCTCTGCCTCCTCTCCTCCTCCTCTCCTCTTCCTGGGCTGAATGCGCACGCGCGGCAAGAGCTGCGCGCGCATTCAGCCCGTCACATAGGAAAGCATTTACAATGCTTTCCTATGGACGCTTGCGTGCTCTCACTGTGAAAATCACAGTGAGAAGCACGCAAGCGCCTCTAGTGGCTGTCAATGAGACAGCCACTAGAGGATTAGGGGGAAGGCTTAACCCATTAATAAACATAGCAGTTTCTCTGAAACTGCTATGTTTATAAAAAAAAATGGGTTAACCCTAGAAGGACCTGGCACCCAGACCACTTCATTAAGCTGAAGTGGTCTGGGTGCCTAGAGTGGTCCTTTAAGAGCTGGAATGATTTTAAATAGATCGCACAGGTTTGCACATCTTGATACAATTTTTTTATTGCTCTTAATATTTAGTATATTTAAGAAAGATTGTATACCTTCTGAAGTTTCTTCTACTTTGTGTTTGTTTATAAAATGTTTTATCCTTACGTATGTAACATTTTCTTTATATGGAAAGGAAAAAGTTTGTCTAATTTGTTCAAAAGGAACAATCTGATTTTGTTGCATAATCTGAACAATTCTATGTATACCGTTAGCCTTCCAAGTTCTAACTCTTAAGTCTTCAATAATAGCTGTCAGGAGTTTTAATGGCAAATCTTTAATAATTTTGTCTACAATCGTGAGTCTCTTTTTCCAGTTTTTCCAATGTAGCATTAAATTATTAATGATTAAACCCGTGTAGAGATTATCCTCATTGTTCGTTTTCCAAAATATGGATAATAAATCTGGGACATTCATTCTTATCGCTTCTATTTTGGCCCAAGCTTCCTCCATAGAACTCTCTCTTTCAAAGTTGTAACTATATGAGCCAATGCGCATGTCTCATACAACTCTAGCATGTTAGCAAACCCATTCCTCCATTTTTAGAATTTAAATTTAATATCTTTCTATTGACTCTAGGTTTTTGTTTTTTTTAACCAGATATTTATCTAAAGCAGACCTGCTTGACCAACATTTAGTTCTCCTTGGACAATACACATAAAAACACACTACATGCAATGCGGAATATCTTTTACTATGGCATAATGCCCACGTCGTTTTAAGATGCATAGTCACAGAGCAGATATTTCGATTTTAAGATCAGACTGGCCAACCCATAAGGCTGCCTAGATATGTAATAATGGGAACGTTTCTGAACGAGAGACACGGCAACTTCAATCATCTCCATGTTTTAGTCCTTATGTATGGTACACATTAAACTCATCAATGAATAATGTAAAAGAATACACTTTGCACCATTATGGCTCAGTGTGCTGTTAAGGTTGTAAAGATTATATGGGAGCTATCGTTTTCTTTTTGTGTGTCAAACCATTTCAGGGTTTTCACTGAACTGCCCATTCCTCATCTGCATTGATAATGTAGAAATTCATGTATGTAATGGTGCAGAAAGTGGCATATAACAGATTTACTCAAATGGCGAAACAAATAGAATTGTGGTACTGTGGTGCAGGTAGTTGAATTATGTATGATGCAACACAAACTTTACTAACAGACGTCTGGGCAGATTTGTACTGCTAGGCTAAAAGTGATTGTTAAAAATTACTGTTTACCAAATAACTTTGAATGAGGATTGATGGAAACTTGCTGTTCTGCAGTTGAGAATTTCCAAGGAGCTTAAAAAAACTAAGCAAATTTGACTTGACAGGGTTCCATATACCAAGTCAATCCAAACGATATTTAGCCACTTCTCGAAGCAGGGATATTGAGGACCACAATCGCTCTCCATCTGTATTTTTGCCAGCCTTTGGCTATGTAATTATTTTTCTTATTTCCAGAATGATCACTTGTCTAGTCTACTCAAAACTTCGCAACAGATACAACTCAACTTCTACTGAATGAAACTGAGAACATACTTCGCTTTTCCACGAGAACCTGTGTAGCCAGTTTCCATGGTGACCAGTTGCGTCAAGTTTTATATTAAAGAGGCCGATGTCCAGTTTCTAATAACATGCCCTCTAGTAGTACCTTAATGCTATTCTCAATATATGGCTGATACAGCCAGCACGATAAATACACCATTAATAAATCTTGATCTGACGTGTGTGCGATGTGACCAGCAATTGTCCTCTTGAGAGACATTTCTTTCTTGTACATCTCGGACATCTTTATGGAGGTTTCATCTGGAAGAAGACATCACAAGATGTAAACACTTGTGTTTTGGTTTCTTATAGAACAAAAGCATGTTATGTTGGTAACATTTATGTAAACATGTCAAACAATAAGCGTGTCTTATATGATGTATAGGAGTGCCATTATCTACTCCACAAAAACAAATCCATCCAACTATAAGACCTACACTCAAAAGGTCAAATAAGATAATAACAGGGTCATTGACTAAAGTGAAAATTTAAAAGGAAATTTAACATTCAAGGTCAAAATAATTGAACTGTATAAACTCTGTCAGCTATGCTTCCAAGTTCACCTACTTTGGCTTTAAAACAGAAATTGCATTCTCACTTTGGGAAATTACTCTGAATGTGTCCTCCAACCAAAGTAATATCTACCAAGGCTGGTGTGTATTTACGTAATCGATCTGTGGGGGTTAAAGTCCCCATATTTTCTCAGTTATATATTGAAGACATTACTTACAGAAAAGCGTTGTTGGCCACGTATGAAATAAGATGGGTTTAGAAACATTGCGGCTGCATTGATAAGCTTCAAGTTCACAAACTCCCTTTAATGTAGAAGACAGTTTCTCCATCCTCACCAGTATGTGCTCCTAAGTAAAAGATGAAGACAAATCCAACTGTGATCAACTGCTTTCGTGTTAGGTGTAGAGCTTACAATCAATGAATGATATATATGTAAAGTTTAGAACAACAAAAAATATATATATATATATATATATATATATATATATATATATATATATATATATATATATATATATATACACATATACACACACATCTGCATGACAACTAAAATTGCCATTACATAATCTTTTCTCCAAGTAACTTACAGCCTAGCTACCTGGAAGATTAAAGGGAAATTATAGTGCCAAGAAAATAAAGTTGTTTTCCTGGCACTATAGCTCCCTATAGTGTCCTCCTCCCCGAGGTGCAGAAGGGTTTAAAAACCCCTTCAGTCACTTACCTCAATCCAGTCCGCCTCCACTCCTCCCCCGTCTAAGTCAGCCAGCAGGGGAGACATACTGCGCATGTGCGGCAATGGCTGTGCTCGCATTAGAATTTCCCTACAGGAAAGCATTATACAATGCTCACCTATGGGAATTCCGTTGACACTGGAAGTCCTCATGCATAGCGTCATTTAATGACCCAGAAGTCCCTCTAGTGGCTGTCTGCTAGACAGCCACTAGAGGTGGAGTTAGCCCTGCAAGGTAATTATTGCGGTTAATAACTGCAATAATTACCTTTGCCGGGTTAAGGGACCTGGGACTATTCACCCAGGGTGCCTATAGTGTCCCTTTAAGTACAAACACAGGCAAAACAAACACGCATACCATGTTTTGTAGATTGTCAAGCAATTCTGTGCAGCAGTTTTCCAATTCCACTTTGTCTTTATCCATACCGTCATTGGTAGACAATGTGTTGTCCAATAACATTTCATTGTAAGATCTTCAAGAAAAAGAAAATATCTTAAGCAACCAGTAGTGGTTTTAAAAAAAACAACAACGTCAGCTGATATAAAAGGTATACTTAGAGGTGGTCAACAGCCTTTAGACTATGAATACATCATGTAAGTCATATGTACACAACTTCCCCTTCAACAAAGTGAAAATGTTCAACCAGAACAGTCATATGTGAGATTTCTACATGTCGCCATTGACTGTCTTTTGCCAGCATGCTAACTACAGACATGCACAGAATTAACATTATGCAGTCTGGAACGCTTGATCCAGGCTAACTATTAATATCCCAATGGCGCTGCCAGCGGTGGAGTTAAACGATGTAGAATCTGTCATCTGCAAAGTTCTATTAAAATTTAGTACATTTTGAATGATTCAGTCTCCAGTAAATGTGATTTGCAGTGGGGGAACCACATCATTAATATATTGAGCTTCCAATTGTTTACGTTTTCACCCTTTTTGAGCTATTTTGGAAAGAATGGGAAACAACACAATTCACCAACTGCCACTTACTTGGTGCTGATTTTTAGATTCACAATCTTGTTTGCGGCATCAAACCCAGTATTATTACACGTCTCCCATTTTAGCATCAAATTGTGCCAGTCTGCTGCATTGTCCTTTATTTTCCTCGCACTCCCTGATATAGCAGACTTGACAGGCGTGGTATATCCACTAGTTTTATTACCTGGGAAAAAAAAAAAAAAAATCTCATATTACTAAATCTGCTCTAAAAATCGTAAGCTCATGGGCTATCGAGCAAAGTACTCTGTCTAAATGACCTTCAAGAACCAGATCTCCGCTCACAGGAAGGGCCCTCTACCTTTAGTATTAGTTTCTTTATATTGTACAGCGCTGCAGAATATGTTGGCGCCTTATAAATGCCACTAATAATAAATAATAATCCTAAACCTAATTCAGGAACAAATCAAGATTTGCATGACCATCAACCAGGCGCATTGCCTGACATTCACTATTCATTCTGCCTAAAATAATTCTGTAAGTTACCCTAATAAAAATGTAAAAATGAATATGCACATATATATATATATTATTTATTTATATATACATACACACACTCTCACTCATACTTGCTTTGTTTTACTTACGCTCCATCCTATATATGATCAGAATTATGTATATGAGCAGAGAGAGCAGTTAGAGCCTGCTGAATCCCTGGGATGGTTTAATTGCCCCTCTTCCTGCACATGTTATGCCAGCAGTGCCCACAGTAAGCTGTGACTTCCTGTTTCCGGTCCCTGTACGGAAGCCCGGTGAGGTCAGCCGGCGCGGATTGGTCGTTCGCCGTTAGACTGGGCTGTGATGGTTTAGCCCCGGAGGGTGTATTGCAGCTGCGTCAGCTCCGTGAGAAGAGGTGAGGGACCCTGGGATGGGGAGCAGGGAGCCATGTTACCCTCCACCCCCTTCGCTGGTCATCATGCAGGTATCTGGGATGGAGTGTATCTGTGAGACCAGGCTGTCAGTAGGACAGGGCTGGCCAAAAAGGTGGGAGAACTGCAACTCTAAGGATGCTCAGCCAGCCCTGGGGATGGGGAGAAGGGAGCCATGTTATTCCTCCCCCCCAGGTCCTCATACAGGTATCTGGGATGGAGTGTATCTGTGAGACCAGGCTGTCAGTAGGACAGGGCTGGCCAAAAAGGTGGGAGAACTGCAACTCTAAGGATGCTCAGCCAGCCCTGGGGATGGGGAGAAGGGAGCCATGTTATTCCTCCCCCCCAGGTCCTCATACAGGTATCTGAGATGGAGTGTATCTGTGAGACCAGGCTGTCAGTAGGACAGGGCTGGCCAAAAAGGTGGGAGAACTGCAACTCTAAGGATGCTCAGCCAGCCCTGGGGATGGGGAGCAGGGAGCCATGTTATTCCTCCCCCCAGGTCATCATACAGGTATCTGGGATGGAGTGTACCTGTGAGACCAGGCTGTCAGTAGGACAGGGCTGGCCAAAAAGGTGGGAGAACTGCAACTCTAAGAATGCTCAGCCAGCCCTCGGGATGGGGAGCAGGGAGCCATGTTATTTCCCCCCCCCTCCCCCCGGTCACCATACAGGTATCTGGGATGGAGTGTATCTGTGAGACCAGGCTGTCAGTAGGACAGGGCTGGCCAAAAAGGTGGGAGAACTGCAACTCTAAGGATGCTCAGCCAGCCCTGGGGACTGTCAGAGCAGCAGGGGTTAGTAGCCCTTCAAAGTGGATTATCCACATAACAAACATGCTGAGCATCCCATTCACCCATTGTCCACAACTGTATTGGTATACTGTATAGGATGCTGAGCATCATTGGTATGTAGATAATCCATATGTACAAAGGGCCCCTCAGCAAGAATATTCTACTTGCTTGTACTGATAGAAATATATATATATATATATATATATATATATATATATATATATATATATATATATATATATATAAAATCAGCACACAAAAAAAACAGTAATTCAGGTTAGCAGACATCTATAATAATATATCATTTAGATTGTAAGCTTACAGGCAGAGCCCTCTACCTCTTGTATTGGTCTGTTTGTAATTTACTTTCTTTTTCCCTATTGTACAGAACTGCGGAATATGTTGGCGCTTTATAAATGCCAGAAATAAATAATCATCATCTGATAAAATATGAAATTGCATTTATTTTAGGGCTGTGTTTCTTAGTCCACCCCTCCCGTTAATAGGGATCTCCCCAAGTTGGAATCCTTGTTGGTCGGAGATCATGGAAGATTCACTGCAATAATAGCTTAAAAGCTGCAAGTGCCCATCCCTGATATATACGGATAGTTATTCGTCAACCGCTTTCTAACAGAACGTCTGCTGTGCCAGAATATTCACAAAGAAGCAATCCACTCCCGTGTAATGTGGATAACTGCATTCATTATAGTAATAGCCAACACTACTTCCTGGCACACACTCAGTATTGTGAATGATAAATACACGGTGCAGCTGGCATGTTTAACTCACCCAAATGGCTCATGGGAGGCGTGTTTGTCTCATAGGTTTGGTTTTCCAGGTGTGCTAATAACAAATTGAATTTGGGCAATGGGCATTATGGAGTTTGCATGGCTACTTCGAAGATCTGGAACTGCGGAGGTAAGTGTGCTCTCTATTAACCTCTAAAGTGTGTCTTACCCCAGTAAAAGCTGTTATGGAACTTACTGGAGTAAGTAAAACTAAGCTCAGAGGAGATGGTTCCTCATTAATTTCTTGTTATTGTAATCGATCATTGACCTTTGGTGCCACATGACAGTATCAAGAGCGAGGGTGAAATCACAAAACATTTTAAAGAACGTTTTAATTTTAGAAACGATCATACTCTGCATTCACACTGTGAGTGAACACCCAGGAGACAGAATGGGCACAGAAGCTTTTGGATAAACACAAGCGTTATAAAAATAGGGGTCTATAGAGTACTTGGTGAAGGCATTGTGCCAACAAATCAGTTAATTGGCAAACTTGATGAGATTTAAGGGTAAATGGTTGCCCTTAAATATTTTGTTTAGATTTTATAATTGGAGCTCAGCCAGATAATTCAGATGGATTAAATTCACCCACTCCTGGGTCTGCATCCCATTAGGGATTACAGAACACCTGAGCACTCTCGTGCACCTGCTTGTAAACTAACTGAAATAGAAACAATCAGGGTTATTCGCTAAGGTGTGAACTATTGGGGATGTAAAGCGATTGTGGAAATTTTCAAACAGAATTGCATGTTTTAGACAAAATGGCTAAGGTCAAAATTCTCCCCAGCTAAATTGTTATATTTCCTGCTGTGCTATCTTGGCCTTAAAATTGCAACTATCTTGCAAACGTACCATTCTGAGTTTAACGGATAAGCTATCTAGGACATTTTTTTTAATCTATTTTTTATATTTATTGTATTTTGTGAAAATAAATATCTATTTTCTATCTAGAGGGTATGCATCTCCTATTGCTGTGGAACACAGAATCAATTCATCCGTTTGTTCTAAACAATACGGTTGTTGTTTTGTGATCTAGGTCTGCGACTGGTTCACTGCACAATTCACAATCTCTGCTCTTTGTGACTGTCATTTAAAGTGGACCTGCCACTTCCCAGCCTTTAATCTAGATGAATTCTTTGTTAAATGCTGACTGATGCATGTGTCGGTATAATTAAAATATACTGAAAAAGCAGGGTCTATTATATTTCGGTATAATCAGTTCTGTTAGTCCACAAGGTTAATTTGCAAAATTAGTGACCTGTTGTGAAAGGACTTTTTTGATATCAGCTGTCAATCACAGCAGAATCTCATGCAATAACAAGAACTATTGAGGATCCCTCCCAAGGGGTCATCCCTAGATATGTTAGGAATCCTTGCTTACATGCAAGAGCTTCTGTGGGCACGACAAACGTGTTACAACTCCTAGAAGACTAGGCTGCCTTGTGATAGGGAAGGAGATTATCATGTAAGTAGATCTCACAAAATGTATTTTTCCCACAGGTTTTCCCAACTTTTTTGCGTCTTTTAATAAGTTATTTCACACTTATTATTTTTATTTATTTTTGTCATCACACATTTAAAAGAAGTGTTGTTTTGTTTTTTATGTTCGAGTGGAATCTCGGAACTTGAACTTAATCCGTTCCCAAAGGCTGTTCGAGTCCCGGAGTGTTCAAGAACCGAATCATCATTTCCCATAAGAATTAATGGAAAATTGATCCGTTCCAGCCCCCAAAATCTAATAATAAGCACCTTACATGTATTTGAGTGGTTCCTGCCTTTCATATTGCTAAAAAGTTACTGTTGGCCATTATTACAATTATTTATAAAATTGTCTAACTTTAAAATGAGACATTGCTCTGTGTTATATGTTCGGGTATCGAAGATAGTTCGCATACCGAGCGTTTTTTTTTTTTGTTTGTTTGTTTTTTACTCATGGCTCTTTGTATGTTCGGGTACCGAAGATCGTTCGCGTACCGAGACATTTTTTTACTTGAAATAATAATTGTTCGAGAACAGGACCGTTCGAGTTCCGAGGTTCCACTGTATTATTTGGCCAAGTCTCGAAATTTTTAAACTAAGTTATGTACTTTTTAAGATGTGGTCTTATCATTACCACCTCCTTTAGCTTTGCCGCACAAACATTTGTCCAATGGCACCCAGGAGTTGAGCCCTGACAAATTTTGGTTTGGTTGCCAGGCAATAAGGGCATCCTACGATTTTTACATCATTGTGAGCTTTAAAGCCCCTGGGAGAGGTGGGAGAGTCTGAAAAGAAATCCTTGTTGCTTACTCTGGTGAATACAATATTCTGTAAGTGCAAAGATCTTGTTTAACCCCTTAGAGACACTTTGCTGTCAGCCTAATCTAGTCTCTGAAGATATACCAGCGTGGAATGTCCATTTAATCTGGTTTGCCATCCAGTTCTTTGTTTATTGAGTGTGACTTTCCATTTTTGGAGCAGGATCTTTAAAGAACAGAATGTTGTGATTATGTATTTTGCTGTCAACCATTTAAAGGGACCATAAGCACCATAACCACTATGGCACACCGTATGTTGGCTGTGGTAGTCATTGACTAGTGTGTAGTATATAGCCTTTGAGTGTAACTTTTTCATGCTGTGAACTTTTGTGTATGATGTAGGCTCCATGAAAGCAATTGATGGATGTTGCCAGGGATTGTGATATTTGCACTGGATCTCAGAATACGTTAGACAAACACTGTCCTTCATTGAGTCTATAGATCAGTGTAGGAGTAAACAGAGGGTCGTTTTGCAGAAGCCATGATAACTTTGCCTATTCCTTGTATACTTTTCTTCATGGGAAAATATGGCCAAGATTTGGGGATTAAGTTTGCTAATTGCTAGCCTTGCTATCAGTATACTCCCTTTTCTCTGGATAGATAATTCTGTGTACTGCAGTAGTGTAATAACTTTTTTTTTTTTTTTTTAAAACACGTGATTAGTTAGTCTGTACGTTGGATCGTTGAATTTGTAGCATGGTTGAGTAAGTGAAACAATCTATAAAACCAACAACATCAAGACTGAAATGGGACTTTTTGATTTATGTATCACACAGCCATAAGGGCAGAAGTGTAATGCATATAATTTATATTACAGAAAGCTGGCGATCTATCATGGGGGAAACCCAAGAACAAGCTGTCTTGGCAGTCATACATTTTACATGACAACTACACAATCATATTAATGCTAGTCGAACCGCAATTAGATTACCATTGTCTCATGAGGCAAACTTTGTGGATTCAAAAATCTATATTGAAGGGTCAGTGATGGTGGAGGTTGCTCTTTGCACTGTGAACTCAAAAATCAATTAGACCCATTTCTAAAAGTCACTGTGGAAACCAATAGAATGCTCCAATTGTCTTGTGATTTGTTTATTTATTACACATAATCTCCATCATATCTTGTCACATATTAGCTGAAGCTCTGTTGTAGCTCTGCAGCATGAACATTGTCCTTAAAATATATGAGCATAGCTACCATGTGTCCCTGTTTAGAAGGCATAGTCCCTATGAGTGCATCTCTTTTCAATTGTTTGGGAAATCAATTTTTTAATATCTGATGGACTTAAGAGTTCTTTTAATTCGTGCTGTTTTTTGGTTTTGTTTGTTGTAGATTTCTAGAAATGCCATGTTATTGCTCATGCTGTATTTCTTTTTAGATTTCTCTCGGCGATGGTGATTAAATAATGACTTTGGGTTGCTGATTACCAACCGGAAAACATGGCCTGCGGAACTGAATCTGTAGTATTTAAGGAATTTTGTCCACTGTATTCCATCGTCAATGCAATTCCAGCAAAAGTCCAGAAAGGATTCCGGTCTATAATCGTTTACCTGACAGCCCTGCATGCCAATGGCGACTATATTGCGATTGGAAGCAGCATTGGAATGCTATATCTGTATTGCCGGCATACAAATCAGATGAAGAAGTATAACCTGGAGGTAAGGTGTTCCTGTTGATTATTCTTTGAGGCCCCAGTGCAGTTCTTCAGTTTATACACATAGGTGTTTGGTGTCACCTTGTAGATTCTAATAATCCCACATTATTTTAAGATAATAAGGTGGTATAATATTTGTATTGGAGTCCAGTACAAACTGCCATGTGTTGTGTATTGGGTTTTTAATACTGGACTTCTGTCGATCTACAACTCCCATAATCCTTTACCAAAAGAGGTGCATAGGATGTGTAGTGCCCAAACAGCCGCAGTGCTAGAATTGAAATACCCCTGCTAGAGAAGTGGACGGGTTTAACCCCTTAAGGACCAAACGTCTTGAATAAAAGGGAATCATGACATGTCACACATGTCATGTGTCCTTAAGGGGTTAAAGATGCTGGAATTAATAATTCATGGTAAATGCTGAAGTTTCACGTAACCGTTTTGTTTTAGTTACAGCAATTGGAAATTTACTTGAACTCCTGACCGTTTTTCACTAGGTAATAATCCTGTAGATTTGGGGTTTATTCTATAATGAGGGGGGGGGATTCTATCTAATCTGCCAGCCAAACAGGTCAGCACATGCGTGAAACCAACAAAGATAATGTGTTAACAAAGAAATTCATTCACACTTTTATTAATCTTGCCATTATCCGTGGCAGCAAACGGGTTTGCTCTGCCGACCACTGCAGATAGGACCAGGAAAAAAAAACTAAATTCTATAGGAAGTTTCTCCTGTCATGTGACTTTCAATCTGTGTCCCAGCACACCTAAAATTATAGAATTACTCCAACTACCATAACCACTTCAGTGATTTAAAGTGGTTGTGGTGGTAGGAGTCAGGATTATAAACAGCCAATTCTGTGCATAGGAAAGCATTGGGAGGCTAGTGTGCATGCATGGCAGATGATCTGTCTTGGAAGTGCCTCTATAGCAGGGCTGTCCAACCCCAGATGTTGCTGAAATACAACTCCCATGATTCCCTGGCTATCTGTTTCATTGAAAGAATCATGGGAGTTGTAGTTCAGCAACATCTGGGGGGCCGCAGGTTGGACAAGCCTGCTCTAGAGGCTGTCAGTATGACTTAAGCAGCAGGGTTAAAACAGGAGTGGGGGGACAGACCACTTAAAGGACCACTATAGGCACCCAGACCACTTCAGCTCAGTGAAGTGGTCTGGGTGCATCTAGGGTTAACCCTGCAGCTGTAAACATAGCAGTTTCAGAGAATATGGGTTAATCCAGCCTCTAGTGGCTCTCATTGACAGCCACTAGAGGCGCTTCCGTGCTTCTCACTGTGATTTTCACAGTGAGAAGACGCCAGCGTCCATAGGAAAACATTGAGAATGCTTTCCTATGAACTGACTGTGCGCACGTTGCCCTTGCCGCGCATGCGCATTCGGCGGATAACGGCAGGGGCAGGAGGGAGCCCGGCGCTGGAGAAAGGTAAGTGATTAACCCCTTCCTCCTCCTTTAGCCCGGCGGGAGGGGGGCCGTGAGAATGGGGGGGGCCTATTAACACTATAGTGCCAGGAAAACAAGTTTGCTTTCCTGGCACTATAGTGGTTCTTTAATTCAGAAGAGTCCCTTTTAAATAAACTCTGGTCAATCTCATTAGTTTAGTGTATCTGGCAGTTTTAAAGTGGGAAATGTTGGGCAATAATTATATGTAAAAACACAATGCATGCAGAAGATACCTCCTTGTAAGGGTTAATGTATCTCTGGAAAGCAATGCAGACTCTCCCACGCAATTTACTCCACATTACCTGAAACAGGCAAGTAATGATTGATTCAGATTGCTAAGTAATGAGTGCAGATGCCAAATACACTTTTTATATGGGGAGCCTATCTTGTAAACAGCCTGCAGATATCATTCTGCAAATATTGCCTTATAGCTCAGCACAGACATCATGTGATGGAAAGTACAAGTGTCACATTAGCTGTATAGGAGACCTCTCTTGGCAAGAGGAACTAGGCCGTAACGTACCTAAATGTACTATATCTTGCAGAAATCTCAAAGCAAATGACTTTGCTTTGTAACCTGTTAGACTAGCCGTGGGAAGCTGATTAAGGTTACGGAGCATGTGATTAAAAAAACAAGAAGTGCTATGCTAGTTACATAAGGGGCCTCCCTTTACAAGTGTGAATAGGCCTTAAAGGGACACTATAGTCACCCAGATTACTTCATCTCATTGAAACGATCGGAGTACAGCCCCCCTGTCTTGTTAACTCTGTAATGTAAAACGGTTTACACTGCAAGGTTCTGTCCACCTCTAGTGGCCATAAATGATCAAACTGCATATCAGACCTATTTCAGAGAACATGTGCAACAATTACCATTTTCTTCTACCTTAAGAGTGGGTCAGACCCTCTATCCCTATTTGGGGACACCCAGGTGAGACATCTTTAAAAATGCTGCATGCTGGTGTTTAGGTATTTCATAAATGGCTTGGTGGATATAAAATAAAAACTCTTCTTCTGCTGTTTGGATGACAGGAAAAAGCCTGAGGATCAGTAAACAAGGGGGTCGCCTAACTGAATTTTTTTTTTTCTTTTTTTTTTTTTCTTGTCCTCTCTCCTGTGTTTGGTGACGCAAAGCCAGGGCTCGAGAAATCCCAGGTCACCATGGCGACTAGGAATTTTGTCCTGGCACCTGGGATTTGTCGGCCCGTTCAGCCCCCAAGGTTGCCGGCTGACTGTGAGTGGAGGTGGGCAAGAGGTCGGCCGGCTGACAGAGCGGATGCAGGTGGCCAACCTGCTCAGGTAGAGCATGGGCAGGCTGACGGCTCACAGAGGGCGGGTGG